CGGTTATGATGTAATATAATCAAAGTCAGGTTTTGATATTGATATCAATTGTGGAGATAAATATTCCCTCAAAACTGATTTATGATAAGAATTAAAAGAACGTTACCATTGCAAAATCTTAATGAAGAATCTTAAAGAATTTTAGAAAGAATAGATTTTGGTTGCATTGTTGCGAATCACGAGTTACGAACACAGATACAAACTTCTTTAGACCAAGGGCAGATCCGGAACAAGATAACAGAGTGGGATAGGAGAGAGGGGCTTAGGATGTTTAAAAATATCAATAATTGTTGATTATGAAATTTCATACCTACAAAACAAATTTAGGTTGAACTTTTGGGTAAAGAAAAACATAATTCTTAAAACAAATATTCAAAATATTAAAATATTGTAAACATTAAAAACATTTGTTGTTCGAACCCAGACAATTTGAACGTGATCCGATTTTTAATTAGGTACCTAAATGTTTTAATGTTCAGTGCTACATCAAAATATTAACGTGCTTAGGTACCTACATATAAAAATATCTCAATTTCAAGATTTCTCTAATGGAAATATTCCGCATCATTTCTGAAATAAAGCAGTCGAACTTATAACGCAAATTCAAAATCTTGACCATAGTCATAGGCACAACTAGGATTGGGAGTTGCTAAGAGGTCTTAGGCACCCTAAGTTTAAAATTAATACATCCAAAAATACTCGAAAAGCTTTTTTGTATTATCGGTTTAAATATGAGTTTATCTATATATTTCATAATTAATAGCAGAACTAAATATAGATTATATACAGATAATGTATGTGTGTATAAAAAATGAAGTTAAAAAAGTGCTGATACTGGAAATGGATGTGCCACTGTTATTGTTAGGAAGTTAGGAAAATAGGATAGGATACATTAAATTATTTAGTTTACATCTATAAGCAACGATAGAACCTTGCAAACCAAAATTGATTGGAAACAAGTACGGTTATAAAAATTTTGAAAGGCCGTAATATTTAGGAGTTTGGTCAAAATTTGGTATTAAAATTTTCATAAAAAAAATTTAAAAAAATACTACGTTAAACACAATTTTTTTTACCACAATGTATACATTGTGTACCTTGTAATAAACCTCCTGTTGATTTGTCAAGCATTTCTGTTTAGTCTAATTTTATCCGTAGAGTAACTACCAAATTAAAATTACGTAAAAAACTCTTAAATTTAAATGTCTATAAATAACTCAAAAATGACTCAAATGTTTTTACAACTTTACCACGTCTAGAAAAAGCAAATATGAGTTTTCTGTCAAAATTTCAAGTTCCTAAGAATATTCTTAACTGAATTACAACAAGAAAACAAAATTAAAATAGCATTATTTTCATTATTTTTAGATTATTATAATTTTAACATTATTTTATATTTTTCGGGTTTGCGCGCCTAGGGTGGCTTTTTTTGGGAGGGGGCAGCTATTTTTTAGAATTAAGAGTTATTAGGTAAATTTATTTCATTACATTTTTTTTTATAATTATAATATAAACACAAATAAAAATAATTTTAAAAAGTTATAATAATATATACGATGCACTTAGTAAGAATATTACAATTATTATTAGAATTTGAAATTACTTCATGTTTAATATAATCACTGTTAGTATTAGGTATAGTTAGTACATATTAGGAACATCCGATAATGGGTATTTTCTAAACATACAACACTTATTTGTTATTTTCAGAAGATATCAATAATACTGTTCCTTTTATTATTATACCACTAACCCGCAAGTCCACATAACTGCAACGCTGTCTACGAACGGCGACCACGCGCGTTCATCGTGTTTTAATTAGTGATAATATAATGTTCAAAAATAGCAATAATATAAACCTTTTTCTCACATTTAAATTTATTTGAACGTGGACACTCGATAGTAACCTGCAGTTTATCCGTCTGGACTGGATGGCAGTTTAAAAGGTAATTAAGTACTTTAATTACTTACCTACCTATTCATTATTTTATTTAACCTTCCAGTAGGCACGGTTTTGAAAATAGTACAATTTTATACTTATGGATCTTTTTGTCTGACTTTATTTCTTTCCTTCTATAATTGAAATTTTAATTTAGATTTTATCACAAACATATTAAACAAGTATTATAGTGGTGTAGTATTGTAGATAATCACTAACTATAACACCCATCATTTCTTATTTAGATAAGTACCTACCTAATTTATTGTTTTAATTATAAACAACAGCCAATAGGTGACGCATCCAGTCAATTATTTACTTTATTTTTATACATAAATTTTGTATTCTGAATGAAGCGAGGAATGTATTGGTTTTACAATGATGTTTATTTATTTTTTTGATGTGAACACTTTTTTTACCAGAAATCATACTCCGATTATTAAGTATAGCACCATTTCTGAAAGGAAATGTTCTCTAGGTGGTAATTTAAAGAGGTTATTTTTTGAAATCCTCATTAATATTCGATATAATGAGGAAAACCTCGGTCTTAGGTTAAAAAGATTGAAAGATTAAAAATAAGATTGTCATTGGCAACCCCGTTTTTATTTATTTTTTGTTATTATAAAATTTTTTTTAAACAATCATTGCTGTCATGGTAACGCACATTGTAATCATTTTACCATAATATGACATATATATATATATATAATGTTGACAAAGCAACAGTATCAGCTGAACTCAGCTCAGAATCGTTTTTTCATTTGCAATGGTTTATCGTTGCTATACATTAAATTCCCGTCTGTAACCTATCATAATACAAATTTGTCAATTATATTATATACATTATCAATCATAACGCGTGTACTTGTCGGTACACCAACTCGATGAGTTTTTCGGCATCCATTGTTAAAATGGTTAAAGTTAAATATTAAAGTGATTATTAAATATTTAAGTTAAACAATTTAAATTTAACTTACGACACAAAGCTTTTTCGAAATTTGTACGAATGACGAATGAAAAACACGAACACGGCCCGGTTTATCGTTCACACTAGCCGCGACGTGTCCGGGAACCCGGAGAGCGCATTGTTTAAAACAATATTTTTTTTCGACCCGGATCCGGCACGAACGCCAGGTCCGGACAAATGTGAATTGTCAAATATAAAATCAGTAAGAAAATAATTTTCTAAAACCCGGACGGGCTCCGGCCCGAACCAGTGTTAATCGACCTTTATTATTATGGCATACACCATACAACATGTCTCTTTCTTATCGCTAATTTTACTATCAGCATTGGGACCCGACGTTCGTTCGACGAAAACTGTTTTTTGTAATTTACAACTTTGGTTCCAAATTTTAAAAATACCAGTAATTGTTATTATATTTGTTTCATAAAATTAAAGTAATCATATGGAAATAACCGGATTAAAACGGGACCATCTTCTAAAAACGGCATAAAAAGTGTCCCGTTTGAAGTTTGTCGGGATAACAAGACATGATGATCAAAAAAGAGACATTCCCGTTTTAAGCGAGATGTCTGGTCACCCTGACGTAAGGGTATATTAGAACACAATATAGTCTTACACAAATCTTTTGAAAGTATAGACTTTAGAATTACTTGCTGTAAAAACTGTTATTTTTTTTAAATTTGAATTTTTTGACGATTCACCAATCCCTCATGTTTACTTGTTTTTAAATGTTGTGTAATCGTACGTTAACCTTTTACTACTATTAACTGTGGTCTCACAAATTTTACAAAATAAAATATTGCTGTACTGTACCTACTTACCGTTTACCATCGATACCGGGTTTCGACATCAACATGGCTCCTTTTGATCGCAACAACACTTAATAGATTTGTAATATGTAAAATTGACGCTTTCTCTACGGTAGAAAAAAAAACGAATAGTCAGACAACAGAAAACAAAAACCTAATCATTATACATAACGCACAGCGGGTACTCCATAGATACGCGAAAACACCGCCTCTCGTAAAAAATGGAAATAAACGTAGTACCTATGACATGATAATGACATTTTTACAATCGTCATACCTTAAGAGATATCTTCTATGGTTACTATAGTTATTGATGGCATGATCACCTAAAGATGTTTAAGAGGACGTGTCATCTCCCATATAAATACTTGAAAATTTAATTTAATTGAACGCTATACCAGCATGTGCTGTTTCAGTCCAACTAACAGGCGATATATCAAAATCTACCTTACGCTGTTTATGTAGAACTCATTGGTTTTAGAATAAAAGTACCTATAATAAAATTAAAAGAGAACAATATTCCGGAAGGCAAAACAATGCGTTTTTCCTATTCTAATATTATTATGTTCAATACATTGTTTAAGAAGAAAACTTAATTCATTATTTTAAAATGACTGAAACATATTAAAAAGAAATTTAAACAAAAAACACATTGTCTTGCCCTCCAGAATATTGTTTTATTTTAATTTTATTATAGGTGTTTTTACTCTAAAACCAATGAGTTCTACGCAGATTGCCTAAGGTAGATTTTACTATATCGCCTGTTAGTTGGAGTGAGACAGCACATTCAGTATAGCTTCTTCTTAAGTTTCATTATAAGTTTAACTTAGTGACAAAAAAAAATAATCTAAATAAGTAATCTTTTTATGAACGTTTTAAATTCATATTTTGTTAAGTTGTCAATATTATGGCATTTCTAAACATGTTTAACCAAACTTTGTTCAGAATCATGTCCAGTTATCAATGGTTTATAATTTTTCACAAATATAAATTGTATTTAATTTATGTATCCTACCTTCCCAACTTCCCTCCTAAAAAAGACACATCGAGCAGTAGTTTTAGCTTTTTTATTTTATTTGTCACCTCTTTATTACACCACATAAATCTTGTACAGCAAATGTTTCCAATTATTTTTTTTTACATCTGATAAATAATTTGTTTTTATTTTGACAACATTTAAGCTCTAATGTTTAGGTTAGTTAGGTATTTGAATAAAAGTGGATGGATAATAATAAAAACAATTGTATTCATTGATGTTTAAATATTTATATTTTAACTAGCTATTTAATTTTTAAAAGTAGAAAAATCACAATACATAAATACAGGTTCTTTTTAAATACTTTAAAGTAAAGAAAAGTTTGTTTTTAATAAACTGAAAGTAAAATTAATAACACAGTTAAGAATAAATATGGATAATTATTTTACACTTAAAAATATATATACACCAATGTTTATTTATTGTGTATTTTTAAAAAAAAAATAATAATATTTAAACAATGCTTTAATTGTCATAGCAAACCGATTGACAATATTTTAAAATAATTTTGTAAAGCATATTATCAAGACTAGCTAATATTTGGTAGGTTTATTATTAATTAAATAATTAAATTTACAAAACTGACAATGGAATGCAATAACTAAAAAAAAGAGAAAAATTTAGCATAACAATTGATATTATGCTACATTTATACATATTTAAATATAAATAAGATATTTACTTAATGTTTCCTATTCTAAGTTTTAAGTACAAATAATTAGTATTTTCAAAAAAATTCTAGTTAAAAAAACACTATTCAAATTTTTTACTAACTGCTAATATTATAAACTTGAAATAATAATATTAAATGTAATAATGTAATAATTTTTAATGGGTAATATCAGTCCATAAACTTAGGAGGTTTTAAAGTTTTATACATCAATAGCATAATTATTGTCCTTGATACTGAGTAGCAGAATATTGTTGATTAGGAGTTGAATTAGTTGGATAATATATTGAATGAACAGTTGCATTCCCAGTAGGCTTCATTTGAGCTGTAATTTGAGAATAACCCGAAGCTGGTATTTGTGTTGAGTACAGATAAGAATATTGAGCTGGATATGAAGCTCTCATTGCTGGTTGCGGGTAAGGATTTACCCACTTACCTTGAGCTCCTATAATATATAAATTTGTTTTTAAAATATTCTGTATAAACTATCACAAATTTAATAAAATTTCAAATTTATACATACCTTGTGGTATTTGTCCTCCAGGGTATGGAATCTGCTGATTCAGAGTGCCTTGAGATTGCCCATTGTACACATGTTGAGATATTTGAGCTTGTTGAACAGGTGGTGTTTGCCTAAGGGGCTGAGGAGATGCAGCTAAATTTTCTTGAGATAACTCAGCTAAAAAATAAAAAAATTTAATGTTTAATACTCATTCTAAAAATAAAGCAAAGCCATGATTATCATTAAATGTATAACTTAATTAGGTTACATCATTTTCTAATGGATCAGTGTACCCCATTTTTTTTTTCAGAAGCACTTGGCCACAAAGTCATTATACATATTTGTTAAAAATGTAAATGTTTCTTTATATTATTGTTTTCTCTTATTTTATGCATTGACGTTATATTTAACCAACCTAATGTATAATATTTCACAGTCATGGTCAAATCAAGTTGGTCATATTATCAATTATTATTAAACATTATTTAAAACAATATGTTTCATTTTTTCATCAGAAAACTAACCCAAATGGTGTGGCTAATTTACTACATTCAATTAAATCACAGCTTTATTCTGAATTGTAGTAACATTTATTTAGATAAATAAGTATTGTTTTAAGAAGCAAATAAATATAATAAATTGGAACTAGGAAGTTGTAGAATTTATATGGTTTTTTCTGAGCTTCTATTTTCTGGCAAGCAGAAATTAATGCTAGCCACAAACCCTCAAGTTTAAATATAAATTTTGCTAAATTTACCTCCTATACATCTAAGCTCTAAATTATAGCTCTAGAGCATTAATGCATAATATATATATATAGGTACTTGACAAATATGTTAACAATAATAGTTTGGTTATTATTCTTATAAGTTTCATTGGTTAATTAAGAACTTAATATTAGGCAATAAAAAAATAACTTACATTTAAGTTGTTGTGTAGTTTGAGGAGTTTTTGATCGTTCTTCTTTAGAATTACGCAATGGATCAAATTCTTTAGTAACCCCATTGTCTGCGAGTACTTCTGCTGATGTAATACTCGGTGGCAATTGATCTTGTTCTAATAAAATTATTGAAAAGTTAGTTATATAAATGGTAGATTTATAAGTTGCATTTATTATTATTACGTATAGTATTTGACATATTGTTTCCTTCATTAGTATCTTCAATTGTGTCCAATAGCCATGTTACAGAATTTCTTATCTCTCGTATTTGTTTCTTAAGTTCTTCAACGTTTAATTTGGGCTTTAATAATGCTTGATTATTCAAATTATTCATGAACACTTGTAATTTTAACACTCTGCTTGTTTGCAAAGCAAAAGATAAGTCTTGGCTATCAAATACAGTAATCAAATCTCCATCTAATATTTTTAATAAAATTAACACAATTACAAATAATTAAAATAATATTTAAAATATATTTTAATAAAATAGCATTTTAAGAAGTAACATTAAACACACAAATGTGTGTACTCTCAAATTATTAGAATTCAATTATATTTGTCTTTAAGAAAATACAATGTTAAGGCAATTAAGTAGATCAGGTAACTTAGAATTTTTAATATTAAATTCAGTTCCTAAAGTGATAAAAACAAATACAAAAATAGTTTTATGTAATATAAAAATGTTAAAATTAAAATTCAGCAACCTATCCTAATACGATTTAATTATTATTAAAATTAAAATTAATATGAATATATATAACAAAATTATTGTGTATCAATATGTATTAAATTAAGATATACTACCTTCATCTTTGTATTTGATTGTGAGATCATCAATAGCTGTTAATTTCCCATTAAATATCCGTTGCATCATAAGTAATAGTTCATCATATGTTATAGACTCATTGTGTATCAACACTTTTCTAATGTCATCGCCTAATTGAACCTGAAAAAATATATTAAAAAATAATAAAATTATTATGATTTATACACAAATTTGAAAGACTAAACATAATATATTTTTGACATATATTGGAGCCGAACAACAATATTTTGTTTTGATTTACATAATTGAAATACAGTATTTTCTTTTTATAAAAATTAAAAAGTTAAAAAAAAATTCTCATACAATAATTGTAGTCGTGATAAGATATGTAATTTTTAAAATGGTTTCATGTTCTTAAAACAATAATAATTTGTGATATTCTTTTATTATTTGTTATACTACTCATACTTTTGATCGGGGTTTAAAGTTTTAAATATTTTGTTTTATATAATCCTCTAAATCATATTAAAACCAATATAATTAAACAAAAATTAGTTTAAAACATGTTGTTTGCATTCTGTATAAAACTTTTTTCAAACAATTATTTCCCTTTATAGCTTTTTTAAATTTACGTTTGATCCTTGAATTATAAAAAAATTGTATTGATTCATAAAAGTTTTGTTTTGATTGTATAATGATAATTTTAGTTTATTCTTTTTAAAATTATTTGTTAAACGATTAACAAAGATGAACTAATGATATATTTTTAAATGCATGTGCATTACACTAGAATATATTAAGTCAATTAAAAATTTGACTTTTATAATTTTATATTTAGTATTCCTTTTTTTAATCTCGAAAACTATGAAAAATAGTTAATTTAAAATTAATAATTGGATTAAAATATAAAACACATCTTTAAGTAAATAATATTAAGTTTTTTTGTTAAACATCGATTTATATCTAAAAGAATCAGAATATTTGCAGTTTAACAATCAAGCAATTTGTCTAAATGTATATATATATATATTTTTTAAAACAGTTTAAACATGATAGCATAAATGAAAATTGGTGCTGATCATTAGTTTCAAAGTTATGGTTATTTAAAGTTTGTTGTTTTTATGGATATTATATGTTATATTAAATACTCTGGCTTAGATAACAAAAACCTCAGAATAATCTCTAACCTATATCGGAACCAAACTGCATGCATGAAACTATATGAGGAACAAACAGAAAAGGCCAAGATATCAGGAGGGGTCAAACAAAGTTGCATCCTTTTGCCTGAAAAAAGAATTAGAAATTATGTACATCATTAAGCACAGGAAACTCCAAATACCTGGAACATGTCACTCAGCATCGATATACTTTACTCCAATCCATAATACAAGGAAAAATCATTGGAAAAAGAAGAATCTCATGGTTACAAAATTTTAAAACTTGGTTTGGGAAAGCCTTTGTAGAATTTTTTTCAAGCTGCTACAAACAAAATCGTAATTGCCAATATGGTTACCAGTATCCAAAACACACTTTAAAAATATTAAATGCTCAATATTGTGTTTCTTTGACATTGGTTGTTGTAACCTATGTTTTTTGACTTTGTCGTATTACCTATCCAAAATGATTTTGCACAACAAATTGAGAGTTATTTTCAACTAAAACAGTAATAAATGTATTAAAACAATTTTAAAGTGTTATTATTGTTTGGGTACCAATTAAAATATTGAAAAAATGGGAAAAAAATAGTAATCAAGGATAAGGGTTAGTACTCTGGTTTTTTTAGAAAAGTATTAGGTACGCATCACCACTAGGCTAAGATATAGGCATATGGGTGAATATCAATGTAGTTTTAGGAAGGGAAGATCAACTATTGAACAAATTGTAGTTATAGGTCAAATCATAGAAAATAAAATATGAATTCTGACAAAATCTTTGGCAAATATGTGTAAACTTTAAAAAGCCTATGACTAGCAAACATTGAGGGCCTATACAATATAATGACTGAAGTTGGAGTCCCAAAGAAACTAATAAAACTGATCAAGATGTGTATTGAAGAAACCCAATATCAAATCAAGACAGATTAAACTACCTCCAAAACTTTTACATACAAAGAATAACTAGTTACGAGAGATTAAAGAGAGAATAGTAAAAGCAGAGTTCTTTGCATTGTCAAAATTCTTCAGATCAAAAATATTGTCAAAGAAAACAAAATTTAGACTTTACACTGTAAAAGTGAGAGCTACATTGAAGTATGGACGACAAAAATAATAGAGAAATATAAATCACGATTGGGAAGTAGTGTAAAGTTGTGATGACAGCAAAAATGTTTGTTGAGTAAATCAAACCAGTAAAAAAAAATAATAATTTAGATCATACTGCTTGCTTTTTAATTAATTTTATGGTTAATTGAATGAAAAACAATGTTCATTAAATTAAGATCAAATTATCAACTATAGAAAAAATAGATTGTCTCTCTACTAATGGAGTAGCTTTTTATTTAGTTGTTCTATTCCAATTTCCATTTGAGTATTTTTGATGCTATTCGATTGATTAAAGAATACATAGATAGTATTTAATTAAATATATTTATTTTTTTTTATTAGCAACATTATTATTATTATTGAACATTAATAGTGAATTATTTCTTTTAAATTAAATAAATACTTATTTCTCTTTTAATAAACATACTTTAATTATAAGTTTGCCAGTTAAGTCTATGGGTTGAAAAGTGGACTTGTCTGAACCCATATTATTAGACATGACTCAAACACCGTCTATATTCAAATGCCTAAAAATGTTTATAAAAATCAACATTAATAATTTTATCTAATCAAAAAAATGAAATTTTATAACTAAAACAATAAAGTACTTATTTGTTAAAAAAAAATTGAGTCAACAAATACTTACCTATATAAGCACAAAGTCAATAAGAAGCCTAAATAATTTATAAAGGTGAAAAAATTGTATCAAAGTTATTTACTATGGATAATATTATTTAAATCATAAATCTAAATTAAATAAAGTATAAAATAAACAAGCAATCATTAAGGAATTATAAATTATAAAGGAAATGAGAATAAAATAAATATTAAAAAATAATCAAGCAGATGATATTTTACAGGCAGTCATTATTAAAATATAAGTTTGGTCACACTGGTCAACAAGTTATACTTGTTTTTCCATGACACTTTGATAATAACTGCGCATATTATGCGAAAAGTTATGTAGGATGCATAGATAATATAATTCTATTCTTAAATTATCTATGGATGAAAAAATAGAGAAGACAAACAAAACGATGGTTGGAATGGTTGAGTACGATTAAGAATATGGGCGCTCACATCGGAGAGGTTCACCCAACTATTTCAGTTAATGTTATTTATTAATTGTTTTATCACTTGTAAAAAAAAATAATATGCTGCATTATCAGAGAATATACTATAGAGTAATATATTAAAATATACGTATTGTCATTGAACAATATAACGGTTAGGTTATCTTAAATTGTGAACTCATTGGAACAGTATATAATAATATAGTATAATATATTTTTATCGATATTTGTGGGTAAAACTGGTAAAATCATTTATATATAATATGCATTATCTATGGCAGCCATGGAAGTATAATTTATGTACCTCCATACAAAAACATAAATCTCGTCTTAAATATATGCTGTAATGTTTAATTTAATGATTAGCTTTAATGTACGTCATTCATAATGATGTACTTAAGAACTAAAAAGCTGTCCTAAGATAATGGGGACGGGTGCAGTTTCTGTTATAATTAATTTAATATATATTTGTTAGCAAAAATAACCATTGCTAAAATGATTCTGAGCAGAATTCGGTTGATAGTGTTAGTTTGTCAACAATATATATATATATATATATGTCATATGGTAAAATAATTACATATGCCTACATTATATATTTTCTTGAATAATATTTGTTTAATATTGTACTAATTTTCCAGTTTTTCTTAAATGTTCCAATGTTTTTCCTCCGTTTTTCTAATTCATTGGGAAATGCAAAAGATAACTTTCCTAAAGTACCTACCTTCCCAACTTATACTTCGTTTTAGAAAAAGTGCTATTATCGTAAATCGATGCAAAATTGCTGATTGATAAGTCGTTCACAGGAAAAGAAAGGCAGTAATATTTTACTACATTCGTATATTTTCCCGTGTTTCCAATATATTGAGAAAACTCTTGAGAAAATCGAAAAATGATCTTCTTAGAGTAACAATCAATTCAGATTTCCCTTCACAAAAAATGTTATGTACACCAGGTAAATCGGAGCAATATATCTGGTAGAAAAGTTGTTCACAGATAAAATAAATACAACAAAATATGAGTAATCTAATATCGAAACTCATTAATTTTGGCCGATTTCCTTGAAAAAGCTTGATGTATTGATTAGAAATTGGGTTTTTTTTTTAGGATCCGCCTGTTAAAATACTAATTCCCGTAATCGAGTTGGGTAGAGTAGACGATTTTACTCTTTTTTCACGATTTTTATTTATTACATCCCCTCCTATTGAAAATGTTTGGGCACGCCACTGTGTGTACGATATTCAGTATTCGTTATTCGGTAATTGTCATTCGCCACCTTTCCGCGGATTGTCGGTAAAAGTGACACGAGCCAAACAGATTTTTATCAATAAAATAATATGTAAAAAAAAATGTATTACATAATTGCAAAACAATGATTTCTGAAAATAGATTGTTCGTATCAATAATATATGTAGGCACTAGATACCCGACTGACTTCTCGGAAAAGTGTCGACCTTTAAGGTACGTTTTCCCTTGCGCGATCGCGGTCGGCCATGTAAATTTATTCGCACTGCGATCAACTAGTTGTTTTGAAAATAATAAATTACTTACATAATAATTTTAAATTGATATTTAAATTTAAATCTCGTTATCTATAATTATTATTTTATAATTGAGCAGTGGGGAAGTCCACATTGATATAAGCCGCGTTATGTCAAATAATATGATAGGTACTTATTTACGATCGACGGTTCGTTGACATCGGTCGTTCAAAGGTAAACCTGAGTTCTACAATGGCTCGAATTTGATAAAGTCGAAGATGATGTTTTACCATCTCTTATTAGATTCAAAATAAAATCGGACTGATCGCGGTTAATTCTAAAAAAAATTCCATGAACTTGTAAGTACTTCGAAATTAAGCATGCTAAAATAAACATTTTGAAAAACAAAATCGCTTGGGAGTTAAATTGCATTTATGCCCAATTTAGAACTCATGGAGTAATTAATCGCCTGCACCACGGTTTCTACAGTACTGTATTCACCTACCTATATATTATTTCGAGCCAACTGTGTATCAGATGTCATGTCATTTACTTCACATATACATAATACATATATGATACATATATTATGTCTATGGTGGTATACAGTGGTGGATCCAAGATTTAATTTTAGGGGGGTGGCTATTTTCCTAGAACTAATGACCTAATTACCTATGACTATTGAATGTATAAAACTTAACTTAGGCCAAGGGAGAGCAAGGCCCCTTCCTTAAAAACGCCAATAATGATATAGTAAGTAATAAAATTTAGTCAACAATTTAGCACCTACTCACAAGGGCGGATTAGCCATTTGGGAAATTGATTTATGCAAGCTCATGGGCTCTTCTGCTTTCCCGTCACGAAAAATTTAAAATTAAATAAATATATCTAAATTAAATTCCTTTAATTAAAATTACAATTTTTTTTCTTTTGTCTTTTTTTCCTAAAAACCCTTATTATAAACCCAGCCACCCAATTTACCTATATGTGATGCCGACTAAAGGGTCGGTTGCATAATCAATGATGCTAAATTCGTTCCATTTTTTTGTTTTACCTGTTTACTACTACCTATGTATTCGTGAATCTCATCTTAAATTTTAGAACATTTTTGCTGGACTGAAACAATTTATTATTTACATAAAACCAAATAAAACGATCGTGATTTGGAAGAATTATTATGAAAAAAAATTAAAGACCGACCGGAACGCAAATTAGCATTCTATAATCTATAATCTGTGGTTCTATAGTTAGTATAGCTCAGTATCTCTGCTAACCAATTGTGCTCTCTGATTGGCTGATTTGAATCGCCGCGCAAAATAATTATCGTTATCTTATTGTGTGTCTCTTTATCTATCAAATGGCAAATACCATCATTGAACTACTCTATATGTTATCGTCGTGAACTAAGATAATATCTTAGTTGATGATTATTATCATGATCTTAGAAGAACCGTGGTTACCATCATGGCTTTAGCCTTATCATAAAGAGTTTTACCGATTCCTGCCAAGGATTTCTGATATCCATAAAATATTGATAAATGTTTGTATGTATTAATTGTCTGTATTACTTTTTATGTTCTACGCTGCCCTTTGGTAGTCTTTAAATTACAATCGTTGGTCTGAAACAAGGATTAAGATGAATTTTAATTATAATTAATATATAATTAATAATTTTCCTATAATGCTAATACAAAATTATTTCAATTTGTGTAGCTTTTAATTTAACTAATTCTTTTACTATTTCATTTTTATTGTTAATTTACCAAAATCCAATGTATAATACTTGAATACAATTTTTAAATTATTTAACTGAATTAATGCATTTTATAACATCATTATTGCTGATTATTTAATATCCATAATCTAGTAATAGGCTGTGACAGTAGGAATAATTAATTAATTATAAGAAAAATGGAATCCAATCGCGAAGAAGCTTACCGCTGCATTGAGTTAACCAAATTATACATAAAAAAGAAAAATTTGGATCAAGCTTTAAAATTTTCAATTAAAGCTAATAAATTATACCCAACCACTGAAACAAAATGTGAGTTATACATTATTTTTTTTTATTGAATTATTATTTATCACTACTACTTTTATTGTAGTTTGCAGTTAATATATATTCTAGATTTTACATTTTGAACAATTTTTAGGGATGTTAGATTTGTTAATTCTTTTGAAATGTACATAATTAATTGGTTTGCAATTTGGTATATAATAAAATAATTGTAAAATAAAATTGTAAACATATTTAGTAGGTGTATGCCTGTGTCCCATTCACTGGAATTCTCTGTTTTGCATTTATATATCTAAGCTAGTATTGTATACTAAATTAAATAAAATTGGTAATGACACAAACGTTTGTGTTTAAATTGTACTAGTTACCTACAGACATAAATACAAATATTCTTTTAGCCACACTATTTTCGTAGTAGGTTCATTAAATTTACTGATTATTTAAATTGTTTATAGAATTATGCACATTCTTACATTTTGTGTAAACACTAATTATATCAATTGACATTAATAAATACATTATTATAGGTTTAATGAAGAAATTAACTACTTCATTGAAAGAATCTAAACAACAAAAAGAATCTGCAAAAAAAAAATCAGGTAATTCAAAAGAAAAACATAATTGTTATTTATCTCATTTTAAATGTCCTTTATTTTATATGTGAAAAGATGATTCTGATTCATCTTATAATGGCGACAATTCTAGTACTTCGTCTACTAACAGTTGTGACAGTCAAAATAGAGAGCAGCCAAAAAAAAAATCAAAGCGAAGTAGTAAATCAAGTTAGTGCTACCTATGATTTATAATTATATTTATATGTTAATTATCTACTGACTACTAATATTGTCTCTCACAACAATTATCTATAATTTTAATTATTTTTTTTTATAATATTTTAATACAATTAAAATAAATAAATAAATCATTAATATGGTGGAAAATATAACTATGTTATGATTGGCACAATTAATAATGGATGTAGTGTAAAATTATACAGAGTGTCTAAAAAGGCTCACCCAATTTTTTGGTTAAATTTTACATGTATTCAAATTCTGATTTTTGGAATTTTTAAGTGTAGTTAAAGCTAATATTTACTAATACTTAAATTTTTCCCAATTATTTTGTTACCCATTGGAAAATCAAACATGATCTTGTCAATGCACTAACTATATTAAAAATGCAACAAGAAAGTAATTTTTCATTAGAACACAATTTCAAGTAGACAAAATGTTCATAGACATAATACAAAACTCGTCTTAGAAAAACCAATAAATCCTATACAATTAGAATGTTAAATAATATAATCAGTAAGTTTTATGGTAAAGGTTTGCAAATTTAAAACTTACAAATATTAAAGTTTTTAATTGTTTAATATGATAAAAAATTTCCAAAGTGTATGTATTTAATATTTATTAAAATAACATAGTAAAAATTAAATGAATCTATTTTATTTCAAAGAAATCAAATTTAAATTATTCTAAAGATTTTAGCAAAGGGTTTTATAAAAATAAGTTATATATCTTTTGGTATTTCTTAAAATTCTATTGTAATTTTTTTGTTTTTGTGGAGTTGTTAAATTTTTATATAAAAATAAATCAGTATTCTGTATTGGTAAATTTTGTAATGTAATAAATAATACAACTTATATAAAGGTTTATTTGTTTTTTTTTTTATGGTATTTCAGGTACTGCTTATTCCTTTAAGATGTTTAAAGAGATCAATAAAGATGAATCCCAAAAGTGTTTGGAAAAAGCTGAAAAATATTTACAGACAAAAGAATATGAAACAGCAGAAAAATTTGTGCTTAAATCAAAAAAGCTTTTTCCTCTCCCTGAAGCTGATGGTAAATAAAATTTAAAAAGGCTGAATCTAAATAATTATTTATGTTTGAAAAAATAAATATATCTTAATTTTTTAGTACTTCTTAAGAAGATACAAGAAATAAAAGAAATTAATAAGCCTACATATACAGAAGAACAAGCAAAGTTTGTAAAAAAGTAATTATTTTTTATTTTTTAATAGTAACTGGATAATTTATTTGAATAGTATTTAATTTATAAATCTGTATCTTATGGTAACACTGTTTTCATAGACAATCATTATGGACTAGTTTTATTGGCATATATTGTGTAGATATTGTCCAATTGTGAATTTTAATGATAACTTCATCTGATCGTTTTAATAATAAATATATAATTTATGAACCAAAATAATATTTATAATAATTGTATTTGATCTACTTATTGTATAAATATAATTTTTGTTTTCAGGGTGAAAAATAGTGAAAATTACTATAAAATGTTAGATATTAAAACTACTGCTACAGTTCCTGAAATAAAAAAAGCTTTTAAAAAATTAGCTTTGTTAATACACCCCGACAAAAATTCTGCACCAGAATCTGGAGAAGTTTTCATTGGTAAAATATTTATATTTATCCTTTTTAATATTAAAATAAAATGATTACATTTTTTTTTTTATCAGTTGTTACTAATGCTGTTGAAACATTATGTGATCATTCTAAACGTTTAATTTATGATCGAACTTTAAGGACAAGAGCTCGAACTACTCCATTGTTCAATTTGCCTTACAGGAGGAGAAGTAAGTACTATATTGTGATAACATATTTTTATAAGAAGTCATAGAACCTGCATTTTATATCTACTATCCTATGGGTGATTTAGCAAAAATTTGTTTTATACTTTTAATTTAGTACTCAGGCTTTATATGCTTGATTTTGGTGCCAAAGTAAATATGAAGAGTTGTAATGTTTCTAGAATAGTTTCTTTGAAATCTAAATGTGCTGAATTTATGAAACCTTTAAAAGTAGTAAAATTGGGGAATACATTTGTAATGCTCCAGAATTCAATTATTCAAAAGGAAAAATATCAATGGTTTCTAAAATATTTTCAGGAGTATACATTTTTTGTTAGTGTTTTACTTAAGAGGATGCCAAACATGCATTTGTTGTTTCTGTCTTACAACACACAATGCAGTAAAAATATGCTCACGCAGACAACACAAAACTCGCTTTATTTTGGTTTTAGAGTAAAAGCACCAAAAGCACCTATTATAAAATTAATAGAGAACAATATTCTGAAGAGCAAGACTGCATTTGTTTTATTAAAAGTTTAGTGAATTAAACAATTATTGAAAAGTTGCTATTTATTAAATGTAACATTTTATTCTCTAAAATATTGTTCTCTTTTAATTTTATAATAGATGATTTTACTCTAAAACCAAAATTAAAAAAATTTTGTGTAGTCTATGTAAACATGTTTTAATAATGTTCTGTGTGTGTAAGATGGAAACAACAAATGTATGTGTAGCATCCTCGTATAACGGTAATAAATGGGAGACAATTGTGTTCAAACCAAGTGTTAATTTCAGACACTTAACTTCTTTTGGTAATTCTTAGTATTATTTATACTTACAAAATATGATTATTCCAAGGTATAATTTTGCTTTATGACCATTCTTGCATTTTCTTTGGGGGTGTAAGTTACCAGGTTCCTGAAGCAGTCTTACTGCTTCTTCTTCAGTCTTAGGTAGAGACCAAATGTTAACAATATAAATATTTAAAAAAATAAAAAATTAATAACAAAATAAAATAAACAGCAAACACAACAAATGTGATCACTACTGTTACTGTTTCGCAGTCTACTTTTATGAAAAGGTAATATAAAGGAAGTACCACATTACAAAAAAGGAATGATATAGGAGGTAATAATAGATAATTGTGAATTGTGATGCTAGAAGTAGTAATGGCGATAACAGAGGTAGTTTTGGGTGGAATTCGCGATAATAGTCGTAGTCTCGTATAACAGGAAAGTTAGTTTTAATTATAATTTTTATTAATTTGATTGTATTATGTTTTTTAGTGCGGCGAACTAATAGATCATGGCATTTGTATAGATATGATAATATGGAAAACTCTTATACGTCCTACCAAAGCTCACCAAGTTCATCTGACTCTAATGAATTCAGTGATCAACAAGAATATTATGATAGCTATGACTATTATAATTCATTCAGTACATTTTAATAACTATTTGTATTTATTTTTTTTTTTTTATACATACTTTTGATTCTGAACTATCTTTTGTAATTTAATATATTGTATTACATATTTATGTATCAGAATATCATGAATATTGTTTTTTAGACAATTTTCAACTTAAGATTTCATATTGGTGTATTTTTTAAGTTTATGATTCGTATATCAAACTTAAATTTAATAATGTAGGTAGCTCTTAATTTATTTAATTATATTGATATTTAATTTTACAATTATTAACAATAAGTATTAGAACTGAACGAGTGCATCTCATTATATTTTTATTATTGAGTACAAAAGTTAATATAGTATCATTGACCCCACTCCCTTTAACACTGATAATGCCAGCAGTACACATACGTCAAGATTGTCTCGGTAAAAACTTTAAGCAAATTGATGTAGTCTAATTGTATGCTGTACACTCTTGGCTTGAAGCACAATTTTGCACTCACATTTTTTGTTCACTTTTGACGAACATGGATGCGGTTAAGGTAGCCATGAGTGAGTTTTTTTTTAAGTCTAGTATAGGTCACTCATTGTGATTTAATCGAATCCATGTATCATTTATTTAAATTTATTCTAATGATATGCACTCATAAGTTTCTATGTAACTGGTTCGTTTTGATATAGCTCTAAAAATGTTAATATCAATTTGTTTGTCCAATCACACATGATTATTAAACATTAATTAATAATATGTGTACTGCCGGCATAACATTATGTAATATATTATGTTTATCAAACATAAAACAGTAATGCAACAAAACTTAAGTACACCATTCTGTACAATTATTATTATACAAAATACCTAATATTGTATTGGATTTAGGAAATAATCACATTGCATGTTATCATACATTTGTTGCCCTTGGCATCTGTAATAAAATTATTATTTTTAAATTTGTTACAATTTTTGTGTATTTTGAATGCATATTCTACATTTTTGATATTATCTAATATTAACATATTTGTTTAACTTTAAACATGTTGATCAGTCCCGATTAGTAGAATAAATCACACAAATTGTAATCCATTTTTATTATTAAAAATAATTTAAGATATTGTTAATAATTATTAAAAATCAGCGTTAACTTATAATTTTCTAGTTGTTAATTAATATTCAGGTGCTGGGAAAATTTCCATTAATTCAATATGTACTTTTTGAAAATCTATTTCAGTTAAAACAGTGTGTTAAGAAGATAATGTTTCCTACTCTACAATAATAACACTTATATCTACATTGTTAGACAAATTAAAGAATGCTGAACTATCAGTCAAATATTATAAATAAGTAAATTGTAGGTAACATATGTGTGCATTAGTTTTTATTTTTTATGAATATTAATTCAGAATAACTATATATTTAAAAATTATCTACTTCACCATGTTTAAATATTGATGTTTTCCTATTTATTATAACTTAACATTACTGACTTTACATGTAATGTTGACAACACATCACCACACATTCACTTGTTGAATAAAAATTAATTAGACAAATTAACATTTGATTATAAATTCTAGCCAATGTAAAACAAATTTTAACTTAATTAGAGTTAAATTTGTTTTGCTTGTAATTAAAACTTGACCCTATTTAGTCATGTAAACAAAAATGTTTACATTAATTTTAATATTGAGATTGGTAGTGAAATACAGAGATTATGTGGTTGTAACCCTTCCTGATTTTTTTTTCTTCAACAGTATTTTAAGTAACGTTTGTACTTACTTATTTAATTATTATTTTTAACACAGTTCCAGAAAGTATGCATACATAATTACAAGTTATTTAAATAAAGTCACATTATATTTTGTGAACAAAAAAGTTTGAATTCCAGTGGGATCATGAGAGATAAAAAACTGAAGAATACTTCACCCAGTATCGAACACTTGATTTTAAATTTGAAAACATTTGAATTTGTCAGTTTCTTGTCTAAGTTTTGTAGGAAATTAATTTTCAATTTTTTGTTTTGTTGGTTGACATAATGTATTTCCCCATATTTCAAAAATAAACTTTTACTATAGTGTTACTAAAAAAAATAAAATAAAAAAATTAATTGCCTACAAAACAAAAACAAATTAAAATGTTTTTAAAATTAAAATTGGACTTCTGGAAGTATGTTATTTTTTCTTTTGCTTATTGGTTTAAATGCACAAAAATATTACCACAACTGCCTTAAACATTATTCAACTAGAATAATCAGTAATTTTTGGTACATATTTATAACCATTGTAAAATTTTGCAAAATAAATTAAATATTTTGTTTATTATTATTATTTGATTTAACCAAGTGAAGACATTATTGAAATTTATTTTATAACTGAAAAATTTTGATTATACAAATAAAGCTGTGAACAAATTAAGCATACAATCCGGAGTTCTTAATCATTATCATTATCTACAGCACTCGTGTATCAAATCATTAAAATTCTCCTCATAGTAGCCAAACTAGAAGTACATTTAATAATTACATTATTCTATTAATTAAATCCATAGCAGCAACTTATATAAACTTAAAAATTAACAATAATTTTTAAATCATAAAATAAACCTCCTTCAATGAGAATGTAGTACAATATACTCACTATTTGTAAAGGTCAATAATATCTAATTTGTGATATAATATTGTTATTATGCATATTTATATATTTTGTTTAAAATAATAAAACAATAGACTAATAGACGAATAGACTTTAAGCAGAGTATAAGTATTCTATATTTACCTTTAATAACTTTGTTTTATTGCCTTTGTTGATAATGAGAAGGCATTCAATAGTGTTAACTGGAAATTAATGTTAAAAATGCTATAAAGAGTTGAAGTTGCAATTACGGAAAAAAAACTACTCTTTCAATTTTATAAAAATGAAATAGCAATCATAAAAATAGGAGGTATTCAAAAAGAGTCCAAACAAAGAAAGGTATTGGACAGAGATGTACATTATCACCTTTAATATCTTTTAATTTCATGTTTACATTCAAGAGGCCATAGACACTATAAGAAAGAACACAGCTAGGAATAAAGGTAAATGGTTACAAATAATGAGACATACTGAGATTCGCAAACAACATTGCAATAATAGTGGAGAATGAAAAAGATTTTAAGAACATTGGAACAGGTAATTGAAAAGAATTTACATATGAAAATTAACGCAAAGAAGACGAAAGTCCTAGTATGTAGTAGACAATAACATTAGAACAAGAATAAAATTAAAGGATGATGAAACTATAGAACAAGTAGAAGATTTCATATATTTGGGTAGCACTATAAGCTCGGATGGGAAATACAAAAAGGAAATTATAAAATGAATATGCCAAGCTAAGGTACCATTCAATAAACATTGATCTTAATATCAGAAAAAAAATGTCTAAAACATACTTATGGAGCATTTGTTATATGGATATAAAACATGGACTATTGCAAAAGAACAAATGAGAATAATAGAAGCATTCGAAGGAGAACGGAAAAGATAAGTTGGACTTATAGAATTACTAATGAAGAAGTATTAGAAAAGTTATCTGAGAGGAAATCAATATACAGAAAAGGTGAAATTAATTAATAGGTCATATGTTAAGACATAATGGGTTGAAATTACACATTTTAGAAGGAATAATCAATTAAAAAAATCATAGGAGAAAACCAAGATTGCAATACATATGTCAAATAATAGAAAATTATGAATGTAATTCACACCAAGAGTTGAAGAGGAAGGTTAGTGATAGAAAAACATGAAAATTGCTGCAAACTAATCATTTGATTGAATACTGCAGAAGAAGAATAACTCTATAATCGAGACTTTGTATATTAGCAGTGAAGCAACCAGGATTTATTTTCGGTGGGAGTTTTATGAATTTGAAAAAAAAAATCAATTTCGGATAGTGTTTGGTGGGGTGGAGAGAGTAAGCTATAATTAGAGTTATGAGTGAAATCTTTAAATTGTTTAACTTTCTTTTATAGACAACACATATTGAAAAATTATTTAAATACATATTAGTTATGTATTTAAAATGTATTCTTTACTTATAAGTACATGGTAGGCCATTTTAAACTTCGGGATGTTTTTTGGTAATAATTTAAAAAAAAAAAAACAAATTATTAATTTTTTATAATTATTTGTTTATTTTAAATACGGAAATTTGTTCCGATTACTTTTTAAAAATAATATCGCATAAATGGTCGCCTTAAGAGTGAATGGTGTAATGTGATCGTTTTTTGGCATTTCCCATCACTTCTCGAAGTTTGTCCGACTGAATAGCAGCCATTTCCTGTCATATATTATCTTTTTTCAACGCTTCTAGGGTCCGTGGTTAGTTTCAGGCTAGGTAAAATCTAAATTTTAAATAACCCCACAGGAAAAAGTCTGAAGGCGTTAAGTTGGATGTTCGGGGAGGCCAATCGAAATCATCATTTTTTTTTTTAAAATTGAGCGTCCAAAGAACAGAGAACACAACAAAGTGATCATTGTTTCAGCTTTATGAGCTGTGGCGTCGTCTTGTTGAAATCAATAGTCGTCCATGCTGTTACCAATCAGAAATGGAATCAAAATATTTGTTATCATGGCCCGATAATGCTGTCTATTGATGGATACGGCTGCTCCAGCATCTTCTTCGATAAAGAACAGTTCAATGATTGTTTTCGCAAAAATTCTGGCTCAAAAAGTCACGTGTTGATTGTTAAGAGGTTCGTGAATTAATTGAGGGTTTTCTTTGGCGTAAAACCAACAATTTTGTTTATTTACGGCCCCATTCAACCTTAAACACTTCGAAAAGTGGTGGGAAATGCCGAAAAACGAGCACATTATGCCGATCGCTCTGAAAGCGATTATTTAGGCGATATTATTTTTAAAAAGAAATCAGAACAAATTTGCAAAATAAACGAAAAATTATTCAAAATTTATAATTTTAAATTTTATAATTATAAATTATTACTAAAATATATTCCGAAGGTTTAAATGGCCCACCCTGTATAATAATAATAATAATTTATAGTCTTAAGATTAATTCTTCGATTATAGTGCCTCAACATTAGGCACTGAATCGGCCATTCCATTAGGTTTCTGCTGTCCTGTAGTGTTTTTTTAAATATGTTTTTATCCTCCTAAGTGTAGAAAATAATCTTTATGTTGATAGTTGTTATCATTTATTCATACACGATGCTACATTATGTTTCAAATTGGTATGAAAATCATACAACTACGTAACATTCGTAAAAAACTAAGAACATATTTTGGTGGTGAGAGGGGTCATACCCCCCCCCCCCTAGTTACGTCACTGATATAATCTGATAGGTACTTACTATAATATTGTTAATAATATTATAATTAATCTTCTGTGTTCAATACACTTTAATCGAGTTGTACTAAACACGTATATTATTTTAAAATATTTAAATAATTTTTTTTTTTTTATTAAAAAAAAATATATGACATTTACAATCTGTAAAACAAATACAATAAGCAAATATGAGAACAATTTATGATGGGAAGGGACAATGAGAAGGGAAGCTATCCAGTGATAGGATCCTATGACGTTGCTCTTTTATTAAATAATTAAAAAGATCATTTAAAATAGGTAGGTACACATTTAGTAGGTACCTAAGTACCTTTAAATATTGTTAGTACTTACTACTCAGTAACAAATTATGTATTACACTATTACCTATTAAAATAATAACTTATGATTTTATCATTGAATAATAATATATTTCAGTAGAGCTAACCAATGCACCAAATATTTCACGATATTTTTTTTTTTTAAAAGTATGTACCTTGTAAAATAGAAACCATTTGAGCTTCAATATACAGACGAAAGGGCCCATAAATAATATAATAATTTAGAATATATTAATATAATTAATATATTACATTAATTAATTAGAATATATATATATTCTTAGATTATCTATGGAAGGGCCCCGGAGACCGGAATAATACAAATATGAATGGATTATTTTTTTAATATTATTTAATTCAGACCACGATTTATAATACACCTTAAACCAAATTTAATACCTAACCGTGTATCTTAAGCCGTGATTCAGACAATCAGACCTTATAACAAAATGATAACCACACCTTGCCAACATGACGGGTCCAGATTCTGCGCTTACATCATGATAAACATATTCAGAATATGAAGAATTTCTTAATATGTTTATGGCCTGCACTGATCTATAGAATTATACTAGACATATATATATATATAAACATAGATAAATAGAAATATATATTTTTTATATATCTGTGCATATAATAAAGTAGATACATTTTTTACTGTCAATGGTGGTTTAATAGTTGTACTTGTACAATTATCAGTGAATTGTTGGAGTGTCAGACAGTAGACACCACGATTTAAGATATATCTAAATCCGTGGTAGATACTGCCAGTGTGCCATCCGAATGGACTAGAGTAACTAGTGCAGAATAAAACCCATGTTTATCGACTGTCAAACAGCTGTTTTGAATTTTAATCAATTCTGTATATCATTTTTATGATAACTAATGAAGTTGCTGTATGAAAAAAATAATAGTATTTATGCAATACTTTACTCAAATGATAAACCTCTTTTTACTTCTAGTTATTCACGAAAGTTATTATTTAACAGATAATTAATTTTTTAAACTATTGTATTAACTACAGTCAAATGGTATATGCCATATATTTTGATTTTTAACTGTGTAGTTTACTTATACCATAATTACTGAGAAAGTGTTTGGTTTACACATTGTAGAGTCCTATTTATGAACCCTAAGTCTAATTACTAATATTGGAATCAAAATCAGTTTGCAAACAAATTAAACTATGGAAGTAAACAAAGATGAAGCTTATCGGTGTTTAGACCGTGCCCAATTCTATCTTGGTGAAGGTGATTTGGAAAAAGCTGAAAAGTTTATAAATAAAAGCAAAAAACTTTTCCCCACAATTGAAGCGGATGGTAATCATAATTATTTATTATATTTTTTAAAATTATTATTTTGTTTTTATGAATATATTTTTGTGTAGATCTATTAAAAAAATTAAAAAGTTCAAAAAACCGTTCATCAAATTTGAAGGCTGATGGACAAAATACTAAAAAACGCAGAGATACTCCACCAGGTATTATGTACCTATTTTAATTTTAATTTATTTATTAAAAAATACTTATTTTATTTACAGGTAGCCCTAGGTCTGGAAAAGATAATCAACCGACATACACTAAAGCGCAATTGGATACTGTTAAAAGGTAGTAGGATATAAACACAGAATTCTATATTTCCTAATGGACTTTCTTAATATCTGTATTTCTAGAGTTAACACGTGCAAAGATTTTTATGAAGTACTTAACATAAAAAAAGATGCTACTGATACTGATATAAAAAAATCATATAAAAAATTAGCCCTGTTATTGCATCCTGACAAAAATCATGCACCAGGAGCAGCTGAAGCTTTTAAAAGTACGGAATTTATGGTTATTAATTTTATAAATATATCTTTGGTTATATTACTTATTAATGTTGTTCACCATTAGCTGTTGGTAATGCCGTTGCTACATTGACTGATGCAGAAAAACGAAAACGTTATGATATGATTGGTCCTGAAATGTCTTCATCATCAGACAATACATCCAGAAATTATGACCAAGGATTTGAATGTAAATTGATGTTTTAAATGGACTTTTTATTCAACATAAATGATAAGCATTAAAATATTTTTTTTATAGCGGATATAACTGCTGAACAATTGTTTAATATGTTCTTCAATGGTGCTTTTCCAACAAGGCAAGGGCCTATGCATAATCCATATTATAGTCGATCACATACAAGACGTTGGCCACCTGAGTCTAACAATGACAATCATCACCAACAACAGGTATTTTTATAATCTTTTTTTAGTATTATTACAAAGAATTTTATATTAATTTAAAAAAAATTAAAACTAAACTTAAAACTTGTTTTTACTATAACTATACGTAATGTAAAATTGAATAGTTATTTATGTACTATTGCTTTAAGATTGCTTTAAGTAAATTATGAAACTTGATAGTTTCAATAGTTCTAGAAATTTAATACCAATAATTAATTATTTATTTAACAATATGAGATAGTCAAGAAGATAGGTAAATGAAATGTAGAAGGAAGAATTAGGACAAAAAAAAAGTGGATAGAGATACTAGGGCATGTGAATTATATGGAGTAAACTTCATCGTAGAGGATGAGAATAGTGGCTGATTCCACTTTTATGAGATAACATTTTAAAAACTAAATTTTAATACCATGATTACAGGATATTAAACTAAGAAATTGACAAAAAAATTACCCCAATGCACTTATCTAAAATTGCAACATGCAAATTAAAAGAAGGTTTATTAAAATTGCTTCCTTATTTTGGAATAAATTTAGTGTATGACCCAAGCTCATTTTTCAATTTTTTTTTTTTTCAAAATATGTGTTTTAAACTAGATTTATATCCTTATTTTATTTGAAATATCAAATCAACAGGTATTAATGAATTATACAATGTACCATCCAAGAATATTTACTTTATTATTTCTGGTCTATATTTCAATGCACTAAATAAAAAAATATATGTTTATAACTTTGTATGGTAACATATTATATTACATTTTTTTTTTTGTTTTAGTCTGACGGAATTGTTGAACCACCAATAATTATCCGAATTTTATTGGGTGTTGGAGCCTTAATTTTTACTTATATTTTAAATAAAATAATTTAATAAATACTTTTAAGAATCTTCATAATTTGTATTATTATTTAAAACTATCAAAATAACAAAACGTGTAGAGTGATTCACTAAGATAAATTTGTGATTATTAAATAGTTAGTAATTAGTTATTTAAAAAAAAAAATATTAGAATTTGAAGTAAAATTATTAACACTTTTTTGATTCTTGCATTATTAATATTCTGCATAATTTGTATTATGTACTTAAAAGAAGCCGTTAATTATTTATAAATATTGAATTGTTTCTTTGATAACATATTTTATTATTTATGTAGGTAAGAACCTTCCTATTTGAAAAAATAATTGTAATTGAATATTAATTAAAACAACAAGTAGTCAAATGATATACTATTATTTTATTATTGATATCCTTAAAATAATGAAGTTCTAAGTATAGGTTTTTTCATATTTTAAGGTTGGTAAAATTTTAAGATTATTAAAAAAACTGCTACCATAAAGAACCTATTAGTTTTATTTGTTCAAAGTTACGATTATTCCATTGAATTTTGCATGCATGGATATTATTCCAAAGTTAACCATAAAAATAATGTTTGGTGTTCTCAAATTAGCAATGCCACCAAGGAAAACAGATGATGTTGCCGATGGAAGTTGAACTTTTTGTGTTTAAAAAAGACGTTCTAGGATAATGGGGTTGGCTGCAGCCACTGTTATAAGTAATTTAATGTACACCTGTAAGCAACGATAAATCATTGCTAACGAAAAAATGATTCTGAGCAGACATAGTGCAGCTTTGTCAACAATATAATATATGTTATATATTATGGTAAAATTCCAATTATTACAATTTCAAAATTAAAATGGATCCTGTTTTTTTTTGGTTTTTTACATTTGTTGAAAAAACTCCTGAGAAAATCGAAACATGATCTCTCTAAAATACCTCCCCTGTAAAATTTCCTTTTAGAAAAATTGCTATCATTAATAAGTTGGAGCCGAATTGCTAGTAAAAAGTTGTCTGCAGAAAATAAAGTTTAATATTTTACTAATATATTTCGTACATTTTTCTGTGTTTCCTCCATTTTTTTTTTTTTTGAATTCGCATTTGATGGGAAAATTCGAGAAAATACCTCCCGAGTTGGATATCCTTTCAGAAAAGGTGCTACACATAAAATTCAGAGCAAGATCTTTGGTAGAAAAATTGTCCACAGTAAAAAAAAATAAACATCTTTGTAAAACCATAAGCTTCTTTGTCCCATTCAGAATCTAAAAGAAATTATAATGTTAACTTGTATTAAAAAATAATTTGTTGTATATATCTATGAAAGTAGATAATTTATAAAAATGTATATATATATATTATATATTTTGCATTACTATAACTCATTTAACTGAGATAGGTAATATAGCTTAGACTTTATATTTTCTGAGTTTCTTACTCGGCGTTCTTCTTAACGATTTAAGGTTGGCCACTCTAGTTGTCAACTTCCACTTGGCTCAAATTCATTTTTCTCACATATAACATTTTCCAAATAATTTCATATCGCTCTTTTTCTAACTTCCTATTTTTTAGTTCTACCTTTTCTTTTATTTCCTTTATCATTTATACTGCCTCATCTGTATGACCTAAATGTTATTTTTGGCCTTATGACTTAAATCTTATAAAATGTACCTTTAAACCTAAATACCTAATGGTATCTTTTATGAACACAATAGATTTGTATCAAAACACAATAAATAATGGCAGAAGTGGGTACACACAATAGATAGTTATTTAAACTTATGTAGTTTTCATTACTTTTTAACTATGCATAGTATTAATATCATTTTTTTTTTTTTTTTGTATATTAATTGAAGTTAAATATGTAATTTCACTTTTGCTATTTAATTTACTAAATAATTATACTCAAGTATTATTATTATAACTTTGTACATTTATTTAAATTTAATGTTTAAATTATTTAAAATTATATTTATTTTGCTATAATAAATCCATAACATTTTTGTAAAACAAAAGAAGAAATGATTTAAATAATTATGAAGTTTTTTTTTTTACAAAATCTAATCAATAATATTTTACCAAATTAAAATTTTTTTAAAATATAACTATTAAACTATTATGTTGATAGGAACCACCAACAAGTATATATTTTCAACTGTTACCAATTCTTCTATTACTCATGCTATCATTGTTTTCTAACTTTACGTATGATTCAGTGTACTCTCTTAAACATTCCCAGTAAGTATTTTATCAATGTAAACACATTGCAATTAGTATATATGTATTTAGTTAAGTATATTTTTGATTTTAGAAAATACCCAGTCAATCGTCAAACTTCATTCAGAAAAATTACATATTTTGTGAAAGAAAATTTCCATTCTGATTATACTGGTGATTTAAGACGTTTAGAAATTAGTATTGAAGAAGATTATATAAATTCAATGCGTACCAAATGTATTCGTGAAAAGGAATATTGTTAGTAGCATTTAATTATCAAATTATTTAACAAACGATAATAATAATTTACTATTATATTGTAGACGAGTCATTAATGTGGAGGGCACGTTTGGATGATGATTCAAACCTATTCAATAAAGCATCCAAGTATCAAATGAAAGCTTGTGAGGAGTATCAAACATTGATGAAAAATAGATATAAGTAAATTTTGATATTAACATTCAATTTGATTTTTTTGTTTTATATAAGTGGTCAGTTTAGATGTTTAAAGTTAATATACAAATTTCACGGTTTAAAAGTATTTATTAGCAAATTTTTCTAAATGCATCATTTTCAAGTAGGTAATGATAGAAAAAAAAAGAGTAATGTTTCATTGCATCATTATTTTGAAAATAGAAATTTGTCTGTTGACTTAAGTAATTATGTTTGCAGAGTATTAAAATTCTTAAATTTAAAAATTTAAAAATGTATTATTATACTTTGAAGTAATAATAATATTAATTTCTATGCTTTATTGCCAACTATTTGGTATGAATCAACTAATATTTAAAAAAAAAAAAAAACAACTATATTATGTATTTGTAAACATTTTCATTATGCATACAAAATTGATTTTTACAAAGAACATCTATACATGTTTTGTATAGTATCACAGTTTAAATTACAAGTATTATACTTAAAAAAGGTATAAATTATCTATAAGTAATTAAAATATCTCTTAGAATAATTTAGTTAGCTTACTTGGATATGTTAGGATCATATTCATTTTTAGCATTGTTGTTTTTATTTACCTTTATATTTACTTTATCATTTATCTCATTGTTTATACTGTGGTTATTATATTATAGAGAATTGTTTTTTTTTAATGTTTTTAAATATATATATATATATATATATATATATATATACATATATATATTATATTCATATTAATTTTGTTATTATAGTTAACTACTATTTCTTATACAATTTTAAAATTTAAAAATAAATTATTCTTCAAATGCTTGCTACTCTTTGTATTTATATTATTTTAAGAATTGTTTTTAAACACTTTTAACTTGTTATTTTAGTTAATATTTTAGAATTTCGAAAATTGTCCCGTACAATTTAAATTTTTTCCAATAGCAAAAATTTAGTTTTCCCATATTATTTACATTAATTATTATTCTGATATTCAAATAAATAATAGTGAACAAAGTTCAAAATTAAAATTTATTTTATATTGTGTAAGATCCATAACACAGTCATCCATATTATGTGTAATGTCCCTGGAGATAATAAAGATAATCAAATTCTGATTTTTTTTTATTACTTACTGGGATAAGGACTACAAATATTTATATTGCAATTATTTTTTTATGTTTTGGTAACAAATTAAAAAATCATTTTTTATTTAATTGTTTTTGAAAATAATTGAAGATAGAATTATAAAGTATTCTTCTGAAAATGTTGACGTTTCAACTTTTTATTTTCATTAAATTTGTAATTTTAATAATTTTCAGAGACTTTAATATAGTTCAAAGAAAAGTACCTATAATTTATGCAACAGGCTGTAATCACATTCAATTAATTTGTTGCAACAGGCTGAAATCACATGTAATTAATTGTTATTTTATTTGTTGACTGTACTTAATTGAACTTAAAAAATGATTAAAAATTAAATGAAAATAAAAAGTTGAAATGTCAAAATTTTCAAAAGAATAAACTATAAATTGCTATCTTTAATTTTTTTTTTCTTCCTAGGCTTATAGCGGTCTCTTCAGGAACACCACCACTTTTAGAATGCCTTTCCTTCTCTATATAATGCCGCTACCATATCTAAAAATGGATTGACTTCTTTTAGATGTTTTTCTATTGCATCATTTGCCTAGATCTGCCTCTTGGTCTTTTCCCCGTTATCTTACTTTCTGTGACCTTAATTAGTGTACCCTCGGCTCGCTAGATATGACCTGCCCGTTTCAATCTCTTTCTGACTATGAAGTGCTGTAGACTTACTGTGGAGCTAGTATAGGTTTTCATTGGTTCTTCTTTTGAATCTTTCCAAGTCATTATTGTATACTAGTCCATATATTTTCCTTAATATTTTCCTCTCAAAGCTCTGTAGTTTTTCTTCACTCCACTGGGTGCTAGACCATGTCTCACATGCATACATCACTATGGGTCGCATGTATGTATAGTATAGGCGCTCTTTTGTACTTCTGGACAGTAACTTGGAGGAGAACATTCCATTCATTGTGAAATAACATTGTTTTCAACATTCATTCTTATTCTAATTTCATTATGCTTGTTGTTTTTTTTGTTTATTTTAACTCTCAGATACTTAAATTTTTTTTAAAGTAATAAATTAAAGTAATTTTTTAAATTTTTTACTAAAACATAAAAAATCAATAGCAATATAAGTATTTGTAGTCTTTATCCCAGAGAATGATATAAAAACCAAGAATTTGATTATCTTTATTTTAACCAGACAACGGGTATATCTTTGTGGGACTGCCTATATGAGTAACAGTTACTTTTAAAAGTCAAAACCTCTATTTAAATTTATCTTCTTTCATTGTCCCTAAATAATTAATCCATTCTTTGAACATACTCGTCGAGCTCGAATAGTATTATCATTGATTAAAGAATATACAGATAGCCCATGCAATGTTAATATTTGGGGACTATAAAAAAAAAATGCCACCGCTATGAAGCGCTAGTGTAGTTTAGGATGTGTGGAGGTAGTACCTCCGTTATAGTTGTCGTGGATGGGTGGGTGTTGGGATGCTAGCAGGTAGTACCCCCATCATAGAATGATAATCGATGCGGGGGGTACCTTATCGCGCGTTATTGCCGTACTAATAATAGAATATTTGTTCAAATAAATTGGAATACAATTGTTTATTATCATTGTATTTCGTATTATTTTCGTAATTCGTTGAGTCTCACAACCCATAGGCGACGCTAGTTTTTGATTGCGGTTACACGTCTATACAACATAATGATATAATATTATTATAATTTATATTTAATTACTTGTGAATAATTTTATTGTATAAATATAACAACGATTAATTTGAAAAATGTCTGGTAATAAGTGTCAATATTTAAATTGTGGTAATTCAAGGAAAATTTTTCCAAATTTACAAATGACGGGAGAAAAGAAATGTGGATGATACATTCAGGTAAGTAAATCATTAAACATTTTATGTTGAAGAAAAATATAATGCTTCATTAGTTCAATAATATTTTATGTAGTTTTATTAGAATTATTATTCTACAATTTTTATGGAGGAAATGCAAGTTTATTTTAAATGGAAAAAAATCCGCAATAGGTACATTCCATATCTCTGTGCATTAACTAATTTAGGTACTGTACAAACATTTTTAATAGTAGCTTCACAATACTTCACAAATTTACAAAAATTAAAGAAATAAAAATTAACACAATCACCCTGTTTCAAAGGTTTTATACAAACCATGATGGTGTATTAAAATTTTTTAAGAAAAATCTAATAATGTTGTATTTATAATTACTAATCGTTTGAATCAGGATATATTAGAAAATCTCTTTAGTATTTTTCCACAAAATGGTGGTTATAACAAAAACCCAACACTAGAACGATTAGAACTTTGACAAGAAGTAATTGTATTTTTTCTTTATGCACATCTAAAGGGAAAAAATGTGGGGTAACCCAAGAAGATGATAATCCTGTAATAATTGACCTAGAAAATTCCCAAATCAATGTATCTTCTGATTCTGACATTGAATGTTTTTTTAATTTACGTTTATCTTCTTTATTATCTGCTGAGGACTCTATAAATAATGAAACTTTAAATAATTATGTTACTTTGGAGAACTGTTCTGTCACATACTTTGCAGGATATTTGGGCTATAAATGTATGGAAAAATTTAATTGTAACCATTTTCAAAATTAATTATTTCCAGACAAAAACTTAAACAATAAAAAACAATTACTTCTTCTTAATAAAAATTTTATTTCAATTGAAAATGACAGAGGATTTAAAGCACCATAAAATAATTTAAATAATATAATAAATACAAATTTAAATATTTTTGAAAAGAGTTATACATACTATTTGCATAAGAAGAAAATTAAATTTCAATTAATTAAGTGTGTAAAAAATAATAATACAATTATAAAATGGCTAGAATAATGGCAAATTGTGGTGAGCATACAATGTATATAGTTGAACATCTTTTAATATGCAAAATATTTAATAAAACAAAAATGTATTCAACGACATCAAAACTAGAAAAACTTTCAAAATTAAAAATATTAAACCACATTTAGAAATAATAATAATTATATTTTCATTTCTTCATTATTTCGTTGTTCTGATATTGTGCCTTTGAGTTAGTTCAATCTGTCTTTCTATGGAACTCTTTTGCTGGTAGCTGAGTACAGAACTTTCAGAACCTGCAGAACTTTATTGCCACTATGAGACTCAACATGTGTTTATTATATCTTATAATTTATGCCATAAAACTGATGTTTTTTTTTTCATTATAATTACTAATTACTGATTGTACAAATTGTATAGATTATATATTTTCCATATAAAGATAATTTTTCTAACAAAAAAAAAAAAGTCTTAAAGTTGTAATAATTATTAATAATTTTAATTTATAACATATTAAATATAATTGTTTAAATATATGCTTTCCTTTTTTGAGGGGGGGGCTTCAATTAAGCACTAGACAAAGAATTACTTTTTATGTTTTATTTTAGTCTACAAACTATGGTGTTAATAAAAAATAAATAAATAAATAATAGTCAATTCCGAAAAATAAACCCTGATAAAGATAAAATAAACAGTTCTATAAATAACTTCCCGCTACGCACATGACGTCACGATCGATTACGGACAATAATAATAAAAATGTAATTTCAAGTAAAATTATTTGTTCATTGATACGTACACCGTCAACTTTTGGGAAACAGCATAAACATAATTTTAGTCACCAGATATTCCTATGTTATGGACTATTCGTGTATTCTATAATCAATGGTATTATATTCTTCTTCCGATTCATCACGAGAAAGAAGAGATTAATTCGTAAATATTAATTATATTTGTGTCCATTGTTACAATAATATTATATTAAATAATAATTAAATAAATAATTATATTACTAAAAAACAATATAAGTAGCTTAATATTATTATATATTAGCAATTGTTAACCCTTGCTAACAGATATACATTGAATTACCTACAGTGGCTGCACCTGTCCTCATTATCCTAGGACGTCTTTTTCGTATTTAATCTTTCAATCTTTTTTAACCTAAAGAACCAGGTTTTCCTCATTATATTCTTCGAGTTTAATGAAAATTTTAAAATATGACCTCTCTAAAGTACCGCTCAGAGAACATTTACTTTTAGAAAAGGTGCTATACTTGATAATCGGAGTATCCTTACTGGTAGAAAAAATGCTCATATAAAAAAAAAATAAACGTCATTGTTAAACCAATACATTCCTCGCTCTACTCAGAATCTAAAATTATTAAAAATATATAACTATTACTGACTAATTAAAAAGGAAAAATCACTGAAAATTTTATAAATGTTAAAGTTCACAATAATCAAACATTATTGAAACGCATTAACAACCCAGTTAGTGTTTAACTGGTAGAAATTCTTCCAGTAAGAAAAAAACTGATTGGTTCAATTTAAATTAAATCAATGGTAAAAAAGAAAGGTAAAATAATGAGGACGAGCGCATCCACTGATGTAGGTGGGAAGTTGGGAAGGTAGAATATAGACAGGAATTTAATATATATCTGTAAGTAACGATAAACCATTGCTTACAAAAAAAACGATTCTGAGTGGAGTTCAGTTGATAGTGATGCTTTGTCAATAATATGTCATTTTATGGTAAAATAAATAAATAGGCTTTATATATTTTCTTTAAGAAAATTTGTTTAATTTATTAATTTTCCCAATTTCCTTACGTTTTTCCCAGTTTTTCCATTTTTTGTCCCCGTTTTTTACATTTTCTAGGAAAACTTGGGAAAATCTAAAAAATACCTCGTCGTTGAAATTTCCTTTTTGAAACATTGCTATCATTAAAGTTGGAGCAGAATTGCTGTTAAAAAAGTTGTCCACAGAAAAACAAAAATTGTAATATATTTCGTACACTTTCCTGTTTTTACTCCTTATTTTCTTTCGGTTTTTCGCATTTGATGAGAAAACTCGAAAAAATACTTCCCCAGTAGGATTTCCTTTAAGAAAAGGTGCTACACATAAAGATCGGAGCAAGATCTCTGATAGAAAAGTTGTCAACAGAAAAAAAAAATAAACATCTTTGTAAAACCATAAGCTTCTTCGCTTCACTCAGAATCTAAAACGTTATTGGCTAATCCACAGATCATTTATGAATTAACTTGAGGGTTAATTTTAACCGGGGGATGGTAAAAATGGCCCTAAATATGTGTACGTGTGTGGGCGTGTTCGCCGCATAACAGTGTACACACATATTTTCGGCACACAATTCGACGGCCATGGGTTTTTGCGACACAGCATAAATTTGTGTCGTAACATCATTCTAGCATGGACATATTTTTTCATGTTGTGTTTTTCTGTTCTTAAAAATAATCATAAATTGTATTTAAACTGTACATTATTGTTTAAATTGAAAACTGTTAAATCATTAAATTATACATTGTGCTCAAACTATTATGCTAACTCTCTGTTTTTCGTATTCTTGAATAAGAATTAAAATGTCTACAAATAGTTCAAAAATTGCTTAAATGTTTTGAAAATTACATCACGTCTATAAAAGGCAAACGTAAGTTATCTATTAGAATTTCAATTCTCTACGAATATTTTTAAGAATTACAAAAAAAAAAAATCAATGAACGACTTTCTTACTCACAAACTGCATTAAAAATGAAACAAAATAAAGTAATTTATTGTTTTTCTATTGAAGCAATGTTTCTGGTAGAAAACATAAACCGTAAAAATTCAAAATAATGAAAACGTAATGCCGTAAATTTGTGAGGAGAATTTTAACGGTCAGTGACTATATATTAAAATGAACTAAATTGATCATTTGTCTTTTTTCAATTGAAGCAATATTTCTGGAAGAAAACATATCTTGCTAAAATTAAAAACAATGAAATCTAAATTAAAAATAATGAATCTATATTTTTTTAATTATACAAATTTATTAGTTAAACCTATAATTTGTCTACCAAAAAGCTTACTCCAATGTATAAGATGTAGATTCTTTTCTGAAAGGAAATTTTCTTGGGATGGTACTTTAAGGAGGTATTTTTTTTATTTTCTCTACAGTTTTCCCTTATAAAAGGAAAAAAAATGAGAAAAAACGAGAAATTGAACGAAATATATTATTAAAATACCGTGATTTTTTTTTTCTGTGGACAAGTTTTCTACCGGCAATTTTGCTCCGATTTACTATGATAGACATTTTTCTAAAAGGAAATCTGACTCTGAAGGTACTTTAGGGAGGTTAAATTATTGTTTTTAAAACGATTTTCCTCGTCTCTTTTGAAAGATTTGGCTAGATTTAACATAATTAATTTATATAATATATTATAGACGTGGAAATACATAATAAAGAGCCGAAGTTTCACGGTGTCTAAACACGCGCTGTCTATCACCCTGTGTTTACATGGATTTTCGTCTTGTCGTATATTTTTTTCCACTGAAGGTATTCACGTCACTGTTATGTTTGGATCGACCTTAATACGAAATATCGGCGACGAGTAGGTAACAATTTCCATTCGACAATAATAATAAAGTTAGGTATAAGTATAATATTACAACGTTATAATTAATGATAAGAGATAAAATTGATCTTTTGTACAAACGAACAAGTTTTGAAATGCTCAAATAGGATCAGTGCTTACAAATACGAAAAAATTATTTTTAGATTTATATTTCTATTCTTATTTATTTACAACCACATCACAGAGGTAGTCACAATCTGTTAAAATAATTAAAGGTGATCTTCGATAGGGTTCAACTATTCGAATTAAAACAACCATAGACTGAATAAAACCGAATCGTTATTTTCCGTGTATAACATGCCCCTTCTTTAGAACCATGTTACGCGTATATATATAAGTATAAGGTTAACTGCTTTTGTATAATGGAAATATTATAACTAGTATTATACCTATATATATATATATATATATATATTATAATAATTGAGGCTTATTATATGGTTATTTGACTGTTGAACATTATTTTCAGTGATATGTATGTTTGGATTTAGTTAAGACCTTATAATATTTTGTTGAAACTTAATTATTTTTTGTTATACCTGATAAATTGTATACATGACAATATTATAGTATATAAATTTATATTGTTAAATTCTTATAAGTACTTATAATTATTGTAATTTAGTCGAGAGCCAAACTAGTGTCATATTATCTTCGTTGATTTATTAAGTAAGAACCATTTAATATTTATTTTTAGATTGTTAAGATGTAACAAATGACATTGTTTTTGACTTTTTATTCATCAATCATCATTAAAATTCTTATCGAATAAATATACTTAAGTATACGTATTATGTTGAGTAGGATCGGTAGATAATAATAATTTTTAAAATGACTGAGTATTGATAGTGTTCATGAGTGTTTGTGGGTATGGGTGGTTTACTGTAAGGGAAATGTAGGAAAACATCCGTATAGGGTGGTCACATTGCATATCATATGAAATATTATCCTGACTGGACAGTCGGAACAGACAAAACAGAAATGCCTGAGAATTTAACATGAGGTTCATTAAAAGTCGTATTTTAAGGTAAAAAAAAAAATTGGAGTAGAGGCTAACTGGCTTATCACTTTTAAATATCAATTGAAATAAACTTTAATATAGAAAATATTGTTGATCAAACCGCTTGCAAAACGCTACTTAAAATAAAAGTATTTTGGACTTGGTCATCTAAATTTTATTAATTATTATTATTATTATTTTTGTTATTCATATAATCATTATTTTAATAATAATTTATTTAATGTTGAAAAAATAAATTGAACTTTTAAATTGTACTGTTTAACTACTTTTGTACATACATCTGCATTTTTCTCAGCTAATATAAGTTGAAATGTCATCAGATATAAAGGTTTTAAGTTTTTGTTGACCAAAGCGGGTATTCAAGAGTAAAAATTGTTCCTCCCCCCCCATAGAGTTGACCCAAAGACGCCCTTGAGTAGTACTATTAACTGAGATCCGTTCAGAATCGTTTTTTGTTGTAAATAATTAAATTTGTTTAGGTACAGATATATATTAAATTTCCCTAAATATCCTATCCACCCAACTTCTTATCTATAACAGTGGTCCACCCATAGTGCGAAGTATGTCCATATTTTCTTACCAATTATTAATATTATATTTTATACCAAGTTTGGAAAGTAGAGGGAAAATTGAATGTATATCTGTACGTAACGAGTAAACATTACAAAAAAAAACTATTCTGAGCGGAGTTTAGTTAATAGTATTGCTTTGTCAACAATATAAATGTCATATTATGGTAAAATTACATATGCTTTATATATATTTTTTTAATAATATTTGTTTAATGTTGTATCTATTTCCCTATGTTTTTTCGGTTTTTCCCATTTATTATGAAAACTCCTGAAAAATCAAAAAATAAAGTTACTTATATACCTCCCCAGTTAGATTTCCTTTTAGAAAAAGTGCTATCATTGTAAATTGGAACAAAATTGCTGGTAGAAAAGTTAGAAACCATAGGAAAAATATAAAGGTCTTCAAATATTTTTACTAATACCTACATTTCGTAGTTTCCTGTTTTTTCCCACAAAAAAAAAATAACCACCATTGTAAAAACAATATATCTTTCGCTCTACTCAGAATCTTAAAGGTTAATTTTAAATTTTACTTGTAGTTTTTTTAAGAATAGGAAAAAACGTCAGGAAACGGGAATATTAACACGGTGCCTGTTATTTTCGACGGTTTTTTTTTTGTTGCTTTACATTGTTGGGTTGTTATGGTTTTTGATGGGAAAACTTTTCAAGAATGATCAAAAAACAAAATTGAAAATAATAAAGGCAATAAAAATAAATATTCATAAATTTTCCTGTTTTTCTTACGTTTTATTCTGGATTTTCCTGATATTATGAAAACTGCTTGGAAAATCAAAAAGTGACCTTCCTAGAGTATCATTTAGTCAATACGACAATATTTTCGTTCAAAAAAGGCGCTACATTTACATATTGTTGAAAGATTTCTGGTAAAAATTGTTGTCACTATATAAAAAAAAAAAAAACCTTATTGTAAATCCAATTCAAATTTTGAATCTAAAAGTGTATTATTTTATTATATTTTTGTAAATTGATTGTCCCCACTTAGTTTTCAATAATTCTATCTCACCCTTGAGAGAATATTTATGGAAATGTATAAATGTATTTCATTCTTGTTTCAATCAAAGTATTTTCAAGATCCGGGATCATCTTTATGGCATTTGAAACAAATTGCAGTTGTACTTAAGAATTATGGATATTTTAAATAACAAAAAAGAACATCACATGGCTTACGAAGGGGGAATTTCTCCCTCGTAACCTCTCAGGGACGCGCTTGAAGTGAAATCTGGTTATACCTGTTTTAAAAGACCACAATATTTACGATTTTCATACAAATTTGATATTCAAATACTTGTGAAAAAAAAACCCACGAAATACAACTTAATGAGCCTCTTGTTAAATTTTCAAGCATTTTTGTTTGGTCTAATAATATTATCCACAGAGTACCTACCGAAGAAAAATTACGTAAAACACTTTCAAAATTAAAATATCTATAAATAGCTCAAAAATGGATCAAATATTTTGAAAATTTGACCACGTCTAAAAAATTAAATATAAGTTTTTCGTCTAAATTGCAAGTATCTATGAATAATTTTATCTGAATTACAACAATGAAACATCATTGAAAATAAAAGCATTATTTTTGTAAATTTTTTCGTTTTTCCTACATGTTTTCCCAATTATTTTAAAAAAACACATATAAAAGTACCAACTAGTTAAAACTTCCTTTTAGAAAAGGTGCTAAATTCGATTCATTGGATCAAGATTTCTGGTAGAAATTTGTACACTGCATAAAAAAATAAATTAAACATCATTGTAAAACCAATCCATTCCTCGATTCGTTCAAATATAAAATCAATTAGACGTCAAAAAAAATAGTTATCGGATTGATTTGATGGAAATTCGTACTGCTTTAGAACCATGATGTTGAATATTCGAATTAGTGTTAGTACCTATTTTATTTATAATAAATTATTACTCCTTATTCGGTTTAGATACTTAGTAAGTACCTAGTATACGAACAATTTTAATTAACTGGCCGTTTATGTACAACCTTTATGCCTTTATGTACAACTACGTATGTACGATGCGCTTATTATGTATAAGTAAAAGGTATACTCATTTTAATTTTAATTTTATTTATTTTTAATTTTTTAAGGAAAGAGTATTAACTGGTTTTTATTTTATAACACAAATAATTTATTGAAAAAACTGGTTACTATAGTAATATTGATGAACAAATATTTCAAGGTTACTTTTCTTGTTCCTGTTGTGCTTTGTTGTTAAGATTTAAATTGTATTTTAAGCGGACGTTGCACGCGTTCCAGATGTTTGAAAAATGTATTTTACGCGGTTAAAAAAACATGCATGTACCTGTGCAATGTATTTTAGTATGTATATACGTCATGTCTGCACTAAAATATCAACAAATTATATTTTTATAAATTAAGGTATTTGTAATCATGTATGATACCAACAGTCAGGGCCGTTTTTAACCTATTTAAGACCTTGGACAGTGGTATAATAAGACTTGGACAGAGTAATATTTTATTAAAATAGGTAAATAGAGTGGTGGTAGATAAGCTAAAGTTAGGATTGATTTAACTATTAAATGTATTTATTTTTATTTCACATTAAATGAATCGATAATTATAAAATAATCCGGAAAAGTAGCTCTTTTAGCACTCACAAGTTACCTAGTGCTTAAAAATCTTTTCTGATTGAAAAGGTATCCTTCTAAATTTTAGATAGGCTTTTGAAGTCTATGTTTTTGAGCATATCTGCATACTTATGGACATCAACGATAAACTGTTCAAGATTGAACAATCTTGTAGCATTTTACTTCTTAGTTCATTTTTAATTATTTTTAATTTAGAAAAGGAGCGTTTCCCATTGCAGTTAGTTAGATACCATCATCCTTAAAAATATTTTCAATGCAATTTATACATTTGGGAATGTGTCTTAAATTTTGTTTTCTTTCAAGAGATGATATATTCCTTAAATACTATCAGTTTCTTTATTGTCACTGTGAATATGTTTCAAGTACTTTATTAAATGCAAATATTTCATTTCCAATTCTACCTCATTAAGGTTTTCATAATAGATTTCAGAAAATTGTTGGCAACTTTGTCTTAACGCTGCAGTATTCAGAGTTTTTAAATTAAAAAACAAATCAAACCACTGATTAATGTCCTTGTATGAACTCAATTGCCGTTTTTTATAGAAAGTTATTCAAGTTTTTTGTATCAGTTTTAAATATAATCATAAGCAAGTAGGTTTGTAGTTAGTAATTTTCCATTAATTTTTCTTGAATTAAATTTATTTATCGGTTATTATTTGGTGATCTGGCAGGAACTAGGGGGTTCCATCAATCACGGGGCCTTGAATACGTGCCTAAAGTGTCCAATGGGAAAGACGTGCTTGAACAGAGCACATGTCTAGGTTGTTTCGCTATCAACGAAAATGCTAGCTAGTATATAATATGATGATTACTTAGTCGTACCATTGATTATAGAATAGACTATTCGATAATCAATGATACTAGCCACCGACGACGCGGCCGCGTCATCGATCTGATAAATATTTATTATTGTTATTTCATCCGTATCACCAAGGTAGCCCATGTGTAAACAAAAATAAATAAATAAATAAGAAATTAGTTATTCATACTAAAAACTCCTATTTTACCCCCTTAGGGCTGAATTTTCTTAGCGGTTACTTTCGTCATAATAGCTATCTATGTGCCAAATTTCAGCCAGTCTAGTAGTTTAGATTGTACGATGATGAATCAGTCAGATTAGTCAAAACAAGGTATTTTATGAATATATAGATAGATATATTGTTGAAAAAGCTACACTATTAACTGAATTCCGCTCAGACTCGTTTTTCGTTAGCAAGGTTAATCGTTGATATACATTCAATTTCCCCTCTATCTTCCCAAATTTTCACCTACAACAATAGTGACCTTACCCGTCGAGCAAAGTGTGTTGGTTTTTTTTTAAAAATCCAAATATTATCCATTATATTTTAGTCAGAAAAATTAAAAATATGTTAGTACACAATATATGTTCTACTGCCAATAGACTTGATTATGGATAAAACCTGACCGTATTCGTTGTTTAAAACCAGTCAAAAATGATTATCTTATCGGAACCACTAATGATGATATTTCAGTTAGTACAATCATTTTATTAAATCGAATATCCCTAATATTAGATATTAAATTTGATTTCAATTTTAATTTCAGGGCATATTGAATTATAAATTAGGTATTTACAATAATATATATGTTACGACAGTAGCGCACGCAGGATTTTTTTTCAGGAGGGGTTTTTATTTATAATAATTTCCTAGAGGGAGAGAGTGCATATTATCAGTAAAATAATATTACTATTATTAATGAATAAAGGATTTTTGATCTAATTAAATTTCATTTTATTCTGCGGTATAATATATTATGTTGTTGAATGTAAAATTTGATTTTAAAAATGCTGTGAAGGATGAAATTTCGGAAGGGGTTTTGGCTACCTACCCCCCTCTCTGTGTGTACCATTATATTACGGGAAAAGTACGAATACCGGTAAAACCTAGAATACACTAAATAGTTTGGTCAAATCCCGAATGATATTTATAGTTTGGACTTTTACAAATGAAATTTGGTAAATCTTAGAATAAACAACCAGCGTTGGTGAAATTCCGAAATTGTTTACTAATCATGTGATATTTTTTCCCCTTGATTTATTTGATTTATATTCGTATTTTACTTTTATATTATTATTATTATTTAAGTACATTAGGTATATAAGTACACACATTTATGTTATTGTAAATTATTATATATTGTGACATTGAATGTATATTATTTGTATATATTAGCTGCCCATTCATATAAGCATTGTCATGATTTATGAGGGTAATATACTTTTTTGTTTCAATCATATGTAATTAAATTCTATAATATTTGAACATTTTAAATAAAAAATTTAATTATATACCTATTGGAATATATTATGTAAGTAGTTACTTGAAAATTTATATTTTACAATTACGGGTATCCATAGAAATTTGCCACTGATAAATTTAACTTAAAAATGCACAACCAAATTCTATTACATCAATACATTGCTTACAAATTACAAATACTGGGGGAGCCTAGTCTATTATTTCCCTGAATAGTGGTTAACAATGTTTATAATTATTCAAAGTCTATATGATTATTATTATAATTTATATAATGGAATGTTACGCTACCTGATTTTAATAGGTACTTTAAAACAAACTATCTGCTATAAATAACTATCTAAATAATTAATAACAAATTTTATAATTAGGATTAATATTTATATTAAGTATGTATATATTTTCAATACATTTTAATTAACACTAATTTGAATAAAAGTTAGTTGGATACAAAATAAAATTCTAAAAATTGAACCTTATTGGCCATGAACACCATATGCTAAATATGCTAAATTTTATTTTAATAGAAATTTACAAACCCCTCCCCCAAGAAGATTTTTAATGGTATGATTCATATTTATTTTCGAGCTTAAATAATATATATTTTAAATTTTTCACTGATTATAATCGGGTAATAGGTTATATTTTTGTTATGACTTATCAATTTAATATAAATGTCAAACTTTGACCAAATTAGGATTAGGAGTCATGGTCACAATATTATAATGTGATTACATCACAGAATAGTTACATGAGGACGTTATCATTACTTAATATTATATTTACGTTTTCAAGCATTGATGTAATCAGCTGTGGTTTGAACTTCAAATTGTATTATTATTATAACATTTTTATATTGATTTGTATTGCTTTGTATTTTTAAACTTAGATTAAAAACTTGACTGAGGTTGAATATGGGTAAAAAAACGCTTGGTCGGGTTAGTTTTGCTTATATCCATAGATATAGAACATTTAAACTTCCTCTATAACATGGCCACACCAAAAACCTTTCAAACTCACGAGGTTAAAGTCGCTAGACCATTCAAGTCAAGCGGAAATATTGTGTTAAAAGTCAGATCTGAATGGCTCGGTTGGTAGAACAGGCGGGGAATATTATTTGATTTTCAGTGATTTGTATAGGGTTCATGCATATTTTTAATCGGTTTAGTAAAAATTAAATATGTACAAGGTGATCCATTTAACTAATACTCCTAAGATATATCTATCTACAGAATTTTTAATATAGGTTGCCATTTTAAAATCAAAAGTAGGTGGTTGTTTTACCTCCAAAAATAAGGGTAACAAAATATAGCTTAAACATAAAATTTTAGAGCTGCTTATTTCTTAAATATTCTAGAAAACAGATTCCGAAAAAAGTTAATACTTTCCGAGATGATGAGTGTACTCACTTAAATGAATTACCCGGAACTGACACGAAATCCGATATTTTAATTTTATTTCCATACCTAACGGATAGGATATCTAATATCTATGAATTATATTCCCGAACAAGTGATCATTTTGAATTTTTTTAAACTAGTTTATTATGTAAAATCCTTAAGTTCTTTGTTCAAAAAGACGTCCTGGGAAAAACCATTCTGAGCGCAATTCAGTTGATAGTGATGTAATATATAGTACATTTTCTCGTTTTTCCTCAGTTTTTTTTCGGCTTTTCATATTTTTTGAAAAAACTTCTGGGAAAACCTCCAAAAGTACCTTTTTAGATATGCTTTAAAAAAAAAGTGCCATCGTTTTAAATCGGAGCAAAATTGCTGTTAGAAAAGTTTGCAATTCGAGGGGTATTTTTCGATTAAAATAGTTCGAGTGAGCGATAGCTGGGTCTCTAGGTACACCTAAATGCATTTGTTTTTTCCCTGTTTAGGTAAAATGGAAAAAATAAGTGCAAACAATTTTTTTTGAAATATGGGATTGAACTCGTGAATCCAATGATAGGTATGTATAACCATTCGGCTACGACCAACATATTTAAGTTTAGCAATATGTAGTGTTATTTAACATAACATATAATATCCGCATAATATCAGAACTTCATAAAACTTTAATTCGAAACTATGTCAGTCGGCTCAATTCTTACTTCACAATCGTTTCTAAATCAGCAATATACAGATGTTCAAAACAAAAAATTGAAAAATTAGATTTGTTCTTTCCACATAATTTTTTACTCGAAAGATTTTCGTCAAAATTTGATGTTAAAATTCCTTTGTAAAACGAAATGCTACCTTAAATTCAAACCTCAAAGTAAGAATTTTAATGAACCTCCTTTTAAATTTTCACGCATTTCTGTTAGTCTAATAATTTTACCACATAGTACCTACCGAATAAAAATATATTATGAAAATCCCTCGGTAAATCAAAAAATGACATCCAAAAGTACCATATTGACAACATTCTCTTTCAAAAATGGTGCCACGCGTATATATCTGAGCAAGATTTCTGGTATAATTTTTGTACACAGTAAAAAAAAAAAAAATATATACATCTTTGCAAAACAAATACATTCTTCACTACACTCAGAATTTAAAATTAAGATTTGAGTTAATTTCCCATTAAAAATGTATTAAAAAGTATTATTAATCCTTTGATTATTGAGTAGATAATAAATTATTATGTTATAATAACATATTATATTCACTTAGTATATAACTTAAATGTACACAAATCAGAAGTATTATCACAAGTAATAATAATAGCAATTATGAGACATAATTATTTATTTATCTAAAGAAATATTATTTCGAATCACTGCTTGTATACAGGATAATTATTTTATTATGAATCAGCAATTTTATCGGAGAATTTTGGTGAATTTGATTTCTGTTTTTAAATTATTATGGAATCGTTTAAGCTTTATTTTAACACTTTTAATTTTTCACCTCTACTCTTTATGCTTGAAATCTTTTTGTAAGACTTATTTTTATCTAAATGAACCAAATTTTTTAAATATATAAATACAAATAATATTTGGTGTACACATTATGAAACTATTACTATAAGTAATTTTGATTACATCATTAGTTATACAATTTCAAACATATGTGGCATCTGCACTACAGGCTCGTGTTTCTACATCTGATGTTCCTTTTTATATAAAGCGACGGTTTAAAGCACAAATAAAATGTAGTAGCTACTAATCAATTTTTATCGTATTAGCCGGTAAACACGACACATGTATAGTACTATAGTGTATAAATAAAAATAGTTATGTATATTTACAATAAACTGATAATTTTGATATAAAAATAAACGAAATTGATATTCGTAATATATTTTATCATCGTTATTTTTTGTTTAATTTCAAGAAGTCTATACATACGTACCTAATTTTTCTCAAAATATCGAAAAAGTATTCGATCGTTTTTTTCCAAACTATCGAAGAAAGTATCAGAGTATATTATTATCATAATTATTACTGCTAACCATTTTTTTTTTAATCATAACATACCTGTTTTATTATCATTTACCTATTATGGATAAACCGTTCGATATAGTTTAATGGACCGATAGTTTGATAGATCTATCGATAGTTTTAAACTATCGACTATTTCAATAGTTTCCATTCAGTCGTGCCCATCACTAATATATTATTATAAGTACATTGTTTATTTGTATTAAGTAGAAATCACGGGTTGTACAATTGGTTTTACTTTTATAAAAACATTATTATTGGGAATTATATTCTGCCAATCATTAATAACTTTAAATGAGCCTAAATGTGTTGAAATTATTAATATAAAATATTACATTTTCATTTTTGCGTCCTGTCATGAATTTCGCCTGGATAGTTACCACCCGTCTCCCTTCTTGGTACAGCCTTGAATATATTACTTATATGTAAATCGTTATCTCACTACACAATAATATTTTTTATTATAATTTATTATCGTGAAAATATACACACATTACTTCATTGCTATATTATTGTACACCGTAATAGTCATACGTGTTACAGACAAAACGTTGTTTTGCTGATAATTATAACAATTAAGTTCATTGGCGAAAATTGATGACCTTTAATATTTCATATGCAGTATACTGTATATATATTATTTAGTCTTAAATTTATTTGGATTGTTGCAAATGTAAAAATAATTTCTCATGATTTCTTTTAACACCTATACTTTAATTATAAACATAAACTCTAAAATAATTCTTAGCTTAAAAAAATATTAGATAATCAAAATGTTTTTCATGATGGTTATTATTATGTATGTATTCATTTTTTTATTCCAAGGAGATAATAGCTATACTTCTCATTACCTATTGAATTATTGTTAATTGGCTATCAGACATAAATTAAAACATAAACTATTTTATGGATAAACATCATGTGATTTAGTGCATCAACTTGCATCATTTGATCTATTAATTACAACCACAGACTTCTCCAATGATTTATTTTCCGAATATATATTATGGTTAAGTTAGTTTAAATCATTCAACTAATTCCTATTCCGTTAATAACACTATTACGGTTTTCAATGATGCTCTCTTGTGGGTTTTTTCTACTATTTTTCATGAAAAAGTGCCCGCTTACTTCGTATACTTTTAAAAGAAGTGTTTATGGCATAAGTACTTGACTATCGACTATTGTTAGTATTTATTCTGCCGATTATAGAAGCATATTTTTCTTTGTTTTTCGTTACTGTTATCACTAGAGATATTAAGTAGTTGATAAATAGAATTTAAATATTATTTTAACTGTGGGTTTGATTATACTAAAATGTATTGTTGTTTTTATTGGAGCAATATATCTGGTAGAAAACATAAGTTACAAAAATAAAAAATCATGAAATTGTTAGGTTGTAAATATTTGTTCGTTTATCCCTGTTTTCTTAAATTTTTTCCGGGTTTTCCAAACTATTATAAAACCACTTAGAAAATAAAAAAATGACCTCCCTTAAGTATTGACTTGAAAAAACATCCTTTCAGAAAAGGTGCTTCATAGGTGCTACATAGATAGTACATACACTGGAGCAAGGTTTCTGGCTGCATACACACTTATAATAAAAATTATTGTAAAACCAATATATTCCCCGCTACGCTTCGAATCCAAAAAGTCTAATTTGGGATGTGATTTCCACGTCACCCCAAAACTCGCGCCTTAAAACCGTGAGTCCGCAACTGGTTACTAAGATAATTAAGAATCGAAAATGTACTAGATATTTAAAACTTAAAATTGAAGATAAATATACTGTATACACAATTCTAATTCAATTCAATTCTAATTGAACATTGCTCCTTGCTCTTATAGTAGATTGTTTAATTAATTTGCATAATATCATAGTCTAAATTAGAACTAGAATTTTTTTTTTTTTGTATGTAAATAAATAAGTGACTATAATATTACCTATGAACTATTTTCACAAATAACTGATTTAAACTTTAAAGTATTATACAATTTTTAACGTATCAATTCAGTACTTAGTTAAGTAACTGATTTAATAATTACAAATTTAAAGATCGATGTAATGCGCAAGTGTTGGGGAAATATTTCTCTTATGTACCAATATATTTTTAACCGTCAAATCATAATCATTTAACTTACAATTGTAAGCTTTAAAAATGAAAAAATGAGCAGTTATTTATCATATTAATATGTGTATAGTTTAAATTTTAGGAATATCACAGTAACAACAAAATCGGTTTTTTTTTATAACAGAAAAGTTAAATTACAGTTTTTAGGCTACAAAACGTTTTAAATTTTTCATATTATTGGCTGACTTATTTGTACCAAACGATCACTCTGTATGTTATTTGCAACAAAAAAAAGAAAAAAAAAACAAATAATTCACTTTATTTCGTTGCCAAATGATGTTATGCATATACCTACCTACGTCTTGTGAGATGGTTTATATTCTTAAAATATTTGTATAATTAGGTAACCATATAAGTTCATCACTGATAAAAATATATTGTTTATTATATTTATATTTTTTATTTGATATTTTATATTTGATATTTGTATGATAATGTGACCTATTTTATATTTTACTTAAATTATTAATATGACGAATTACAATTTCTTGGTATATGTGTTAGACGTAAGTATAATATTATTCAGTGCGTCTTTATAAATTATTGTGTTAATATTCGATGATTTTTGCTGATTAATAGCATATATGTTTATTGGTAATTGGAATATAATTATTTTGCTTAGATTAAATTTTTAAATGTAATCATTTTATATTTTAGTATTTTCAGCTTACAAGTTAAAGATTTTGTAGATATAATTATATAGACACAACAAAAAACATTACTTCAGATACTAAAAATGTATATGTATGTAGGTGGGTATCTACTTAATAAGTGTTGTTTTACGCATATGGCGTATACTGACTCAAGAGCGGAGTCATTTTGTCTCATATTTAAGACGTTTAGCTAGAGTACAGATAATTGAACTATATAAATCATTTTAGACGAATCAATATAGTACGCAATATATTATAAAGAAAATATAAAAATAATTTAAAGACTTTTTATAATGATGATCGTAGGTTGTTCCAATTCAAATATTAAACTCGTGTAGTACCTACTTACTAATATTACTCGACTGTACTGACCCTTGCACTCATTTGTTAATGATTCACAATTGGTTGGCCTTATACTTATGTTTATTGTTGCGTGTGTTCATATATAATATACAAGAATAGGTTATAAACTAAAAAAAATTATATTTTTTTGGTTCCAACTGAGCTTATGTTGACAGTAGGTATAATTCTACCTAATACATATAGTATAAAAATTCAAATGTATACATTAGGTAGGTATATTAGGTACTAATGGTTTTTACCATTTAAATTTTTTACTGGTAACACAAAATCATGAACTACACATTTATTTTTTATGAGTATTACTATAACCATACCATTGTATAATCTATAATAGTCTATTATTAGTAGAATTATAGAATGTCGAACTTAAAAAGACGTCAAATACAAAATCGACAGAAAAAGCGGTAAATATAAATATACTTCTTTATTGTGTATCTTGAATTCATATTTTTATAAATTAAATTACTCATAAACTCAATGTTTGTTAATTTTATTTTCAAGAGATACTGAAGATTCATTTTTCTTGAATGATACTAAATTTATTAAGGATTTTAGATTGTCCAAATAATGCGTGCATTATATTATTAACAAAGTGAGGCCTCATATGACATTAAAAAAACGTTCAAATGGTCTATCATAAACAAGAAGGGTAGGTTACTTATTGTTTAATTTGACAACAATAATTTATTTTCAATTAGTTTCGGGTTCATAATCAAAAAAATCTGTCATTATATTGTTTTGGTTTTCACTTATTTGTGCCATTTAGATGTGCAATTTTTAATTGTTACAAACAAAAATAGCAAATATGAATTAGTATAACCATATTCCATAAGTACTTAACTTTCAAAACAGTGTTGTCAAAACATTTAATTCTATTTTTATTTTTGTGTTATCAAATTATCGAATTGCAAAGAAAGATTATTTTTAAAGTGAGTTGTGCGGTAACAGTGATATGATAATGATACTCGTGAGATATCAGTGACAACAGTGTCTCAAAAATTCTTCTCATTGTAAGGTTATAAAGTTCATGAAACGAGATGATTGTGATATGTGGTATGAATCGGATGACTCACTTTTTCTTAAACCACCTCCCTGGTATATGCAAGGTGGGAAATTGGGTCAAGTGAAAGTTTAGAACGAGGGTGGCTGATCTCAAATAGTTGGGATGAAGGCAAAGGAGGAGAAGAAAAAGAAGATATCATCGATAAGAATGGAATGATTTATATAATTGAGTTTTAATATTGCGACGTATATTAATGTAGGTATATGTCATAACATGAACAAAATCACTTTAGTAACACAGACTAATAATCACGGTCTGCGACTTATTATGTATAATTAAAGTATATACGTGTTCTTTAATGATATGATAAGAATAATAAAATGGTAGCATTTAATATTTACTGTTTTTTGAGTATCTTAACTATGACATTTTATACTACTGTGTATAGGTTTATACTATATATTATATTTGTCCCAAGGAAAAAGTCTTTTATACTTTTTTTTAATGTAATTTTGTTCACTTTATTTTTTGCTCCCGATTGTATAAGTGTATATATTTTTAAAATATTAGTGTATTAGTTTTTTTTATGTGCAGTGTGCATGTATTTAAAAAAATTTTTATTTACTTGTATTGAGAATTAAACAAAATTTACATAAGCACTTTCTTCATTCAGGGAACTACAGACATTATGTCACATGTATATCGTGTAGTTATTATCCGTTTTGCGAAACGTTAAAGGTCGCTACATTCTATACGTGTTTAGCATTTCGTGTTCCGTGTTTTCACGTTTTCGAGTATTTTCATGAATAGTGTGTGAAGCTTTTACACTGAACATTTTTTCGTGAAAACGGTGTTTTGTGACCGAGACGGTAAATTGATGAAATCAAAGGATACGAAAAAATAATTTTGTATTGTTTCGAGTCATTTCATTGTGTTTCACGTTGCGTTTGTTTTCGTAAACACTATATACTTTTTTTAGTCCACCATCTTCGTATTTTAGTTGTTTTTTTTTTAGTTTTGAAGCCAATACAATATAAATTGCACTGAAAATTGATAATTTATCTTCGCTATCACTATTTATTTTTATTTAAAAAAAATGAACGAACATCCTCTATGTTGATACGACTAAACGTAATTAAATAACAGTAAGTACAACAGTACGAAATACTGCGAAACGGAAAATGTGAAATACCAAATGTCAAAACACTCATAGTGTGTATACTTTTTGAACGAAACACTATGAAACACTACGAAACGTGAAATACGCGTAGTGTAGAGCAACCATTAGCATCCATTTCAAGAAATGGAACCGTGGGTTCTCCACTTTGCATAATTAGTAATTCACAATAAGGATTAAATTTAATATATTGGATACTTCAACTATGTATACAAATACAACAGAACTTGTTTCGTCATTTTAATTTTCATATAGCGGAACAATACATTCCACTTATTAAACTTGAAGAGTAGAGAGGTATGATGTGTACTTTTTTTTGTGCCCGTGAACAACTTTTATTTCAGAAATCTTGTTCCAATATATCAAGTGTTGCAGCTTTTCTGAAAAGTAATTTTGTCTAGTTGATGTATTGAAGAAGTAATTTTTTGATTTTCCAATGGGTTTTCATAATAATTGGGAAAAACCAGAAAACATTTTTTCGAAAAAACGCAAATATTTAACGTCGTGACGTTACCGATTTCATTGTATTTAATTCCTACCAGAAATATTGCTTCAATTGAAACATGACAAGTGATCGTTTTTTTTTCTTTTAATATATGACTACTAATCAGTCGCATGCACAGGGGTTAGGAGTTATATCTTCCCTATTGGCTTGAAAATACAAATAAATATGAGTAATCAAATATCAAAACGCATATATTTTAACTAAGTTACGTGGAAAAGCTAGATGCATTGATTATAATTCGGTTTTTTTTTTAGGATCCAGCCTTTAAGTTACAAATTCTCACAGTCGAGTAGACGATTATATGAATAATTCACAATTCTTATTTGCTTCATCCCCTCCCATTGAAAATTTCTCAGCACGCCACTGTCACTGATAAAGAAAGTCATTTATTAATTTTTAAAGAAGTTTTTGTAATAATAGGGAAAAAAAAACAAAACGAATAATACAATTTTTTCAATTTACAGTACAACGATTCCGTTATTTAAAATTGTTAAGATTATATTTTTCTATCAAAAATCTTTGTCTAAATTTCAAGAATAAAATATTTTCTGAAGGAAAATTTTGTCTAGTTTATGAGTAAAAAAGTCTATGTTTAATTTTTCCTGGAGTTTCCCAAATAGTTACAAAAAAACGTAGGAAATACAGCATGTGTACGGTATTTTGTTTTTGTTTTGTTTTTTTTTTTTTTTTGTTGTTGTTATTCGGTAAAAATTATTATAGGAATTTGTATTGATCTTTTGTAGATATGGTAAAATTTTGACGAAACTCGTAATTATTACGGCCTTTTAAAACATAACATCGAACTTCGCTAAGAATCGTTTTTCGTTAGCAATAATTAATCACATACAGATATACATTAAATTCCACTCTATATATCCTACCTTCCAAACTTCTTACTTACAACAGTGGCCCACCCATCGTGGGAAGTATGTCCGTCTTTTTACAATTCATGTTTCCTACTAAAAATCTTGTTTTAATCAAAAAATGATAGATGACCTTGTATGTAGAATTTTAGATCTATATAGTTAGTGATCAAAAAATCAAGTTTTGATTTTCCAAGCGGTTTTTACAATATTTTCGAAAAATTGAAAAAAAAGGCAAGAAAAACGAGAAAACGAGAATTGATTTTATTATTTTCAATATATCTTTTGCTGTAAAATAGACAAAAATAATCATAGAGACTTAAAATTTGCATAAAATATTAATATTTAACTTTTCCAGATGTTAATAAATTTCAAAACCTTCTAACGATTTTTGAGCTGTTTATAAACATTTACTTTAATAATAATGTAAAACATAGTTCGCAAGTGGATACAGCTACTGTTGTAAGTAGGGAGTTGGGAAGGTAGAATATAGACGGGAATTTAATGTATATCTGTAACAATGATTAACCATTACTAACGAAAAAAAGATACTGAGCGGAATTGTGTTGATAGTGTTTCCTTGTCAATAATATTAACGTCATATTTTGGTAAAATAATTAAATATGCATTAAACATTCTTTTTAATAATATTTGTTTAATATTGTACATATTTTTCCGTTTTCCCGCTTTACCTCCTTTTTATCAGGTTTTTCCAATATATTGAGAAAAATTCTGAAAAAATCAAAAAATAATCTCCATAAAGTACCCCATTCAGATTTCCTTTTAGAATTGGAGCTATATTTCTGGTGTGAACGTTGTTTACAGATAAAAAAAAAATACCTAATACCTATATTTACCTAATAATAAACATCATTATAAAACCATAAGCTTCTCCTTTCCACTCAAAATCTAAAAATACTAATTAATCAAGCTGTTTAAAATGATTAATCGTTGTGTACAGATAAAAATTAAATTCCCTTGTATATTCTACCTTCTCAACTTCTTTCCTACAACAGTGGCTTAGCTATCGTATGAAATATGTCAGTTTATTTTAAAATTATATAAGGCTGGGAAATTAAATTAAATTAAAAATTAATATATATTTTGAACACATCAATTGATTCAAAAATTAAGTTAAAATATACCATTAACTTAACTTAACATCAATTAATACAATTTATTTTACTTCAAATAAATATTAAGCTTTAAAATCTGATTTAAATCTAAACTAGGTACTTATACCTATCTTATCAATTTAATTCATAAATTATATTCTCATATCTATTATTTTATGTTTTCTAATTATTAGACTCTTGTGGTTAAAATCAATTATTTGTTTTTGGGAGGGAACGAAATAATTAAATTTAATATTAATAATTAATAAGAAAAAAAAGGTGGATATACTTCGCATAATGGGCGGACCACTGTTATAGATGAGAAGTTGGGAAGGATCCTACCTTCCCAACTTCTCATTGAGGGAAATTTAATGCATATCTGTACCTAATCAAATTTAAGTATTGCTAACAAAAAACGACTCTGAGTGGAGCTTGGTTAATAGTATTGCTCAAGGTTGTCATCGGCTCAATTCCATGGGGGGGGGGGGCAAACAATTTTTACTCATGAATACCACCGCTTTGGTCAACAAAAACTTAAAACCTTTAAATCTGATAACATTTCAACTTATATTAGCTTAGAAGAATGCAGATGTATGTACAAATGCAGTCAAACAGTACAATTTGATAGTTTAATTAATTTTTTTAACATAAAATAAATTAAAATAATGCTAATATGAATAACAATAATAATAATTAATAAAATATAGATAACGCAAGTCCAAAATACCTTTATTTTAAGTAGCGTTTTGCAAGCGGTTTGATCAACAATATTTTCTGTATTAAAATTTATTTCGATTGATATTTAAAAGTGATAAGCCAGTTAGCCTCTACTTAAATTTTATTTTTACCACAAAGTACGAATTTTAATGAACCTCATGTTAAATTCTCAAGAATTTCTGTTTTGTCTAACAATTCTATTCACTGAGTAGGGACCTATCGACGTACAAAACTCGCAAAATTAAAAAGTCTATAAATTGCTCAAACATTTTACCACGTCAAGAAAAGGCGAATAAAGGTTTTCTGTCCAAATTTCAAGTTTCTACGAATAGTTTTAACTGAATTACAACAAAAATCAAAATTGAAAATAATAAAAGCGTTATTTTCGTGAATTTTTCCGTTTTTCTTACGTTTTATCCTGGGTTTTCCTGATATTATGAAAACTGCTTGGAAAACCAAAAAGTGACCTTCCTAGAGTACCATTTTGTCAATATGACAATATTTTTCTTTCAAAAAAGGCGCTACAATTACATTCCGAAGCAAGATTTCTGGTAGATATTTTAAATACAGTATAAAAAAAAATCATTGTAAATCCAATAGGTAAATTCTTCGCTACAACTACACTCAGAGTCTAAAATTTAAATTAAATTAATACTTTCTTATTTGATTTTAAAAATATATTATTTTATTACATCTTTGGGAATTGATTGTTTCCACTTAGTTTTCCATAAATTTAATCTCACACTTGAGAGAATATTTATTGAAATTTATAAATGAGAAGTGTTTCATTCTTGTTTTAATCAAAGTATTCCCAAGATCCTGAATTATATTGATGGCATTTGGAACCAGTTGAATTTGCACTTAAGAACTATGGATATAAACAAAACTTTGTATAGCAACAAAAAACATCATACGATTTATAAGGAGGGGCGATCGCCCCCTCGCTCCCCTCAGGAATGCGCCTGATGTTTAATTTCACTCTTTTTAAAGTCGTACTTAACGGCCGTGACATTTTCTAAACAGTGTTATCATATACACATTCACGTGGTAGATGTTTTGGCATTTTTTTTTATTTTAGTCCGTGTCTTTTCTTTTTAAACTTGGCAATTAAACTTAAACTCTCTTGTTGGCACATCAAAATATGTGTCATATTACTAAATTTAGATAGAATCGTATGCTGTTTTCAGATCGCCCGATTGAGAGTTTAGTTAGGATTAAACGGAACTAATCTGCGCCTTTTCCTAATGTTTTGTTTATCTCTTCGTTTAAATTACTAAACTGTCATATATTATTATTCACACTGCAGCGCATTTTGATTAAATTTAATAAATTATACGATGTGCGAACATCATATGTATAATAGCTAATATACCAATTATTATTTTGTTTATATTTTATTTGGTTTATTTACTTTTTCTGTTTAAATATTATTATTTATTATAAAGTTATTATTAACTTATAAACCAATAGGTAAATATTATAAAGATGATATTTATTTGATTATTTAAACACTAAAAATCTTATATTCTATAGTTATTAGAGGTCAGTATTATTGAGAAAAAATAATGATGAATGCGGACTTTGTACAGTTCTTATACAATATGATTATATAAGTATAGTTGATATCTATAGATGGTATCTACCTTCCTAAAACTATATTTTAAAATGTTATTATAATTTTATTAGTGACCTATGAAAAAGCTTCCATATTATGCAATATTGGATAAGCACCAAATTGTGTATAGGTTATAACTTATAAATAATGTTATTATAGTAAATAATAAACAACGTTATGTATATAATGTGGCAATCAATTGTTTCGAATTATATGGTTATTATTGTATTTTACCTTGAGTAACCTACACAGTTTAACGATAATATAATTACATAGCTACTGTACAGGTAGTTATATATTATACTATTTATGCGGTTAATGGATAAGTATAAAAGTATTTTCTGTCAAAAAAGAAAAGATATTTTAATTTTAATATAGGTACTATAGATATATTATTACTTATTATTGATGATTTGTTGCTGCAAAAAACTGAGATGAATATATTATAGGTACAACTATAATTTTAAATCGGTATTAGTATTTATATTTTAGATAAAAATATTAAATTATTGTTACCTTCCTATAAGAACTATACAAATAAATATTTTATATTAACAAATATTATTATATCGGTGAAGCATAGACAATTGAAAATATTATCAAGTAAGGTCAGTATAGATATCCACTTGATAGAGGTCATCGACCACTAGGACCACACCGATACCACGGCATAATCTATCCTCTGATTCTCCAGACTTTCCAGTCTGACACTCATAATTATTCCGTTTTCCGATTACCTGTCTTGGTGTTTGATTCCTGAATATAACCTGTTTTTTTGGTTAGACTTTTAACCCCAATCTGAAGGACCAGAATACCCCAAATAATTAGGGTACTACTGCAGCGCACCGCGATCGCAAGTACACGGTGTGATTGGAACGCCGCTTTCCTTACCCTAAACTTTGGAGGAAAGAGCATTAATATAAAGTCATAAATTCTCGAATGTTGAGATTTTGCTTAAACCATATCTTCTTTATAAAAATGTTTTAAAGGAAAAAAACAAATCCCTACAAGTAGGTATGATCAATTTAAAATAATTAATTTTAAAGATAAGTTTGATTTTAAATCGCTTCAAAAATATTATATAGTTAACACGTTATGACGAATGATATTTATGTCGGTAGTTATTATAGATGTTCATCATAATAATTTATTTATTATTGTTATCTCGAATACAACTATATATTATAGGTACCTACCTACATTATCTGTACGTACTTAACTTAATTTGCATACGTTCTACATTATATATTATGTATCCTTATATTATTATAATAAATTCCCTGAATTATAATTTTTAATAAAGTAATAAATTAAAAATTAAAACATCTTTTATGTAATTTAAATTGGACATTACTATTTTTAGTTGAAAATTTTAATGACACCTATTTTAAATAGCAAATGTTTCCTAATATATGTAAATAATAAATATAAATCAGTAGGTATAGCCCAACTTCTTTTAAAAATTAATTATAAAGCCGTTTCATTTTAGGCCAAAGTTTGATTGCCAAACTGAATAAGTACTTTATTACAGACCTAAAAACCCTATGCCAACTATAATGTTGGACATAAAATGGCCTGTATCTAGTTATTGGGAACTTAATATGAATTTCACTTGATTACATTTTTAGGATTTGGGCGCCACTGGGTATAGACATTATAATCAAATGAGTATTATAGTTTGCTTAGATTAATTACTTAATTACTACTGTGCGTTTATTCATTGACATTTTCTGTACATATATAAGAAGGTATCTAATATGTGAATATATATAAAAAAATTGTTTTTATATTGTTCTTGTTTGTATCATTTATTTATTTTTAGATTCTGAACGAAGCAAGGAATGTATTGGTTTTACAATAACGTTTTTTTCTTTTTTTATACTCTATACAAAACGTTTATCATAAATCTTGCTCCGATTTTTAAGGATAGTATCTTTCCTGAAAGAGAATTTTATCTGCTAATTGCTAATGCTAATTTAGGGAAGTCAGTTTTTGACTTCCCAAAGGGTTAATAATTGAGAATACCGGAAAGAAAATTATAAGTAAAACAGCAAATATTTAAAAAAATAATGCATTTATTATTTTCAATTTTGTTTTTTTGTTTGAGACTTGAAATTTTTAACAAAAACTTATATTTGTTTCTTTTAGATATGGTAAAAGTGTCAAAACATTTGTGCCATTTTTGAGCTATTTGTAGATATTTTAATTTTACGAGGTTTTTTTACGTAATATTTATTCGGTAGATACTCTGTGGATACTATTGTTAGACCAAACAGAAATACTTGTAAATTTAACAGAAGGTTCATTATAAGTTATACTTAGTGAACAACAAGAATCAGTTGAGTTTAATGTGTACCATTTTTTTGTTATACGAATTTTAAAATCAAAATTTGACGAAAATCGTAATTATTATGGCCCTTTAAAACATATATAACACCGAACTCCGCTAAAAATCGTTTTTCGTTAGCAATAATTAATCACATACAGATATATTTTTAATTTCTCTCTTTATATCCTACTTTCCAAACTTCTCACTTACAACAGTAGTTCCCACTTATCGTAGGAAGTATGTCCGCCTTTTTACAATTCATGTTTGCTACCGAAAATCTTGCTCCAATCAAAAAATTGCAGACGACCTTTTTTTATAGAGTTTCAAATCTATGGTTAGTGATCAATAAGTCAATTTTTAATTTTCCAAGCGGTTTTTATAATATTTTCGAAAATTTGGAAAAAAAATATGGGTAAACGGGAAACCGGGATTAATCGTTACATACAGATATACATTAAATTCCCTTTTATATTCTACCTGTTCAACTTCTCACCTAGAACAGTGGCCAACCCATCGTGCGTTGTATGTCCGTCTATTTTATTTAGATAGGTATGTATTCTCTTTTTGTTATGATAATAAGTGTTCGATATTATAGTAATGGGTATACAGAACTACTTAAACGTGCGTTTTAAAATGCATAGTACTATTGTTTTTCCGTATTACGCGTAACAGATATTCTGATCGTTCCAAAACAAATTAAATTTTCATTGACCTTAAACTTAATAGGCAGTTGACTATAAATCAATACGTCATATTATTCATGTTATTATAATCTGACAATAAATCTTCCCGTTGAAGATTTCTGTGGCATAGTACAAGGACCAACGTCAAAAAAAAAAAATGTATTACAATAATTATAGACTTGACGTCAAATTTTTATATGTACATTCATTTTTTTGAACTTCCAATTCCTTTTCTATTTTCAATTTATTTTCATGCATTTTTTTTTTTTGTCATTGGCCTTTCTTGCACTAAGCCACAAATATATATCCATATATAACTGGGGGTATGGAGACTTGATTTGCAGTATACTTAGTTTGATTTTTGATCGTATGATAGAATTATAATAAACTATTAGGCATTTCATTACTAATTAACATGTGTATTACTCATAATACCGGAAATGCATGAAATTATTGGTCATGCACCTGATTTTGGATAATTTACGCATTATTACGCATTGAACAAATTCTATAAACAAATAATGTACCCATTAAACGGGCCTAATGAATGAACACGGTGCACGTCACATTAGTTCAACGGTCACAGACAATTTTTATCGACTCCGATGATAAGAACTACGGCGGGGCGTGCACTAACCGCGTGTAATTATAATACAGATGCCGACATCAGTGTACGGTCGAACGGCATAAATGACACACATGTTTTGATAATATATTGTTATTATAAATTTTAATTTTTAAACAATATTTTGTAACGAAATTAAAATATTGTACTTTTTTTATTATCAATTATATCTTATTTTTCGTATTTTTGTTGTATATATATATATATAGTGTCCGGCAGAATGTATTATATTGCAGTATTGAATTATCCAATTGGTTTTCTACAATAACAGGACCCCGCGCTGTCTGAAATATTATACAAATTTTAAAATTGAAAAAGAAATTTTCATTTTTTTCCATCCACGTTTTTAAATTTCATTGCATCATTATGAATAAGGAACCGCCATATTCGCCGAAATACTCTCCGGTGAACATGCGCAACGAACGTATCGGTTCTACTGCTGAAGCCAAAAGCAAAAATGTCGACGATGACGGGTACGTAAGCAAAATGAAATTATTCTTGAACAGTCCATTGCCGCTGGCTAAAAAACCGTCAAAGAGTAAAACTACATCTAAGAGTTGCCGTTGTGAGTACCTTTTTCATATTTATTACCTTATTAAATTTCTAGTAAAAATAACTACCTTTAAGTTTAGATTCAGATACTCAAAGGTTAAGTGTATACCTATATGAAATTTAAGTCTTATATTTTGAAATGTTCACTATACATTTTTGAAATTTAAATTTATTGTACACAATATCTACAATATCTATATAATCAATTCACTAACACAAAAATAAGTACATTAATCACTCTCGTTTTGTTCAAAATGACAGACATTGCTTTGTATTAAATTAAAAAATAAACTAATCGCACCCTGTATTGAAATTGTTCTGAAATTTGTGTGATGAAATTCAAAAATGGTTAAAAGTTGTATAGTCTATATACCTATACAATTATAAAATAAGTAAATTATCAGATAATTTTATAAGTTACAGTCAGTGGCGAAACGAACCTAAAATAACCCAGAAACAACGCTGGTATAATCCACCTAGTACCCGTCCGCCAATAATTCCAACATTCCTATTATTTTTTACCAAATTCGCAGAAAACGTGTAGATACTGCTGATTTATTTTAGTTATTTTTCGTGTCAAGCTCACCCCAACGAAATCGAAAATCTCGCCGCTTCTCAAAGGCCGCGTTCGTTTCGCCATCGGGTACAGTGATGATTGATGAAAGAACATATGGGAACTTATCGTAAGACACTCATTTATTTTTAATTTTTTTGATTCCGAGTGAAACGAGGAATGTATTGTTTTTACAATGATGTTTATTTTTTTTATATGAATACTTTTTCTATCAGAAAGCATACTCCAGTTATCAAGTATAGCACCTTTTCTAAAAGAAAATGTTCTCTGGCTGGTACTCTAGAGTGATCATTTTTTTAAATTCTCATTAATATTCGAGGTAATGCGAAAAACCTCGGTCTTTAGGTTAGAAAAAAATTAAAAGATTAAAAATAAGGTTGTCATTGGCAACCATTTTTATTTATTTTATGTTATTATTAAATTTGTATTATTTTAATCTTTTTTAAACAATCATTGTTATCATGGAAACGCACATTGTTGATTTCATTTTACCATAATATGGCATATACCATATATTGTATTGTTGACAAAACAACACTATCAACTGAAATTCGTTCAGAATCGTATTTTCGTTCGCAATGGTTTATCGTTGCTTACAGATATACATTACATTTCCGTCTATATCCTACCTTCCCAACATCCCACCTACAACAATGGATGCACTCACGTTTGAAGCATGTCCGTTCTTTTTCTATTTATTTACGAACAAATTGTCCAATTTCAAGTATATTTATAATAATGACAGTTATGAATAAAGTAACATTTTCAACGTTAATGAACTTAATCAATACATAGCAATATATAAGAATAACTATAATAATGTATAAAATAATCACATTTAATAGTTAATAAATAAATATATAGACAACAAACAATGAAGTATAAGTTAATACAAATTATGAGAATATAAATTACTTGAATAAATTATGATCATCAAGATTGTTACCATGAGACATTAAAATATTGATTGGGTGATTTAACATGTAGTTTTTTGAAGCCGGATGAATAGAAAATAAATGGTTATTTCGAGTGTTAAGTTAGGTATTTTGAAGTTTATCAAACTTAATATAAACGAATCATTAATTTCATTATTCAATCATTTAAAGAGAAAAGAGTTGTAACTATTAATTCTGCGTTCTTTTAAAGTATCTATTTTCAAGGTTCCTATGTTTTCATAACCTCTGGGGAATTCTATCTCTATTACATGTATAGCATATAAAGGGAAGCAATTTATTTGAAAATTTTTTTAAGTTAGTTATTGTGACATGTTATTATTATTCCAGACTATCGATACGTATTTTAGTAAGGATCGGATAAGAGAAGTATATAGATATTTGAAAGTAGATGGATCGTTAAATTTTAAATTTAACATATTAGGTTCTTCAAGATAAAAAAAAATCAATCTAGGATAAAAAGCGGTAGGCAAAGCAAATTTTGATAAGTTTATGGATTAATAACTAGTAATTTGTGGTTAACTCTATCAAAGGCTTTTTCGAAGTCTTTATAGATAACATCTGTTTACTAATGATTTTTAAAAGAGTCTAAGATGTGATGTTTGAGGGTTATTAGATTAGTAATAGATGATTTATGACTACGAAAACCGTGTTGTTCGGATATTAAAGTATTCTTAAAGAGAGAGGTAATTTTAAAAGTTATAATTTTTGAGAATATTTTAGGGATAATAGAAATTATTGATATTGGGCGATAATTTGAAACTATGGATATATTTCTTTTTTTAAAGATAGGAGAAACAAAGATTAATTTCCATATGGAAGGAAAGAATCCGTTTTCTATAGAGGTATTGAAGATTATACTTATGCAATGAAGGAGCAGACAAACTTGCAGTTAGATACAAATATAGGAGAAAAGCTATCTGGTTCGATAGCCGTCTTATAACTTGGGTTCTCAAATTCATGTAAAACATTAAGTTCGATGTGTAGTTCATTTATCATACTAGAAGATTCAATTACATCATAAAAGAAACAATCTGCTTTAAAATAGTATATTTCCGTTATCTTTTGTCTCCCTTATTTTTAAGGGTTGAAATTGGGTTGAAACCACTACTCAGTTTTAATTTTCAAATATAGCGACCTATATTAAAAATTGCATACATAGATAGAATATAAGTTAAAATAAATAAATAAAATAAATTTGTGTGGACATTTTTAACTTTCGTCAACCTGTTGACAAAATATTCCACTTTTAGCTTTGGATAGGAGGAGAGTAATAGAGAATAATTTGTGTGATGGCGTGGCGCTTGGCATTTGAAAGTGTTTCACTTCTCTCTAAGCACAAAACGGCTTACTAAAAAGTGGAATATTTTGTCAACAGGTTAACGGGTTAAACATTTCAACAACAAAATTTATTTAAACAAAAACTTCATCTAGAGAATAAAAAGTGGTTAATGGTTTTACCCACCCCCTCCAAATAAGAGTGAAAAAAAGCAACAGTAAGGTAGAATTTTAAAGCTACTTGGTTTTTTAAATGGTATAAAACACAAATTTCCAAAAAGTGAATACTTTCCAAGATAATGAGTGTTTTACGTTATGTTGGTCACGCTGTATGATATATATATATGCATTTTTAATTATATTAAATTAAACAATATCGATTTCTTTCGATATCGAAACTGGTTTGTAGTTAGGTACCTATTATAAACAAATTATTAAACTAATATAGCATGTTTCTTTTCAATTATTTTATACCAAATCATGACTAGTCTATTACAACAGACGATCAATATTACTCAATCGATTTGTATGAAATAAATATAAACTATAATATTATTACTTATAGAACTAAGTAAGTAGTAACTGTTAATACATTTTCTTTAATGACTTTTTTTCAATACACCGATGATAATATAAAATGCGCCTTCTTTTAGAGATTTTTTTATTTATTGTAATTTTCTTTTTAGTCAATAATAATAACATCGAAGTAAACGTACCAAAAAAGGTACCTAATTTGAATATATATTTTTGTGTTATTAATGTAATATTGTACATTGGTACATGCATTAGTTTACATTACTGCAATCACTGCTGCGATTAATGATGTATAACTGTATGAAACAATACCAAAAAAAAAAAAAAAAAACGTTATTCGCATATTACTATTTACTATTGATGAGCTTCATGGTCAAACATTTACTTTAAAATTAAAACCATTATTTAAATCACGCGCTGAGGTAATACGTTCCAATTTAAATAGAAATTGTATACGTTTAAATTTAAATTGGAAGTAGCTAAATTAACACAAATATTATATAATGAATACAGATTTTATAAACTCGTTATTTAATTGTTCATTAAGAGGCAATACCCGCATGCCGCTCTCAGTCCAACTAATGGACAATATATAGCAAAATCTACTTTTCACAAACTGCGTAGAACCCTCTTAATTTTGGTTTTAAAGTAAAAGCTCTTATTATAAAAATTGAAAGAGAATAATAATCCTGAGAGCAAAAATATGCGTTTCTTTTTTTTAAGTTAATTTTTTTAAATGTTGTAGTCATTTGAAAAGAATGTATTGAAGTTATATTCGGAATAATAATTAGAATAATACGAAAAAAGCAATGTCTTGCCCTCTGGAATATTATCCTATTTTAATTTTATAATTTTTTTTTTATTTAATTATTAATTATTTTACTCTAAAATCAAAATTAAGCGAGTTCTACACAGTCTGGGTTTGGTAAATTTTTCTACATCACTTATTAGTTAGACTGAGACTGCTCAGTGCACATGCATCCTCTTAATGGCAATTTAGTCGGTTCTCGATAAAAACATATCCAAAATACAGCATACTAATATAATAATATCGAAAAATATGAATTGTCTCCTAAAATGTTTCTGAAAAAACGGCATAAGTATACTCTTATGAGTATTATTTATACATAGGCACAATTATACAATATATTTCAAATTTGTTTAGTCTACTAAATATATTGTTAAGTACTTACCATGATTTGGAATAACATTTTTTATAATACGAGTATATACGAGTAAAGAAATATAAAAAATTAATGAATTTCCTACATAGGATAATACACTTTTAGATAATGAATGGAGCGAAGAAATTTAAGATTTACAAAGATGTTTATTTTTTAATTTTTTTTGTTTTTCTATGAACAAATTTTCTACCAGAGATCTTGCTTCGATTTTTAAGTGGATAGGACTTTTTCCGACTTACAATGCACTTTTTATTAAAGGAAATTTAACCAGAAAGGTACTTTAGGGAGGTCATTTTTCGATATTTTCTCAAGAATTGGACATATGAACAATGTGAATAACCGAGAAAATCGGTACATTAAATAAATATATAATGCCTATTTAATTATTTTACCATATTATAATATATATATATTGTTGACAAAGCACTACATCAACTGAACTCTGCTTAGAATCGTTTTTTCGTTAACAATGGTTTATCGTTGCTTACAGGTTATACATTAAATTGTATACATTTTATCCTAGGACATATTTTTTAGATTTGTACAGTTCTTTCTTCTCTTTCGCCGTCATCTCAACTATTTAAAGTCAGCAACCCTCGTCCTAAATTTTTACATAAAGTGAATAATGTAAAAAAAAAAAAAAAAAAAAATAAATATGGTAAGAGTAGTTACCTACCTAAATGAATTACGCGGTAAATTGTGAGTTAGTTTTAACCATTATGTTTTATCATTATTTTAAATCAATTTCAAGGCAAATAGTAACAAAATACTCGTATGCGAATAAATGCAATGGAAATTGTATAGATACCTACATAATAACAATAATATATAAATAATAAAACTCAATTAATAAAATATTACGAAGTACTACTACATACGATTATACGAGTATGTATGTAAGTGGAAATCGCCACACACCAAGGTTTTTCTTATCTTATTGCTGTGCACACGTGCACCTAGCACAGCAGAAAAGGGTTCACATAGATCAAAGTGATCAGACGCATAAACAATAGAATATTGGAAGGCACATAAGTCGTGTGATCAAAAATTATAATGCAGATATAATTATCTTCTATTAATATATATTTGTATGAATAATATGTGGTTTGAAATATAAGGGTCCTATACAGTGTCATATACTTACTCAAATTTCAAATTAATAACTTAAATACTTCGAAGCAAATAAATAATCTAATAAGTAACACACATTAGGTACCTACTTATTATAGTGTACTGTGGCTGGTCGCTGGCGACTACTTGTGACTAATATACTTTAATACTAAGGAATTAAGATCTTGCGACAATTATAAATAATAGAAAATAACGTGTCACTAAAATAAGCCCGCATAAAATTCTTAACCTCTTAACTTCCGATCCTGAATTTTCGTAATAAATAAAACGTCATGCCATATCAATTATTATTCTATAATAAATATTATATTCTAAACAGGTGGGCGTCTATTTTAAATGATTTAAAAAGCATCAGATTAAATTTAAATTCTAATAAAATATCAATTTTGCATTATAGTTTACTATTCATAAATATTAAATCTGTAAATCATATAACATTTAATGTATTAAATCTCATTTAAATATGTACTTGTAGCAAAACGACACAAATGTCATTAAAATAGAAACGACCTTCATTAATATTTGTGGAATTCTAATAATTTAACCAAATTCAGAAATAGTTTTTAAATCGTTACACTACAATCATAGTAGGTATTTAGTATTTAATTATGTCTACTTATAAAAACAATTTGTCTACTTTTCTAATTAGAAATTCAGCAAATTTTCACAAATATTAACTCAAATAAACAAACGATTTCCAAACCAATTTTATCTACAATTAGTACAATATTTTGTATTAAAGCCATTCTGTGCTAAATGCCTGTCTACTACTGGATTGTCTTTATATTAATGAATTTCAATAGAAAGAATTCGCCAATCCTCAAATACAACAACCTAATGTGACCATTGTGAAGAAAAAAAATGTACAGAATGTATAATCCATAAATAAATCTTATTCGTAGCTCATACGTCGAATCAAGAAAAATGTGTTCTTTAAAACTTAACGTGTTTTAATTATAAAATATCCACACATATGGGTAGGTAACCTACCTAGATATACAGAGTGATTAATTTAAAAGGCTATACTAGATTTTTCTAAAAGTATTGACTTTTTTTCAAAAATTTTAGAAACAATCAGCTTTTAAGTGTTATATTTACATTATTTTTCGTCACCGTTATTTTTGGATGTGAAACGATTATATACTTTTGATTTTCAAATGGCAACCTACCTAAATTTCGAAATATCGAGTGGTAGCCACTTATTAACCTTATATACAGTGTACACATTATGATTTTATTATGAAATATTGTATGAACTTATTTGGGTTCACATATGCCGAAAATAATAATATTGGTAGGTTTAAAATTTTGGTGATAGATACTAATTAATTAAATGTGTTCTTTTATATGAAATAGATCAACTAATACACAGTTGATGAGTGTCACATTAAAATAAAAAGCTGCAGTTTAAGTATAATTATAATTTTTATATAATGAACGTATTGAGGAATGCATCAGTTTTATCATGATGTGTGTGATTTTTTTTTCTGTCTGTAGACAACTTTTCTATCAGAAATATGATTTCAATCAAAAAATGACGATAGAGGTTTTTTTTAACATTTTTTAATTTTCCGTGTATTTTTCATAATAATTAGGAAAAACTGGGAAAAATTTACTGCATTAACAGTTTCATTATTTTCGATTTTGTTTTTATTATTGTTATTTATTTATTGTTTGTAAAAATAACCGTGGAGAAATTTGAAATGTGCACACAATGTTTATATTGGCCTTTTTTAGACATTTTACCGTTTCGGCGCGGGGCCTTGTGTACCGGACGAGCGTTATGTGACAACCCGCTTTTGGATTGCAAGGTCGCTAACCTGGAAGCCGAGATCCGGGGATCGGAGCTCCAGAAATTGTATATAATACCGCTGAAATAGAAAAGGGGAAATATCCCTTTAACGTGCAGAAGAAAACAAACAGGGGTTAGAGGCACGAACTGGTTTTATTTAACATAATTCGCGAGAAAAGTCTCACGACATAAAAACTCGCACGAACAAAAAATAATAGAATAATAATAATACATAGACATTAAAATATTAACAGGTAATTTTTAGCAGGTAAATTTAGGAAACAAAAGAGAAAATAGGAACATGGTGTATAATGCGCGTAAAATAAATAGCTTCTCATATTATTGACAACGCGCGCTTGCGTTTGCCCGTGTTGGGGACGAGGTGTTCGCCACGCGATTAAGACAAGTTAAATGGACGGTCATGTGAAACTCACGATCATGAATCAGTAAATTATTTTTGTAGAGACTCGACCGGGATTACACGGTTTCCAAAACGTACAAATTATGACCGGAACAGAGGGTACTAGCGAGGGCATAGTTCCATTGTTGAAGTCCTAAAAACGGCCCTACGGCCAACCCAGTGAGGTGCGCTCCACTTCAGTGAGCGTTTTACGCGAAGGGGAAAAAATGAATACACGGACACTACACTCGTCACCAACAGTCGGCACAACATTTATGAGCGATGCGAGAGACGAGCAGAGAGTAAACAAAAATCGGCGGGATTTTGAACTAAGTGGGACATAACCGGTGAACGCACGGGTGCAGGAATATGACGAGAACAAAACGGAGTGGGAGAAAGAAAAATAAAACGAATAATAATAAAAAAAATAATACAATAACACAATCATGGTGATCGATTTTCGGTAACATCGTAGACATACTTAACACGAACTAATACTTAAATAGGAAAAAAAAATAACAAAAAAAGGTTGAGTACCGGCCAAGGAAAAAATCGGTAATTAAAAAAATGTCCATTACTTCACCCTATGGTCCACCATGGTGCTCGGACGCACCCGGAATTGAAAGTTTTCCTCAGCTCAACATCCTAATGCACAGGTGGACAAAATGAGACAGAGACGAAAAAAATAATGTTCCGTCGCGTGTCACCGAATTACCGTGGCTCTCGAGCAGTTGCGATAAAAATAATATAATTTTAATTGGCCGATACCTACTCCTAATCAGTTTTTACCTTTTACGTAATTTCCATATCCGCGCGGGCGGCATGTCGTTTGACGTGGACGCGGTAGATAGAGAATGAGTGGTGGTGTTTTGTGGACGGACAAACAGTGCGTTGGGTGCTCTCGCGCGTTGCGGGGTACACGGTAAAAATACCTATATCGGTACAATCGTACCGCTCGTGAGGTAAAAGTCACGTACCGGTTTTAAACGCCACAACATGGTAAAATTTTTAAAGAATTTTGGAGATTTTGAGCTATTTATAGGCATTTTACATTTCATAGTTTTTGTTTTTATTTGATTTTATGTGGTTAAAATTGTTTGTCAAACAATTTAAAAAGTGCTGTCAAATAATTGTTATTGAACAATAAAAATTCTGAATGAAAATTGTGTAAAAAAAAAGAAAGGAGTGTTGTAATAAGATGGAAAGTTTTATTATTCTGTACCTTTTAATCTGTTTTTTGATACTCGAATGACATCCTATATTCGAAATTCTATAGAGTATTAGTTCAAATAAATTTTAGTGTTGATATTTTTAATTTCAGTGAACCTGTTAACGAAATATTCCACTTTTTAGTTTAGGTTGAGAAATAGTATAGTAAAACACTATTTAAACGCCATGCGCTGTGCCATGCAACCACACAAGCGTATAATGTTCCCATTACTCTCCCCCAACTTGTACTTAAAAGTGGAATATCACCCCTATAAGGGCGTCTAAACATTTCAAGCGCACATATAATTTTAGATTTTTCTATTTAATACAAATGTTTCATTATTCTCTATTTTGTATATTTATATGAGAAAATTACTGTAACATACAATTCTGATCACACTGTATTTCAATATATTGGTATAAGTATAACTAAAAATTCTGTTTGGTATTGTTATCTATATATTAATAATTATGATTTATGACTAATAAATCATAAATAATTTTTTATAATTTACATCATTACTAAATAGCGCATCATCACAGATTATAAAATATTGTAATACTATCATTCGAACTGTTTTTTCTACTGTAGTTTAATTAGGTAAGTAATCATCTATGATGTTTATTTTTATTTATTGAGTAACTTTGCCCATCGTAATCTTATCAACTTAACACAATCTTAAAATGTTAATATTGTGTATTTTATAATAGTACCTACTCATCATATTTGTTTATCTATCTAAAGGATTAAATACACAAACAAATCACAAATATATATACTATATTATGTTCCTACATAATGTTTATTATGCTATTGCAATGACACACGACTACACGATTCATAATCTTACTATAGTTTAATGACATAGGTACCTAGTAAAATCAAATCGTTTAATCTATAATATAATTAATTTACCTATTAAATATAGTAATACGCATACGTTATTTTTCTGATTGTATTATAATATTTATTATTCGATCAACCTTAAAATCACACTTGTTATTGAATGATTTTCAGCAAAATACAATAAAAAAATAATAATTGAAATAATATATAAAATAATTATAGACATACATCGGGTTGCGTAAAAATCATTCTATAAACTATTGGTTATAACCACTTGCTTAGTCATCAGTATAAACATTTTATCCATGTCAAATTAAAACGTGATAATTCAATATCAAGTTATTATATTATACATTCTTGTATTTTAAATACAGTATATATATATTTCAGTATGTATATTTAAATATACTATATATTTTTAAAAATGACAAATGAAATAAAAAAGGATAGAAACTTCACAGTGGCGGAAAAATGCCTATTAATTGATTTAGGTTTACCACATTAAATAATTATTGAGAACATTAATTTAAGTTAACATTTTTACAACAATAAACAATAACAAAAGTAACTAGTAACTATATTTACTAAATTTACAACAGTAAATAGTCTCACAGACTAAGAAAATTAGTTACAAGAATATTGAATTAAGTTTTTTTTGTGATAAAAAAATTATAATTATTATCTAAATGATAAGATTAAACAGTTCTGCAAATTTTACTGAATTGAAATCGGCTCTACAACTTATCAATATAATAACTATGTTTTTGATAAAAGCTATCAAATTTACGAAACTGTTTTGAATTTTACGAAACCGATATGGTTTCATGCAACCCGGCAATAATATTGAATTATAATATTCACACTCGTGTATAGTTTAAATAATACACATCTGTGTTATCGTAATTGTATGATTCCGCCAATGAATTAATTTTATTTATTTATCAATTAAACATATGCGTTTTTACGTATACAAATTAAATGTCATGAGCGATTAAAAGGCACAGCACCAATACCCAGATCACTTTTGAGCAACGGAAGCATTTCAGATTTCACAATAATAAATGGGTACAATATTATGAAATAATAATATATTATCCTAATAAGTAGATAATAATTATATCAAAGAGTAAATGTCTATAAGTACTAGGCATTTGTAATATTCGTATTTTTCTAATATACTCATTTATCCATATATGTATTGATTTAAAATAAGTCGTCAATTAAATTGTAATACTTATACAATTTTTCAAGAATTAGCTGTAGCTCTATATATTCTGTAACTATTTTTACAGAACTTCGATGATTTTTTCTACTTTTTATAAATTCTGTGTATTTATATAGCTGTATTATGTATACACCGAATAGATTGACGAAGATACCATAGTAGTGAAGTTATTTTGAATATTTTAATGTCCTATATTAAATGTGTGATAAAATAAATAAATAATGTACAATTGTAGATAACATAACTACAAGGGCGAATTGGGATTATAGTTAGGCCCAGGAAAATGTATAATATATATTTACCCACTAGCAAGCAAGTTTGTATTTGAGAAGAGCAAAAGTATCTTGTTGCTGGAGGGGCTACTTGTTCAGTTTATTTAGGAGTAGTCAAATTTGTATTTACATATATGGCGTGATATTAATATATATATATATATATAATATTGCACCTTAAAAATCGACAACCAAAATAACCTATGCGATTATTATTTTTTATATATTTTATTGCCTAAAGTTTACAGAAGTTGATTTTATGATTATCTATAGATAATACAGTTATTATTCAGTTTCTTATGTATTATTGTTACTATTTGTCTCAGACGGCTTTGCCATGTCTATATAGAACGAAAAAAATTGTTTTAAAAATAATACGTTTTCACTATGACTTCCTGTTTCCATCCCTATCTCTATCACTATTACCTGTAGGTAACCACTTTATTTACATCCTTTAGGGGTTGAATTTTGAATAAATTCTTTCTTAGCGGTTGCCGCCCTAACCCCCGTACCGTATTTGCGCTTATGCTACAAACTTTTCTCGAACTTCAAAGAATATGAGTGTAAAATTTGATACCAATTAGTTTAGTAGTTTTCGAGTCTATAGACCCCGAACGAACATTCATTTTTATAATATATTATATTATTTATTGTCATCTTGTTTTGTGACGCTTTTTATGAAAAAAGGTCGAAGAACCTATAAAAGAAAAACGTTTACACATAAAATATATGTAGGGTGATCAATCAATCGTAAGACACTCATTATCTCGGAATTTGTTTTATAGAAAATTTAAGAAATAAGTAGTTTTACAATTTTACATTTTTGTTATTTTTTGCCACCCTTATTTTGGGGGTAAAACTACTACCTACTTTTGTTTTTCAAATAGCAACGGCAACTTATGTTAAAAATTCCATAAATAAATGGAGTTTTAATTAAAGTAAATGTTTGATTTCCGTTATCCGTAGACGTTCCACTTTTAGGTTTGAGTCAGAGGAGTGTAGTGAAACAGAAGCATCATTTGTAAGGCAACCTTTTAAATTTTAATAATACACTTCTACTTAACCTCGACTCAAAATTTAAAAGTGGAATATTTCGTTAACGGATTGACAGAAATCAAAATTGCAAATACCTACATTTATTTTAACTAATACTCCAGCTTCGCCATTTGAAAATCGAAAATAGGTAGTGGTTTTACTCCTAAAAATAAGGGTGACAAAAACATAAATGTAAAACTGTAGAGCTACTTATTTCTTAAATGTTCTATTAAACAAATCCCGAAAAAATTTGATACTTTCCGAGATAATAAGAGTGTCTCACGATAGATTGATCACTGTACGTATACCAATAATAGTTGCTTCAGCGGTCCATTTAACTTATAAGTATACGACCCATCGGGAATTTCCCGATTGCCCGAGGGCCCAATCCAACCCTGCATAACTATGATTAAATCTAGCAATACAATTTTATTTCTAAACACTCAAATATACCTTATCGTTTTTTAAATTTCTCAATATCCAAATATTTATTTATAATATAGGCAATTTATTACTGTATCAAATGAATTGAACATTTTTACTAATCTATTTTTCGTGACAAATACACGATTTATATAATTTATACTACAACGTTTACTCTCATTTCGAATTGAAATTTACAATTTTTATAAACCCAATTTTTTTTTTTGTACTCTAAAAATAATAATTTTAAGTTTTAAAATTATATTCCATACTTACAAGCATACTTATATTAAAATGTATCCTTGATTAATTTTTAAGGTGTGTTTATCTATGTAACTTTCTATCAATAAGACAAGTATCTTTTAAAGACAGTATAGATATTTATTGTAATATATTTGTTATCTTGTGTTTGTTATTTTGTTAAAATAAATTATTATAAAAAAATAATTGTAGGTATGTTTGTGTATTTTTTAAAAACTTCATTATTCCTACCTATAAATATGCAAATATTGTATTTAAATACTCGAATTAGTATGTTCTTTGCATATATGTTTGAATAGTGCTGTCAAAGCCCGAAAAAGCTTATATTGCGATCTAAACCCAATTTATTATAGGTACTACCCACCCAACGAACCGTATTACGAATCATACCATTGTATACATCTTGTAATAGGGAGCGTATTTTTTTTTTTAATTATTATTTTTAGAAGATTTTTAGGCTTCATGATTCAATCTATGGTTAAATCTATGAGATTTATCATCATATTATCATACGTTGGCTCACTCTGATATTAGGAGTTGGGGCCACTGCAAAGCATATATTATTAATTTTAATATACATGTATAAATTATTTAAAAATAAAATATATAAAATCCATTCTTTTGCTAATAAGTTTTTTAATTTGTATTTGATTGCAGATACCTGTACGATATTATTTGTAATAGGATTTTTTCTAAGTTTATTTCTTACTATATTCGTATGGTTTACAGATATGTACTCTGGAGAATTATTTAAGGTAATATCTTCATAAAATAATAATTTATATTAAAAATTAATTTAAATAAATGTATATATATAATAATATACCTATCTACTCTTTCTTAATTTTAAATATATATATATATATATATATATATATATATAGAAACTGACAATTCAAAATGGTAGTTTTTTATATGAACCGTGGAGAGAACCACCAGTCAAACCGTTAATGTGCATCAACTTATTTAACTATACCAACGTGAATCAATTTTTAAGCGGTGTGGATCAAAAACTCAAAGTGAAAGAAGTTGGACCTTATTGTTACAGGTGAATATTGAAATAATTTTCCGATATTAAATTTGGTTTTTATTTTATTTTTTGTTTATTTAGAGAAACTTTATACAGAGTAAACGTCACCGATCATAAAAATGGTTCTCAGACGTTCAATGAAATGAAAGTTCAAGAATTTGAATACGCATCGTCAAATGGAACAGATTCAGATATTATTATCGTACCTGATATTCCATACATAGTAAGTTGAAAAACAATGACATATGAATTAGTTTAGTTATTGTTGTTTAACTACACCATATACTATGTTTTAGCTATAATAATTTATAGTATGATAATATGGGTTAGGTACCTACTTATATGTCGTATATGTCAAGAGGAGAGGTCCAATACCTTCACACCGAAGTAGGAATTTAGAAAATCACGTACCTACCTATATTAGGGTAGGTATAAAACAATAAACGTCTATTTATGATGATTTTAAATTTCTTTCGTGTATGAATCAGGTTTATTAGTTCTTGAATATTATTACATTACGTCTTAAAAAAAATCTGTACATGGGATTAAAAAAATTAAAAATAATAATCCTATATTATTTATTTCTGTATATATTTCTGTACTTGAGCCTAACAGTCGTTAATTCAATAAAATAATAAAACAAGCCTTATCCACAATAATATTAGACAGTTGCCAGCTATTTGGATCATTTAATATAGTTTAAGCAGGTATATTAGTGAAATGGTATATTTTAGATTCTTATTGAAGCGAGGACTATATTGATTTTACAGTGATATTTATTTTTGTCTATGTACAACATTTCTACCAGTAATTTTGCTCCAATTTATAATAACAACACTTTTTTTAAAGTAAATCTGACTACGGGGGGTACTTTAGAATTTAGGGAGGTCATTTTTTGATTTTCCCAAGAGTTTTCTCAATAAATAGAAAAAACCGTGAAAAACGGAGTAAAAACAGGAAAATGTATGAATGAATAATGAAATGTATTAATAAAAAGACGGACATAATTCGTCCGATCACAATGAGTGGACTACTGTTATAGATGAGAAGTTGGGAAGGTAGGATATAAAAGGAAATGTTACTTATATATCTGTAAGAAAAGATTAATCATTGCTAACGAAAAACGATTCTGAGCGGAGCACTGTTAATAGTATTGCTTTTTCAATATATATATATATTACTATATATAGTAAAATAAATATAATGTATTGAAATAATTTGTATGAACAACTGTTCCGCATAATTTTGTATTAAACCGATTTTCGTCGAAAATTGATATTAAAATTCCTATAAAAAAAAATATAGGTACTACATTAAATTACATTTTTTTGTTTTAATCACAAAGTACAACTTATAATTAATATCCTATTCAATTTTCAAGCATTTCTGTTTAGTGTAATAATTGTATCCGTAGAATACATACCGAATAAAAATTACTCACAAAATTTAAAAGGTCTATTAATAGCTCAAATATGGCTCAAATCGTTTATAGTTTTACCACGTCTAAAAACAGCAAGTATAAGTTTTCTGTACAAATTCCAAGTTACTAGGAATATTTTTAACTAAATTATAAAAGCATTATTTTCGTAAATTTTCCCGGTTTTCCGACATTTTATCGCGGTTTTTCCCGTAATTTTTACGAAAACCACTTAGAAAATCAAAAAATGACCACGTAGAATGTAAATAAAATTTCTTTTCAGAAAAGGGGCTACACTTGATACATTGGAGCCAGATTTCTGGTACAAAAGTTTGCACAACAAATCTAGGGGTATTTTTCGATTAAAATAGTCTGAGCGAGCGATGGACTGGATCTCTAGGTGCACTAAAAATTTATTTTCTTCTGTTACCTAAACAAGGAAAAAACAAATGCAAAAAAAATTTTCGGAACTCGGGGTTTGAACCTGCGATCTCTGGGATGACAACAGGTAAGTATCATCACTAGACTACCATCGACAGACATACTTGAAATTGTTATTATTGTGTTATTTAACATAAAATATTATATATAACACCCGCATAATATCAGAATTTCAAAAAGCTATAATTTCGAATCTAACACGTTTTTAAATCAGTAATATACATATTCTGCTCAAAAAAAAAAAAAAAACAATAAAAATTGAAAAATTATATTTGTAGGTACTACATAATTTATACTCAAAAGATTTTCGTCAAAATTTGGTATTTCTTTATAAAAACAATACTACATTAAATTTAAATTTATTATTATGGACCTATAGTTTTTTTATACTAAACTATGATTATCAGCTAAAGCAAAAAGTAATTACAAAATTAATACAAATTAAAATTAATTTGCATCGCACATATATTGAGTGGTGAGGTCATATTATAGATTATAGTTATGGTTTGAGAGCGCCTGCTACATATCTAAAACTATGTTACAGTTAATTATTATAGCTGTCTATTATCACAGTTGTATAAATGCATGATTTAAATATTTTTAAAAAAAAATACAATTTTTGGAAAACGTCTAGAAAAAGTAAATATTATTTTTATGTCCAAATTTCAAGCCCATAAAGTCTATACGAATATTTTTGAATGAATTTCAATAAAAAATTTAAATTTTTATAAAAAGCTCAAAAGTCCCTCGAATGTTTTGAAAATATTACTGTCTAAAAAAGGCTAATATAAGTTGTCTGTCTATATTTCAAGTTTCTACGACTAATTTTAACTGAATTACAATAAATAACAAAATTGAAAATAATGAAAAGCATCATTTTTGTAAATTTCCCGTTTTTCATACGTTTTATCTCTGATTTTCCGAGATATTATGAAAACCATTTAGAAATTAAAAAAATTACCTACAAAAGTACCACCTGACTATACAGTCAGGTGCCACACGTACAAATCGGAGCAAGATTTCTGGTAAAAATTGTTTACACAGAATACGAAAAAAAATAAATAAATAAATAAACATTTTTGTAAAACCAATACTTTCTTCGCTAAACTCAGAATCTAAAAGTAAAAAACACGGACATAAGATGGGTGGGAAATTTTGTAGGTGAGAAGTTGGGAAGGTTGGATTTAGAAGGGAAATTTAATGTGTATATATCTGTTCTCAACGATTAACCATTACAAACGAAAAAACGATTCTGAGTGGAGTTCGGTTGATAGTGTTGCCTTGTCAACAATATATATGTCATATTATGATATAATATAATTACATATGCATTAAACATTTTCTTTAATAATATTTGTTTAATATTGTACATATTTTCCCGTATTCCCCGTTTATAGGGAAAAATCCTGGAAATATCAAAAAATAATTTCCGTAAAGTACCTCCTTCCCAGTCAGAATTTTTTTCAGAAAAAGTGCTATCAATGTAAATCAGAGCATAATTGCTGGTAGAAAAGTTCTTCACAGAAAAAAAATAAAATCATTAAATAAAAAATTAACATCATTATAAAACATACACATTCCTTGTTCCACTCGGAATCTAATATTTTGGTAATTTTTTTTTCCTGTGGATAACTTTTCTACCAGGAATTTTAAAAGCAATTTTATTACCAGCTATTCTATAAATGTGGAAAAACGTAAGAAAAACGGGAAAATAGGTACAACATTAAACAAATATTAAAGAAAATATAATATATTTTAAAAAATATATATATATATATATATATTACATATATTATATGTGATTATTTTATCATAATATGTCATATATATTGTTGAAAAAGCAACACTATTAATTGAACTCCACTTAGAATCGTTTTTTCATTAGCAATGGTTAATCGTTGCGTACAGATATACATTAAATTTCTCCTCTACTACCTTCCTAACTTCTGACCTACAATAATGGCCCACCCATGTGCGAAGTATGTTTCCGTCTTTTTATAATTATCATGGACGTCGTGATGGGGAGGATTGAAGTAAAGAATTTGAATCGCACAATTTTTTTTTTAGTCTAATTATAACATTCATCTAACTTTGTATAATTCGTTATAATGAACTGATAACACTATCATATTTCAAACCCAACCCTTGTATGCTAGAGAAAAACAAATCCTTTCATAATGTGTGTAAATATATTGTAGGTACATAATGAACTAATAACATGATAATACATTAAGTAAATTGTTGACTACGTTTTCATTAACCTATATAGGCCTGAGCAAAAGGCCAACACACAATGGCGTCACTTGAGCATATATAATATATAGTAAGTTAAACAGTATTGTATGTATTTGACGCCACTCAATATCAGTTACCTTTCTGATGTTGAGAACTGTTTGTGAATTTATCATTGTTTGGGTGAAAACGCTTATAATGGCATGCATATAGCTATAATTATTTATTTTGCATTAGGTAATTTTTGATTAAACACGCATGTTCTTTACATAGCCACACGGAATTTAAAAGTGAAATAGACGTATATATTCATATTATAACTTATACATAAATAAATGTGTTTGTTTATATTTTTTATTTGTTTGAAATTAACTAATTAGTAGTGATAATTAATATAATTATTATATTATCTATTGGATGCGGTAGCTAGTGGCACCCAACTGTAGATGTAGATATCTAGTAAGTAGGGAAACTTCTTCAGCTATTTTTTAGACTTTCGATTGCAAAAGAAATTGATATGAATATCAACTCAAAAAAGGTACATGGTTGCGACCAGATTAACCAAAAAATCCTGAAAGAGTTATCTAGAAAAGCTATGATCTACCCAACACACATATTCAATGCCATCCTACGTACGGAATACGTTTCTAATCAATGGAAACAAGTACTTACTCCATATGACGGACATTCCAACCAACAACTATTCAATGACAACCATGTTTGCTAATGACACGGCCATGATAACAAATGAAGACTAGCAAACTGCGGCTGATTGGCTTCAAAGGCCAATCAACGGAACAAGATTCTTAGACTAAGACCAGAGCCACTCCACACAAGTTTATTTTTCTTCTTTCTTGTATATTGGTACACCACAAATATTAATATACACCTTTGAAATGTATTGTTAAAGATCTTTGATCGTTATGAAAAAGCTTTTTCAGTTTTATTTTAACATTTTAACGTATTTTGTAATATTTATAACAATACCTATTAATTTTGTTAATTGTATAACAGCTGGTAGATGAGTATTTGTAAATTATATTTTCCTCTGCAGAAGTTTGAGTAGAATTGGGTGTCACTTTCTATCCATATGAATATATTATGTGTGGCTATCAAATAAATTATTGTTTTTTTCTTCTTATTATGTGATAAATATATTGATAAGCCTGCATATTATATTATTTAAAGTTTAGGTTAGATAAGTAGAGTAGAGTGAATAGTGATCCACAAAAAGGATACGATACATTTTTTCTCCTCCTCGTTTTAAAGTATTACAATATTAATAAAATATGAGTCTGATATTAAATGTATATGAGTCGCGTTTTACATTTTGATTGTGTTATACCCGATGATGAATTTTTAATTCGAAACCGGTCGTAAAATACAATTATCATAATACTCCAAGCGACGCATTCATTTATTTATTTATTTATTTTATTTTTATATATATATTTTTTATTGTATATTTATTTAATTTATTAAATACATATTTTTTAGACGGCTTTGGCTGTATTAACATTTTCAGTCATGTAATTTGTGTTGCACGTTTCAGTTGATACCTATTGTATAAATATATACGATATAATACTATAATGTATGCCACTATTTTGGAATTTCCACTTATTTAATTAGTAATCTATTACGAGTATATTGTTAAATTATTTAAATTTGTTTTATATATTGATTTTATTGACGTATTTTTTACGATAGATATTTTTACCTAAATATTATGCAAGTATCTATCTCTAATCTATTATATGAAGAGCCAAGTAGTATTATAATAATATTCTTATCAATATCTTATATTTTTCCTATTGAAAAAAAAAGAGGTATGGTCTAAAGATTCTATAATTTATAAACCTATACCTAATATTAAGAATAAAACATTTAAATTTTGTCAAAATTTTATATGGGTACCTATATTATTAGATATTTAGATATAATAAATTGCATTTATCAATGACAAGCCATTTAATTTTAATTGTAGAGCGCCATAGCTCTAACCAAAGACGAGAACTTCCTCATAAGAAGCGGCTTGTCATCACTTTTGTCATCGGTGTCCGAGGTCCCGTTTGTCACTGTAACCGTTCACGATTTTTGTTTTGGTTATCAAGATGCCGTGATCAATACATTGGGGACTTTAGCTAAACTTGCCAACAAGCCAGTTCCATTTGATAAGTTTGGTTTGTTAATTAAGGTACGTATTCAAAATATAAACCGCTTATATAGCTTACTATATTACAGTAGATATAGCTCAATCATCTCGTCGTTAATGTACTATTTTAATATTTTATCATAGAGAGCTGGAGTTAATCCTGATCGTCTGACCGTGCTAAACGGGGATAATGATTTGTTACACATGGGTCAAGTAATACAATTAAACGGGAAAAATATGCTTCACCCCTGGAATACAGATGTATGCAATTCGGTTGGCGGGAGCGATGGCATGTTTTTCCCTAGAGGTGATGTTCAACAATCACTGCCTGTATTGTTTTTCCATAAAGATTCTTGTAGAAAATTAAAATTAGTCTTCGACTCCAAGGAAAAAGTAAATTTACTATCTACGTATCTATTATTTTATTCAGAGATTTTGTACAATGTGTTTTATTGTTGTTACGTTTTATTTTATAGATGGACAACGGTGTAGTTGGGCATCGTTATGTTCTCGATCACGACGTGTTCAATAACTCTATTCCCGAGAATATGTGTTATTGTACACATCAGCCTTGTATGCCGGATGGTATATTCGATATGGGCCCATGTTCCACTAGTAAGTTTTCAATCTCACAAATTAATATTGACATTGTGATTTATATTTTAATCTGACTAAATAATTATTGTTATTTGTTTCACAGATTCTCCGGTGGTTGTTTCACGTGCTCATTTTCTATACGGTGACCCGTCCTTATTGAACGCTGTAGAAGGTCTTAATCCCGATCCGATAAAACACGAACTCATCTGGACTATAGATCCCGTGTGTATATCTTTTAAATCTGTAAATTGTCGCCAAGATTATAAATAATAAAATGTTTATTAACGTGCCTATATACAGGTACTCGGAATAACGATGAAAACCGAAATGAGAATACAGCTAAACATCCAAGTGCGTAACCCGAACAACTATGGTTCACTGAATAAAATCTCAGACAACACTATATTACCGGTTACGTGGCTCAACTTCGTAAGTTTCTATTTTTGCAACATATATGGTCTATATATGACTAATATTGATGTATAATATAACAAACAAACAAATAACTAACAATAAACATTTTCATAGAGAACCGAAACTTCGCCCAAGTTGAGTTCGTTGTTGTTCCATTTGACTTTCACTCTTCAGTGGTTACAGATGTTCCTGATGTGTCTAAGTCTGGTCGGATTATTAGGCACTACTTATTATCTAATGCGTACCTGTGTTAAGTAAAATGATTCAAACTTTATAATACAATTCCAAACGATATAATGTAATACAATGATGGAAATATTAAGCCAAATGAGAAGATTTCTATTGGTTATAGTTAAAATTGTATTTATTTTTATTATAAATATTTTTTTTGAAATTATATTAAATTTTTTATGAAGTATACTTTTATTTTTATAATTAACTGTAAATAACTATAATATAATATAATTATATATTCGTTTGTGAAATGTATAATAATTTGTATTATACGTACATCGCTCACTTTTATGTCAAATTATTATTGATATCAATTTTCTTCCTAATATATTTATGTATAATATATATATATACATTATACACTACTTAAATCGTATTTTTAAAATTTTATTTTCTATAAATATCGATATTGTATTATATAAATTATAATATAATATGTTAAAATTGATTAATTACATTTATCCGTAATATATTAGATACCTATTTCGTATACATCTGGATGCAAAAATAAAAATTATATGATGTACCATGTACCGAAGTGTAATATACTTATTAGGTAGGTTTTTAAACTAATTAACTAACTAACGGGGTATCGGCCAATTACTAAATTACATACATATTACCATCGTTCTCCCGAAGATGTCCGCCCAGCGGACCAGATCGGGACTCATTTCATTGATTCGTTCGAGACACCATCATGAATCATGCCAAGGTACACGACCTTTTCTTGGTGGCAAAAATTGGTGAATCCGTGTAATACACAGGAGTATTTTATTAAGAAAACTGTATCTAAAGACCGTCTGGTAACAGAAATCTCATGACGGGGTATAGACACGAAGAAGGAAAAGAACGAAACAAACAAGAACTGGGTAGCGGAGCGCGCAGACGTTCGTGGCACGTCGCCGCGGGCCGACGTTTTTGGCGATAAGGGGAAGCGTGATGTGATTGGCCGTTAACCCGTAATCAGACATATAATATTGCGAATTGCAACAGATTGCGATCGCATAAACCTTCCCGCGGGGGGAATTATTGTTCATGATGACAGCATATCCGTCGACGCGGGCGTAATCTATCCTAACCGGTTGACCATATCGATGGTGGGTATGCTTGTCCTTTGGTAACGGGAAATGATCGGTTTTGGACGTTACGACCTTCTTTCGACATTCCGCACTTTTTTTTTTTTCATTATCGTATAGCCGATTATGAACTAATGTCTAATAAATCTTCGTATTTGAAGTTATTTAACTAGAACGTAAATTTATTCTAGATCGATCTAAATTCAGCAGTCAATATTTTCTATAATGCACTACATCATTGTATACTTAGTTTTGTCCTAAGAAGTAACTTAATTCAGTTCTCTATTACTTCCTGGTTCTCAAAAGAACTTAAAAACTTAAAATTTCTAAAACTAAAAGTTTATCCCAAATCCAAGAATTCAGGAACCAGATCCGATATTTCTGAATTTACTTTGCCCAGAGCTCGTTGTAAGTTTGTAAGCAAAAGTCAATTCAGTTTGTAAATCAATAAATTACCGCTTTAAAGTACTAACTAAATAAAATTCCCTTTCAGGAAAGGTACTACATTTGGTACATGGGAGCAAGATTTCTGGTAGAATTTCTGTACACTGCAGTATATATTATATAAAAAATAATAAAAGTAAAAATAAACATCACTGAAAAACCCATCAATGGGTTGACGGATATCAAAATTTTCAACACCAACATTTATTTGAATGAATAATTCATCCAACAATGGTATTTAAAATATAGGTGGCTATTTAAATTTCAAAAATTGACCTCAAAATAAGGGGTCTAAACATTTGTATTCCCAAATATAATTTTATAGACTACACTATTTAATAAAAATGTTTCACTATACCTACATTATTTTTTTTCTACAGGATGATTCACTAAACACTAAACGTGCTCACCCATTTTTTTGGTTTTATGTTGCATGAATATATGCAATTATGATGAAAAAATGATTTTTCTGTAAAAACTGTCATGATACAAACTTTGATTTTTTTAATGAGAAGCTTTAATTAAAAAATCTATAGACAGAGTATTACTTTAAGTACATTTTGGAAGACAAAAATATGTTCTGTCAATATTGCTATTGTTGCTCAGATATACTTAAGTATATTAAACTTCTAAGATAACATTTTCAAAATACTTATTTCAAATTTCGATCTATTTTTAAACATTTTATATTTACAAGTTTTTATTTTATAAATATTCTGTAAATAATATTGTTTGATGAAACACATATGCTCGACAATTTAATTCAAATTGTGCATAATGTAGTAGTTTTTTGTTTATATTCGATTTAAGATCAAACTTTGACAAAAATGGTATTGAGGCATTTCAAAAAAATATTACTGAACTTAATTCGATTAGAATCATATTTTATTACCAAGAATTACAGATAATTCAATAACTTTATGTACACTACCTTCCTAACTTCCTACCTACGACAGTGGTACACGTATCAACAGTATCAACTTTTGAAAATTGACTTAGTACCTGTTAGTTTAAATTATTTAGAACATACAAGTTCGAATAATAAAAAAATATTGAAAAGGGAAATTGTAATTTGTATATTTTTATCAACATTATAAATAAAATTAGTTTTGTGTCAAAATCAATATTTTATTTCAATAATAATAAAAACAAAAACAAAGTGAAAACAAAAGTATTGCAATAAAAAACTTGATTAAAAGCTAGATGGATATCTAAAATAAATTAAGATGGACAGTAATTTTACTATCCATATGGATTAATTAAAAAAAAAAATTAAATATAATGCTCTTAAAATACTATAAAGAACAAATACAAACAGGAATCAATTTAATAAGTACAATATTCATTATAAATAATTATGATCTAAAATAAATAATACTATATACTAGGTAGGTATATATGGATATATTTATCACAGAGGAAAATTATAGCTAAAAAAGTTATACAATCAATACTTAAATAGCATAAAGAAAATTACTAATTACAAATCAATATTAAATTAAATGTACAAAGTTAGGTTAGGTTGCCAAGTTATTTGCTATTAATGAATACAAAATATATAAGATACATTTTCAGGCATGTCTTTATTTGTTTTTTTTTTTCAAAATGTGTATTATAGTGTACTAATAGCATATAAATATTAGATAACATACGTGAGAAGTTACTTAAATGATTAATCAATACAAATTAAATAAAAAATATACTTAATATTGCACATATTAAAATAATTTAACTTAGAAATATTATCAATATATTTTATTGTCGAAATTATGTTATTTAAATTTTAAATTTATTATTCAACAAAGATACCTTTAAGATTGAACAGATTTAAACAGACTATAGAGAATTGTTTATTATTATAATAGTTCAGGGATTTAAATTTAACTAAATAAATAAATTGACATACATAAATTTCATAATTAATAAATAATGATAATACTAAATATAAATTATGATCTATCTATTTGAAATGTTTTAAAAATGTATATTTAACTAAATGGTACAATATTTTTTGTTCAGCAAACAATTCACTGAATATAATATGTTAAAAAATGTGTTGCTTAAAAGACTATAATCATAATAAGCTCTATTGAATTTTAAAATGTCATTTTATAGTAAAATTATTTAAATAAAAAACAATTTATAGAGATTATAAATCAATAATTTAAAATTTTCCTTTGATATAACTCAATATTTAAATTGATGTACCAATAATTATATCAATTGATCATTGACTAGAAAATGGTACACAAAATTGATCTTCTTTCTTGACATTGAGTTTTTATTATGACCAGATTTATCTAAACGGGACCTGGGAGGATCTCGAATAAATATTTCACCAAAAACAGATGCTGGATAATACATAATATATGGATTAAACAAACATTTTATTACTTTAAAACTAAAGAATATTAACTAGAGTAACTAACCTATAGTTTTTACATCTAAATTGTTATCATTGACATGATTTAATAGTTCTTGAAGAAAAGCGCAAAGATATAAAAATACATTTTTACTTCGTTCTGGTAACTGAGAAATAATCTAAAAAATGAAGCACAAATTAAAATTGTAAATATTTTATAACTTGATATATTTGTAAATAACACTGACTTGTTTACATTGACCGTAATTTGATACTGAAGAAAAACAAGTACTATGTAAATTATATGGTATTATAGGTTCTGATGTACTGTCCAATAGTATTAATAAAGCCTCAGCTACAGAATGCACACTACCAGCTGAAAAAATAATAAAACAATTTGACAACAAATACATATTGTTAAAGTCACCTATTTTGTTTAAATAATCATTAATCAAGAAAAATGTTATACGCAATGCATCTGGAGTTCCATTATCCAACCAATTTCGAATCTGGATAAATTCAGATCTGAGACCAGATTTTTCAAATAAATGTTCTTCTTTAAGACCATGCCTGTATAAATGATCGACTAGATACCACACTTCTTTAGGTACTGGGTAAGGATCTGAAGTTGAATTATTTTTATTGTTTTCCTAAATTAAGTAATATATTAAAAACAGTGCAAAGTATTGATTACAGATACTAAAAATTGAAATAATTACTTACAAGTTCCATAAGTTTTCCAATTGGAATATCTCTAATGGGAACTTTTAAGTAACATAATGTATCTAATGAACACCCAAAACAACTTCGCTCGTATGTACCTAAAAATAAAGTCTAAATTATTGTGCACAAAAATAAATTTAAAAAAATATTTAACAAAAATTTACCTGTAACAGTGATAAAAATATCCTTCCCACCATCTAAATGTAATACTAATATATCGTACAATTTATCTTGCCCACTATTCATTTTATACGCCGATCTTTTATCCACCATAACTTCTAAAGTTATATCACATTTTTCACCTAAAAAAAATATTATCATTATTGTTTTAATTTTTTTAGTTATTAACATTTTATATTTATTAATATCATTGAATTATTTACCAGGATCAATAAAACTTGTAAAGGGTTCAATTCGTAACCATTCTTTACAATATGTTGAATCGTCTAATTTTTTTATAAATTCAAATTGAACAGGAACTTGACCAGTATTGGCAACAGTCAATTCTTTTATTTGCGGTTCCATAAATTTAACCATGTTAAAAATAATTTCAGTGTTATCAACCATCACTTGAGGTAAATATTCATTTTCTGCTTTATCTAATTTTTTCATAATATGCTCGTGAATTTTTCTGTACTTATTCATATCAACAATTTTGATCTGATAAAAATTGAAATTAAAATTTACTTGAGTATATTATATTATATATACAGGATGATTCATTAAGCGTGCTCACCCCATTTTTTTAGTTAAATTTTGGGTGTATTCAAATTCTGATTTTTGGAATTTTTAAGTGTAGTTAAAGCCGATATTTTAGAAAACTCAGATTTTTCACAGCATTTAAGAAGTATACTTTCATGACACAAACTTTGGTTTTTTCAATGAGAAACTTTGTTTAAAAAATCTATAAATAAGCAGAATATTACTTTAAGTATATTTTGGTGTAAATATTTTTAATTTTTGTCAACCCCTTAATAAGATATTCCACTTTCAAGTGAGGGAAAGTAGTGAAGTATCATTTACGTAACAGTATTTTATTAGTGCTCTACCACTCTACCTAAACTTAAAAATGAAATATCTTGTCAATAAACTGACAGAAATCAAAAATTTTAACAGCGAAATTTATTTATAGTAATACTACATCTATTTATGGAATTTTGTAATATAGATTCTCATTTGAAAAACCAAAGTTTGTATCACTACAGGATACTCCTTAAATGTTGAGAAAAATCAAAGTATTTAAAAGTAACAGCTTTAATTACACTTAAAAATTCCAAAAATCATATTTAAACATGTCTTTTTTCGCGGGAAATACAATATATCACTCAATTTTAAAAGAATAATATCTAATCTTCTTGGATAACTAGAGATACGACAGTTTTTATGGGCGATAGAGAAAATTGACCTTTTTCATTGTGATAGGGTATATATATATATATATAAGGACTGCTTCTATTATATATATATATATTTATACATATTTATAAAATAATGAGTAAAATATATACATAGAATCTTACTTCAGATTCAAATAATGCACTGACTGGTTTATGGTCACTGATCAGTAAATTAGGATGGCTTCTATAAGCAAGTTGTTTAATTGAATTGCCTCGCCACAATATTCGGTCACACCATGCAGGGGCACGATTTTTTTCACTTATCAAACGTAAATAAGTTGACATTAATAATTCAAAAGTGTATACTATTTTAAAACATACCTGCTATCCCAGTCATTGGTACCTACATCATATTTATAGGTAGGAAGAAAATGTATTGAACCTTCCTTATAACCTTTAAATACATTTCCAGCCCTATGTTGTTGCTTTAGTTGATCTGCTTCTAATACAATTTTAAAATGATTTTTGCTTACTAAGTCTTTTACGGATGCTGCGTCCATTTCAGTTATTCTATAATTCAGATCACCAAACCAATAAACTTGACTGAAATAAACACATAAAGCGTTCAAATTAAAAACATAAAGGTAAAATAAAATTTACATATCTAGTTTTTGAACGAATTATACTTATGATCTTTAATAGTTTTAGGAGGTGTGAAATTTGAAAAAACCATTCGTGAACATATATTGTGATAGTCTTGGTTGCGTCTTTCAAATTCTTCAACATGGGCTGCTAAATGTGAATTTACAAAGCATAAAGATGTGTTATGAAAATCCATGCGAATTGCAACTCCACCTTTATTTCCCTGAAATTATAATTGATGATTAAAAAATGTATTTCAAAATGCTAATAAAAAAAACTTACCAACTTTCCCATAATTCCAGTACCAACAGTATCAGCAACAACATTTTTCACATGATCAATGTGTTTATTTTTTACAAACACTATGATCATCATACCCACAAGACGTACTAATGATACTTTTCGATAATGTCCTTTAGAATTGAGACTTTTTAATACTGCTTGTCTAATTAATTAATCATAAAATTGAAAATTATTTTTAACATTTTAAATATAAGACATTTTTGTTAATCTACTGACACTCATTTAGGGAGAAGAAGTTGGGTAGTTTTTATGGGGAAAAAATAAATGTAAGAATAGAGATTTATTGCCAAAATAATAACCTTTTTTAGACTCATTAAAAAAAAAAGTCGTTTCGTGCAGCCTGTAAAATATCATCCTCCTTTTATTAATTAATAATCATTGAAATAAAACTCCTTTACATAACATGAGAATTTTTCGCTTGAGGCATATTTTTAAGGCAAATAAACAGTGGGATAGTAAACATTGGACATTGCATAATAAGTCTTATTAAACAAGTGTAAGAATACAAGCTAATTTAAAATTTCTTATAATTGAGTTGTAGTTGACAAATTCTGAACATAATAATTATAAGTCATGATATAAAGTTCAGACTGTTTGGTATAGGTAATACACTATAATAGTCTAATATAATGTAATATAGTCCGTATTTAACCACCTCATATTTATAATTAGCAACATTAATTAATAAATAAGAATTGAATTAATATGTTATTTAGTATACAATTTTAATTTACTTATAAAATATCATTGAGAAAGAATAATTGACAAATCAAGATAATGATTAATAGCTTGTTAAATTATTGTTAGAGTAAGGGAGAATGTTTTGGTTTTACTATGATGTGGGTTTTTTTTATGTCAACTTTTCTACCAGAAATCTTGTTTCAATAAAAACTTTAAAAGAACTTTCTTTTCATTTTTCTGCAGTTTTTCATTAGATAATAAAGATGAAAAAATAATTCAAAATTCAACTGTAAAATTTAGAAAAAATAATTTAATAATGAACTTTTTGTGATATAAGTATCAAAAAAGTAAATAAATTATAAATGGTTAAAACACTTAAATCACTTACAACCATTCTTCTTCACGTGGAGAATCATTAAAAAGAAATGCTTCTTTGCTTAGGTCGAGTTCTTGAAATCCAATAGCATAGATATCAGGTGGTTCAGAATCAGAAGTCAACCAATCATTGAGAGGAGACAATGCTGGTTGACCATTCACATTCCAAGTACCAATATATATACTGTAGAGCAATAAATAAAATATATAAACTTGATACCTATCTAAATTTATTTAAAATAAAATATTAACCTGAAATTTTCTGCATTAGTATATTGCTCTTCACTCAATAACATTTGTCGCTGTATAACACTTTCCCGAGAACTTAGTGTATGTGTATGAGGAAATGACAAATCATTTTCAGAGACAGCCATCTAAAAATTAACAACAATATCAGTACTTCAATAATCAGTAATGCAATATTATGAAAAATATTATTACATTAGCTGTTATATTTAAATTATTTGACATACTATCTCCTCCATTCATCATCAAACCTAATTCTAAGTCAATATCGTTAATATTATATTTTTTCAACCATTGAAAATCAAGTGTTTTATCATTTTTTAAATAAACTGCAAAAATAAAACAAGTTATAATAATCATATAAGCATCATATAATCTGAATTAATAGTATATTAAACAAAAACTAACGTTCCATGGATCTAGATAATTCACTAAAAAAATTATTAGTCTCGTGGCCAGAGTTCATGCCCATCAACAGTTTTACATGTCGTGCTGATATATTAATATAAATATCAGAATTTGATTCACCAGACAATGAATCTAAATAAAAAATATCGCTTATAATATTGTAAAGCTAAATTAGTAATGTTTTAATATAGATAATGGACTGGATTTAGGTATGTCATTAGGAGAGATTAATCAAAATCAGTACAAATTATAATAAAAATAGATGTAAGAAAAAAAGAGGGAGAGGAAGACTGAAAAAGAGGTGGTTGGATGCAGTTGGAAATGATATAAGGATGATATGTGTATGTAAACAATATGGAGGATCAGGTTAAGTGGAAGTTTAAGATGAAGGTGACTGACCCATAATAGTTGGGATGAAGGTGAAGGAGAAGAAGAAATTATTGTTTTAATAATTTACTGAATGATAATGCTAAAAAAAAAAGTATATGAACTTTTAGATTTGGATATGGATTTTAAATGTAGGTAATTGAGAATTTATTTTCTTAAGTTATGATATGAATCTTTATAATACCTATATCGCATTTGAAATCATTATCAATGGGTACAACAAAATTGATGGTGAGATCTGTAAATGCTTGTGGTGGATTTCTTGATGTAGTAAATATGAATAATCCAAATGATGAATTACGCTCAACCAAGGCTAATAATCTATGGGCTTTAGGTGACCAACCTTGTAACAACACGCCTTCGTGGAGCTAAACATTAAATGAAATCGATTGTAATATATGCATCCAACATTTTAAATAATAATATTTTGACAATATTACCGCAACAACATTATCCCCGACATTCAATTTATCCTTCAATATAGCGGTTATTTCCATTTTATAAGAATTACAATTTGATAGATTTTACCGAATTGTACTCGATTATTGGTCAAAAACTTTGTGGCACAATACCTGAGTCCATTAAATCAGAAACTGTTAATATGATTTAAAAAAATATTTAAAACGAAATCACTGGCATCCTCTGGGAACTGTTATCCATAGACAAGAATAAATACTCTATACGACAATACGGGACAGTCAATGATAACAAACGTCGACATAGCCCCACGAAATCGTAGTGGTTGCCTATCGTATCCTTGCTATCGGCTATGGTGTACATAAGTTGCCTATATGAAAAACAATTTAAATTTCTACTCAAATATCCCGCCTTTATTCGAAATACTGTTTGACTATAATAACAAATAACCTAAATAATTAATTCAATAGTTCATACGAATAAACTGAGCTAAAAATAACGAATTAAATATGATTCTTTTTCTATTAATTATGGTGGGGAGGATGGTATTATATACATCTTTGGAAATTTTCTTAATATCTCCTCATGTTTATTTTTCTTTAAATATTTTGTGTTTAAAGTGTTTTGTTTTTTATACCTACCATTATAAAATGACTTCACATAAGAGTTGCTGTTTTTGGAATTGTAAAAAATACAGCCGGAAAAATCCAAAATTAACATTTCATAAATTGTCTACAAATAATAAATTGTAAGTTAAATTTAAAGTTTAGTTTTTACTATTGTCTTAACAAATTTAAACTTTAATTAGTGAGGCTCAATATAAATGTTTTTAATATGAATCCATTGAAATATAATTATGACCTATCTTCAATGACATTACCAATATAGTGAAGAGTTTATGGTAATTGTGTTATCTTTTATAGAAAGTAATGTATAAATAACAATAGTTATTTTACTTTAGCAATTCCTTGTTACTTTTTTCACCAATACATTTTAAGAACTAATTGTATTTATTGAGATTTGTGTTCATCATAATATTAGATATCATAGTTTTATCGAAAAAAAAACAAATGTAATTAATTGTAAAAAAGAAACATAACAGCAAAATTTATGAAAATAATAGATGATTTATTAGATGTGTTCAACCGTTGTTCATTCGATGAACCAAAAATATTTCGAAAACTATTGACTGATAATTCGAGGCATTGAGTCTTTTTAAATTCTAACAAAATTAAAAAAAAACAGCCACCATGTATTAATGATTAGCTTTCGAATATTAATAGTTTAAAAATGCTGTTTAAAGATTTAGAAAATAATATTGAATTTGAATATTTATTTACTAGATGACTGACTCAAGATTGTGTAGAAAGTTTATTTTCTGTAGCATATTCAAAAGGTGGAAATAATGTTACTCCAGATTCGTCTCAGTTTTATTTAACCATACGAATGTGCTTAACATAACATCTAGTTCCACCTATAACTGGAAATTGTGAAATAGAAGCTTGTGCATTTTTTATCAAATGCAATGACTTATTGCAGAATAAACAAAAGTTTAAAATGAAATTAAACCATTTGGAAAATCAATATTTATTAGATAACAAAATATACTCCTCTTTTGATGACAATTTGAGTGCCATGAACAATGCTTAATACAGTTAGACTTGCATGAAGAAAATTCTATTGCATATATAGCTGGTTGAGCATGTTCTAAACAAAGTCATCTTAAATGCCTAGACAAATTAGCTACAAAAGATAAAATAACATTACAATTATTGTAGAAAATATTTTTATTTCTATGAAACATTACGATGAATGTAATTTACTCTATCCATTTAAAAGTACAATTATTTTTGTAGGTAAAATTATATGTCTATTTAATACAAGTATTAATAATTTATTAAAAGAAAATAAGGTTGGAATTTTAATCAAAATGATTGAATTAATTAATCTTTATAAACCTATAAAACCAAATATTTGTTTAAATTGTAAGTTTTTAGTGGATAAGGTATTAAATGTAAGTATTCATTATTTCATCAAAAAATATAATAATATGCCTTCTTTCAAAATGGTTAAAAACAAAAAATTTTAAAAAAATGATGAACTTAATTAGGTAAATTAGGTACCTAACCATTTTATTATTTGTACTGCCTTTATTAGTAATAAGTTATACCTGAGATGCTAGATACAACAGATAAAATTATTTTATTTAAAACATTAAAAAATGACAAAGTTCGTATAACAATAATGTCTATTTCTTCTTATACTTTCACATTGATTTCGTCTAAATTTCTAGCTCTATCTGCGAGTCAGGCATTACCCCCCTATTTTTACACAGACCATATAGGTATAATTTATCAATATAAGCTTATTTTACAAATAAACAAAGAAGTTTTATCTTAATTTATTGTTAAAAGTTATTTATTTTAATCATTACACTATATTATAATATTAATAATAATATATGTATCTAACTATAATAGTATGATAGTATAAATGCCTAGTGGAATATGTATAGGCAACCACTACGATTACGGGGGGCATACGTATGTCGTGTTTCTTATCATAGATTGGCCTGTATTATCATATATAGTTATAGTATTTGCAGGAATACTGTTGTCAGTTGCTAAATAATGTATACAAATGAATCAATTGATAATAAAATAATTATGATTATAATATAACAGGCACAAGAGGTTTATTCACGGTTCGTGGTTTATTCAGTGATGACGTTAATGTTATAGTTCATGATTATAGTTTATAATTATGTAATCCGTAGATCACGATGTAAAACAGTAAACACAAATGCACAATATTGAATGATTTTACACTCTAAAACGCTGTGAACTAGAAATTATGAATACTGGGTCGCTCGTAGTGGTGGTCCATGTGACTGTTAGTTGCGTCAAAATAATTTAACTAATATTATACCTCTAAGTGAAATAATCGACAAATATTTAAGTACATGAAGTTTGAAAATTGAAATACGTGTTTATGGCGCAAGTTTTGATAAAACGTAAGTACAGACTTTGAGGGCCTTACCCAACTACGTATTATTAAGAACTAGGTACGTGACCACTCAACTTCTTTTAGATGTATCCTTTCAAATGATTATTAAGGTTTACAATTTAAAATTTGAAAAAGTATATGATATTTATGATTTAATATTGTAATAAATAATAAATTTAACAATTATAATATTAATAACTACATGATATCTACATCAATGATAATAAAATATAAATAATAATATTATAATTTATTAATTGATAATATCATGTTATAAAATACCCTGTAAAATGGTATCACTGGAATCCCTTTTTCTTTGGAATAGATATTTTTAATTTTTTAAGCTATTGATTAGTATTTTTTATTGCACATGAAATAAATAATAAATTACATAAAACGTGTTAATTAATTTTTAATTTTGTTTAAATGAATGAACTTCGTCACAGTGTTGCCAATATTTTAAATATAAACTGTTGACCTTTAAACATTTTCCCGCTCTTATTTTATTGTGACGAAACGATAGTAATAATTTGGACAGTAAGTGGTATAACCAATATTATTGTCTACTAAATTACCTTACTATACGACGTAAAACATGTATTAAAAGTTAAAGATTTCGGTTTTATTCACAGACTATTTAATAATAACGTTTAATAAAATTAAAAAAAAACTTTCTCAGTCAAATAACTTTTAAAACTACTAATATTTTTTAGTTATTTCAAATCTAGACTGCACGTAACTATATTTATTATTTGAATGCTGTGTAAAAATTATTATTTTCTTAGTGATACACGTGTGTCGTACTTAAGGTGGGTACCTGCTATAGGTATTATGAAATATTAATACAATTTTTTTTTTAAATCGTAATTTTTGACTATTTTTTATGAATACGTACTTGTATTTTTATTTTATTTTTTTCGAAAAAATATGTTGCTGTAGATATTTTGCAATGTCAGAAGTTTACTGTTACACATCAAATGACAACTTGATAATGTTCACCTTTCATACACGTACAATAGATTTATTCATAAAATATAGTCTTCTTAATTAATGGTACTTCATTATTCTGTTGAATAATTACATTACAGTAAATAATAATTCATTTGAAAACAATACAACATAAGTATTTTTTAATGAAGACAAATATACCTAGAGATAATAACATTCATAGTTTACATTTTAAACTAGAAATTAATTTTGTTATATTTTGGTTTTAGGTTTTTGTAAAATGAAAAACCACATTAAAAGACCGTTCCGTGTTGCAATTGAAGGAAATGTCGGAGCTGGAAAATCAACATTAATAAAATATTTTGAAAATTTTAATGAAGTTGAATTAAATCTGGTAATTATAAATTAGTTTTCTTCATTTAAAATGTTTAAAAATTTCCTCTTTGTCTGTTTATATTGTTTGTTGTAATATAATATATGATTACTAAGTGTATGTTAAATGTTAATTTATACAAATTCTTACATAAAAATTTGGACGTCTACACTCTTAATGGAAATTAAATAAACAAAGAATTTATAATTATTCTTCTTGTTACATTGATTATGTCTATAATTTAGAACATCTATTTTTAGCCCTATAGTGATTTAGTCATTTGTATGTTATCAGGAACCAATAGAGACATGGAGAGATTTGAATGGTCATAATTTACTTCAACTGTCATATTCAGATCCCCAGAGATGGAATTTTGCTTTTCAACATAATGTACAATTAAGTCGTTTAAGTATACAGTCAAAATCTACCAACAAGGCCATTCAAATATTTGAACGTTCTTTACAAAATAATAGGTAATATTCATTTATGGTAAATAATAATTTGAGATAATTAGTTTTTCTAAAGTACATTACTATCCTAATTAGTAGTGCACACAGGGGAATAGGGATCCCCCCTGAAAAAAAAATCCTGCATGTGTTACTGATCTTAATTCTAATGAAATTTCAATAAAATAATAATTAAATTCACGCATATTGAATTAAATTATAAGATATCTAGGTAACTTATAAATGTCTTATATAATGTATGCACATATTTTTCTTTAGTTATATTATATGAGATACATCAAGTTATAATTATATATTTTTTTTTAGATATTGTTTCGTAGAAATGGCTCATGATAAAGGTTTATTATCTAGTCCTGAGTTTGGAGTAATATGCCAATGGTATGATTTCATTGAAAAAAATGTAGACATTGAATTAGATCTGATTGGTTGGTATTATTTTATCATAAATGTATTATTTCTCATTTTAGATTTTAACTCTAATGAAGCTCTAATGAATAATGGTTTTACAAAATGTTTATTTATTTATTAATTTTTTTTTTTTTCTGTAGACAACTTTTCAACCAGTAAATTTGCTTCAATTTACAATATTAGCACTTTTTCTAAAAGGAAGTCTGACTGGGTAGGTACTTTAAAAGGGTAATTTTTTGATTTTTCCCAATAAATGGGAAAATAGGTACAATATTAAACTAATATTATTAAAGAAAATATATAAATGTATAATGCTTGTGTAATTATTTTATCATAATATGACTTATTGCTAAGGAAGCAATATTATCAACTGAACTTCTTTCAGAATCGATTTTTCGTTAGCAATGTTTATTGTTACTTACAGATATACATTAAATTTCCCACCAACTACTTCCTAACTTCTGCACCCATGTACGAAGTTGCCCAGCTTTTTTTATTTTATTCATAAGTAACTTGAATTCTTGTGTAAATTAGGTAAAATATCAATTTATCTAATTTGAAACTTGCATTATTATTTTTTTTTTAAATCTGAGTAATGCTATAAAAAAAAAAATAGCTCATACTGAGGACAAGTGCAGCCTATTATAGGTTGGAAGTTAAGAAGGTAGGACACTTAAAGTTATTTAACTTGTATCTTTGTGAAAAGATAAACTTTTGTTAACAAAAAACAATTGAGAGTGAAGTTTGGTAAGACATATTTTGAAATGCCATAATTTAACCCAAAATTGGTTTTACATCACTAAGTACAACCTATAATGTTTATCTTAAGTTAAATTGTCAAACATTTCTCTGAAGTCGTAATAATTGAATAACTGATATCTACCAAATTATTATTATTATTATTATTTCTATATATGCCATAGATTTAGCTTAGGTAAACAGTAGATAAATAAACAAATAAATAACTAACCAAAAATAATAATATACGAATAGTAAAAAAATTAACTAGGTAATCAACATAAACAGGGTAACTCAATTAAGATTTGAACTTAGAACGAGGGATGAAAGGGTGGTGAAAATAAAATGGTGAAATGATTAATTTACAATAGTTATTAGCCACTATATTTTCATTTGGTATACCTAAATAAAAATGATATATATAAACACGAAAATATCAAATATTTATAAATAGGCTAAAAATAGCTAAAATGCTTTGAGTATTCACTTCTACAAAAGGCCAATAAAACAATTTTGTGAAAACTATAGGTTATAAATTATTATAGAATAATTTTTAATTGAATAACAACAAAAAACCCAAATTCTGTACACTTTTTCGTATTTCTAATGTTTTTTCTTGGTTTTTGTAATTATTAAAAAAATATATGAAAAATTAAATAATATTCTTTGTCACAAATAAAAAGAAAAATTTTCAGAAAATATGCTATTCTTGAAATTTGGACAAAGATTTTTGATAGAAAACTATAATCTTAAAAATTAAATAATGCAGTTGTTGCACAGTAGTTTGAAAAATTGTATTTTTTTTTAAGTTTGAAAAAATTAAAAAGGCAATGAAATCGGTAACACCGCGGTATCCATAAATATTTATTGTTTTATATTTAAGTTTTTTTTCTAGTTTTTCCCAGTTATTTTGAAAACCCCTTCTATAATTTAAAAAAAAAACTTCTCATTGCACCAACTAAACAAAATTACTTTTTAGAAAAGGTGCTACACTCTACACATTGGAGCAAAATTTCTGGTAATAGGTTGTTCACTGACAGAAAAAAAATCTATATTAAAACCTATAGATCCTTCGCTACATTCCAAATCCAGAATAGAAAGAGAATTTAAAAACTATGCTTATGAAACAAACTTAATAATATGTAATAATGGATAGTGTTATTAAAAATATTTGTTTGTATATTTTATATTTATAATATTCAAAATTTGTAGGGCCTGTTTTTTTTTGTTTATTTTATATACAGTGTGTTCCACCGTGTTTATGTTCGACAGATTTTTCTAGCGCTGTTAATAAATTGAAGGGGGCATCGATTTAGAGAAATATTATATTTATATTTTCATCTCCTAAACATAAAAACAACATAATTTTATTTATTCAATTTAGAAAATTTTCAAAGTAGTAATTTTGTAAAAAAAAACATTAATATATATTAATAGATACATACATTCATATTTAATTAATAGTTTCTTAATTATAGCAGTTTTAATTTCTAAAAAATAGGTGTGAAAATAATTAATATTTAATAAAAGTTAAAAAATGAATTACCATGCGTGTTGATTGTATGTAATAGATTATCGCATAACTGGTTATTTTATTGAATATTAATTGTTTTCACGCTTAATTAAAACTAACTAGGTAATTATTCATCAGATAAGAATGTGTGATACATTCAAATTTTTTAAATAATATATTTTAAAAAAGTTGACAATTTTCTCAAATGAAAAATAAATAAAGTTATTTTTTGTTTGTCTTTAGGGGATTAAAATAAAAATTTAATTTTTCTCCAAATTTATTCCTTGTCAAAGACAAACTGATTGAAAAAAAAAAATGTAATATTAACAGCACTAGAAAAATCTTATCACGGTGGGACACACTGTACATATAAACTGTATTTTGTTGAAAACTTAATATTTCAGTATATCTAAGAACTTCACCAGATATTGTTTATAAAAGAATGCAAGAACGTAACCGTCCTGAAGAGCGTACTATACCATTGGAATATCTGGAAGACTTACATAATTATTATGAAAAATGGTTAATAGAAAAAACAAACTATAATCTATCATGTCCAATATTGGTGATAGATGTTGACAAAGACTTAGGTGACAGTCAGCGTATGGATATGTATAAAGCGTTTGAAGATGCAATTCTTGGAAAAATACCAGTTATACAAAATTGATATCTATATATATAATATAATAGTTGATGATATACCATCCATATTTTTACATTGACATATGCATGGATATAACCAAGTATAGTGATAAGCAACGATTAAGTATTAAGTTTTATACAATGATTAGTTATTTGTGATATTTTTAATATATTTCATATCTTTAAAAAATAAAATTATAAATTAAAGATACTGTACATTTTTATTCATTAAATCTGAATTCAAAATTAATTTACATTTTTATTATGAAAAAGTATTTAATAGGACATACAAAATATTTACACCACCAACATTGGTTATTATGTTAAATATAATGTTTATCATTAATTATATTATACTTTAATTATTATATTTTTTAATTCTTCTGTTGGACACGTTTTCCTTTTTGATTCCAATTTTCGGACTCACTTCCTATCCTTTGTAACGCTTCAGTATTAACATAATACATGCATGCACAACATGATGGTATTTTAAAACTTTCATAATAAATTTCGTTTGAATCTTTCATGGCAACCAATTTCTTATAGATAAATTTTTGTACACATGTCGAATTGTGGCCTGGTGGTAAGTTTCCATTAAATTTGCATGGGAATTCAGCATTTCTACATAAATAAATATTTTACTTATGTTTTTAAATATTAAATATTTTTATTGTTACTTACATACACTCTTCCACTCTAATTCCTTGTTTATAGTTACTCTTGTCATTACTCAAATCTTGTATGATATAACGCCATTCATTATTTTTATTTTGACCTGCTTCTGGATATATCACTTTTTCCTAGAAAAAATATTGTTTTTTTTTTTTTTTTAATCAACAAATTTATTTTAGATGAGTTTGAGATTTTAGATTCTAGGTACTTGATTTTATACACAGCTATTTGACAGTGGTTGAATTTAATTGAAGACTTATTATGGTTAACATTAATATAACTAACTATATAAAAATTTCTTATAACATAGGTCAAATTTGAAAATTTCTCTTGAAACATAGTTTCATATACACAATTGACATACTTAAACGGTTTATACTTTGTAAGGATAACTACATTATATCTAGATGACAATTAAGAAGCTGAATTTATTTTTGTGAGCTCTGGTTGTTCTTTTGTTTGTTTATTTATCTTGTGTACACCGATATCATGTCGTATGCATTAAAAAAAAATACTATCTATGTCTTGTTAATGAAAAATAATTTATAATTTATTTGTTTTTTTTTTTTAGAATAAACTAAAAATTGCTTCGGAAATTTTATATAAACAGAGAATTATTTGGAATGAGGATACAGTTAATATATATACAAATAATATTGAGAAATATTAAGTAGGTATTGTAGGTATAGGTAATTTGTGAAATTGTTCTCAAAACTTTTACAAGTTGCAATTAAAAATTGGTTGTAGTGTTTTTCTGTGTTTGTACATTTCACACTGGTATAATTACAAGTTTTATTTTCATTTTTATTAACTTTAAAATTAAATTAGTTAATACATTATACAAATTAACACCTAATTATTTTCAAAACTACAATTTTTGTTGAGATTCTAATTGGAGATAAAGTTTTTAAAATTGCATTTAAATTACATCATACAACATGGCAGTTTTTCCTTGTAAATAATTCAAATTCTAAAAATATTTTTTAAACAATCCTTAATACAAATAAACTACTTACTAACTACTGGTTAATGGTAAAATAATTATTTGGAATACTTGTTATATTTACAGAAAACTTTTTGGATCAAGAAAGTTATTAATATGAGAATTTTGTGTGCCTAAACTAAAAATAATTCGATTGGAAAATAAACATTTCTAAAGTATGCTCAAAATATTTAAAAAATTTGCTATCTCAAATGTAAAACATAATTTAATATCATAGTTTTACATCTAGGTAAGTGATTATCATGAAAACTACTATTTTCAAATTCCAGCCTTAATCTCTTCATTGGTTTTTAGTGTAGGTAAGTAGTTTCAGGTAATTAGTTTCATTATTTTAAATATCAAGCATTAAGCTATCTTAAGTTAATTTTTGTCAAATTTTGATTATTAATAGTATTTCGTTTTTATTAATTCAAAATTCGACACACAATCAACACCAATTTTCTACCCAGGCTGCAGTGTATCCCATCTGTTATGTGTAAAAATAAATATTTATTTCTTGCTACTTTTGAACTATTTTTAGCAGTATTTTCTAGACCAACTTGACTTAAACTTTTTTTTTTTGAAGTAGTATCCTACCTTTATTCAGTTATACCATTGATTTTATAATGTACTATAGGTTATGCATATATTAGGTAATATATTATAAAATCAATTTTTATACCATTATTATTATTCAGTTATTAATTGTTTTACAAAAAATATTTTAATAATAAGAAATAATTAGAAGAAGTTCAATCATAGTGAAATAGCTTTGCTACTGGCAGGTATTTTTAAATTCAGTACCTACTTATTAATTCATTAACTATTCTTTTTTAGTAATATAGGTAGGTGTATTCAATATCAATTGGTGCAAATGCTATAAAAATACTCACTATTGAATCGCAAAATGGTTGAAGATAAATATTTGAATTTGAAATCCTTGTTTCCACTAAATCATTCGTCTAAAATATAAATATATATTTAATACACAATTACACATTTTGGATTTTCACTGGTGAATTAATAACAATAAGTAATATAGGTATTTTACGTACACCTTCTTCACTTATAGGATCTGTATTGAAAAATGTAGAGGACATATATTTGCTGGTTCTAAAAATATGAAGCAATTCATTTCTAAAAAAAAAATAAATTAACGTTTGATTTTTAATGTAAATAATTATAATTTAGGTGGTATTCTAGAACGGTAATTTTTTGTTTACTTTGGGTAATTATCGATATTGGTACATAAACTTCCATTCATTGAACATTTTGCAATTACACGAGGTTCCGGTATTAATTTATTAGTTGAAAATGGCAATTTTTCTTTAACTAATTCTGTAGGAAAAACTATTGTTGATGGCACTTTGGTTTGTGGTAATTTTAAAACATTGCTGTTTATACTACTGTTATTGGTCGAATATCCATTTTTCACTAATGATTTTGTCTGATTTGATGTTGGTAAAGCTCTTATAGTGCTTATGTACTTATTGGTATTACGAGGTTCAGTTCTAAAAATTAATAGGTATAAATTATATGTATTCAGATTAAATACTTTAATTGTACTGTTATTTCATTCTGGTTAGATTTATTAATTTCTCTTTGTTTTTGTTTCAACTGGTTTTCAATGTGAAATTAATATTGATGTTATATTAAATAACATATAAACAAATATTTACTGCCCACAAATCTGGTTTTTTATGATTAAATTATTTTCAGATGGTATTTATTTATTTTATCCAAATTGGAAATTTTTTATATGAACTTTGTCTTTACATTCTTTCTAAAAGTCATGTTTAGCATTTAATCACTACAGAAGAATATATACCAACTGTACTTTCACTCATAAATACATATATACCTTACTAACTTTTCATTTTTATTTATTACTGAGATCATAATAATATGTAGATAAGGTGTATTATATTGCTTCACTCTAAACAGATTTTTTTTTCAACTTTAAATAAAAAATAACTGATAGGTACTGGAAATGGGTGTACCACTGTTATAGGTCGAACAAAAATCATACACAAATTTAAAGCAATATTAATCTTTTTTTCTCCTACAAACCAATCTATGATGACTACTGTTTAGACACCCGTATCATTATCCCTATATGTATTATAGGCAAACAATTTTCCTAGTTATACTATTATCACTATTTTTTGGTAACATTAATAAAAATACGCAAGAAATAATACATAACACTGTTACAAATACTTTGTTATTTTATTGCTTATAGCCGTAATTGAAAAATCACAGCCAAAAAATTCCAAGGAGGGGCGATCCAACAATCACCTCCCCGCCCTCAAATAGGTATGTCACTGCAATCTATCATCCACCCCAGATATAATATTTTTAACCATGAGAGTACCTATATAATATATAGTATATACATAAAAAGCTGTACTAGGATAATGGGGACTGGTGCAGCCACTGTTATAGATGATAAGTTGGCAAGGAAGGATACAGAATAGAATATTAATGTATATCTGTGAGCAACGAAAAAAATATTCAGCGGAGTTTTGTTGATGGTGATGTTTTATCAATATATATATATATGACATATTATGGTAAAATAATTAAATAGGTATTATATATTTTATTTCATAATATTTGTTTAATGTACCAATTTTTACGTTTTCCCTGTTTTCCGGTGTTCTTCCCGGTTTTGTATATTGTTCATATGCCCAACTCTTGGGGAAATCGAAAAAGACCCATCTAAAGTACCTCCCCACACCGATTTCCTTTCAGAAAAGGTGTTACACTAATCGCAGCAAGATCTCTGGTAGAAAAATTGTTCACAGAAAATAAAATATGTTTGTAAAACCATAAGTTTCTTCGCTCCACTCAGAATTTCAACTGAAATGTATTATTTCCCAATTTCAAATTAATTATAATTTATAGTATGTACAATGAACATTAAGACCCCATCTTATACACATCTCTGATTTATTTTTTAATATTTTCGTCATGGTTAAAAAGTCATGCTTTTCACCTACTGAACTAAATAGTAGTATTTAATTCCGTGTTTTCAGCTTATAGATAATAGACGTAATATAAACATAACCCCCTCCCAAGAAAAAAGTTTCTATAAAAACGCATATAGCCCTAAACAGTATCTACGATGTAGAGAAAGTATCTTCTCTAGAAGAAATATCTTACTCTCGTATCATAGAGTAATCATTCTTTACCTACCAATATATATTCAACTAAAATTAATTTAAGAAACTATATGTATTTCATTTTAAGAAAATATATTTGAAAATTACTGCTATATATTTAAAAAGCCATAATTTATTACAACCAATAATGCATGGAGTAAATACAAGATATGCAAAGAATAATTTTTTATTAAAAGACCAAAAAAACACATTTGGTAGATATTTTGAAATAATTGGTACCAAATTATGTAACAAATTACTATTCTATATAATAAATCTTTCAGTTTATTTATTTAAAAATGGCATTCTGCAATGACTATTGGAGTCTTGTAACAAATTAATTATATAATAATATTACTTTAATTTAATGTAATTACTAATTAGTATTACCTAGTTTTTAGTATTTTTTAGTTTATCATTTACATGTTATTTGTTTGTAATTAGATGCCTATTAGAACTCTTGGGCCCCACAAGAGTCTTATCAATGAGACTCAGTACTCATATGTACATGAAATTAAATTGATTAAATAAATAAACATATACTATTTGAATTTTGATGTCATATAAATTCACAATTACATATGCCTACTAGGTATATTATAATATTAGTAGGTAACTAATGAACTATCTATTTGATTAAAATGGTTCAAAGATAAGATAAGGGTAGGTATTTAAATAATCTTAAAATTAGCCTTGTTGATATATGCATTTATAGTATGAATTTATTATACAGTAAGTAAATATACTTGCATAACAAATAGTATAAATTTTAAATTCTGAACATTAAAAATATTCAAAGAAATGGAAAAAATAAATACCTACCTACATTTTTTTACCTTTATATTCGTGGTAAAACCACTACAATTTTTTGAATTTTTAAATAGCAGCCTATATTAAAATGTTTAGACAATATTAATTTAAATTTTGGTGTTGCAATTATTAATTTCTGTCAACCCGTTGACGAGACATTCTACTATTAAGTTTGATTTGGAGGAGAGTAGTAGATCATTATTCTAACACAGTAACACCACACAGCCACACAAATGATGCTCCGATACTCTCCCCTACCTATAATTAAAAGTAAAATTTCTTCATTGGTCGACGAAAATTAAAATTATTAATATAAAAATGTATTTAAATTAAAACTTCATTTAGTTATGGAATTTAAAAATAGGATTCAATATAATAAATAGTCTAATTGAGTCCTATATTTTTGATCATATTAAATTAGTATGAGGGCATTATTAGAGAAGTAGGTAGGTACCGTAATAGCTAATTACATATACTTTGGATCAAGGTGTCAAGCGGTTATCTGCTACTAGATGAATATATAAACGTGCTTCTCGTGTTTCATTAGGTACCTACCCAGTCAATAGTCATTCACATGTTATTGATTATAACGTGATATTCGAGTTCCTTTGGTCAAGTAAGGTAGCCAATTATCTTCGAAAACTACACTATTGATACGTAATGCTATTGATTATATTGACTATAAATAATCAATGTTAATACATAAATAGTTCAATATAGGTATGTGAATCTACTAGGTAAATAATAGGTAGGTAAAGTTGCCAATTAACTAGTAAGTAATGTTTTAACAGTTAGTGAGGGTTATTGTTGTTTTAAGTAGGTAGGTAGGTATTCAAAAACAAATTGTTTACGATTATTTATTATAGGTAGGTAAAAGTATTAAATTCACATTTTTTCTGCTCATACCTAATGCCTCATACTTAAATTATTGAGTTTTGTTTAGATTTGAGGTGGATAACATTTATTGGCAACTAAACAATTGTAATACCTACAGTTGTATCATATTAAGTTCTTCGTGTATGACACTATAAAAGTTATCGAAAATTCGTAACTATTTCAAATTTTGATGATAATTGTAAAATTTAGAATATTTCAGGTAGTATTTTCCAATTATGTAGATAAAACTTTTTGAGACATCTATGTAAAAAAATGGTTAAAAATTTGAACAATTGTAATTTACAAATTAATACGATGTTAATTTAATTTAATCAAGTTTATCATGAATTATAGTAGGAATTTTTGCATTAAAACTAAAAACTACCAAGTAATAAGTAGATACCTATCGACCCATATTTGTATTATATAGTTATAATACTTTTACATTAGGTATGCAGACTAAATTGTTACAAAAATGTGTTTTGTTTTCAAACATTTGTTATTTAGGTACATAATATATTGCATACCTACTATATTGTAATTATGTACCTATAATTTTTTGTTTGATTTAATCTTTAAAAATGTGAATTGTTCACATAGGTACATCATCATTGTAATTAACTGTTTATAGGTATATTGTTTTTGTGTAGATAATTATAACTATACCAAGAATAATGATACCTAGTCATTTTTATATTTAATTAATAATTTTAATTCATCATTTATTATATTTTATTACCTACATAATAATTATATAAGATATATTAGGTAGGTATGCATATTTGAGAGTTCTGTGACAAATCAAAAGATCAAATCTAAAATTCCAAAATCTAAGTTAAATTTGTAAGTAATGAATACATTCCGTGAAACTACGTGGAAAATAATAGCAAACGCTTTTTATTTTTGTATTTGTGTTTGAGTAAGTAATTATTTTTATTTTAAAAGTAATTTTCTTTTTTTCATTTATACCTATAATTAATAATTGATGAAAAACGTTATGATTTGTAATTGAAACATATAATTTCAAAAATGTATAATTTAGTTGTTGTATTGCATACTGTTTATTCTGGCTGTAGGTAATGTGAATTTTATACCACACAATATAATAATAATAATCTTCAACATTGTTTAATTGTTATAAGATTAACATTTTCATGGACTAATATAATTACTCTAACTCTATGAAATTAAATTCTATTTTGTGTGAAAAAATAATTATTAATAACAATATAAATATAATAATATAACAATAGGCTAATTATCATTATAACTTTTTATGTTATAGCATCTTAAATAATCAAGTAATATGGTCGGATGGCAATATTCTTATCCCAGTTTTTTTTTTTTTTGTTAGACCTTATGTTTAATTACTGCCTTCTAATACCTACTAATCTTTCATGTACAAGTAGTTATATTTTTGTATAATAATGTAAGTACATTCCAAAAAACAAAATAGCTTTACAGTATAAATTATTTCCTATTTCATTTATATATAAAAAATGATCCTTTCATTAAAAAAAATATACAATTAGCTTTAAGTAAATGATTTTTTGGTACCTAGTTTTTCTTTATTAGTTATTATAAAGATAAATAAATAATAAATATTAATATAATTAATTAATATAATTAATTAATATAATATTATAAAGAATAATAAATCATAAGCTTCAATAATATTTTACTATAGTCTTCCCATTTGATTAAACAAATAATTAAACACTTAAATAGAATATTAGGTACTTATTTAATTATTGTCTTATTTAGATATATTGAAATATAGTTAATTCATAAAGTTTTTAATGTGTCTGGTGTACTATATTCTAAAAAATAGGTAAAATATAAGTATTTTTTAGTTTATTTATTAATTGTATTTCATAATAAAGTTAAGAAATGTGAAGTTGCCAACCTTTAAGTCACAAATAATTTTGATTACGTCAGGTACCTTGACATTTTAATAGTAAAAAAAAAGATGTTTCAAAAACTAAAACAAGGAAAATATGAAAGGCCAAAAAACAAGTAAAAACTTAATCCATCACTGTAATTTGAAAGTTAAATTTAATTTAACTACCTATCGTAATTGATAGACTCCACATTTAAATTTTAACTTTATATTAAAATAGATCTCGCGAACAATTGGTTAAATATTTTGGGTCATACATACTCAAAAGTTGACAACTGCTAGTCTACAGTACCAGGCACTCATGTTGACTATAAGGATTAACTTACTTTTGATCTTCTATATAATCTCTCGAAGTCGTGGTTGTTGTAATATCTCTTTTAACCAAACTTCTTTTTGCAGGCCTGTATTGATATTTTCGTGGAAACCATAAATATTCTTCCAAGTACGAATTGTAGTTATATGACGTGTGATGTAATGCTATTGAATTAGTCAATTGAATCTATAAAATATATAAATATAAAATGACTTATTATAGTTAAAATTAAAATTAATTCCTATCTTTATGCTCTATAATACTCTTGTTTTACTTTACCTATAATAATCTATTTTTAAACTATATGTATGCAATGACAGTTTCTGTATGAATATAGATCGAGAAACTCATTGAATTCAACAACTTAATATATTAGATGATCTCCAGTATGAATTAATGTTCTTTTTTCCTATACCTTCGTAGGAAGTCATTTATGACTTTTTAACCAAATTTTTTCTTAGGGGGGTCGAGACTCTGGACTCCCCCCTCGAAAATACGCCACTATACAGTATATTTATAGATTAGGTACTATCACAATATAAGTAAAATACCTTAACATTTTTTCATCATTATTTATAAAGTGTGAATCACTTATTGGTCATATTAAAATTTAATTCTGATAACTACGATAATAACTTGTAATAATTAATTATAGTTAAATTATAGGTATTTATTATACTTGAATAAGTTATAATAAATACCAAGATAAATAATAGTTAAATTTCGGGATTTTTTTAAATATAGGTTTTATACTATTATCTATTATACACTAAAAATGTTACAGGTCATAGGTAATTGACACATGATATATATATATATATATATATATTTATAGCAGTAATGCGGATGTACAAATTATCGCGATTTTAATAATTGTTCAAATATCAATATAATAAAAATAACTCTGTAAGACTATTGTAGTACCAAATTTTCAAATAATGAATATCACAAATATGAATATTTTTTTTTATTGTTAAACTAAATTTCCCTAAAAAATTAACTGTACCAAATCACCTACCTAGGTACTAATAATTATAATTCTTATTATTCATCATTGAGAATATTAGGATTATATAATGTTCTTAATCAAATTAAATCGTATTATTGAATCTTCATTACGCACATATTCGATTAAAATCTGTGTTATATCACACAATCAAAATTTCTAATCACACACTAGGTATATCTTACATAATTTGATTTTGAACAGAATAGGTATACCTATATATTATTATACATAGTTAATCAATGATAATCGTAAGACATTTAAGTAGGTATTGTCAAAAATGATTAAATAATATGATTACTCCGTGAAGCAATAGGTATGATCTTCTCGATTTTTTTTTTTTATTCCTATTCATTTTTAATCAATTAAATCTTTCCATCCCTTTATTGGTTAGTTTTGTGTGAAAAATATACATATTATAGTTATAATTTTGTTGATAAAAACTTAAGTTCTATAATTTACTGTACTTAGTAGTGTTGGAAATAGGTTCCTATTTTCAATTTAAACTATTTTTTATTTTAGGTACTATCTATCTAGATATTTATAAAATACACAATGCATGTCTTCATAATTTATGATAATAATAATACTTAAAATATATAGTTCCAAAGTAGGTAGATGGTTATTTATATTTATTGGTAATAATTTGTATAATTTGTATTCTTAAAAATATATTATTTCTTTAAATCACCTACTATTGAAAATTAATGCTTGATAAACATGGTTTTTTATTTTTTATATTTAGAACTCTATCATTACATCTTTTATTTATTTACTGTAATAATAATAATTCGTTATGAATCAATTAAGTTTCAATACATTATTTTTAAACCTTTTTTGTTTCTAGGTATATAACTAAAATGTCAATTAAACACAATGTAAATTACATGGTCGATTTAGTTACATATGTTAATTACTATAATTTATAAAAAATTTAATAGGCTATAAATATCTAAAGAAATAGGTACTTCAGTTGTGTTAAAACAAAATTTATGTGCACTGCACATTAATAGAATGATTTAAAAAATTAATAGCACGTTATTGTTTGATTTTGGGTTCTTAACGAATTTTGTTTTCTTTAAAATAATAATTGTAAGCATCTACTTTATAGTGCATTATATTTTTATCCCGGTCGGTATTAGGATTAGAAAAAAAAATCTGATAATGAGAACGGATGCACCACTGTTGTAGGTAGTAGGTGGGAAGTCAGGAAGGTATGATAAATAAAGTTATTTCATTTATACCTGTAAGCAACGATACACCATTGTTAACGAAAAACCATTGGGAGCGAAGTTCGGTTATATATATTTTAAAAGGCCGTAATATTTACGATTTTTTTGATTTTAACTCTTATTAAAAAAAAAAATACATAAAACTATATATTTTTTATATTTTTTTACCATATTTTAGCATATTTTTTTTACCACTTAGTATGACTTATAACGAACCTCTTGTTAAATTTCTAAACATTTCTGTTTAGTCTAACAATTTTATCTATCAAACAAAAATTACGTAAAAACCTCGCAAAATTAAAATAGTCTAAAAATGGCTTAAATGTTTTTAAAATTTGATCACATTTAAGAAAAGTAAAGAAAATTTTTTGGTCAAAATGTCAAGTGACTACGAATATTCTTAACAGAATTACAACAAAAAATAGCTGATGTTAATGGGTGTATCATTGTAAGTGGTAAGTTGTAAAAGTAAAATCTAGGTAATTAAAGTAATTATCTACATTTATATTTCAAAAATAAGTTATTTCTGACGAAATACAATTCTGAGCGTGATTCGGTTGAATATATTTAGACTAATATAAGTATTCTGTGAAAATGTTAGGTTTCTATGTTTATTTTTAACCGAATTCCTAAAAAAGACGTCCTAGGATAATGGGAACGGGTGAAGCCACTGTTGTTGATGATTTAATGTATACATGACGTAAGTAATGATAAACCAATTCTGAACGGAGTTCAGTTGATAATGATGTTTTGTCTACAATATATGTCATTTTATAGTAAATTAGTTAAATAGGTTTTATATATTTTCTTAAATAATATTTGTTTAATGTTGTACCGATTTTTCCAGTTTTCCTACGTTTTCCCGTTTTTCCTCTGTCTTTTTCGGTTTTTGATAAGAAAACTCCTCAACTATTATGAACATAACTTCGAAAATCAAAAAACGAATTACTCTTTCACTAAACTAGATTAAAAATGCAAAAAAATAGGTTTCTTGTCATTCTTCTATTGGAGCAGTAACTTAACCTAACCTCACCTTAGAAAACAAAGTTTGCAATCATTTAAACAATGAAATCGGTGACGCTACAGCGTGTCGTAAATATTTGCCGTTTTACCTATAATTTTCGTTACGGTTTTTTACAATTATTTTGAAACCCCATTTGAAAATCAAAAAATGATTTTCCAAAAATTTCATTTCAGAAAAATTACTACACTCCATACATCTGAGCAAGATTCGAAACAAAAAAATACACATCCTATAGAAAAACCAATTAGTCCCTCGCTACGCTCAGAATTTAAAAAAATGGCATGCAAATTACACAATATTATGTACCTTTCTAATACTAAAAATGTTTCGTTCCGTGAATGTATACCAGCAATTTTGCTCAAACTCATAATGATAACAATGTCTCTAAAAGGAAATTTTACTAGGGTGGTACTTTAGAGAGGTCATTTTTCGATTTTTTCAGGAGTTTTCTCATCAAATTTTAAAAACCAAGAAAAAACATGGGAAAACATAGGAAAACTCGGGAGATCAGTACCTAAAACTTTACACAAATATTAAAGAAAATATATAATGCCTATTTAATTGTTTTACTATAATATTACATATACATATATATTGTTGATAAAGCATCACAATCAACTGAACCCCACTCAGAATCGTTTTTTCGTTAGCAATATGATTTATCGTTGCTGAAAAGTATGCATTAAATTACCTAGTACAGTGCTGCACCCATCCCTATTATTCAGATTTGTAAAACTAAATTAATAGTATATTAGGATACTTTCAAAGAGAAAAAAAAAGACTTTCGGACCCCTTCCTCTAAAGTCATTCATTACGACTGTCGACTGTCACTGTAATTATTGTACCTAATATCGCGTACAGTGAATAATGAACACTTTTCTTTGGTTCATATTATTGTTAGGTATATTTTAATCATTAATCGTATTAGGCGCCTACAGCGAGTATACTTAAATTTATATCAACAATTGATTAAACTCGTTTAAATCACCTTCTAACCGACTTTAATAATAATCGCCTACCGATATTATAATAATATATATACAGGTGTATTTATTGCGTTAAAACACAGTGTCCATACACTTCAACGGAATAATATATTTGGGTTTTTATGGTGTCCATAAATTTATGGTGTCGTAAATACCATAAAGTTTAAGGTACCTAAATATTGTAATACTCGGACGAGAATAATTAATAATATATTTCATTACCGTGCTAATGAGAGCCATTATAATAACAATATTAATCACCGTCCACGGCCGTTTGGTCATTTTGTCGGGGTTTCGCGCGCACGCAGTCGGAAATTGCATTACACGCGCCTAAATATTTTGTTATTATTATTATTATTATTATTATTATATGAAATATCTGCAGTGCGTACAGTAAATTATTAAGTAGTCTGCGGTTATAATAGAATCATGTTAAGCATATGATTAATACGATAATATTATTATGTTAAGCGACCGTTCGGTTAAAAATCGGCGTGTTGTTTTTCAGTTTTTTAAGCGTTTTATTTCGACGCACCACGAACACGCATCGCGAACGGACCACCACGAATGATATTTCAGCACTGGCCGTAACTTAATAAGTAGACGCACGAGCTCGAGCTCTGCAACTGATGTTAATCGTTTATAATATAATTATTATGCATATCTATACCTACCGGTTTCGCTTTACACCTATATACCTACCTACCTACTCTGTAATATGTTTTCGCTATCGGATCACCAATAATAATAATAATAATAATAATAAAATGTATATTGTAACGCGCGCGAATGCGTCTGAAAACCGATTCGTTATTATCGTTGCTTACTTACCTACATATTATACACGTACCTGGATTATAGGTACATAAGATTATATTATTGGGAAAAAAAAAAAAATACACGCGGATAATGTAAATTTATTATATTTACAACGATAATCGGATTCGATGATTTTCAGGAAAAATAAAAAACGAATAATAATAATAATAAAACAAATTTAAAATTGCTTTTTACAACCGAATTAATTAAAGTGTTCTGTATAAATAACTTTCTAACGATAATATCGGGTATCCGCGACTGTCACCCATAAACAGTGCTCGAATTGAGATGGGGACGTGGGGGGACTCCGTACCTCGACTAATTTTTCAGAAATTTTAGCATATCCCTCTATTATCTGTTCTAAGTGGAACGCATAAGTACCTACATATTTTTGCATTTTAATTAACATTTTAACTCGAAACGCTTATAAGTTTAAAAAACCTATACTTCGCTCTTATTTCTTAAATAATAAAATATCAGATAAAAATCTGAAAAATTTTTGAAAATTTCAAATGTTTATAGATATCTAAAAAATTAACAGAATTAACCTTTTGAAGATTGTACCATGTCTCGAATGAGCCAAACATTTAAATCTTATTGAAAAAAACTACATAACGTTACATTTTTTTTTTTTTTTTTTATCACATAGTTTGATGACTCATAGCGAACTTCTCGTTAAATTTTCAAGCATTTCTGTTTAGTCTAACAATTTTATCTTCTACCAAACAAAAATTACATAAAAACCTCGCAAAATTAAAATAATTTAAAAATGACTTAAATGTTTTTAAAATTTTACATGAACCAGCAATAATTGCTGATTAATTGTTATCTCAGAGAATTTTAAGTAAATTTGATTTATGTTGTTCCTAATCATTGTGGAATCATTTAAGCTTTATTTTAAAACCATTTCTGATTTTTATCTCTATTCCATATACCTCAAATAAGTACATACTTTTGATAATTTGATAAATTCAATCATTTTTGAGATAACGTGTGTCTTATCGAAGATTAAAAAAATATCGAGGCATTGTGTAATAATTTTTGCGGAGCCTCGATAAGATTCTGAGTTTAGCTAAGCATGTATTGATTCTAGAAAGATTAGTCCAATTATCTAGTATAGCAGCTTTTCTGAAAGGAAATGTTCTCTGTGTGGTACTTTAGAGAGGTCATTTGAAACTAACATTAATATTCGAGATAATGAGGAAAACCTGGTTCTTTAGGTTAAAAAATATTGAAAAATTAAAAATAAGGTTGTCATTGGCAACCGTTTTTATTTATTTTTTGTTATTTTTAAGTTTTTATTATTTTAATTTTTTTTTTTTAAACAATCATTGTTATAATAATTTTACCTTCATATGACATATTTATTGTTGACAAAGCAACACTATCAACTGAACTTCGTTTAGAATCGTTTCTTCGTTAGTAATGGTTTGTCGCTGCTTACAGATATACATTAAATTCCCGTCTGTATCCTACTTTCTCAACTCCTCACCTACAGCAGTGGCTGCACCCACGTGCGAAATATGTCCGTCTTTTTTCAACAATTATTTTTATACTTGTCTGTGAAATATGTAAAATCAATACTCAATACCTAATAAATTATGTATAATGATAAATGTGAAGCTCGAAGTGACTGTAATAGAATAAATAATATTTGATCTGTAAAATCTTGTAGACATTTGGACATCTCGGCCAGTAGCGCACGCAAGATGTTTTTTCAAGGGGGGTTTTGTTTATGATGACTTCTTAGAGAGGGGATAGCACATATTATCAAAAAAACATTATCACTATTATTTCTAAATAAATGAATTTTGATGAAATTAAGTTTTATTTTATTCTAGTGTATAAGGTAGCATGTTATTATAGGTAAAACTTAATTAAAAAAAAAAAAAAAATGCAGAAATAAAATAAAAAGACATGCTTCGCACGTGGATGCAGCCACTGTTGTATGTGGGAAGTTGGGAAAGTAGGATACTAAAGGAAATTTAATGCTTATCTGTAAGCAACGATAAACCATTGCTAACGAAATATCGGTTCTGAGCGGAATTCAGTTGAAAGTGTTACATTGTTAACAATATATATGTTATATTATGGTAAAATAATTAAATAAGCATTTTATAGTTTCTTTAATAATATTTGTTTAATATTGTACCGATTTTCTTGTATTTCCCGTTTTTCACCATTTATTGGGAAAATTTTTAGGAAAATCAAAAAATGACCTACATAAAGTACCTTTCTAGTCCGATTTCCTTTCAGAAAAAGTGCTAAAAATCAGAGCAAGATTTCTGGTAGACAAGTTGTTCATAGATAAAGATAATCATCTTTGTAAAACCATGAACTTCTTCGCTCCACCCAGAATCTAAAATGCATTTAAGGAAGAAATTTCGGGGGATTTCGACTCCTAAATCCCCTTCTGTGTAAGCCACAGGCATAAGCGCAACTAGGGGAGCTGTAGGAGCTTAGCCCCCAATTTTCCTAATCGGCCTCCCGAAATTACTATAATATACAATAAATATATTTAGAATTCATCTTCAGTCAAAAGGGGCAACTTTGGGCATATCTGGTAATTTAGTGAAAGGAGTCATTCGTACCCTTGAATATAATTGGTCAGATGAACATTTTTCTAAAGTGTGGATTAAAATTAAACCATTCCGTTCAGCAAATTATATTACAATTGATAACTCACTTAAAGGTAGGTATTATTAATCTTTTATCAAATAAAATATTTATAATAATATTATTTTATCACGCATGAACAGATAAATAACTGCTTTTTATGTTATAGAAAATAAGAAATTAATTGATATGATTAATATAAATTTACAAAAGATGATAAATATTGATATGTGGGGACGAAGCATCCCACATGTTACTTATGGTATAATATTAAGATGGGGCCTTTACCCCCCCCCCCCTAGGATATTGTGCTAGTTGCACCACTGACCACAGGACGCTCGGCGTCGCGTTGTATTAACGATTAGTACCAAAGCCCAAAATTTTGAATTGATTCGTCTAAAGTACAAACTATTATTTACTTGGCGGATAATATGTTTTTCAAACTGTAGTCATGACAATGTAAGCCTTAATTATCAACAAATAACAGTACGGATTACAATACAGTTAAATAATAACTACTGTTGTATAGTAATTATTTTATTATTAGAATTTTAGACTCGAAGAGCAAGGAATGTATTGGTTTTACAATGATGTTTATTTTTTATTATTATTATTATTATTTTTTTATGTGAACTCCTTTTCTACTAGAAAAATAGTAGAAAAATATAATCTTTTTATTTAAATTTTAAATAATGAAATAGACCCCCCTTAATTTGAAAAAATCGTATTTTCCATCTTTTTTGGTTTTTCCTAATTATTAGGAAAACTACTCTAGAGTTCAAAAATATTACTTTCTTTGATAGTTCCATTTAATATCCAGGCAACACTGGTTGCCTAGATATTAAATGGAATAAAATCGATCTCATTATTAAGTACATAATTTTTTCATCAAAACGTTTTGACAATGGTAAAAATAGTACTACTAATAATCATAAGATCATAAGGCTGCTGCTTCTCCTACGAGATTTTCTGCTAAAATATTTTTTTTTTTAAAAAAACATGTAAGATAAACATTTTTTTTAAAAATATCAAACCTTAAAGTAATAGGTACCTTTAATTTTGTCATAAACAAGTGAGGGATCTTTTGAGAATTTCGAACCCCCTTCTCTTAAAACTCAACCGAGCCCCATAAAATAAAGCGCTCATTAAATAAATACTAAGTATACATAATCAATATAATGGGAGCTTAAGCACTCCTCCAAAATTATTTAGACTGTTTGTACCCATTACTTTTGCATGAGATTTATTTCAAACATCGTTGCCTCCCCTGCCAAGAGGACCTGCTCACGATTATGCTAATAATAATAGTACATATATCATCGCGGCTACACAGCAAAACATCAAAGGCAAAAATGTCGACTTTTTTTAAAAAATTACAAAATGTCCACAGTTTTTGCTTCTCCAAAATTTGTTAAAATTGACTTACGATAGGTTTTACTTGGTAAATTATAATTTTATATCTGTGATTAATAGTTAAGTTTAACTAATAATAATATTAATGGCCATAAACAAAAATGAAAACATCAATATAGAAAATTATAAAGTTATATATATTTTCACCAAAATATATTTTTGTTTACACACCTATAAAGTGTTTTCAGACTTTTGGGTTATTAAAAAATGCGAACATTTTTTTGATGCAGTGCCTTAAAAGCTGTGGAATTTTCGTCTGGTGATGTAACGTTTTTTTATTTAAAACCAATATATGCATTTTTACTACCCTCAGAAATTAAAATAATAATCAATAAGTTTTTTCTTTTTTTTTTTTTTTTTTTTTTCTTAACCAATTGGCAATGTGGCTATGGGAACTAGAAAGAAAAATGCTCTTTTCGTAGGACAAGATTTACGAGTGAGCCAAACGGGGTGGTTCAAACTTTTTTTTATTATAAGAAGTAGGTACTTTCTAGAGATAATTTTGTGTCTGTGAACAACTTTTCTAACAGATATTGTTCCAATTAAAAAAATACGGGGAGATTTTTTTTTAGTATTTTGGATCTGGTATGACGTGCATAAATATCTATGTGTATTATATGTATGGTTCGTGTATGATGAATATATTATATTAAATGTATAATTTACGTAAAAATGTTTACTAGGTTGAGATCAGTTTTTGATTTTTCTTGTAGTTTTCATAATAATCAGGGAAAAAAATTTATCAAAAGAAAAAATTAATAAATTGACTATAAATAAGTTTTATTATTTTAAAATTTTTCATTTTATTTTCAATAACAGTTTCTATTATTTATTTTTATTTTTTTCGGAAAATAATCGTATAGTATTACATTTTTTAAGAACTACTTATATTAGTCAATTATTAGACGTAGTAAAATTTTCAATACACTCTAGCAATTTTTGAGTTATCTATAGGTATTTAACATCATTTATGTGGATAAAATATTGTTTTAGCTGAACAGTAATAGCTTAAAATTGAATTCCAGATTCATTTAAGTAGTGTTTAGTACCTAATGAAAAAAAAAAATTTCAGCGTAATGTAGTATATTTTTTTGTGACGGAAATCTTACAAATTATCTACGGCATTTAAAAACATGAATATTACCGAACTTCACTCAGAATCGTATTTCATTAGCAATGATTTATCGTTGCGTACAGATATAAATAAAATTACTCTATGTATTCTACCTTCTAAACTTCTTTTTTTTATTACGTACTAGTGCACGAAGAAAAAACCGGATTTATAAAAATATTAAACAATAAATAAGTAAAAAATATATGTAATCTGTATTTCTGTGGTAAATAACACACATGCATTTTATAGTTAGGTACACACACAATTATTAATAAAATAAATAAATTATCATAGGTAGACATCGACTATACCTAATTAGATAGTTGACGTAGACACGTAGGTACGACACCACGACGTACCTAGTCTATAACTCACACATTCATTATTAGAATTAAGTAAGTAATAATTATTGTACATTTCGTACGGAAATGCACGTTTTGATTTTGTAAATACATTTCAAAGTGCTCATAATATTATCATATAGGCGGCATACGGTTTAATAACATTTGTTCAATATACAATATAGTTACGTAAAATTTATTATTGTCCGGTGAATAATATAATAATAATTTTTTTTATTTATAATGTAGGTAGGTAAGCACTTTTTCTCCTCGCTGTTATTCATACAATCATACTAAATCATTAGAGATGTTTTCGCCGTCAACCGTGGCAATAATTTGGTTGGTATAGGTACCCAATGATTAATATTTAATGTACGTTAGTCTATAAGGAACTGTATGTACAAGGATAAAAAGTACCTACTTGCTAATTACATTCAAAAAACAAGTTTGTGACCAATTTGTAGTTATTAATGAGGATTAGTAGTTATAAAAATAAATAAATCGTATTTTGTTCAATTTAAATTACAACATCGAGTCGTGCTTACCTATATATTAATTTATAATGTTCATATACCAATATTATTATTATATTTACTAATTTATTACTATGGGTACTTAACACTAAAATGTATTATTGGTTTTTAATCGCCCTAGATGATATTATTAAGTGTACCGGAGTGAGCTAGAGTGTTATCCTGCAGATAACACTGTAGGACACGCCCGTACACTTATCCATATCTGATCAATAGTTTTTTAGTTTTAGCCGATTTAATTTCTAGAAAATTGGCGTGAAAACAATGAATTTTCAATAGAAAAACACGTTACGTGATGTCGCGATAAGGAATCACAATCAGTGTAGTAATTCCTTATCTTCTGTATAATAGGTATTAATTGTTTTCACGCCTATTTTGTAGAAATTAAAATCATTAAAATTATAAAAAAAAAAAAAAACCAAGAAACTATTAATCGGTTGTGAATGTATGATACATTAAAATTGTATGAATACATTTTACAAAATAGAAATTTTAAAATTTGGAAAAATATAAACGTTATTTCTTTTAGTGATTAAGAGAAGAAAATAACAATTGAAATGTCTTTGCACGAAATCCAATTAAATAAAAAAGACTGACATGCTTCGTACCTAGTTGGGCCACTGTTGTAGGTGAAAGTTGAGAAGGTGATAGAGGGGAAATTTAATGTATATCTCATTTCTGTAGCAATGATAAATCATTTCTAACTAAAAAGCGATGCTGAGCGAAGTTCAGTTGATAGCGTTGCTTTGTCAATAATATAATATATGTCATATTATGGTAAAATAAATACATAGGCATTATATGTTTTCTTTAATAATATTTGTTTAATATTGTATTTATTTTACTGTTTTTCCCATTAAGAAAACTCCTGAGAAAATAAGAAATTACCTCCCTCTAAAGTGCCTCGCCAGTTTTCTATAAGAAAAAGTGTTATCATTGTAAATTGGAGCGAAATTGCTAGTAGAAAAGTTGTGCACAGGATTAAAAAAGGCAGTCATATTTTTTTAAATAATTTCTACATGTTGTACATTTTCCTGTTCTTCACATTTGTTGAGAAAATTAAAAAATGACTTCCCTAAAGTACCTCTCCGATTTAATTTCTGGTAGAAAAGTTGTCCACAGAAAAAAAAAAAATAATAATGAACATCTTTGTAAAACCATAAGTTTCTTCACTCCACTTAGAATCTAAAAAATAATTATTGACAGAGTTATTAGCATAAGGATAACATTGTAGGACACCCTGTATGGTAACTATAAAACATGTATTTTGAAAAAAATATACATACATTTGTATTTACACCATTCACATGAGTCATAGGGCATTTAGGCCATAAACTTTGGGTTTGCTAAAATTATGAACACATCAAAAACTCATTGGGGCTATGCCCCAACAATCTCCTTTACAAGAAGCAAATATAGATTTCAATTAAAATATTGTGTTTACAAATTGATCATAACTGTTTTAATATTATCTTTCATACACACATGCATTGTCTATAAATAATCTGTATTTTGTTCTGTTCATTAATTATGAAACACATGGATAAAATATTTAGTCATTGCTATGAAAAAGCTTATTTCAGACCCCTTAGCACCTCCCCCCCCTCCTAGTTGCGCCTCAGGCCATTCATGTCATATTATATATTAAATAATGATTCTTACCAAATAGGTATCTATTCAAATAGAACAAATAAGACGGAAATGGTCAACAATGATGTTAATAATTTAATAACATGAATTCAAAAGATCTATTCATATAATAAATAAGTACCAACATGCCATATTGAAATTTACATTTTCGAAAGGCTAACTACATTCCTTTACACCTAACTACATTTAGGTAGGTATCCATTGTATGTGATTCGTTACATTTGATAATATTTTTAAAGTTTTTTGCAACTCACTTGTGGAATAATAGATCAAAATCATTAATACACAGTACGACAATAAATTTACCGAACTTAAAATAGCCAATTGTTAGTTTTTATTTGTCATTATGAGTATAAGCACCTCCTACTAATAGTATGTGTGTGATAATTACTTGATTTTTCTAAAACTCAATTTGTTCATTTTTTACTTTTTTTTTTTTTTTTTTACTATTATGCGTGGGTATTAGCAAAAATCAATTTTTTTATAAAATTAAATCTTGTAATTTTACACTTCAGGTATAACAATAATTAATGATTTTTAAAACTTAAACAATTATTTTACATAAAATAAATGTACTTCTTGCATTTCTCTAAGGAAATGAAAAAAAAAAAAAACAATTTTTGTTAAATAAATAAATTCCATTTTCAGTGTTTACATACAAATTACAACCATCGTAAAACAATTTTCGACTCCATTAAAAAGATGCCTAAAAATAATACTGTATCCATTAGGTATACTTATGAATATAATAATTTATTATTGTAACATACATTTAGCTGCTAAAGTATAAACATAATATAGGATACTTGAATGATAGGTAATATTTGACTATAAAATACAATTCAGTTGGTTTAAATATTTAAAATAATGACTATAAAGAAACTAGATAAATAAAACAACAAATAGTTTTGAAACAAATGAAAAAATAAATAAGTAATAATAATAATAATAATAATAATAATAATAAAACAATAATAAAATTTAACAATACAATTAAGACCATTAATCGCCATCATATTTGGCTTAATAATACTTGTCTATGCAAATCACACTTAAATATACCTAAAATCACAATTGTTTTCAAAATATGAATACATGGGAGATGTATTTACGTTGTACTTTTAATAACAAAATCAACATAATTATGCTATATTAATGAATATTTTTGTGTTTTCTGTGAATTGAGTGAACTATTATAAAATTATGACATTGTAATAGAAGTTAAAAAAAAAAAACGAAATCAAAAAAATAGACCTTCAATACACTTACCATAAGGACTATGGTTAAATATTTTATTTATATATTTTTTATGTGAATGGATTACTACGTCTCTTTAATGAAGATCTTTTAATATCACATTCGGTTGGTCGAACTACTTCAAAGGGTGTATAAACAGGAGCTTGAGACTCTTCAGCATCACTACTAGAATAGTCTTCAAAACTCATATTGCTAAAGCCACTATTTGTAGTTAATGTAGATATCACTTTATTAGTCGCCACCTGAGAAACAATTTTGGGAATTATTTTCATGTAAACTGGCTCTTCTTGAGGATTTAAATCAACTAAAATAGCTTCTTTAGGTTCAGATCTAAACGGTGGTGTTTCTGTTAAATTTTCTTTTTCAAAATATACACTATCGGTAAAATCTGTCTGTTCAAATGGATTTGTGTTTAATTTGAATGGCGAAGAGCCGAATATATCTGAATCTGTATCGGAGCATTTTTTTTTCGCTTTAGGAAATGGCGCCATTGCAAATACGTCAGTACTAACTAAACTTTCATACTCTTCTTCGTTATCGGAAATCAATGGTAGTTCTGCATCAAAATTTTTAACAGGTACTGGATCACGAAGCCGAGTCGCTCCTTGGGCATTTAAAGGAGGAATATCGTCCCGAGCCATGCTTTCACATTCAGCATGATATGCTGATGAGCCACAGGTAATCATGCTGTCTTTTACTGTCATAGTTTCAGGAATGTTTTTGTTTGTTTCTTCGTCATCATTTCGGGTTTGGAGATCACTAGCAGATCCAATAGAATCATCATCAGATTGGTCATAGTCATCTTGATGTTTTTTATTTTTTTTGTCCTTTCGGAAACGACTAGTTGATTTAAATTCTGGAATTTTTCTTCGCTTGGAAGATTTTTTCCTGGTTTCACCACTCATTACTTGACTATCATCTGAAGAAACTTCATCTGTATTGCAAGCTAACTTTTCATATTTAGAACGATCTTCAAGAGGAATTTTTACAAAGGGGGTTGAAGAACATTCATTTGATTCCAGTTCATCATCACTACGAGTTGTTGCCACTAAACCAGTAATAACCTCATCACTGTCAGGTTCGTTGTTTAAAATTAATCTGTCTAATTTCAAATTATGTTCAATGAAGTAGGTTTTCCATTTTTCAGCATTTTTTTTAAGATCAGTGCCTAAAAAATTAAGAGATGAAAGGCAAAAAACACCAACAATGTCAAATAAATATTTAATATATTTTAAATAATAATAAGATATCCAATATTTAACATGCAGTTGTATAAGATAAGTATATATAATTAAAGGTTAAATAACTACTATAAAAAATATGATATATAATTGAATTAAGTAGTACAATAGTCGTTGAAGAAAAATAATTCATGCACATTTAATCACCGTAACTCGTATTTGTGATATGCACAATTTATGGTGAGACATTGCTAAATGTGTATCATTCCCGATTCCCATCATGTGGCGAACCTACAAAGAACCAACCAAGAAGCACCATATTACCAGATAAGAGATTTTGTTATGTAAAACCATAAGCTTGGTTAATAAGCCAAAAAAAAAATGTTATATTGTTTTTTATAGGATAGAAGAAGCTGACCTATTAATATAAATATTATTTTATTTTATTACTGAGTGTATTAAATATATATACATATATATTGAGAAGAGGATAATTGGAATATTCTGGAAAAGATATGGTTCCATCTATATTCATGCTAATAGAAAATGTATATATGTACAGACATATTATGTTAAAATTAATTAAATCTATGTTTAGGGAGGGTTTCAGTTAATGACCAATCTGTCCTCAGGTTTATTGAGGGGGTGAAGAAAAATTAATTTGATAACTCATTTCACCTGTTCAATACCTTGTCGAAAGTCTATTTAAATAGAAAAATATAAAAAAATATTGACTATTCTTATTACCTGTCAGTTTGGAGATTATATTATACATATTAATTTTATGTTCAAGTATATACTTAAACATATATTTTTAAAAAAATACAAAATATATTAACTAATTAAAAAAATAAAATTATTACAATTTTATATTTATCAATGAAAATATGTATAATTTACATTTCAGAAAAGGCAAGTCCACTTTTCCTAATGACAAAGGAGATATAAAACGCTAAATATTGAATTGAATGAAATAATAAAGACATGGTTTTGAAAATTTGGCATTAATTATGAATAGTCATATTTGGAATGAATCCTGAAATAGCTAAATATTAAGTTGTTTAGAATTAAAAAATTTACAATAGTTTTTTTCATACCATATATACCAAGGTTATGTCTTTTGTTCTATTGTACATTTATGATTTTTAAATGTTTCTACAGTTGGATTTGGCGCTTTCCTATAGTAATTTTTTTTATTAATATGCATCAAGTACAAAATTAATTGGATTCATTTATTTCTTATAGTGAGCAAGTCAAGAGAAAAGACACAATTAATACTACCAGACTCAGAATCATTTTTCATTTGTCATGATTTATCATTACAATATATAAACTAAACCATATCCTACAATCTAAATTACACACAACAGTGGCCTATCTGTGAGCAGTATTAATTTTAAACAATTATCATTTAATTTTAATCAGATGAAATATTTAGAGCTATTGAGTAAGTATTAATGTTATAGTGATGCAATATAGGTTTTTTTCTTTATAAACAATTTATTTATTTAAAATGTAGACTTAAAAATGTCACCATAGTCTAACTAAATATAATTAATTGATTAAGAATTATACAGTATTATAAATGTAAAATAAATCCCGAAATACCATGGTATTTAAACTATGCTCAGAATTTTGTGAAAAATTCAACAATAACTATAAAAATGTGTCCACCAGATAAAAAAAAGTAAGATAAATCCCAAAACTCAGTCTATACTCTGTTGAGATATATATACGTTTTTTATTGTACTTAAACTGAATAATACTAAATTATACAGTTGTCTATTAAAATAGTGTTACAATATTTTAGGCATGTAAAGCTAGGTATTAAAACATAAAAATGTAATATTATCAAATTAATGGAAAAACAAAACCTGTCATTTAATAGTTAAAATATTAGTCATTTCGTTGAACAATGTCTGATACACATGAAATATTCAGGCTACCTATGAGAATGCAGTAAAAATATATGAAGTATGTAAAACAATAAAAGAAATTATTCATATTTATAAACTGAAGTTATTAAGAAGATTTTAATTTGAAAATAATATTTTTCCGATTAAAAAAAATAATAATAATAGTAAAAACTTGATTATAAATTTTATTTTGTTATACACTTCACAACAATTACTATAGGCAATCTCCATATATCATTTTGTTAAAGCTAGTTTATACATACATTGCATTACATTTTAATATATAAAAGCAATATTTTACTTACCATTAAGTGATAATTTTCTAATAGGACTATTTCCCATAGATTCATCAATACCTAAAATACATATTTCATAATTTTTAAACATTTAAAATGTTTTATTATTGAATTATACAATTATTTAAGTTTAACCAACTTTTATAAGGAAACGGTGCAGAACCAAATGGATCTTCTTCAGTTTTATTCAATTTCAATACTTTTGAAGTAATTTCTTGAGATTTGTCATTAACTTCATCTAAAAATTAAATGTTTTATTAAAATAAAACTATGTATTAATGGTACGAATTTGAATTATAACTATTAAAATTACTTATTACCATTATCATTTAAAGGAATCCGAGTAAATGGTGAGTCAAATATTTCTTCTTCATCTATTTGATGTTGAAAAGACAATGGTTCTTCAAATGGATTCCACGATTTTTTTATATTTATATTATTTACAGGTTCTACCTAATATGTATGAAAGTTATATATATATATATATATATATATATATATATATATATTAATATTTACATTCACTGAAAAAAATAAAAAAAATAGATTCATAATGAATATAATACATACACTAGAAACCGTAAAACTGCTGGAATCTTGAATTGGTGTAGAATATTCTTTTGTAGAATCCCCATAAGATGTCAAAAACTGATTTTTATCGTTACCAAATATCCTATAAATTTACAGTATCATCTTGAAAAAAAAAAATTTAAATGATTTTCAAAATAAAAATGTTATAAGCTGTTTACATTTTTATTTCTTAATCTTTTTAATAGATGATAAATTGATGATTAACTAATGCATACTTGGAGTACGTAGAAGTGTCGCTAAAATTTCTTTTATGTTTAGGTATAGATATTAAAGGTGATGATGAAGGTGATGCTGTTGTAGATTGAACAAATGTTGGTTCAACAAATGGATCTGCATAGTCTAAATACCCCAAAAATGTATTAATATTTGATATCCAAGTTAATCCAATATTTGTCAAAACAATTTTAACTAAAATTATTTACCTTTGGTTGGAAATAACACCTGGGCAACTTTTTCACGGGGAGATATTTGTTGTGATACTTTATTTTGGTGAGATAAATCCGGTGAATGTGAATTTTTTAAAATTTCAACAGCTGGTTGTAAAGTTCTTTTAAATGTCGGAGATGAACCTGAGATGAAAGGTGGTATTCCTGGATTTAAAGGTTTTGGTCTTTGCCTTGGATTCACACTAGTGCCTTCCACCATAGTAGATGGATAATAAGTTTGTTTGACTTGTGTTTTTGGTGTATGAGGAACTCGTTTTTCATTAAATGATGCAACTAATTCATTAATATTTGGATTGGGAATATTCTGAAAGAATATAATATTATAAAAAGATAAAATATTTTAATGTGATATTATGAAATAAACTGATTAAATGCTTAATATATTATTTTTATATTTAATATAGGTTAATAAATCATACATTTAAATTTTGAACTGGACAATCTTTTCCAGCTAATTGGAATGCAATGTAAGACACTTGGTAAATATCAGGACGCAGGTCAGGTTCAAGCTCCAACATGTATTCTGTAAATTATTGTTTGTATAATAAAAAATATTCTAAAGTCAGTGTAATATGAAAAAAAAAATGTATTCAAATACATATTTGGAATATTTACTTTTTACATTTTTATTTAGTAGAAAATACTTTTTTCTTAACCAAAAATGGTTTAAAATTTGTGGCAAAAAAAAAAATTATTTTAAATTGAAAATTGTATTATAGAAATAGTAGTAGTATAATAGCAAAATACAATACAATAGCATTCGATTATAATAATAGTTATTAATATAACCATAGTATTTAAAATAAAATTAATGTTCATTCAATTTTTGGTATATATTTAGATTGAGATGCATAAGCTCCCACAATAGTAAACTCAGTGAGGCTTCTGGTCTATTATTCTTCTTGTTAAAATAAAAAAAAAATTGGCCCATGTACTGAACATGACCATACGTCCCGCTTTTGGCAGGATAGTCCAATTTTGAGCTATGTGTCATCAAAATTGTCTCGCTTTGAAAAATAGGTGACTGTGGAAATGCATTCTATCCTTTATTAGGTAATTTTAGATTTTCCAATCATTTTTCATAATAATTGACAAAAATTAAGGATAAATGTACAAATATTAACGAAGTTACGATTTCATTATTTTACATTTTTACGCTTCATGTTTACTACCAGAAATATTGCTCTCATAAAAAAATGACATTGATCATAGTTGTTGAATTTCTAACCTAGTTTGTGGGTGAGAAAGTTGGTTTTTTGATTTTTCAAGTAGTTTTCTTAATAACTAGAAAATTAACTTAGAGAATTATTTTTATTTTCAATTATATTTTCTTGTTATAATTCAGCTAAATATAATTAGCATTGACAATCATTTATAAACATTTTAATTTTTTTATTTAGTAAATACTTGTGAATACAATTTGTACTTAATGGTCAACTATTTTTTTTTTTTTTTTAAGAATTTAGAAAAGCCAAATTTCGAAAAATTATAAAAATCGTTAATATTATAATAAAATATCTATAACCAAACTTCATTCCGAATCGTATTTCATTATCAATAATTTTTTGCTGCTGACGAATATAAATTAAATAACTTAATTTATTCTATCTTCTCAACTTCTCACCTATAAGAGTGGCACACTTGTCCCCAGTATCTTCACTTTATTATTTTATTTCAAATTATTCAAAAACTGACATTAATTATTAACCAGTAGGAAAACAATGTCTTTTAGTATTTGAATACATACATGAATACCTTTCAAACATTTATTTGAATAGGTATTCTGACTATAGAATAAAACTGTTTTTTACAAGACTGCTTAAGGTATAAAACTTTAAGCAGTCTTGTTATTCAATACAATATATTAAATAAAAACATTATTATTAAATATATTTGGCACTCACTAATTAAGGTGTTTAATTTTATTGAATATTCTGATGTTTCTGGAATACTGAACTGGCCACTTTGTATTTTTAATGGACTTTCACCAAATGGTAATGTAAAATAACATAACTTGTATAGTAAACAACCCAATGCCCAAATATCTGATTTTGTAGTAATCACTTTATTATTGTATAAATCAACCATTTCAGGCGATCGATAGGATATTGTGGTGTACTTATTAATTTCTTCTTCTACAGCATGTACTCCTAGTACGATTGGGTCAAGTTCACGTGATGTTGCTGAACCAAAATCACATAACAAATATTGACCATTTTCGCTAATTAAAATATTTTCAATTTTTAAATCTCTATGAATTATAGGTGTTTGTGAATGATGGAGACGGCTAACTGCTTCACATGTATCACAAAATATCTGAAGAATTTCTATTTCTGTCAAGCCAGATTGCAATCTAAAATATAATAGAAATAACAAACAATTTTTCAATGGATCTAACGTAAAGTTAATTAAAATTTGAATAACCAGCATTATTATTGTAATGGAAATACAACAAGCATGGATTAATAGCATATACCAGTATGCAATAAACCTTTCAAAGAAATGTAAAAACAAACAATTTTATCATTAATAATGACTATAAATAGTATGCACTTTTAAATTAAATTACACAGAAAGTAAGTATTGCAACCGTAAAATTGTTTATTACCTATATTAAAACCGTGAATGAACATTTAGGTAGTTAGTCTACTTTGAGCCAATTAAAAATTGTTTTTTTTTTTTTTAAAGAATGAAATAATATTATTTATAAAATTATTACTTGGACCATTATTCAATCATAAAAATACAGTTTGTACAATTCTTATTAGGTAGATATTACTTGTATGCAATTTTTCATATTATACAAATAAATATTATAAGTAGTTGTCCTGTATTTATATAGTTATACCTAACTTATATTGTAGACTTTCAAAAAAAAAAGTATTCAAAAGAAATTATTTATATATCAGTTGATGTATTATCCTTAGATAGCATTTTTTAATAGAACTTATAAATGTGAATTACTCATGTAAGAAAAATATGTTAACATTGTAGTTTTCATAAATAAATCACACAATTAATAAACTCCTAAAATATAGCAATTATTTAAATAATATAATAAATAGGTATGCAAAATTATACTCTAAACACAAAAATGTAGGCTTTAAAATGCATACATAATAAAGTAGACCTTTTTACGTGTTAAACTATTAAACAAATTTTGGGAAAATGTATTATGTATAAAAAGGGCAAAAAAAAAAAAATAAAAAAAATAAACTAAAAACATGCATATGGTTATTAAATTCTAGTTAATATTAGATTAACAAAACAAAATCTTAAAACGTTATAATACATTATAGAAAAAAATGTATTGCTATTTCATTATTTTACTAAGCTGTACAATATTTTAATAATACTGACATTATTATTACCTGTTGTTCATTAGAGTTAAAACATTTGATGGACAGTAAGGCATCAACATCAACACCTCATGAACTCCATTACTATGGCGTACAATATTTGAATCAATAAAGCCAACAATATTTTTATGACCATTTAAACTACTCTAAAATCAAGAAAGTAAACCAATAAACAATATGTCAAATGATTTACCTACAATATTTATAAATTTATCTTTGTAATACATTGAAAACGACTGTAAGAAAAATATACAAGTAGAACTTACGGCTATCTGTATCTCCTTTTTAGCTACGCCTAAGTCCACTTCATCATTGACAAATAGTCGTTTCAAAGCAAATTTTTTATTATTGCTCTTCACTAGGAAAACAACAGCAAAACCACCTGAAACGTGATAAGTAGGTAGGTACCTAAGTATTATAATATTATAAAAAAAATATTATAGTACATGTACATGTACATGTAAAAAATTGATTTAAATTAGGTAGGCATGATAATATGTTTACCTTCAGCAATAACATCTTCAACGGTTACGGACGTACGGCCAACTGTAAATTGTTTACCGATAAAACAGTTTGGATCTTTCGACGAGGAGTTCTCAATTTTCGAAAAAAGTTTTTTCATATTGACTAAATATCATATAATAATTATAACTACGTTACATGGGTAAGTAGACATAATAATACAATAAGTATATTGTATAAAAAAAAAATAATCGTTAAAACCTACGTGTATTATGTCCTAGTGGCATTGAAGTTGACTTTTCATAGTCGGGACCACAAACTGTCGTTGGAACGGGGTGCGCGTCTCGGCCGGTCGTTGGACATCGAACGAGCGCCAAAATTACTACGCGTAACGGCGTCCACGGGGAACGTAGTAGTAGTAATATTATTGTTATTTGTTGTTGTTTTTTTTCAAAAATTGTATTTACTTCTAATCCGTCAACGCCACACATCGACGGGGCGCTCTCTCGGGAGTTGTAGAGGCTCTCGAATAAGATAAGGAGGCCAAGTGTTCAATAATAATATACAAACAGCTGACGCGACAATAATGATATTATAGTGCGTGCCAATTACGCGCGATTCGCGTAAGAGGCGTTGCGGTCGTCGGTTCGCAGCGGAATTTCGCGGGTACCGCTCGTCGTAGGTACACTTCACTATAATGCCATTATCACGGCACGGGAAGCGTCAGTCGGAATGTTCGAATCATCGTTTTTGTATTCTGTCGTCAATAAATGTGTACGCATTGTACAATGTGACGGACAAAAAAACACAAACGACAAACAAATTCGTTTGTGAAATTCGCGACCGGAACCCCTCCACGAATCATCCTATACCTTCCTCAATTTCTCACCGAAAAAAAAAAATATCGGTCGGCTGCTTTTAGGCACCACTGCTACTCTCATACCCGCCTACCGTGTCCCCGGCGTCTGTCGCTGGCACTCGGAAAATCGGGTCGGGTGGCATAGGCAGACGGTGCATTGAGCAGCAGCAAACAGCAGTAGTGGCGGCGCGGCGGTGGTGATAACACGTTCATTGTCCGTGTATAGATAAGTTTCGTTTGTCGTGGGCGGGTGAAATTTAACTATATATATATGTATTAAATATTATAAAAAATAAACTCGGTGAAAAAGTCGATAATTTGGTATTATAGTTGTACTGAATATCTGTTTCGAGTGTTTCGCAATACGACCAGCCGCCGTCACCGTTCGAGTGCATGTGTCAACTGTTTATACTGGTAAGACCGATCGTCATTCGTTGTGTGATGCTGGTTTCACGGCCGCTAGACGCTATTCTCGACGTTTTTTTTCCGTTTACTCGTTTCACCGTACTTACATTGTTTATTATTATTACTCGTTGTTTTCGTTTTTGTTATTTGTCGGTGCCCCGTATTCACCATGAAATAGATATAATCCGAACCCACTTCGCAAATATTGATTATACTAGTTGACGGATGTCATCCTGTATATTATAGATGCAGAGTATCAAATATTTTGATCTCTCAACCACTGTATTAATCGTTAGTCACAATGTCACAATCTATATTATTTGTCCTTTGTATTCTCTTTGGTATGTGTTTCACTCACGTATAAAATCTACCGATTAAATTAACTTTTTTTAAAATTTTTAATCAGTGGGTATATCCGTAAAATAAAATTATATTATATCTCTGTGTAGATTTGGTTATTACATTCTTTTTATCAAGTTGAATTTATATTTTAAAAAATTGCATTGCATTATGGTTACAGGGTAGGTAGGTGTTATTTTTTGACTAATTCAGTACCTACAGTAGATTTCTAAATACGTAGATGTATTTTTAAAATCTGTTGTTAAAACATTGATAATTTGTTTTCGTAATCTTCATTCAACAATTTCTTATATAATTTTATCATAATAAACTACAATATAAAATTAATCATCACTTTTTTTTAATACGTATTGGTATTAATCTGTACTTTATTTATGTTCATTAACTTTCAAGTTTTGATTTTAAAATAGTAAAATTATTCATGCACAACCTAAGTGGGTACACATATTATTAGTTATTTATACTTATAAATATCTATTTGTTGAATAATATAATTGTTAAATTAAAATTATTTTTGGTCCTATAATCAACTTACTTGTATGTAACTATTTTAAACTGACACATAATACATAGGTACTTTGTTAATTGAATGTGTTTTTGAAATGGATAATCAACAAAGTTATATTTAAATTATTATCTAAAATTCTATACATAAAATTATAAATTATTAGGTAATGTTATTTGGTAATTATGTTTTATATGGTATACATATAAATATAAAGACGAATGTAAATAAATGTAAATTTACAGAATTTTCTAAAAATTTTAGATTTAGTTCATAATCTGGTATTATGGATCCTTGGGTAGTTACTCCTCAAGAATGGACTCGTTTTTGTGAACATTTTCAAGCATTGAAACCAGTAGGTGGTATTATTACAGGAGAGCAAGCCAAAGGATTTTTTTTGCAATCCAGATTACCTCCACCTGTACTCGGTGCAATATGGTAAAATTATATAAATTATTGTATTATTAATTTAATACTATCATATCAAGTAGTATAGTTGATTGAATAATTAACATTTTAATTTATTTATGTATATTTTAGGGGTTTAGCTGATACTGATGCAGATGGCCGTATGAATATTATTGAATTTACTATTGCTTGCAAGTTAATTAGCCTTAAACTACGAGGCTTAGAGTTACCTAAAGTCATTCCTAGTAATTTATGGAACTCTGTTCAGGCTCTAAGTAATTTAAAAACACTAACTTTTAAAATAAAAAAATAATAAAATAACTATAAATATGGTACATTTTTAGATTCAGTTCCTAAAGCATCTTCCCCACTTCTCCCCAGTCCACCAACAATGACTCCTGGAATCGCACCACCCATGACTTTACCATTGTCAACTGTATCTCATTCAGCATCTCCGTCTTCAGTTTTACCCCCAATTTCGCCGCCATTAATACCAGCTGCCCCTTCTCCTGTTGGCCGGGCAAGTTCTACTATTAGTCCAATTGAGCCGGTTCTCAATCAGACTTCATCAGCTCAGATCACAAATGGAAACACTATGACATTAGTTGGTCAAGTTGCCCCCCCACTTAAACCAATACCTCCTGCAGCACCTTCTCGTAAGTTTTATATTACTATTTTATTTTTTGTTATTTGACAATTATTTTATTTGTTTTAGTCTCAGGTACTCCGGCCACTTCTATGCCAATACCTATATCTTTAGATTCTCCGTAAGTTGAAGATATACCTATAATTTAATCCATTATTATTATTTTAAGTCTAAAATTCTGTAAAAATAAGTAAGCATGGTATTGCATAAAATGTGATTACATAGTATACAATGTGTATTCTATTAAATATTTCATAAATAATTATCTTTTTATGATTTTTAAATTAGTTAATTTTTTTGTTTTGTTTTTATGATATTATAGAGGAAACCAAGAATGGGCAGTACCACACCAAACTAAACTAAAATATACTCAACTTTTTAATACCACTGATCGCATGAGGACAGGCTTTTTAACTGGAGTTCAAGCACGTGGAATCATGGTGGCTACTCAGTTACCACAAAATGTTCTTGCACAAATATGGTAAAATTAAAATCATAACAATATATTAATGTCATTGAATATATTGAATTGTATACTTTTTGCAGGAATCTCTCTGACATGGACAAAGATGGTCAGTTATGTTGTGATGAGTTTGTTTTAGCTATGTACTTGTGTGATTTGGCTAAATCTGGAGAGAAAATTCGTATTCCTCTACCTCCTGAACTTATACCTCCATCTGTTCGACGGCAACGTCAGAATAGTTTAACAGCTCCTAGTGAAGGAACTCCAGAATCAGATTCTTGTTTGATAAATCAAACAACATTTGAAGATAAACGTAAAGAGAATTTTGAAAAAGGACAAGCTGAATTAGAAAGACGTCGTAAAGCTCTATTAGAAATTCAAAGAAAGGAACAAGAAGAGCGAGAACGTAAAGAAAGAGAGGAGCAAGAAAGAAAAGAAAAAATTCGATTAGAACAAGAAAAAAGGAGACAAGAAGAACTGGAAATTCAAATGAGAAAACAAAGAGAATTAGAACAGGAAAGAGAAGAGCAAAGAAGAAGAGCTCAAGAACAAAGAGAAGCTGCTCGAAAGTGAGTAACTATTTCATAATACATTTTTTAATAATTTATTAACTTTTAAAATAAAATAATTAGAGAAATGGAGAGGCAACGCCAATTAGAGTGGGAAAAACAAAGAAGTATGGAACTTCAGCAACAACGTCAGAAAGAACAAGAAACTGTATTAAAATTAAAAGGGAAAAATAAAAGTTTGAGCATTAATTTACAGCAAATGGTAAGTTTTCAATTTAAGTTTTATTTTTTAATTTTATTATAACGGTGTTTTTAGACTGATAAAGTTCGCGAATTATCACAAAAAATTAGTGAGACACGTGCAAGTGTGACCGGTGTAAAATCTACAATTGATAGTATGCGTACGACACGAGACACTCAAATGAATGAAATGTCGCGTTTAAAATCTACTTTGAAAGAACAAAATCAACGTCTCATTGCTGTCAGTCAAGAAAAAATACGTTTAGAAGCAAAGAACAAAATTAATTCCAATTTTGATACTTCAGAAACACAAGAACAAGCTCAACTATCTGTTTCAAATAAAAAGTTGACATTAAAAAGCTTACAAGATAAAATTAAAGATTTAAGTTCACAAGTAAGATCATATTCAATTTTATTCCTTGTCTATATTACTTTTATTTGCTAATTGTTTTATATTTATATTTTTATAGATCGAACTAAAAAAACAAGATGTCGAAAATAATAATAGTACCATTGACCAATTAAAGGTACAGTTGACCAAGTTAGTAGAAGATTGTGAAAAAACTTACCCAAATTACGAAGAAAATACTAAGAAAGTCGTTGAAATGAAGAAAAATAAAGCAAAGGAAATGTCATCCTGGGGAGACGATGCATGGAATTCAGCGCCTACTGCTGAATGGACTGAAGAAACTACTCCGGAAACTAAAAGTATTTATTTATTATAATTATAATAATTGTTGAGTATTAATATGTATTTATTTATAGGTTCAAATAAGTATATAATGTGTACCGCTTTATATAAATTTGAAGCTCGTAATATTGATGAACTATCTATTCAACCCGGAAATACTATTATGGTTCCATTGGAACAAAATGCAGAACCTGGATGGTTATCAGGAAACTTGGATGATAAGACTGGATGGTTTCCAGAATCCTATGTTCAAACAGTGAATTGCATTTATGATATTCGCGATATAATTGATAATCGTCAAGCTATTTTAGATGGCACCTTCGTACCTAAACAAAAGCCATTAGAGTAAAACATATTTTTGTATTATATAATTTAAAAAAAAATGTTAAACCTAATGAAATGTTGTATAGGGGAATTGCTGAATTACCAGAAAATGGGTTTGATCATGGTTTTGAAACTGATGAATTTAGTTCTTCCTATTCTCTTCCAAAACTTACTCTAGGACTTGGTAAAATTGTGAACTTTAGTGTCAAAGTTGTAAGTGATTGGGATGGCTATGATAGTACTTTTTTGACTCTGAAATCTGGTGATATTATTGAAGTAACTGAAAGTCAAGTATGTATTATTGATAATTAAATAATATATTATAATAGTTAAATTGTAAAGCATGACTGAATCGTTTAGTTGGCATAAATTATATTTAAAAATGTTTGTAAACAAACATTTGAAAGGTTCTTAAATATTATTATAAATTATTGTTAAGTTCCAGTTTAAATATTTTATTTTTTAAAAGTAAATAAAATGTTGTGAATTAGAACATTATTACTTATTTTTATACTATATTTCTAGGATGATTGGTGGTATGGTAAAACTCCTAAAACTCCCGGTGGTTGGTTCCCAAAATCATGTGTTACTGTAGTTGATAATGTAATCAAAGATCCTCAGATTGATATTTCAATTGAAAAACCAGGTTTGTATATTTATTATTCAATTACTTCAATTGGGTATTATACTTTTGCAAAGAAAAATTGTATTTTATTTATACACAAATTGTTTACATAATATAATTTTGATAATAATTAAAGTATTTATCTATAAAGTAATTTTAAGTAATAATCTTGATATTTTACTTTAAATTTCAGATATATTTATTTACAATTGCACAAAATATCTGATTTTAAATTGACCAAATGTCAAATATAACAAACTTTGTTTATAAAGCTTTGATAAAAAATGAACAATTTTTTGAAATTAATTTAAAAAATTATTTATAGAATATTACATTGTTCTCTATCCATACGAGTCTGCTGAACCAGGAGATTTAAATATGAATCAGGATGAAGTGGTTTTAGTAACTAAAAAGAATGGTGATTGGTGGACAGGAACCATAGATGATCGGTCCGGAATATTTCCTTCTAATTATGTGCAGTATCTTGATCCACAGGTAAATTGATCCTTGTTTTTATTTTAAAAACATTTTATGTATGAATAAATCTCTGTAGTTTTTATATTTTAATGAATAACTTTAATATCTACACATTAATCTGTTTAAATGTTTATTTTTTTTTCCTATCAATTATAAAATTAATTTTGGGCTTTGAATTTTTTTATGATTTAGTTAATTGTGTAATGTTATTCTTAATATAATAGGCTTGACATGAAGAATTTGAATTGTTAGGCTAATATTTTTATGATTCTAACTAATATCTAAATTCTAAAATATTTTTGTTGGTTTTTTCCTTTTTTCTTTATTATTTTTTTTTACTCTTAAAATAATTTGTTGGACATTTCTATAAATTATATATTGTTGTTATTCTGTGTTAATTTTTTTTGTTTTAATTGAAATGATATTATCATTATGTAGCCTAAGGAATCTGTTGTGAACACAAATCCTCCCTTTGAAACGGCTTCTTCAGTTAAGTCAGAAACATCTGTTACTTCTTCTCCTTTAACTACTCCAGTTATGCTAGAACCTCAAAAACCATCTGGTAGTAGATCAGTGACGCCTGATCTAGCATTAACAAAGGTATGAATATTGATATGAAAACATTATGTTTATTATTTTACACTATCATGTTTACTAAATGCTTGACTCATATATTCACTAATTTATTTTGAAATGATACACTTCTTTTTTATCACATATTCCACAATATTCTATGCTTGTTGTGTATATTTCATTGATTGTATGTTGTTGCTTGTGCCTTGTGTTTCATGTCGTCAGAGAGAAAGCAGTGCAACTGAAGATAGTGAAAATGACGACAAGGTAAAACTATGCTTTCAGTGTGTGTTTGCATGAAATAAATGTATCACCTATGTGAAAAAATATATTTCTATAACATTTTGATCAAATGGCACCTATAATGTACATTTCTCATTAGATACCTAAAGGAACAAAAAAAGCAGAAGTGGCGACCGTTATTGCTCCATACACAGCTTCCAGTACAGAACAGTTGAGTCTACAGCGTGGACAGTTAGTTAAAATTAGAAAGAAGACCGCTACTGGATGGTGGGAAGGAGAGTTACAAGTAAATAAATAAAATATGAGTAATTTGAATTTAGAATTTATTTTTAATTTTCAAATTTAATCTTAGGCTAAAGGACAAAAACGTCAAATTGGATGGTTTCCAGCATCTTATGTTAAATCATTAGGTAACGCTGCTAGGTCAAATTCACCAGCTATTAAAAGTAATCAACCAAATATGCCTGTTAATCCTGTAACAACCTCACCAAATAATAGTTTAGGTAATATAATAATAAAAATATTTGATCTTCCCTGTTTAATGACCAAATATGATTTTCAGAGAAAGTTATAGCATTGTTTCCGTTTAATGCAGTTCACAATGATGAATTAACATTCCAGAAAGATGAGATTATTACATTGGTGTCAAAAGATGAGCAAGCTTGGTGGAGAGGAGAATTAAATGGAAAAACTGGATTGTTTCCAAGTAATTACGTGGCACCTCTATGTAAGTAATATGAATTATTCATAATAATATATTAAATGCCCCTACACACTTTAAGATCTGGTCAGGTTAACAGGATAATTTGGTCAGATCAGATATCATATTAGGCCATGTGTTATCTGACTAAAATCCTGTTATATTATATGGCTGCTCAGTCAACTGATTAAATTGGATCACGTATAGTACTGTCTGGCAAATTTTTTTTTGATGTGTACACTAGTGAGTGGAAATAAATTTCAACTGACCATGCAATGATCAGTCGTGCAATGATTGCTATGTGTACACTACTTTTTGATTTGGTCAGGCTATCAGTCAAGTGTCGACACGATCAAATCATATAGTGTGTAGGGGTCTTCATACTTTAATAGTAGAATACTAGATAGTAGTATGAATTCATTAAATATTCTATGTAAAAAATCCAAGTTAAAATTTAATTATAAAAAAAATGAGATCATAAATAATTCTTAAAAAATTAATAATTGATTCCAAAAGATGGTATATTAAAAAAACAATTTTTTAAAAAATGTATGTGTATATTATAAAAACTATATTTCTTTTATAATTATGACCTAATTTATGGGATTTCTCAAAATTGGTAAAAATGTATAGCTATTGTTTATTCATATTGTAATGGGTTCACAATAAAATAATGAACTCTTCTAAATAGTATATTTATAAGTTGTTGATAAACATTAAGAATTAGGGTACAACTCATACTAACATCTTCTATATTCTGTCTCTTTTGTTTTTTTTTGTTTTTTTTTTTTTTTGTAGGAGTTTGTTATAGTCATTTGCTCACTGGCTAACAACTTATCAGGCGGATGAACTTCAGAATATTAGAATGATATCGTTAATTAAATTATGTATTTTTTTTTTCTAAAGCCTGATTAGTAAGTAAGTTTAATCTTTATGCTTTCTAAATTATACGACTAATTCAAGGAAATAGTTTAGTCATAAACAAACTTTGTATTATTCTAAAATTGTTATTCATTATAATAGTTGATGGGTTAGTCATTAAAACAAAATACATTTTATTATACAATTTTCATTATTATTGGATACAGTAGAAACAGTTTTTTATAACAATACATTGGAAGAATCAATAAGAAGTGCAATCACTTTTTTTATTCAATATTTCAGATATTTTTATCACTGAGACTATAGTCTGTGTTGCTAACATGTTTATTGTGTTAACTAGTGCCATTACAAACTGTTTCTTCTGTGCTTCACTATTTGTATTAATAGCACTTTTTAACTTAAAATGTGTAAATTATGTTTATCAAATACCATTAGGAACAGAAAATATTAATAGAATTATTTTACCTTATGATTTACTTAAGTGCAATATTTTTTCCCTCCATTTATTGTTATGAGTTTATTATTATTACTTTTTTTTTTAATATAAACAATTTTTATTTTACCTATTATGTGATTTTTTTTTTCTTGTTTTTATTAGAATCTCAATAACTGATTTACTATTGTAACTGTTATATCTATATTATTTACAATTATCAGTGTTACTATATAACTACTTAAATTTTATGAACAATCACTGAATAAATAACTGTAATTTTTTTTTTAAACAATTAACATTAATATTAAATTTTATTATTTAGTAATGATTCTTAGTTTTTGTTAAAATGCATGTTTTATAGTTACTTTTATTGTACTTGAATAATTAAAATTATTATCAACTTATATATCGAACATTTATGTTACAAATTTAGAGGAGTTCATTATAATTAAGTTATTATTGAATGGTAAATTTAGATTGAATTCTTATTATTTATTTCATAATATATATTATATTTTATTCACTATGACTATGATATTAAATATATAAAATTCTTCAACTATTATAAAAAAAAATTTTTTTTTTTTTAAATTTATTCTACAATCATCTAGATCCAAAAAATGTGTATTGGTTTTCCAAAATTTTATATTAGTTCAAATATTTATAAATCCAAAAATATCTTAATAACCTATTTTTAATACAATATTATTGATTGTATCAGTACTTTTTTTTTTTAAATATTTTTGGGTAATTATTAGGAATTTATTTATAAAAAATAATCATTGGTATATCTTATTTTACTTCCTCGTTTAAAATGAATCTATACAAATAATATACTTCAATTTATTTTGGCTGAAATTACTTTTTTTTAAATACTTAAGACATAATAAATGTTATTAGTTTACATTTTTTTTTTTAAACTATATTCATAGAAAACAATTTTAATTTGGGCTCTCAGTTTATTTTACCATGCTTTACTTATGTATTTATTGATGAGTATGATTTTTTTTTTTTCAATTACATTTATAATGGTTTTTAAAGCAAAATTTTTTATTCCTGTTTTCTGAGGGGGAACCATACTTTTTTTACTAAGATTATATTGAAATGTATAAATCAATTATTTTATTCTGTTTAACAGACCTGTATGATTTTTATATTTCTTATCTTATTTAACTGAACCCAAAATCAAACTAATCTTCCTTTTCTTTTGAAATTTCTGATCTATTTTAACTATGTAGCTGAAGTAACAATCAAAGTAAAATTGAATAAAGAAGAACGGAAACGTCAACAACATATTCATGAATTGATAACTACTGAACAAGCCTACATTGAAGATATGACTGCAGTGCATGAAGTATTATTATTTTTTTTTAACTTATATAATTAAATATTTCTCATCAATACATAGTTGATATCAAACTATCACAATAAAAATTTTTTAATTTAAATACTAGATATTTTAGATTCTGAGCGGAGTAAGAAATGTATTAGTTTTACAAAAATGTTTATCACTGTTATTATTTTTTATCTGTGAACAACTTTTCTACTAAAGTCTTGCTCAGATTTTCTAGTGTAGCACTTTTATAAAAAGAAATTTTCCTGGGGTGGTACTTTAAGAAGGTTATTTTTTATTTTCCTAGGGGTTTTCATTTCTCAGAACTTAAATATTATTGTGTTTAAAAAGATGTATAATTGAACTTCGTTCAAATCGCTTTTCGTTAGCAATGATTAATTGTCGCATACAGATATACATTAAATATCCCATTTTACTCCCCAAGTTCTCACCTACAACAGTGACTCACACATAGTGTGAAGTATGTCAGTTTGTTTTATTAAATATTTTTACATTTCTTTTAGTAATTAAGTTGTAATTTTTTTTCAATAATTATAAAATACTTAATTTATAGAAATATTTGTTTTTAAGGTATTTTAATTTTTTAAGAGTGATCAATCTATTGTAAGACACTTGTTATTCCGAAAAGTGTTAACTTTTTTTTGAAATTTGTTTTTTAAAACTTTTAAGAAACAAGCTATTCTAAAATTTAACATTTACATTATTTTCACTCTAATTGTTAGGAGTGAAACGACTACTTATTTTTGATTTAATATAGGTTGCCATTTGAAATTTAAAAGTAGGTAGTCGTTTCACCCCTAAAAGTTTAGGGTGAAAAAAAATAACGTAAACATAAAATTACAAAGCTGCTTGTTTCTAAAATTTTCTACAAAACAAATGTTGAAAAAAGTTGATATTTTCCGAGATAACAAATATCTTATGATAGATTGATTACCCTGTATAGAAAGTGATTATCGTTCAACACTCATTATTTCGAAGTATGGTCAATAGGTTTATGAGATATTCCATTTATTGTTTAACCCACAAAAATAAGAATGAAAAAAAATAATGGTATTTTAACATTTTAGAACTGCTTGTTTCTTAAATTATTCAAAAAAAGTCTATACTTTTTGAAATAATGAGTTGCACGATAAATGAAAATTACAGGTGATATCATTTTGTAAACATATTTTTTAAAAATAATTTTAGCATATTTTATAAGTATCCTGAATAAATCCTTTAGGTGTTTGAAAAGCCATTATATGAAAGTGGCGTTCTTACTGCTAATGATATACGCAAAATCTTTATTAATTGGGAAGACATTATAGAGTGTAATCAAATATTTTTAACGTAAGTTTTGTATTTAGTATAGATTTATTTTTATTTCAGATCATAACATTAGTAGAACATTTTGAATATGTCTTTTTAAGAATACATCAAACAGTAGTAATTTAATAATAATTTTTCTATTATAAATTTTAATAATTTAAGTATTATAAAATTGAATGCTATAATGTTTTTTTTTTTTTAATTCTTAATAAAGAAAATATTTTCCAGATCATTGCGTGTGCGTAGAGACATGAGTCCCGCTGGCATAGTAAGAATTGTTGGTGATATTTTGTGTGAGCAAGTAAGACATGTGTAAAATGTAATAATTATTAATTATGAGTTTTTATAATAAGAACCTTTTTTCTTACTCATATTTTAGCTTCCACGAATGACTCGATATGTAAGATTTTGTAGTTGTCAGTTAAATGCTGCAATTACCTTACAAAAGTTAACTGAAACTAATCCAGCATTTTGTGAAGTAACAAAACGTTGCCAGAGTGATTACCGTATAAAAGGATTACCTTTGAGTTCATTTCTCATTAAACCCATGCAGCGAATCACTAAATATCCTTTACTTGTACAAAAGGTATAATCAGTTTAAAAATACCGATACTATTGTATTATATTTATGTATTTTAATTAATTTTCTACAGATTTTAGAACATACTCCAACATCTCACCCGGACCGTTTACATTTAGAAGAAGCTCATGCCAAAGCTGAAGAAATATGTCTTCAAGTAAAATTTATAATTTATATAAAAAAAAATAAAAATATTATCTATTTAAATTTTATTTTTATTATAATAGGTAAATGAAGGCGTTCGAGAAAAAGAAAATTCTGACCGTTTAGAGTGGTTACAAACACATGTTAATAGTGAAGGGTTAAGTGAAAGGTTAATATTTAACTCATTGACTAATTCACTGGGATCTAGAAAATTTTTACATTATGGATGTTTATCTAAGACTAAAAGTGGTAAAGAACTTGTCGGATTTTTAATGAATGACATGTTTCTTCTTGTTAAACCAGTCAAACCAACAACTTTATCTGGACAAGTCTTTTCATTTGATAAATTCTCGGGTGATTTATTTAAAATATACAAACAAGTGAGTTTTTGATTAATGTTTTTTTTTTTTTTTTTTTTGTAATTGATAATTTTTGTTTTATATCTAGCCTTTTTTATTAATGCTATTGAATATTGCTGACTCAATCAACGATAGTATTGAATTTCGAATTGATTATGATAATATCCCTATACTATTATCAGCTCCTAGTATTAATGAACGTAATTTATGGTTAAAAAAATTGAATGAAGTTAAACAAATTTTAATTGCTAGTGAAAAGAATCAAAAACGCCTTTTGGAAACAAGTAATATTTAATATTTGTTTATTTATTAGTTAATGACTGTTGAACTAATTAGTGAAGTTTTTAGAAAAAGCTGATTTTGGTGCTTGTGGCCGTGTCTTAGTTTTTGTTATGGACGGTAGAAAACTTCAAGCTCCAAAACTTGGTAAAAAAATATTCTTAACAATATATTATCATATAATTATTTATTTTATAATATTATAATCATATTATACTTGTTATAATAATATTTTATGTTTTATGTGAATCATTGAAAATTAATGAACATGTCTAAAATGCTTGATCTATTTTAATTTATATGGTAATAAATTGTGTCTAGGTAAAAAAGCAACATTTTGTGAAGTAACTATGGGATCTCGAAAACAATGTACACCAGTAAGCGAATCTCCTGATCCCAAATGGGATTCATCAATGCAATTTCTTGTCAAAGATATTCAAGATGATATTCTTTGTGTAACAGTGTTCAATAAAGGCCACTATTCTCCTGATGGTAATGTTATTTGCTTAGTTTAAATACAATTTACTCTATATAGAGATTTATATTTTATTAAATAGGTAGTTTGCTTTTAGAATTTTTAGGTCGTTCTGAAATTCGTGTATCAGAAATAATCCAATCTACTAAAAATAGCAGAGGGCCACTTACTAAACATTTACAACTACGAGAAGTTCAGACTGGTACCATAACTTTAAAATTAGATTTATGCTTGTTTGATTAAAATTTAACACTATACTTTCCAATAATTAAGACAATATTAATTATGTAAATTAATGTTTTACTTTTTATATATATTTTTTTAAATTTATACATTTATGTAGGTGCCTATATTATATTACATTATATTTATTTTTTTTAATCAATATTGTAATAACTAATAACAGATTTGAACATCATTTCTATATTACATAAAAATCATATGTTACCAAATATTATTGAATTATTTATAGATTATATTTATTATTATTCATATTCACAGACTAAATATATTATTATAAACTATATATTATAAATAATTAATGAATTTATGTATTTTATGTATCTACTTATATATTTAAAACTAGTTTTAGCATTTGACTGGCAACATTAAAACATACCTTGGAAAGTGTATATTACAGCGTGTAATACAGTTTTGTTTTAAATAATAATAGGTTTTTTAATAAATAATGTTTTATTGTCAGTAGTAGATTTACACATGATTTAAATTGTACATCATTGCACAGTGGCCAGAACATATTCGTAATGGGAAAAAAATAAATAATTAAATGTTTAAAAATATATAATCTATAATCTATCAAAAAAAAAAAAAAAAATAGTAGTAGAGTAAACCTAATTGCCCATTATATTACATTATGTTATTGTAAAATTAGCAATTAATATATCATATAACAGGCTATAAATATATGTGTTATTTTTTTTGTTTTCTGATATTATTTGTTCTCCTATATTTTTCAATATATATTTAGACATTAAACGTAGAAATGGAGATCATTGGATACATTGATTGGTAAATAATAGAAATAATATTTATTTTTATGATCTGAACATTTTTTTTTTTTGGAAATATTCTGTTTTATTATTAATGCTAATTGTAGTTAACATTATTGCCGTTCTTTATTATGTTATTGATCTATTAAAAATGACTCGTGCACCCTGGTGTTTCACATTAAACTTAAATATTTAATTACATTAGTGGATTGTATTTAGAAAAAAAAACCTGCTTATTACAGCTGCCTTTTAGGAAATTATCAATGTTTAAATAATATTAACATCATTATTTTTACTGCAGATTTTACACGGTTTAATCTTTTTTTTTTGTTTTATATTAGACTAAATGTTTGGATAAAAATTACTTTATATTATAATTGGGAAAATACTTTTACAGTAAAAATCCCATAGAAATTGGTTCAGCCGTTCAGAGATTAGCTTAGACAGACTGACACTTTTATTTATATGTCTATTGATTGTATGAAAAAAAACACTGATGGAACAAAAAATAAGTAATTTTTGATTTTGATTTTTAAATACCTACCCAATTTTAAAAAATACATAGTAAACCCAAATCATGTGGAATACGCTAAAAAATATTTTTGTCCCACTATGAATTTTTTCTGGCCCTCTATACATTGTGGTCTTATAAAAAATAAACAAATTAAGACTTTTTTTCATCAATGAGACGTTTATGAACTTTTGATGAAACTTGTATCAAATTTGCTATTTTCAGAGGATCGATATTTTAATTTATAAATTGTCTTAATGGGATTTCTTCTCACTCTTATTGTTATTGTTTTGCATACATGACTTTTCTTCTCACTTTAGTTATATTTTTTTGTATTGTTATCTTTTATATTAAATTGTTACTGCACTTTAGGTCGCAGCTCAGATTGAAAATAATTACATATGTGCATATTAAAAACTATATCTTAGAAGGAGAATATAGGCTGGATAGATAATCAAGTACTGGAGAGAATGACAGAGAAAAGGTCTATTAGTAGCATTAAAAAAAAATAGGAATTAATGAATTGGCCATTAGAAGGGCTCCTTGGGCTAATTATAGAACAGTGTGTTGAAAGAAAGAATTATAAAGAAAGGCTGTACTCAGAGTACATCAAAAAAGTAAATAATGCAAATAGTGACGAGTTACTGTAAATCAATCCCAGGATTGAATACAGAACAAGGGAAATCTATGAATATTAAATTGGATTTTTTATTAAATAGGATTTATTAAAACAGAAAATACTCTTCAGTTTTGTATTTGCATTTTGCAAGGATAATACTTTTATTAGGGCCAATGTTGCAATTGCTTTTTATCTTGTCGGTAAAGTATTATGAATGGTTTTTAACTTTATTTTTCTAATGATATGAATTTAAATTATGTTTATAAATTTTTAATTAAATAATTTACCATTAATAACCAAGCAGAATTTTAAGTATTCAAGTAGGTGTCCTTCAATGTGAGATTGTCAAGAAAATTTTAAAAACAACATGGGAATAATAGAGAGTATAATAGTCAACTATTTAAAATTGTTTACCGGAGCAAATACTCTATACAGCTGTACGGAGTCATTTTCCCGTTATTTGATTTTTGTTGATTTCCGGGTTCAGAATCTATTTTCAGTTTTCGAAATTAAATTTCGCATCCTACCTCTTAGGTTGAGCATCAGTTTGCTTGTGTTCGAATCGGGAGTCTATTGTTCAATTAAATAGATTTATATTAGTTTAAATAATATGTTCAAGTAAGTAGGTGTTAAATTTGTTTAAATAAAATAACACATACGTAAATAATATAAAACGATGTTAACACTGTAGGTAGGTAATATTATATCATACAATTATTGTTCACCATTTTCGCTCGCTCGCGGAACGCAATCCCGATCGGTATAAAAGAATATTTTTAAAAAAAAAAAAAAAAAAAAAAATAGGTATGTAATTTTTGTTTAATTTATTAAAAATAAAATAGTTCGCATACAGATTACAAAATCATTCTTAGATACAATAATGTTAATATATTTACGTTATAAAATAAAATAGGTGGCATAATGTTATTGAGCTTTGTTTCAGTATTTTATACTTAGGATTTCTACATTACGAGTAAAATAATATGTATATATGTGTATTTAATATACAAATGCGCACAATTTTCACAATATTTAGGAGACAAAAATATTATGAATACAATATTGCTAGGTACTTATAGGAGTGTGTATACACGGGAAAAAAAATACATATATATAAATCTATTATTATTATTATTATTATTATTATTATACACCTATACCTACTAATTGTTATTGCCAAGCGAAACAGGCGATACATTTTTGGAAAACGTACGATGATTAAATATTATAATCGGAATCGAAATAACGTAATGCTCGTTAAAAAATAATTATTTTGATCAGGCATATTTTCATATATAGTAGGCACACCTAATCGAAACGGTTTTCAGTTTTGAAATTTTCATTTTTTTTTTTGCGCATTACAGTAATATATTTCTATCTACATACATTATATACATAAATAAATAAATAAAAAAAAAAGTGGGTATTCGCTTCGTCGGCACCCACCCACCCACCCATTCGATTAGGTAACGCGTATATCGGAATGTTTAAATTGCACGCCGAATACTTTGCGGCGGTGAACTTGTAATTGTTACGAAATCGTATGGAGGTAACCTATCTAATTCTAATCCTGTACGGGTTTTCACGCTCTCTCGAGCTGTTCGACAGTTTTGTTCTCTTTGGATTCGTCTTCTTCCAGCGGTGAACTGATCGGCATGAAACCACCGACTAAATGCGGTTTGAAATTGTCCGGATCAAATTTCTCCGTAGACGCGATCACGTCTCCGGCTTCGTCCGTTCTCTCGGAAGCGTTGTCGACTTGAGATTTTCTCACGACGGACCATCCATTGCTGTTTTCCGGCAATTTCATACTGGGCTGGAACGGTATTTGGAAATTTTGTAGTTGGGGCTTGTGACTTTCGTCGGCCGCGGAACTTTTATGATTGTCTTCCGACGTTTTTAAAGTGGCCGCAATCGGTTTTTGCGACATCGCAACGCCGTTCGACGCCGCCGAATCGCGAGTGACCACCGGCACATAATCCTGAAGATTCGGCACTAGTTCCTGATCGTTATTCGGTTTGATAGGATCCGGTTTTGTCGGACTGTACGCCTTGTATTCTAACAATGACGCGTTTTGATTGTCGTCCGGTTTTACGATTTGATACGGGAAATCCGATTTCACGGGTTTGTTAACGGACGTTTTGGTCTTGAGTATCGGAACGTCGGATCTGTCTTTGACGTCCAGTATGACCGAATCGTCGATTAACTTGTCGACCGGCGGTTTCGGAGGCGCGTTCGCCGCATAAACCAGATGAACGGGATTGTCTTTGTTGACCGGGGACGCTTGTTGGATCATTTGCAAAGTGGTGACCTTTCCGGGCTGTTGCGGTCCCGCGGGTCTCTGCACGATTCTCGATTCTTTTTCCTGCATGTCTGGCGTGTCTTCGTCGACGTTTTCGTCGTTCCTGTCTACTTTCAAGAATTGCGGCTTGGGAAGCGGCGGAGGTCTCAGATGGTCCATCGGAATCTGAACCCGTTCAATGGTCGCGGAATGCGATTGCGGCGGCATCATCGGTGGCGGCGCGTCCACTTTGGCGTTCGGTCTGAACTGCGGCAGAATATTGGGCAAGTTCTGTCTCTGGGGCGGCGGAATGTTGTCGCGTTTCGGCGGAGGTGGCGGCGGCGGCGGCGGATAATACGACGGCGATTTCGGTATGTTGTCCCATTGAGGTGGTCTCGGATTGTACGATAACGGTTTCTGCATTGGTCTCGGCGGAGGGACGAGCGGAATGGACGTAGTGGCCATCGTCGGCTTGGATTTTACCGGCATCGTCTGATTAACGGCGGTTTCGGAGGAACCGTCGTCGACCATCAACACCTGGCCGATACCCTGTGCCGGACGCGCGTCCGCGGTCCGTTCGCCGTCCATGCCGATCGAGAATGAAGTCTGAAGCGCGTAGCTCTTGGTGTCCTCGTTCGGTTGCGTTTTAATGAAATGGTTTATCACGTGTTTCGGTGGCTTGAATTTGGACGTATCGGGTTGATTTTGTGGAGCCACGTACTGGGGCGTTTGGCTCTGTGGGCCGCCACCGTACTGCTGAGGTTTGCTCTGCGACGGCGGGGCGACGTACTGGGGTTGGCTCTGCGCGGCCTGCACGTACTGGGGTTGGCTCTGCGGATGGACGTATTGCGTTTGGCCGGTGTACTGCGGTTTGTTTTTCGTGTACTGCATTTCCGTTTGTACCGGGTAGGGTTGAGGCCGTCCTTGGGACATTTGCAGGAGTTGGTCCGGGTTCACCGCGGGTTTTCTGATCATGTCGGTCTGAGCAGTAGTTTTCATCACGGGTTCCGTTTGATGGGGCGGCCGACTTTGTATCAGCGGCGGTGGGTTTGCTGATGGCCGGTTCGCCACTGCGTTCGGGGGGATCTGCGGCGCGTAGGAGTCCGGCCTGACTTTGTAGTAAACCGTTTCGAATTGATCGTTTCCGTTGTTGGACTTTAACGGCTTGGGTCTGTTATATAAGTACGTCGACGATGATTCCGACGGGCTCGACCCAGCGTCGGCCGGTCTGCCGTTGGCCGTTGTTTGCAGTCTCGTGTTCGGCTCGTACTTGTTGGGTTCCTGCTGCGGCCTGTTTGAGTCTTGTATTTCCGGTTGCTGCGTCAACGGTCTGGACGAGTACGCCGGTTCGGATTGTGCCGCGGGCGGAGGTGGCGGTTTAAGATCCGGCGGCGAATGTTCCCTTTGGTTCAACGATATGCCGGACGAAACGTGAGCCGTGAAGGTCATGGGAACTTTACTGTTGGTTATCAGCGGATACGTTTGTTCGCCGTCAAACTGATAGTTTCCGGGCATTGGTTTGAAACTGTTGTGATTGTTGTACTGTTGCTGCTGGTGTTCCTTTTCCGTGGACCTGATCGGCGTGTCGTAGTCGGCGAACGACGTTCCGTCCAGTTTTGAATCGATTTCCGGTCTGGCGGTGGTGCCCCCCGTCGTTTTGTCGGATGCCACGGCCGCGGTGGTCACTCGTACGGCGGTCGTCGTAGTGCCGGCGGTGGACGGCTCCGGTGTAATAACGGAATGCGCGGAATCGTAATAACGGTCGGTGGACACGGGGGTCGTCGCGGCGGCGGTCGTGGTGGTGCTGGGTGTTGTGCTTGTGGAGGCGGTTGTGGCGGCCGCGGTGGTGCTGGTTGTAGTCTTCGGGTATGCGGCAGAAGTGCTAGGGGCTTGCGGGAGCTCGGACGACGCCGGGGCCGACGGTTCTTGCGGGTGATAGTAATCGGCGTAGTCGTAAACGGGTTCTTCTTCGTATTCCTGATGCGTTGGAGCAGCCGTCGTCGTGGTCGTGGTGGTCGTTGGCGCGACCGTTGTTGTTTTGGCGGTAGTGGTGGTGGTGGCGGTGGTGGTGGTGGTGGCGGCGGTGGTGGTGGTGCTTGTCGCGGCTGTGGCTGCGGTCGCGGGCGCCCGAGACGGCGTCTTGCTGGCGGCGTAATTGTACCACGATGGCTGCGGCGGCGCGACAGTGGTCAGGACCGGCGCCGACGACATCTTGTGGTTGCTGAGCGAAGACGACGTCGGACCGGACCCTTGGACTTTGGTGTTGGCGTACGAGCTGGACATGAGCGGGAACTTGTCACTAGAACTGTACTTGACGGGCAGGTTTAAGAACTGATAGATATCCGTTTGTTTCTTGTTGTTGCCGCCGGGGGGTTTGATGTCGTTGGGCCTGGGCGCGTTGGGCTCGACCACGTCCTTTCGGTCGATCGGATCGCCCTTGTAGTCGTACGGCACCTCTTCCAGTTTGGCGTCGTAGTCGTAATAGTCGTCGGACCGCTGCTGCATCACGTCGCTGGGCGGCCTCCCGGTGTTAAAGCCTATCGAACCCGAGCTCGGGTCCACCACGAACGGTTCGCCCTTGTTGAACGGGAACAGGCCCGGGTGGTAACCGTTTTTCAGGGCCGTGGGCGTCTGCGCAACCGCCGCCGCGGTCGCGGTGTCCGCGGAGTCGTGCTGCTGGTTGTCCGAGCAGCGGACCGCCACCGCCAACAGGACCGTCGCAACGACGCCGCCCAACTTGTCGTTCGGCCACCCCATCGTTTGGCGGCAACGCCTGAAACACACGTACAACACAAGTATAAGTAGGTAACTCGCGACGCGCGGTCATGCGAGCCATGACGACCGGAATTTGTGTTTTTTCAACCGAACCGGTCCGTATACGAGGGGAGGGGACGAGTGTAACAAAAAGGGACGGGGCGCGAGCGGGTATAGTTGTTGTTGTTGTTGTTGTTGCTGTTGCTGTTGTTGCAGTCGTCGTGGTCCGCGCGATAAGAATAGATAAAAAAAAAAAAAAAAAAAAAAACCGTTTAGAGAGACGCGACCGTGACAATCGCGCGCGACCTTGACCGTATGTACGCGTAAAGAATCCGCGGTCGCCGTGTAGAACGCGTCGGGTATGGTAATAACAATAATACGTGTCGCGCGTACATAATACGATATAATAGTATAATGCGATACTCGCGCGTGTCAACCACGACTTTCTTTTCCGACGCGGACCGCAATATACTAAAGGAACTCGTTAAAATATCGAAACGGCACCCGGGGGGGGGAGGAATAAATAAAAATATGTGCCAGAACGATTTTTGATTTCACTCCGCACAAACGCAATTGTGGTCGTTTTTTCTCGAATACCCCGGTGTGTATTGTGACGCTCGCGTATGTACGGCTTGCGACCGGCACGGTAACATCGTAGGTACACACCTGTCGTACCTCTACTCCGACGGAGGCGGCAACGGGACGTTCCGATCCGTTTCAGTTTATCAATTATCAATATCGAATTTAACTGACTGGATGATATTTTCTACCGAATTTATCTGCATATCTCGGTCTTATACGATTTCTAAATTGAATGGTTAATTAAAAACCTATACGGAATTTGGATTCAGCACCCTTTGAAACTTACCAATCGTAATAAAAAATACAAATAATGTAAACCTGTAAGAAATAACTCCCACAGCCCCCATAACCAACAGGTCAATTGAAAAACGAATGCGAAATTTACGCTCGGCGTCCTCAAAACTAATAGGTTAGGCGTATCACACTATCATGTAAGTTAAAATCTAAGGATAATTCATTTAGGCAAGCTAAATTATGATTCAGACCACCGTACGGCGGGGAAATTTTGATCCGTTTTCGTGAATTTCGTGAATGGGTCAAATTTTTTTACAAAACGGATCAAAATATTCCCACCGGATTTTGCCCTCTCCCCTCTCTCTGATCACAGTCTTATCGGTTTTTTTATGGGGGGGGGGAGGAATTTTGATTTGTTTTGTTCCCACGGTACTAATAATTTTGTCCTCGTGGAAATTTCGATCTGATTAGAAAATGTGCCCATTTTTCACGAAACGGATCAAATACCAGTTAATTTTAACTTAACTTTATACTAGGTAATACGTAGTGATATTATATAGACGTCGTTAACGATTTTTTCGTCGATTACTATAACAAAATTGACCTCGACCGGTTTGGATTTCGTATCGTATTAAAATAGATGTTGATTTTTTACCGTTAATTTCCATATAGGAAATACACGTCTGGTCATTAAATATTATAATGACGACCTTGAAGACGAACGAGATTTATAGTGCGTGTTTTTCTTTTGAAATCCGAATAAATTCAAAATTATCTGATTATACGATTCCAACATTTTTATCGGGGGGCGTAATACGGGGAACTAAGCCAGAAGGGACAACAGCCCCTGAAAAAATATCTGACAAATAGCGATTGGAAATGAAATTATGGAATAGGTTTTGGCGAGGCCTCGAACTATTTGTGAAACATAAGCCGTCAGCCCTCCCGCCGGGAAAAATCGTACTTTTGTGTTTTCAAACCGGGTTGGTGTTATATTTTTTTTGCTTTTCTGCAGTTATTAACGTTCTAGTTTCTGCAGAGCGAACCGAGGAATGCATTGGTTTTACTATGATGTGTTTCTTGTGTCGGTAAAAAAAACTTTACTGCCAGAAATCTTGCTCTGGCCGAGAACTTTATTGGAACTTTCATGTAGCGGTTTTGATCTATTGATGCGTCGGGAAGGCCCGGTTTTCGATTTTCCGTGTAGTTTTCTTGAAAAACGGGAAAAACTGAAAATCGTTTGATCAGCAAATTTTCGTTGATTTCCGGGCTATTGGTCTCTCGGCCACTTGGCCACAAGGGAAATAATACGGCCAATAATACTCTGCACAGAATCGTTTTTCGGTAGCAATGGTTTATTGATCGCATCAACAGTATCAGCCATAATTTTCTCAAATCGTATAACTGTGCAACAACTACAACAACAACAACAACAACAACAACTTCCGAATGGGGTTATTTTTTAAATATTTTATATGCGTACTCCTGAAGGTCGTTTATAATAATATTGTTATTGGTTTTTTTTTTTTTTTTCTAACGGTGAAAGTAAATACATTTTACTTTATGTATTATTGTTTAACAACTGCAGACGACGCATCTGCGTAACGGATGTACTTAATTAACCCATTATAGTATACCTATATCATACTCGACGTTTAAAAATAACAATCATTAACTCGGTTACAACAACGGTGACTATATTATTATAGAGCATTAATGACCCATTTTAATGATCCACGTTAATTTCTCGTCCTTCTCCCTTCCCCCCCCCTCTATTCTCGTTTTATTACCGGGGAAATTGAACTCGATACACTCGTATCGTTAAACATTACGATGTCGCACCGTTTAGTCGAGTATATTTTATGCAGTAAAAAAGAAACGATACGCGCGTGGTCCCTCCTAATTACGTTTATAAATTTGAGTTTTTCGTTTTATTTAACGGAAATCATGCGCGATTAATTTTGTTTCTTTTTTTTTACATTGTTTTTAATTTGCTGGCCGCAATGAAAAGTGAAAACGTATATAGAAAACAAAATTAAAATAACAATACGAGATTTGAGGTTTGATAATAATTGTTAATTAAATATTTTCGTACGGGTGAATTATCGTATAATATTACTGTATAAAATTTATTTATTTTTTATTTTCGTTAATTTATGAAACGTGACCGTGAATTATTGTGATAAAGATCATGTCGGGAATTTTCAGGCACGGTCCTCACATACCCGGGCCGCCCCAGACGCCGCCGCCTACTACACATATCGCTTATTATTAATTTTTTTTTTTACCACTTATTATAACTTTATATAGCATGAACCTCGTATTTAATTGTACCCACGTAGTGCCTACCAAAGAGAAATTTAAACCTTAAAAAAAATCCTAGATAGCTTTTTACACACATAATATTTTGATACGAAATTACGGCGTTACAAATATTTACTAACGGCTAAAACCGTGTGAATAGTTTCCCGCGATTTTTTATGAAAATATTGGCGAATCGGTGAAAAATTAATTTTTTTATTTATTTTTAGTTTAAAAAAAAAAAAAAAAAAAAAAAATGTACACAATTTAAGAAGAACCATAACGCGTGGCTGTAGTGAGATGTCTGAAAAAAAAGAAACCTTAAAAACGCCGAACAGTATACCAAGAGTCGTCGCGTACGTGGACCCCGCAGTAGACCAGCGAACTCGGGGCCCACTCGCAGCTATTGCGTCGCGGTATAAAACCAGAGTTCGTTAATAACCGGGAATTCGCTGGCCGCGAAACGTGTCCGAGTGGCCGGCGGGCCGAGTTCGATGAGCACTCGCGGGAGCCGCAGAGGCCGACGGGCGCCGGTTTCGCGGGGTTTCGTCAATTCGGTACCGTGCGGGGGATGGTTTGGATGGAACTCGTACAACCGTAATGAACGTAATAAGTACGCGCTGTTGTACAAGTGCGACAAATACCCGACGACAACGCTTGTTGTGATAACGGTAGTTGCAGTGTACCTCACCCCCGGACGATTCAGCCGCGAGAATATGTAATTCCGTTCGCTCGCGGTACATTAGCGCTCGCGACCGTAAATATGTAACCCGTGCTATTTTCATACGGGCATCCGGGCGCCGAAAGCGGCGGCACGATTGTATTATACACGGGCGTACCGCGCGCGCGCGCGTGCGTATAATGAGACGCCGGCGCGCCACAAAAACCAGTTACGAGGAAATGCAACGCGTAGGCAGGTAGGTGGGTTATATTATTATTATTATAGGTGGGTTACCTCTTCGTCGCGTACACGCGCTACTCGCGCACTGTATAACGCGCACGGTTATAACCGGGACAAACGTAGGTAGGTTAGGGTTACGGCCGGTTGTCAATAACCGGGGTACGGCTGCGCGTGCATATTATATCGCGCGCCTATAGTGTACGTTTTTTTTTTTTATACCGGGTGATGATTTTCACGTGTACACCGCGACGACAGCGTTGTGTGTTGTAAATACACAACGTGCACGAAAACGGGCGATAATACCTATTATTATTTTTTCGGTCAAACGTTTTTTCATTTTTTCTTTTTCAAACTGTTTTCCCTCGGTCGTCTAGAACCCGAATGACGGAAACCGGAAGGCGGCAAAAAAGACCGCTGCGGCACAGACCGAAACAAACACGGTACAGAACTGGACACCGAACCAAGATCTCAACACAATACACCAATTTGTATAATAGAGTTGATAATCCGAAGTAACACGCGGACAGGCCCGGATTAAAGGGATTGGGCCCCAGGCCCCTGCATATTGTAACGTTGTGGGCCTCCGGCCTTGGCTGGTAGTACTGTATGAACACCAACATTTTGAATATGTTTATGGACCTTTAAAATTGTTCGGCCTCAGGTCCAAAATCATCTTAATCCGGGCTTGCATGCAGACGAACCCAGAGAAAATAATACGTTGAGCAGCCAAGGTCGTCCTCCGAAATCGACACGTTAGATAAATAGAAACTTTAAAACAAATTATTTTTTTTTGCAGCTTTTCCGGAATGTTTTAAGAATCTCGAAATTCGAATACTATGCGTTACGTGCGAGTAAAGAGGTGGTTCAGAGAATTATTGAGGAAAATCAAGTGGGGAAATATTATCAGTCTTTTGTAAGAGTGGATTATCGACAATATTGTGCACGGAAATCGGTCGGAAAATCGCGTAGGCTAAGGGCGAAACGGCGTAGGCAGCTTTTGGCTTGTTTTTTTGACCGCGGCGATATACAGCCGCGATTCCTTCAAGTTAAATTGATTTTAACAATACAGTTGCAATTTTCAATATTATCAAAAAAACAAATGATTTTCAGCCCTCACACAATAGCTGGCCGCCATAGATATCGGTTTAATTATTACCGTCCGCGACGTTACGTTTAAAGTAATCATCCTGTATAAAATATGTCACATACGCGCGTGCGAGTCCACAGGTAGTCGTATTATAGTCTTATATGTTATTATGCTTCGGAATTGTCCTCGATACGCGTCTATTGAACTACATATATTTTTTTTTTCTTTTGGCCCACATACGCGGACACCCAACCGAGAAACCGATTATTGTCGTGTTATTATTATTATTATTATTCTTAGACGATTATCGTTTCAACGGAGTAGGGGGGGAGACTTTTCCCGCGAGTCCCACATGTGTCGTCGGTCGGACTGAATGGCACACACCGTATATCATACTCGTATACGAGCTGAACGTTTGTCGACGGAGAGAATCGCGCGGAAACTTTCGTTTATTGTTACGCGCCGTTAATTTCTCTCCGGCGGCGTGTGCACGTGCCCGCGCAGTTGCTACACGCGCGGTCACCGAGACATTTGACCGAGGGTTACCGGACCGCAATCGGAAAACCATTCAAGAGGCACTGTCGGGAAAATCTAACCTAATAAATTCGGCGTTCGAACTGGAAGAAAATAGAGGACTGCGAGAAAATTAGCGCCCCTTGCAACTTTTGCGGAACTCAATATAGGTACCTAGACCGCGGGCGGGTTCGTCCCTCCTTACGCCACTTTTCAAACACAATTTAATAATAAGCAATTTTACAGAAAAAAAAAAAAACAATCAATAATACGACTCTTGGAGGATACGTTAAATATTATGTAGATTAGGTTATATAATCATTTTAAATTATATACAAAATATGTTCAACATTGAATATATCCGAGTTGACAATACATATCGGAAATAACATAATATTATTTGCAAAAAGAGAAGTACAGTGAGACCTGTCTTAACGGACAAAATAATAAGGTCCCGGCAAAATGGTAGGCATTTCAATGATTTTCGACCTATCTATAACGGACTCTTTTTATTACAAATTATTAATATTTTTCCCCCAATACCTTGATCACGGACAACTATCTGAATTCAAAATCGAATATATTGCTAACGTACAAATACGTGTACATACCACGCAACAGAGTCGCCTGTCTATTCGAATACCGCAAATATAACAAATAAACATAACAAATTGTTCATTCCTTTGTATGGAATAGTATTTATTGAGATAATATTGACAATCAATAGTGATAACTGTGTCTTATTAAAATAAAAGCCCCCGAAGATGGTGGGGTTTGAGGTTACCAAAGCGCTGCGTTATTTCGCCCAAAACGGTTTGAAGACTCATTAGGTCTGTCGGTGTACATTTATTTTTAAAATAAGAAAATCTAATCATACGAGTAATGTATAGTATTCTAGTACTATTCCGTAACAGGGTCGTATTCCTAAATGCTAATGTTCTTTACAAATATCTATATACCGTTTCATATTGAAATTTTATTCCTACAAAGAAATATTTTCTTAAAAAAATACCAGTTCCATTCAATTAATTTTCCGATCGTTCCCCTTTTGTCATATATGATCGATTTTATTATTATTTTTTTTTATTGCCGTCAATTTTTTTTTCTTTTCTGTTTATTATTCTTTATTGAGAGTGAAATTATTAATAATTACACTTGCCAGTATGATAATATTGACAGAGCACCCCTGATCATTGTATACAATAAGCTGAACATAATATAATATGTCATACCTATTGACGAATTTCATTATTTTTTTTTAACTCAAAAGAGTAGAAAAGAATTATTTAAAAGAAATATTATTTCACGATTTCGAATTTTTTTTTTATATAATTATTATTTTCAATAGAATTATTATAAGGTATTTCATCGAAGTAATGTATAAATAAATAAAAAAAAAAAATACATTTACCTTTACCTACAGAATTTTATATACGGGAAATACTCGTATTTCCACAATCACTTTCTTCCCCGTCCGGTTTGTATAATAAGACGTATTGGTTATAGACAGTGTATTCCAAAGCTTTGCGGGTTAACGCTTATATAGAGATAACTTTTTACTACAATAATATTATTTCTTAAAAAAAAATAAAACGGCATTCCGTAGTCGGAAAAAAATAATTAAAACGAGAAGATGTCGCTGTATTTACTTACATTTTCTATGTATAGGTACCCACACTTGCCGAACGAGGTTTTATGTGTACCTACCTATATACTCGCATAATTTATGTCATGTCGAAATGTCGCCTTATTCATAATTCAGTCGCCAGTTTGTGGTTTTTCTAACGGACAAACGCGTAAAACTAACGAAAAGGTCTATTTAAAAATCGTTTTTAGAGAGGAAACTCCGATTAAAAAAATGTGTAGACGACAATCGCGTTTTGAAGACGACGCATATTTTGAATCTCAGTGCGTATTGACCATATTGTATACTTTAATAATAATTGATAAAGATACATGCAGCTGGACATAGACAACACATAATTTCTGACTAAGATCTTTACAGCATAATGCATCAAAGATACAATAATAATCAATCATAAATATACGCGTAAATTGAAATAACCTAACTACACGTAATATACTATGATTTTTTTTAATTCAGTCCACAGGGTGTAGGGGCAACTACCCCCATTTCACGCCAATGCGCTCTTATGGGAGATTCAAAACGGATATCCCATTCCTTTGTCTAACACATACGCGGTATTTATAGACCGTATCTATGGTTTAAATTTTCTTTAAGTTTTTTTTTTTTTTTTTATATATACACGTTCAAATCGATCGTTTGAGAAAAATATTACAAGGATTAAAAATCGAAAAAGTCACCGCTGCCGATCTCACATATACCTAACCTAACCTACCTAACCTATATAGGTTAATATTACAACTCACGCGCAATTCAAATGGGTTTTCAGAATTCCAAAATCGCTTCATCACTGTATGCGTCGGTCGCGTACTGACGGACAGAACGTAGTTGGTCTAAAAATCGCTCGTATATAATGAAAATGTGTCGGACAAAGGAACGGAATATCCGTTTCGAATCCCCCCCCCCCCCTTGAATCACCGCGAATCTGCGGGTTAGGTCCGGAACAGTCGTATTTTATTTGTTTACGTATTATTATTATTATGCTCTCGATAAACCATTGTACGGTTCATCGACACTGAAGTATACATAAAATATAATATTATATACGATATATTATAACGTACGTTAATAACGGTCCGCGCGTTCGCCAGAATCCGTGTCAAAGGGTTTCCGTTACGGTTTTTTTTTTTTATTTCATTCGTCTTCCTAACGTTTTCGCATTTCACGTATTTACACCCGTACAATATTATCGTGTATCGGTCGTGTATAATACGCGCACGCGGTTTTCAAGCGTCTTATAATCATGTATATTTAAATATATGCACACATAATATCGCTCTGGAAGTGATTAGAATACGGCAAAAATACCCGTTTGACGACGCGCAGATAAAATTAGCGGCAGTCATGCCATCGTATTATTGTAACAGCCAACGGGCAATTACCCGTATGTATACAGCGCGATCAAGATTCGTTCGTGCATTTTAAATCCGGCGATATTGTACGTACCTGCGCAAGTGCGGAGCGCCTATGCCGACGAAGGTACACGCGTTTATGTTTGTTTTCTAAACGTTTATCGCTCCTTCCCCAGCGGTCGAAGTGCAGGTGCGGGCGAGCCCCTCTTTTTGTTTCCGGTAAAATGTTCAATCCCCTTAAGTTTAAGTCTTCGGAATCCGGGGGACGGTGATTCAGTCACTCGGACGTTTTTAACGAAATTTCAAAAACTTATATCATATAGTTTCTATTAAAAATCATAATTCTTTACAATATACGCAATATAAGTTTTAAGACTAAGTTTTGCTTTATATTTGCTGAAACAGTCATATGCGTAGGACATTATTTTAGGGGGCGGGTGTGCAGTTCATTTCTAAACCCTATTAGTATAACATTTTTATACGGATTAAATGTGTATGTGTGTTTGTGTGTGCGCGACAAGTCTTGTGTGGAAATTTCACGAAAGTGTTCGTGAACGCTCCTCGATTTTCGGTAAATATATTTATCATTTTTCGGAGTTCTAACCGCTTTGACCGCTGTCTCCTCCCTTGTTTTGAGTGAGCAATAAAAATTACACATTTTCTCAAACGGATACGTTAACAATTTTACATTTTTATTATGCCACCTGCGTCAGCATATGCCGACAGTATTATTATTTCCGAGCGACTTTGATTTGTACTTTTATTCTCCGCACTGCTTAAAGTTCATTGAAAAGTACTATCAAGATTTTTGTCTCGATTTAAAAAAAAAATAAATTAAATAATACGTGCGAATTCTTCATATAAAAACGAAAAAAAATTATTGCAAGTAAAAAAACAATAATTATAAAATAACACATAATTACTCGATTTAATAACATAAAACTTTTACACATTTCATGTAAAATTGAAATACCGTAATATTATTATTATTGTAATAAACTTTTGACAGGCAAACAATTGTATTAATCGGATGGAAAAAAACGAATTGAATAAGATAACGCTTGGGTGTGAAGATTTGAAATTTATTTTAAAAAACGCGGTATCAATAATTCCTTAATAACAAATAAAATCGTCCTTCGAAAACCGATTTTTTTAAGAGTGATCGTCCGGTCGAAATATTTAGATAATAATAAGAACTACGAAAAAAAAAAAAAAACTGATCATACTGTATGCGGAAATGTTTTTTTTTTTTTACTGATGTCTATGCGGGGAGTGTGTGCATAACGTATTTTTTAGTATGTGTTTACAGAATTGACGGGTGTGCAGTGCGAACGTTTGTTTTTTTTTTTTAAATTAATATAATAACATAATATATGCGTATAGATTTTTAGGCGTGTGTGTAGAAAAAAAAATATAAAAAACCAGTAATTTTCCGGTGGTTAAGTTTTGGTCAACAACCGCGCGCGCGCGCGCGGATGAAACTGGACAGTGAAATGTTTTGCGGGTCAAAAACCTTCGGTATTATATTTTATTATTATAATCATATTGCAGTATGTGTATATGATAAAAAAATTTATACTTTTTCAATGTATCGTTAAAAATGTATAAGAAAAAATGTAAAAAACGTACGAGTCGTAGATACGTCTTATACTAACAATAGAAAACGAATAATTGGATGACAATTTTTTAAAATACAAATTTTCTAAAAATCCAAATTTTTTTCTCGTCAATTTGTATATACAGATACTATTAAAATGTGGTTAAAAAAATAAAAAAACAAAAAATTCGTCACGAAATAAATAGATATTTTATGTGTATTTCGGATACACTAATAAAGAAAACTTTTCGGTATCTATAATTGGAAACGATTATTTTTTTAAGTGGAAGTTTTTATTTTCATCAAACGAAATCTTGAACAGAAAAAAAAAACCTATTGGAAATGAAACGATGAAAAAAAAGAGATGAAATATATTATCCGACCGTCACAAAATCGAATTCGAATACTTTTATTCGCGTACATAAGTCTAGGCTTGGGTTACAGTCGGCACAGGTTCGTGACTTTGTGTCGAGGGAGAGTCGCATTTTTTAAGCAAAAGAAAAAAAAAAAAGCAATTGAAATAATAGGCCGATAATGTTAATAATTCATAATGAAATTGTGTATGGTAGGTACTCACGTTTTAATTGTTTCGTCTTTTTTCCTGCCGAGAGTCACTGCGGTGAGAAAAATAATAAAACTATAAAGTTATTATAATCCACGCGGGTTATGCCGTGCGTACGTGTTGGCGGACTGAAAGAAAATTGTTGAGGGAGGGGGGAGGGGTTGGGGTTGGAAAAAAACGAAAAACGTCTGGAACGTGTGCGGGACACCGGAGAACCGGGAAGAGACGACCGTCGTGGTCGCGGTGTGGATGCGCGGTCCGCGTCGTCGCCGTCGTCGTGGTCGCGGTCGCGGGCAGACGAGATAATAAATACGATAAACTCGAAGAACTCGACCGCGCACCGCCCGCCGATCCGGCCGCCGCCCGTTGTCTCGGCCCGCGCCGCCGCCGCCGCCGTCCGCGACCGACCGAAAACTTCGAAAATTACAATAATAATTTGTACGCGTACGTGCGGCGGCCGACGCGGACGCCTATTGCGACCGACGGGAGGGGAGGGCTGGTAAGGCGGGGGGAGGGGGAGTGGCGAGGAGTAGGAGGAGGAGGTCGATCGAAAATCGCCGCGGCGGTGGAAGAAGATTGAAATCTTCCGCGCGCCGTCGTACAGGTGGGTACGCAACGGACAGGCGGTCTCGCGGACACCTGCAGCGGCCCGCGAGTATTGCGCGTCGCGGGTGTAACAATGAAAAAAAAAAAAATAATAATAATAAAAAAATATACGGGTGCGCGCTCGAAATCGCGAGACTCGGCCGCGCGATAATAATGTTCGTGTGGTGAACCCCGCGCGATTATTAAAAATTATTACTTTGTATTATACCCGTAATAAAACTATGGGCGCCTCCGCCGCCGCTGACGACGTTGATTTCGTGGCCGCGACGGGCGAGCGAGACAGAGAGACGGAGAGAGAGAGAGATTCAGAAAGAGTGAGAATGAGAGAGAGAGAGAGAGAGAGTGAGAGACCGATGGTGTTTTTTCGGTTTTCTTTTCTTTTTTTTTTATCCGTCAAGAGAAGGCGGCGGCGGCGACGATAGGGCGGGCGACCGCCCGACGAAGGAATGCGCGCGCCCGTCGCGTATAGGTAGCCGCCAACCGGACCCGCGCCGCCCAGGGTAACGATAACGTCATTATCGTGTGTTCGGCGCGTATACCGGGCGCGAGTTGTACAGTTATAATATTATTCGGTCGGTCTCGGGCGATTTTCCGTCCGTCGGTCGCGGTCTGGTTTTTTTTTTTATTTTTTTTTATTTTCAACACGCCTCTCCCTCCGTGCGGGTATAATACGCGCACGTAATAATATCACTTCGTGCCCGTACAACGAAAATTATTATTATTATTATTATGGTTGGTCCGAACCCGATACCGTGCCGTGGGAATCGGTGTCCCGGGAAATGAAACGTTGTTGATCGGGAAAAATGTCGAGTTGTCGAAAACGAGTGTACGCGCGTTGTTAGAAACGCGTTTGTTTGTTGTTTTTGTTTTTTTTTCGAATGATCTGCTCAAGTCTACTAAACTTGACTTTGACATTCGACAATTTCGAGATTGTTTTGGCCGAACAGAAATGCTTGGAAATTTAACACCATCTGTGTACTTATAGTGGCGAAAAAAAGTCGAACGTTATGTAACAGTTTTTTTCTTTATTAGCGTTTTTACGTTCAATTTTCGACGAAAATCGCGAAATTTCAAAACACGCGTCTAGCGGTAATTTAATTGAAATACAACATTAAAGAGAGAAATTATTTTCATAATATTTTACGTTAAACGCAATTTACTCTTTTTTATTCGACAATTTAGATATGGACTCTTAAAAATCGGGTCGTCATAATCAATAAATTAATACAATATTTAGTTTTAATTTATCGAAAAAAAAAAAAAAAAAATTATAAACCGAGCACAATCAAAATTGTGCGATTTTTAAAAACACGGAAATTGCAGTGTTCTATACACAACATTATATTATTGATTTAAACGATCGGTTGTGTAATTTGTAGTCTTGTTGTTGCTGTAGGTAGTCCATGTGCGAGTATTCATATTACCTATATTATTACAAACGGAAAATATAGCCGCAAGCTGCACAACGCATAATTTTAATATGACTTTATGCAAAGGATAATAAAAAAGTTTAGAACACAATAATAATATTACGATAAATCTGCGTAGCTATAACGTTGTAATAGCAGATAATTAGTATCAAGAGTTGTTCGCCTAAATCCGGTTATTTTTTAACTAGCTAAAAATTCTTGAAAAATCACTGTGGCAATGTTGTATAGACAAGTCGTTTTCAACTACATGTTTTGATAATTCAGACGATTTTGTTATTTCTCACTATAACAGTTTTTCTCTTCTATAACAGTGGCGTTCTTAGGAGTGAGAGAGTGATGGCGGTTTATTTCCCTCATCGGATTAAAAATACAACCAAAAAGAGTAATTATTTAGTAATTGTTAATCTCTGAGTGTATAATTATATTTTAACTTTAGGTACATGAACGACAAAAGAAAGCTTCGGTTTTTGAATGAAAATTTGCTTTTAAATTCTCATTGACGGGTTAGATTTATAAAAGACATTATACGATATGTCCGTGATTATTATACTTATTAATCCTCCCTCATTGAAAACAATTTCTTGGCTTGCCATTGTGAACTAAAGGGCACACAAGGTTTGGAATAATATCACAATTATCACATTTTATATCGAATACTCGCACATGGACGCCCACAGGTAATTTCGATAATAAAATCTAAACGGTTTCCGCGGATTATAATAATTTTCCATTATATTTTTATTCCTGGAGATTCTGAAAAAAAAAAAGAAAACAGACATTTCACTTTGTTGGAGAGAGCAGGTTACAAAAAAAAAAAAATTACAAAATAAATATATTAATTATTTAGTAATATCAAAAGTCAAAAACAGAAATTAAACTTTTTGAACTGCACATTGTACATTAAGAGTCTTGCACTTGGAAATCGAAGCAAGATTTCTAGTAGACATTTTGTACACAGTATACCGCTCAGAACCTAAAATTGTATTGTTATTATTATACTGTTATCAAACTTATCACAATTATTACAACAAACAAACCTTAAAAAACTGTAGCTCAGAGTAGCCGTATACCTATAGGTTAGGTTATAAATGCAACATAAATCATGAGATATAATGACATGAATTATGTTTGCCGACTTGTGGCCCAAAACTAGCCTGTCATCTGCTGATATTCATCCCGATAGCGGACCGCTGATGACAATGGAGGGGGGCAAATGCCTGCCCTGCTCCTCTCTAAATGATGCCACTGCCTTATCCTCCTAGCCACACCTCTGTCGGCCGATATACGATATCGTGGATTTATCACTAAATGAAAAACGCCGCGTGTATTATTTATACGAGTTTTAACAGTTAACTGTATATCATTATTTAGGTACATAATATTATAATAGTGAATATCGCATGTCATATTTTACAGTTGCTGAATTGTCGAACGGGAAAGCGGTTTTTTTAATATTTTTATTGTTGTTTATTATTGTACCTAACACTAACAATAATATTGTTATTTTATTACAGATTATCGCAGAAAACGTGTATATTTGCGTTAAAGAAAAAACACAAGACTGTAACCCGTATATACCTATTATGAGTTAACAGCAACAACACCGTAAAATAATAAAGGAGGACCATAATTTTCGGAGGGTCGTTATCAAAAAATGTTTAAAAAAGTTATCAAAAAAAATAAAATACATCACACTCCATCTCTTCGACGAGCTTTTTAACGTCACGATTAGTGATAATTTCACCGTTATCGGAGATTATTGATTCAAATAAGAACGACATTGGTGATGCTACTATATATTCATAATATTATTCGAATATATCTTGGTAATATTTTATTGCACATTTATATTTGTTTGTATGTTGAGTTGATAGATTTCCATAACCATAAAAAAAACCTTATGGTGGGCGTAGCTCTTTATACATTACTTGATTAATTGATAACTAATTAATAGATTTTTTGTTACTAACTTTACTGTTAGTTTTTCAATTAAAACTATTTTACACGTTATAAAACTTAATACACACATTTATAATTCAGCGTATACACTTTATGTCAGGGGACACATTATTTTAGGTCCTGGGCACGTCAAAAGGGAAAAATGTTTGACAGATCATAAGTAAAACATTTTAACATTTTAAACTAGTATATATATATATATATATATATATATATGATGCATTTGTTCAAATTTGGGGGAGGGGGTTATATTACATCTTAGTAAGAGTCGTCAATAATACAAATTATCATTTTTCTTGTTTTCGTTTTCTTACATAGTTCTAACGGAAAAATCTGAAAAAAGTATCAATCTTTTTCTAAAAATTCTATGAATCAAAAAGGTTTAATCATTTATAATCATCGTCACAGAACACAGAGATAAACTGCACAATAATATTGATGACTAATTCACTTGGACGGATCACAGGTAATGTATCTCCGGTAATATAACAGTAATATAAAAACCCGGATACGGATATTTTGCACATGTGTAGTACAGTATGACTGTCGTGTTACAGGTCATGTATTGTCATTTAAAAAAATTGAAAGTTATATGATTCACCGCGTTCTAAAAAAAAAGCTCGTTTAAAAACTGAATAATAATATAACATGGTTGTCGTCTAAAAAGAAAAGACTACTATAATAGTAATCTTATAATAATATAATATATTATAGTTTTCGTGTCTTTTTGGAGAAAGTCGGAACTTGTTTATTATGTTATTTCGTTTGGAAAAAACCGAAAAAAAAAACGTCACGATAATTCGTCGTCCAATTGTCCAACCGTGAAAAATCATATTTACGACTTGAATTATTACCTAGTACTACGGACGAATTAAAAATTCCTATAAGAACCGATCCACCAATATATTACGTCACGTATACAAACAATATATCTTTATATTGAGCGGTATGTCTCAATATAGGAATTGTCTCTGTAAAAACATATTCCTTTGGAAAAAAAAATAAATCAATTTTTTACAATGCGTACATACAAGTTGTAATACGAATTTTTAAATTGCTTTTTAGAAACTTAGATTAAGTCTGGTCAGATTATAACGTCGGGGCAATCCAACAATTGATTTACGATTTTATTATAAAAATAAAAAAAAATCTTAAACTTGTATTCGTCGAATTCGTTCAGAAAAAAACCTTTATTCCTGTAGGAAAAGTTATACACTTCATAATACAAGTATTTTATTTGTTTGAGAAAATGAATAAAATATTATTCATTACTCGGGTAAACGTCCATGACCACTGAAAACCGACAACTTGATGATTAAATATGATGTTTTTTTTTTTAACATATGGTGAAATTAGATAAAATATGAGTACGTATATTATATACAGTGGATTTCATTTAATGTGGGCACATTGGAACTAGTAACATTTGCTCGCATTAAGTGGTAGCCTATTCCAACCGTAATGAGTATCGCTATACATTAGAATCGGGACCAAACCATTATGTCCATATTAAGCGGCTACCCACATTAGCTGATGAACACATTTAGTGGAATCAACTGTATTTAAAATTTTACCATCAGAAATTATAAATGTTACCTATCCATATCATTATTTATTGAAATTTTCAATTATAATTGGTGGTGAAATTACTGTTTATGTTCATTGTTTTTTTACTCGAATAATAAGATTGATAAAGTAGATAAGTAAATCCAGATTTTTAATAGTTACAAGTACGAATTGGAATTGTAATCTACCTACAGACACAGATATTATCGGTATATTGTATATTATATACATTACATAATAGGGAAGTAGTTTTATCCCTTAAAATAAGGGCAACAAAAAAAAAAAACAACTAAAATATCAAATTTAGAGCTGTTTATTTCTTAAATGATCTGAAAAATAAATCAACAAATGTTAATACTTTCTGAGATAATGAAAATCGTTATGTTGATCACGCTGATCTGAATTTACAGATCTGTAAACAATATATTGAGAAGTGTGTTAAGGTTAGAATAGGGGGTGTGAATAGGGCTATTTCACCGGGTAGAAACATTTTGAAGTTGTACTTTTTTTGTACTTCTATGTTTTACGAAATTATAAACAAATGGGCTTACTGAAAAATCATATTTATAAATTCAATTAGTTTACTCAAACAATTTTTTTTTTGTAAAAATTAATTTGAAATTAATTTTTGTGAAGAACATTAAAAATATTACACGAATATAAAGTTGTTTAGTTTTATAGAAGTATGAGAGGAGAGTAGTCAAGGGTGGTACTAAATATCTTACCCCGGCTGCACATTTTTTATTACGACACTGACTGAGCTTTCTAACAATACCTGATTTACAAATCTGTAAATTACCGTTAATGACTCTGTGAGTGGCTACAGAATGTTTATGCAATCCATCTTAACTACGTAGTATGTTATATTATGTGTGTCACTTCTTAGCAAAATTTGGATTTCTTACCGTTAGTCCGCAATTATATTAGAACGCTGAGTAAAATGACAAAATAATAATAATACCTATACATATTAGTAATTAAACCTCAAATGTACAAAATTCATATTATTTGTCTCGTACCTATTAGGTATTTCTGCACATTTTAACTTTTATATGTACTTAGTTTCGTTTACATTTATTTACATAACGGACATTACCCGTTTGTTATTATTGTTGTGCTAATTTTGTTTTAGTGATACTTAATTTACTATACGATACTTCGACTTCGGCTACATAGGCAACCGATTGAAATTTTGTACAGAGTAAAAAACATTATTGTGTTTTAACAGGTATAAGTACTACAAATAACATTCTGTTATATTGACATACAAAACGCTTGACGTTGATTGGATCATAAGAGACTCATGCGTATAAATAGTATTTAATAATTTTTTTATACATATAAATCATTTATAAAAGATTTTATTTGATAATTTGCTTTTTTGCCATGCGAATTTAATTTTCACCAATTAGTATTTATTTTAGATTCCGAGCATAATAGCGAGGGAGCTATTGGTTTTACAAAGATGTTAATTTTTTTCTTTCTTTATTCTAGTCTGTGGGCACGTTTTTTCTTAGTAAACTTGCTCTGATTTTTATGTGTAGCACCATTTCTGAAACCTCAAGTTGTTTTCATTGTACTTTAGAGAGGTTATTTTTTATTTTTTATTTTTATTACGGTACTCAAATTATGTATTACCGAACTGTGCTCGGAATCGTCTTTCGTCAGGCAATAGTTTATCGTTGCTCACAGATATAAATGAAATAATCTTATGTATCCCACCTTCCCGACTTCTTACCTATTTGATTAAAAACTTAGATTTAAGCGAATCTGTCGGAATAATTTTTAGTTTTGTTGTTGGTCGAATCTGAATAAATTTGGTTTTTGGACAGAGATGTTTATCAAGTAACTGAAGTAAACATTACACTATTATTAACTATAATATAGTTTACCAAGAACCCATCAGAATCGTTTTTTAATTGCAACGATTTATCGGTGCTTTTAGTAAATATTATATAAACTAATTCACCCTCTATCCATATACCTTTTCGACATTCCGTGGTCTACATGGTATGCTCGGCGTTTCTGGTTTTGAAGGTATTTTAAATAACAACTCGAATTACTCAAATAAATTAAAAGACTTTTGTGCATTTTTTAATTACGTACAATTTATCAAACTAGATAAAATAACTGGTAATCTTTATAAAATAGTGCAAATAAACATTAAATTCTATTTATTATCAAATATAAATGATAAAGTACCTATTAATCTTCTTCGTTCGAATAGTATTTTTAGAGTGTAATATGATGACTAATATAAATTATTATAGTTTTTATTATATAATATAAATATAGATGATTGAAATATTACGAAAATTAAAAAGAAAAAAATCAATTAGTATTGGATAAAGAACATATTCTTAATAAAACTCCAAATAATTGTATCGTTCTAACGATATTTCCTACATTATTACAGACGGATTGGGCTTCCATTGTCCTTCCAATTGTCAAAGTACTGTTTAAACGCTGTTGGTTCACCGCCCTCGATAACTCGAATTACCTGCATTAATAATATAACATCCATTAAAATATTATTATAAATATTTAACTTTATTATCGTATACGAATTTTGGTGGTTCTGAGAGTATATATGAAAAAAATTGTCCACGTACCGTCGTCCAGGCCGGGTAGTTGTTTTCCTTGATGAAAACTTGCGCACGTTTGAGAGATTCGACTTTTTCTTGAGTTGTGCCTTTTTTGCCTATCCAGACGTATATTCCCGAAGAAACCGTATCCAAAATGAAGCAATCCTGAAAAATGAAATATAGATATATATATATATACATGCATATTGTTTAAATGTAATTTTATAATATTTTCACGGTTCAAACGTCTAACAGAATATGCATACATCGGTTTTCAGAAGTGACTGGACGAGAGGCGATTGATTGACTTTTTCCGATACGATTTTTCCACTTTGTGCGTCCGATATTTTGTACAAAACGGGTGTTGCCTAAACAAATAATATTAAATTATTAATATCCACATTAATGCGTTTTTATAACTAATCATACCAGTTGAGTATAGATTTTATAAACAATTTATTTATTATTTTTTTATCAATCGACTCGACGATCACATTTTTTTCAGATTGTTAAATCATGTTAACATTTTTGTCTGGGCGACAGAAGCATTCAAAGAGAATATACCGTCGGTTAATCAGAACAAATTTGTAAATGGTTATTTTTTTTTTTTGTTTCTGTGAACGACTTTTCTACTAAAAAAACTTTATAGGAAATTTATCGTATTATTTTTGATCTAGTTGGTGTATTGGGAGAGATCATTTCTTGATTTTCTTTGTAATTTTCTCAATAACAGTTTTCTTGTTAAAACTTTGTAAAAGACTTACGAGTTTTTGATGGGCAGTTGACGATAAATAATGTAATAGTATTGTTAAATACCTAGATTGTTAAACAAAATCAAACCAAAATTCAACGGCAATAATATTATTTATAATATAATGCATATTTGTATAAATAAGTATTTATGCAAACATTGAAATTGATATTGTTTGAATATTTACTATAATAAAATATTGACCTGGATCAACTTAATATAATATATAAACGGGTATTTTTTTAGAAAACCGTTTGGAAGGAAACACGTGTTAAACTATCTAAATTATATTGCTAGAATATTAAAAGAATAATATTTAATCTTATAGGCGAATATCCATTTGTATAAACAAATTATATTTATAAGTAAATAAATGTAGTGTACATTGCTCATCGTTTATTGAGTAATCGTCCCCATTAGTTAAAAAAAAAATTAAGCGTGATTTTATAATTTTTAATTTTTTTCTTATATCTAATTGTATCAATTTCAAATGTACGATAGAATTAGGTAGTTTTATATTAGTACCTATATAATTGACGGAAAATTGGAAATAAATTTAGGACGGTCAAAAATGAATACATTCAAATTTAAATATTTTTATCGAATAATTTAAAAATGTTTCAACATTTTTTGAAGATTTCTCGGCGTGCGATTTTGTAAACTTATTATCGTAACGCTTACCGTTTCTTTTTTTTCAAATTCTTGATCGTCATCTACGGCTGCAGGAACTTGTTTAGCGGATCCGGATCCTAATTGTTTGAAGAACTTTTCAATTTCTTCTGGAGTACTCGATGCATCTAGTTTTCAAATATAAATTATGTTATTTAATTCGAGTAATAATCAAATATTAATTAAACGCTATACATCGGTTAAATTGTTACCTACTACATTAAATGGCAAATTATAAATGCGTCCACGATCAGTTAATTTCAAGTAAAACCGTCATCGGTGAAAAATAATAATGTTCTGAATATAAATATTCGCAAGAGGACCGGAAATTCGTAATCATAACAGCATAGCAATACCTATATTACCTGAAAGGGCGGAGCGTTTGGAGCGTTATATGGGCCCTTTTCACAGTCTCCCATTTCCCGTTAACAATTTTAAATTCGTTTTCACGTTGATATTGAATAAAACTCCACATTATTACATTTGGGTAGGTAAAGTTAAAAAAAAAGTGAGTAGGCTCGTAAAATATCTTTTGAGTGTTATTGAAAAATATAATATAATACTATAAGAAGTCGTTAATATAGGCAATTAAACTAAACATTTTTTGTTTTGAGTTACTAAGTGAACAAATTATACCGAAAACATTAGGTACTTGTTTTTCTCTAGAACAATTTTTTAAGTAATTTAACTTTACGTCAACAGTTTAATTCTTTGACGTTTAAATGATCGATGTTAATATTTATTTAAATAACCGAATTTAATCGATTAAATATAACAATATACATAATAATATCACTTTGGCTCTTGTTACTTACCAACGATGTTTACTTTTGCTCTTCCCAAATGGTCTTGGTCTCTAACTTGATTTGCCACGTTTATGGCTTTCAAACGTTCTGTTCCTTTGGACTGAGGTCCTACGTATACGTAAATTTCTTTGCCCGAGTCCAAAATGAAACAATCTCCTTGGTTCATGGACGTCACTTTCGGTTCGACTTGTCTCACACGAATATTCCGTTTGCCTTTGATTTGATATAATTTTTTCGATCCTTCGGCATTGATTTCAGCATGATGAAAACCAGAAGCTACACCTCCGGGCAGATAGCGTATCGCTAAACAAAAATAATTAAAAATAGTGCGATGTTCATTGTTTGCTTGTGAATGAATACAATGTTAAATCAAAAGATAAAAATAACCACTTACAAGGTTTGAAAAGGGATAGAAAAGCTTGGCTCTCGTGGTCCTGGGTTTCTTTGTGTTGAACTGGATCTCCGCCCAGGGCGTCGTCCAATTGAATGGAAAGAATTGCCGCGGCGCCCACTTCATCCTTGAATATAAAAATGTACAATGAACATTTTGGAAACTATAAGTTTTAAATGTATGTTTAGGTGTAGGTAGATATAGGTACTAACTTGAGACGAAGTACTACCAGACCAATAGTAAATGTCCGACTTGGTTATTTTATTGTTTTTATCTGCTATCGACTATAAATAAATATAGATAAATATTTTTAATGTTAATAAGAACGCAACTACAATTATTTTGTTGATATATAATATATATGCATATACTGTTGTAAAAGCTTACGTTTAAAACTATGTACGAGTCTCCCGTGTAAAACTTGCCATAGTCTTTCACTGGATAGGGTACCGGTTCAAAATCCTATACAAAATTTAAAAAATTAAATATTAACTTCAATATACCGATTATAATATGTCTGTGACAAAATTTGGACTCTAAACGAAACATTGAATTTTATTTTATATAATATAATAGGTACTATATTTTTTGAATGTCATCATCGTTTTACTACATTATTTGTCTTTTTCGACAATGTTATAGTATACTTCATAGTTCATATTATTATTATCATTGTTAATCGTCAACGAGGAACATTAATCGAATAAATTACGCACCTACTCAGCACCCATATTATTATCTATGTATTTATCGTCGACGAGACGTATCGAATACATATTCAATATTTACAGTACTCGGATATAGAAGGCAATTAAAATATAGAAGTAAAGAACAATCGGTTTCTATAATATTATAGTGAAGATGCTCATGATCATCATGAGTGTTCATCACCGCAGAATAAAATTATCGACACGATGACGACACGTTATACATTAATAAGGAGTATTATTTGTAATTTGTAGGGACTGTTGTATTATTTCAACCAGTGAACCCAGACGAAGGTTAAAACTTAAATTCGATTTTATACCGTGTGTCGACTGATTCACTAAGTACTGACACCTACGTTATTTTAAAGTTTAATCTGAAAAGAGAGGGACGTAAGTGGGTAGATTTTGTCCTTAACCTTAACTTTCAACATCAGAAAACATCAAAGAACACCTTCGACAAATACTATATAACTCATAAGACATTATGTTTCGGTGGTTTTGTTTATTCGTAGCCTACATGGAAATATCGACGGCAGTTTTTCCGTGCTTCCCCTCCCTCCATATTATAATATTGACTTCAAACCGTTCAAACCTTGATATTTTGGAATCTATTTAGAACTAAACCTAAACAAATCAAACTTATATCATCTACATTTTTACATTTTTTTTAAAAATTTTATGTATATTATCTGCTTTTGGTAAACAAGTAGTTTTATTTTTTTTTGTTCCTACAATATAACATTTTGTTTGAAAATATTTTTAACATTATGTTATGAATTATGTGGCATTGTGTTTAGTGGGCGATTATTTTTAATATTTGATAATGTTTTTCGGCGGCAAAAAGTCGAATCTCAATGATTTAATTTCCGGAAAATATATATACAAATAAATTTTAAAAGAGTTATATATATATTTTTTTTTAAAAGGAGACCAATTTACATGTTTTCAAATAACACAGTTTTATAATAGTAAATTATTAATGATCTTTTTACGGTAAACACGTATCGTTACATTTTTAAAAAGGCAAAGACATCATTTTCGTTCTTAATAACACGTTTTTGAAATATTTATAAACTACCAAGTGTGTAAGAGCAAAAGAGTTTTTTTTTTTTGTTTCTTTTGATAAGTTATTAAAAAGAAATAATAATTAAAAATAGACGTAGGTCCTTGCATGTTCATATATTTTTTTATTTCATAGTTTGAAAAAAATGTACGGTTCGCGTGTGCCTCCAAAGTTAAAACACATTTATATAGAGTTCGAAAATCGTTCACTTTACTACTTTACTACTATAAATGTTCTTCATTTTCTTATCATCGTTGAAAAATTAGTCAAGTGTGAAGTGATTATAGTAAGTAGGGGATTTTTAATATTGTACTATTTAATTTCGAGATGTATATCAATCATTATAATTATTATAGTAATTCTCCGGCTGAGTTTACTATTATATATTTTGTTTGATGTTTTTTTTTTTTTTTTACAAGCACGTATACAAATAATACGAGTATTTTATTTGTTTGGTTTACGAGCGAATGTCGAGCGTTCGTGTTCCGACGACCTTCCTTTTATGTTTTTATTAAAACAAAAACTTTGTTCGTTTAATAATAGGTGTCTATACGACTGTACTGTCTGGTGTGTATAATATATTTTGGAAAATAAAACGTCGGAAACACTGCAACAGTACATTATAGTGTTGGGTAAGTATACTGCAAACACGTTTTTATTTTACACCACTGTATTGTTATTATTGATGACAAAAAGAAATTACACGTATACAGGGTGTCTCACGAAGATGCGACAAATGGAACAATTTTTGTTCAGTATACAATATTTACACTTTTTACATTTTTTTTTTTTTAAATAATTAAAAAACCTTGCGTTACGATTTTTAAAATTAAAAAATCCGAAATGTTATAAATATTTACTAATGATGACTAGTGAAGTTTATACAATTTATTGACGTTTACAAAAAATCATTAACAAACATTTTTTTTTCAAAGAAAAATCAATGAATCGATTGATATTATTTACTAGTGGCAATGAAAACAATTTAAATTATCTAAAACTTCAAAAAATAACAGTTTATATTTTGTAAAAACAATTTTAAATTTGTATTTAAAAAAAAAAATATATAGAGGAATTATAGCGCAAGGCTTAGTAGTTCTTAAAAAAAAAAAAAAAATAATACAAATATTTGAAATATTGAACGGAACAGAAGTTATTGTCGAATTTTTGTCGGACACCTGTATAATGAATATTATTATAAATTATATTTCAACGCTAAAAACATTGTGCCACGAAAAAAAATCACAAATTATATTATTACGTAAATACGTATTGTGGCCCCGTGCTGTAGGCATATTTTGAACTTTTGTTTTTATTTTTTTACAAAGGCTATTTTATTCATATATTTTCGACAAATCTGTTACGATCGAGTAGATTCGTTTGTCGTGAGTAACTAAATTAAGTTAAGTAAACGTAATGTTATATTATTTTGAGATGTAAAAATAAATCTTGTTTATTATAAGTTTTTTATGGGTACCTATGTTAAATTTTTGTTCACCATAGAATTATATTTTTAGAGATAATACATATTCATGGTCGTATTACGATTATAGTCTGAAGGGGGGCTATACAGAGTGTGACGCGAAGATCAGACACCTGAAATAACTTTTGTTTTAATTGAGGAACTTAAATACAAACTTTGAAATTTGAATTTACTTAAAAAAAAAAAAATCAAAATAGTTAGTTATTTTGTAAAGTAGATTTCTAGACAATTTTTAGTGGTAAATATATTTTTTTAGGTATAGTAATCTATTTTCTACAATTTGTTGAAGTTCCTGAAAATGTGAATATTAATTTTTCCTGCAATTATATATTATTACAATATATTTTAATCATTAGTCAGAGCATATCAAACTACGATAATTTTTTTTTATGAGTTAATGAGTCATTTGTTATGCTCTGCCTATATATATACTAATTACATTTTGTAATAGATTATAAACAAAAATAATATTCAAACTTTCAATCAATTTTATAAATTTTTTTTCACCATTTTCTTTTGTATTTCTCTTCCCAAAATGTTCAATAATTTTTCGAGTTTTTAATACCATAATTTCCACCAGATTTTCTTATGTGTTTTTATAATTTTTAAATTCGTATTTACAAAATTGACTCAATCCTTTCTTTAATGGGACCAAAAATCAAAAATATCTAGATTTACCAAATGTATATCGGTAAGGTCATGACGCATAGTTCAAAAAAACAAAAAAAAAAACCTAGGAGGTTAATTCTGAAATATTTGTGAAAATGTCGAAAAATATTTAAAAAAAAAATATCAGCAGACGAAAAATCTGTATTTTGAAGATATGACATGAACGAATCTGAACATTTTTACTATACACACATTATGTTTTTATAAAACTAATAGCTATATTTAGAATCTAAAAAAATTTGGAATAGTAAAAAAAAGATGAAATATTGCGGCCCTCTTTGTTTTTTGGTTCGGTCTATACAGCCCCTAGCACCCGTTAATGTATCCCTAATAATATTATACGCTTAGAGACATATTTGTTTTTCTAGTTTTTATTTTTAGTGGCTACCTACCAACTATCATATAAGAAAAAAATTGAATACAAATACTTACGCTATAAATATTTTTTTTTAATTTGAATTTCAGTTAGTGTACATATAGTAAGTTATGATGACGATAATAAATAGTAAAATATATTGAAAAACAACATAAAAAAAAAATAATAATAATAGCTGATAGTAAAATAATATGATAGCCTTAAAAATTGTAACGAAAATAATATTAAACTAATTATAAGCTGATTACTGTTTAAAAATTTATATATATATATATATATACATATTTTTTTTTTAATCATTGCTTGAATGTAAAATATGTGTTTTTAGGTTATTTTTGATCGATAAAAGTCTTATTATATTTTTTATTTGATACGAAACACGCAACCAACTACTGTAATATAGTATTTCGATACCTACCCATTAATACCTTGCGAATTTATTTTTCATATACTAGGGGTTTGAGGAATACATTTGTTTCACACAATTCGACAACATTAATATAGGTGGATGTATCAATATTTTATACATTATAACAAGGTATCGTAAACTTTTTTTGATAAAATGTATTAGGTTTGTAAAATATATAGTTTACCCGCATATCTACAAACTTTATTACTATTTTTTTTTTTTTTTTAAAATAACATAATAACGTTGTTAAAAATTAAAAACCAAAAATATCAAATATTTATTTTTACGGTCAGTTTTTTTTTTTTTATAAATTATATATAACGAAGAGTATCACAAAAAAAAAAAAACTTATTAATATTTGTTTTGGTTTTTTAGTTTTTTCGCGAATCCCAGCGGAGTTTTGAGGTTGCAGTAAGTAGAAGTTAATTTGTGCAGGATATTTATTTTTGGGTACAGGAAATGAAGTAAAAATGGTAATTTTTATTGTACAATAGTTTCTTTTTAATTTCCTTATATACATCAATACCCAGGAAATTGCGAAAACTGTATAGAAACACGAGAAGAATTTATATACGCAAACGTTATTTGAATTTGATTTCTGTACACTTTTATTATATAAGTATTTTTAATTAGATAATTTTATATTGTCACGTTTGAATTTAAAATACCTACGTACACTGTCCCTGATTCAGAGTAAGTGAAGCGATTATTATAGATGACAAGATAAGTATGTAAAATAAGTATTTATTTTTCAGTTTTATTAAATATCTCCAGCGAATAAACTATTTTTTAAATCCTATTTTTGAAAAATGACTTGTGTTTAAATTTTCGGTACACTGAAATCTAAAATTAAAAAATAAATTTACTTTCGTATTTTCCAAACATCTATGTAAATATATAGTTCCGAATACTATGAAAAATGTAAATTAAAATAATATACTGTATAATATTAAGCGGTTTTTAAATTGTTATTAATTGTTAAATTTTATTTTTTTTTCGATTTTCAAATTACTTTTAAAATATCAAAACAAACCAAGACAATTTAAACTGCCGTTCTGATTGAATTTTTTTTTTCATTTCGAGTCCATGGTGTACCAACCGTTTTTGGCTATTTATGTGTACTAACAAGGACTAAAAATAGGTACTTAATTCCCAAAAATCAGACGTCAAAAATATTATGGATATCCCCCACTTATACAAATAAATAACACGAATTTATCACAATTATTAGTATTAATGTACATACATAATCTATACATAATTATTATGTAAATTCCGTTAAGCGATTTGAAAAAAAATTTAAACACTTATGGATAAAAATGTTTCATAATATATAAGTAAATTATGTAGCTGACGAACGGCGTTTAGTTGGCACTGGACAATTATCAAGCAGATATTATAGAACATTAAATAATATAGAGAAACGACAGCCTTACAAAATGTACAATAGTGAACAATATAAGAACAACTTATTATTGTTTTTATAGGTATTGTATATTCAAGATTATTATGGGCAATGGTATTATAAAAATATTTTATTTTCAAAAACGATAATACGGAATATTATATAATTTGTATCATAATAATATATACACAATAGATATAAATACATTATATTATTTTACGTTTTAATTCGAAATAATAATTTATCGCCAAACTCATCGTGTGACGCAGTTTTTTTTAGATTCGAAGCGGTTTTTTTTCTTATAAATTATCAAATAGAGGTCTAATATAAAATATATTCGTATAATAATATTAAAGCGGATATAATGGACGTCAAAGCAGTAAACTATTATTATAATAGGTCACGGCATAAATGTATAATAATTTTACGATTGTTGTGTTGTTATGCAGAAAAAAAGAAAAAGAGAAAGTGATAATGGAAGTAGGTACTAAACTGATATGAAATTTGTTAAAAAAAAAATTTGATACCTTATAATTATATTATTAATATTGATTGTTTGTTACCTCGATTCTCCAGATTTTAATTCCGGCTGTTTTGCCGGCGGATTCGAATGCGGGATGCATAACTGACGAGCGGAGTATCGCTGGGCTTTTTGAAGTTGGAGAACCCGTCGACGCGGCTTCAGACGACGGAAAAGTAATAACAACGCACAGTATCAACTGTAGGAGCGCTAGTAGCGAAGTCATGGTATAGTAATTTGCGGTCGACGACGTCATCGTGACGTTTCACTCGCCTGCAATATACAGAGAGAGGACAAAATATAAATTAACGGGAAGAAAAAACAATATAATATTATGATTTTTTATAGTGAGGCATATTATGTCTAATATACTGCAAAAGAATCGATATTTTTATTAAGTCAACCGAATTATTTTATGTAGCGGTGACGGGAAAAAGTACACGAAACTATTGTATACAATAGGTAGTTAAAAATGTGTATTAAGAAAATACCAAATCGTGTAAACACTATGGTGTTTTTATTTGTTTTAACTGTATAAGCATGCCGACCAGAAAAAAAAATCGTGATCCAACAATTATTGGATAACGTTTTTATTTTTTGCTGATTTTGGGCTATGTACGTATACCTATGGTTTTATCATATCATCATAATATATAAATTATAGGTTAGTTCTTTACACCTTGTTAATTAAACTAAATGTTGCAGAATATGTACGAATGTTATGGATTTCTTAAGGCTACGAATTCAAGGACATTTTAAGTGGATATTACAAACAGGTATAATACGGTAGTAAAATGTAAATTATAAGGTATGTAGGTATCTCACTACGTACAAATACGTAGGAATGAGAATTATAATTTATAAAAATAGATCGTTATCGTAACGAGTTGGAAAAAAATAATATCCAGAAGGTAGCCAATATTATGTAAAACAATTTAATTTTTATCTGTCCGCAATGATAAATCATTGCTAACGAAAGTTGATGATAGGAGGAAGATTTCTGGCAGAAAAGTTGTCAACATAACATAGTAAGACCAATACATTAGTCGCATTAGGTACTCCTCTCAATGATAAAAAAAATATTCAAGGCATTCGAGGGGCATTTTGTATTAGATTCTGAGCGGAGCGAGAAAAAATATTAATTTTACAATCATGTTCATTTTTTTTCTGTGAACAATTTTTCTATCAGAAATTTTATTCTGATTTTCAGGTGTATCACTTTTTCTGAAAGAAAATCTAATTGAAATGGTACGTTAAAGAGGTCATTTTTTGATTTTTCCAGGGTTTTATAATAAATATGAAAAAACGGGAAAATTAACGAAATGTATTATTTTCAAGTCCATATTAAGGTCTTTTAAAACATGCATAACCGAACTCCGCTCAGAATCGTTTTTCGTTAGCAATGGTTAATCGTTGCGTACAGATATACATTCAATTTTTCCTCTACCTTCCCAACTTCTCAGCTACAACAGTGGTCCACCCATCGTACGAAGTGGGTCCGTTTGTTTTAATATTATGTTAATTGGAGTTGTTTTTTTCCAATTGTTAAGAAAACTATCAACGAAACTCCTTGCTAAATTTTTTTTATAATTTATCTAATTATGTACCTAAGTTCCTATAGTTAATTAAAAATAAATAATAAACAATTCTGCAATCATCGATAATCGAGTGATAATAATATTTTATTCGTCCACTGATAATGTTATTAGCTATAATAATCTACGTATACAATTTAATATAATGTAATAATATATTATATTATGATATTTGAAATCAATAATAATATATCAACATCAGAGCCGGCTTGGAAAACATCGAGGCCATTGTGCAGCCGTTTTTGCTGGGTCTCAGAAAGCTTTTTTTTTTTTGCTTCATCATCTTCTAATACCATACGTAGTTAAATCTTAATAATAAAATTATACATAAATCATTTCTTTCAATTTGTATTTTCCTAAATAATCATGTGAAACTACTATCTAGCTACCATAATGACTAGACGCGGGGCTTCTAAAGTGCGGGACTCTGTACGCGTATATAGTTTGCACTGCCTTCATCCGGCCCTGATTAACGTCTATTACGCATTGCATTTTACCGGAAGAGACCTTGAATGTTTGTGTTTTCAGAATATTTCCAAAAAATACAAATTATGCACGGAACTTCGGATTTCGATATATTAAAATATGTACACGTTGAACACAAAAGATTAACGATATTATAAATAATAAAATATTTGTAGTTTATGTCGTACGGCCGCTGAGTTATTTATACGTTTTGTATTACCGAAAATATAAACAAATTGCAACGATATAATATTGTGGAAGTCAAGTTTGAGCAAGTTAGTAAAATATTTTAACTTGTTAACGTTAAAATACTAACAAAAATAAACTAGTAATTAATTTACGTTAATTAAAATTTTAGTGAAAAATAGTAACTTAGATTAAAATTAAGTTAATGAAAACACTAAGTTAGAAAAACTTTACTTGGTTATCGAGAAAAAAGGCAAAATAATATTTCTTTATAATTACCTACTACCTAATTTAATTGTATGGTTCATTGTTCAATTAATAGCAACGTCGAAATTATTATTTGGTGTGGAAACTCATGTGTTACCCAAATAATCGGCCCCTAACACTAATGGGCATTCAACATGAACACTGCAGGATGGTATCGCGGTTTACATTTTACAATCGCTTATTTAAAAGCAGCATACGGTAACTCATTGACATACATTGTTTTCGTGCATGAAGGAAATTAGTGTTATTAAAACTAAGTGCAGCAATTCGAAGGCTGTTCAACCATTCGATTTAGGTAAAAATACAATTTGACCATCCCGATAGTATATGAAACTGTCGCATACACAAAAAAATGAAATGCAATATGATACGGGTACATTGTGACTTAATTTAGATTCTAAGTGGAACGAACTAGCGAAAAAGCTTATGGTTTTATAAAGATGTTAATTTATTTTTTTTTTTCTATCTGTGTGCAACTTTTCTACCAGAAACTTTCCTCCAATGTATACGATGTAGCATCTTTTCTAAAAGGAACTCTGACCGGGAAGGTAGTTTTGGTAATTTTTCGATTTTCCCAAGAGTTTTCCCATCAAGAATGAAAAACGGGAAAATCGGTATAGTATTAAATAATTATTATTAAAGAAAATATATAATGCATATTTAATTATTTTACCATAATAAGAAATACATATTGTTGACAAAGCATCACTATCAACTGAACTCCACTCAGAATCGTTTTTTTGTTAGCAATGGTTTAACATTGCTTACAGATATATATTAAATTCCCTTCTGTATTCAACTTTCCCAACTTCACATTTATAACAGTGGCTGCACAGTATGTCAGTCCTTTTTAAACTTAACGTCATTATTGACGATATTGTCATTTAATAAAAAAATAATGTAACTAGCCAAGTTACCTAGTTGATATAGTAATTATATAACTAGTTAAGTTTTAAGTTTCTGATAAAAATAACTTATACTGTCTACCCTTGCAGTAACTAGCCTTGGTAGAAGCTATTAGAAAAGTAAGGAGATTAAAATAATGAACTACGGGGATATAAAACATCAAATCGGAGTTTGAAACGAAATATGACAAGAATAGAACTCACTACAATATTTAGTACGAGGTGGAAAGGTGTAGTAGTCATAAGAGATGTGGAAGAACTAAGAAATTGCAGGAAAGTACGAGCATAAAATATAAATAGATAGATAGATGTCTGGATGGTCCTTTAAGACCACTTTTATATCCCGAAGAAAAACAAAAAGAAAAGGGTGTTACACGAATTAATTTTTTTAAATCGAAAATAAAATAAAAATTATATACAAAACTCAAATCGTAGTTTTTGTTCAAAATCGCTAAAAATGACGTATACATTTCATAGATTCCCTTTATTCTCTATGATTTCATGAGTATGGTTTTTCTGTCATGTTTTACTCAAATCAGGGGCAGCTTCAGAAAATTGGTTGGGGCAAGTCATATTTTTCAGAAAAGTGTATTAAAAACATATTTTATAAGTTTATTTTTTTTTTTGTGCAGTTGTTTTTAACAAAATATCGTGTTTAGTGGGCCGCTGTGTCTAGCCCTCACCCTCCTGAAGACACCCCAGCGAAAATCCGTATCCGAGTCGCACCTAACCTATAGTAAGTGGTCACCGATTGGGTCTGGTAACAATAGTCAAATCAAAAATGACCGCGGAAAAAACGATTCCCGATAAAAATGTTTATACGCCGAAATTGCTACAGAAAAAGAAAAATAATAATAATTATTATACGTCTATAATCGATATGTGTGTAGTATATACATTTATAATATTATATTTATCTGATAATTAAATATTTAATATAGGTTCATAAACCATCAGTCTACCAATAATGGTAATTTCCTAAATTAGTACACGTTCCCATATGATACACACTGTATATTAATATCATAATAATATGAGTTTTTCAGGCAAAATAAAATTGTTAAATATCTAATAAAGTAATTTTACTGTTCACAAGGAGAATAATATGCATTAAAAAAATTTAAATTTTTGGAAAGCTTTGGAGAGGTCATGGCTCCAGTGCCCCCCGCCCCCTGGAGCCTCGCCTGACTCAAATGCAAGTACCCATACAAATAGTTCGCAAAATGTTTTCCTCATCAAACATATAAATATGTTTATTATTAATATTATTTTAACCCAACGAGATAATCATTTTAATTTTTACAGGATATTCAAATAAACAGTGAGCACTAACTGCACAGTTTTATATACGTATTTCGTAGACCGTACGTAGCTATAGTGCGAGCTATAGAAGATACGCCGCTTCAGAACATAATCGTATTACAATTTATAAATTTGTCTGCGGAATATAAAAGCTTCATATACATCTCAATAATTAGTTTAAAATTGTATTGTACGAAAAAAAAAAAATGTTATTTATCACACTGTCGGACGTCCAGTGCCATAATTAGAGGAGCCGAACCACACGGACTATAAAAGGCAGCGCGACAAAGGAAACGAGCAAATGTAACGCAGCTGGAATTAGAGTCGAAGCAGACGAGTCCGTTACGATCTAATGCGAGTACTTTCGCATCATTCTACATAACGAGTTATTTATTTGGACTAGTATTATTTTATAGTTTTTTATTATTTATTGAAGTAAGAATATTTTCGAACATTTTATTATTTGGACTTGTATTAATTTATAAAAATATTAATATTATCTGAATGGTAATTCAGCATTAGGAGTTAACTTATTTTATGTACCTGGTCCGATGAATCATAATTGTATAATCGTGTAAACGTGCACGTTTTTGTTTTTATTTTTATAAAGAATTAACTATACAATTTGTTTAAAATACCTAAATAATTGATTCCATTATAATAATGTTGTTTTTTTCCGTCGATATTTAACATTTTGGATATAATTTTCTGTCGTTTTTATTCCCAGTTCGCTCCTATATAACAATAATAATATTACGTTTTTTTTCGAACGTTCAAAATATTTTGCTTTCAATCATTTTTAATGGTTGGTGTATGTGCAGACCCGGAAATATTGCCATTTGTATATTCTATTGTCGCAGACACGGTTAAGTTTCAAGGCAGTTTCGTCATTTCTTTTCACGCTTATATTATTCTCTAGACATCCACTTATGTATGGTCCCCCTCTAGCTTATGTGTAATAATATTGTTATTATCATAACGATTAATCGGCAGCGGTTTTGTAACAGTTTTTCCTGAGTTTTTCCACAACAGTTTTCATCACACAGTGATAATATTAGTCGCTTATCGTATAGTTCGTTACCTAATTCTTACGTGTATACTTGCCGGGTACTGGGGTCATAAAAATACACAAGTTTTAATTAAGTATTAAATATTTTAAAACAATTTCTCACTGTCGGGTAATACAATGTAATAACCCATTCGATCTCAGTTTGTGAAACAAATGGTTGTTTGAAGGAAATACAACTTCAAATGAAGTTAGCCCCACTGTGTAGCTGGGGATTGACTTTAAATAAACACCAATATTTTCCAAGTCATTTGTAAATTGGTTTTCATAAACGAAAAGCCATATCAATTATAATTTGTAAAATATTATTGTCGTTGGTTTGATGTGGATCATACAACTGGCTTTAGTCACCATTATTCTGAATGTTGAATATAATTGTAATATTATATTAGACAGGTACCTAAACCGAATTTGTTATGCATAGAATAAACAAGTAATTATATATTATTATGTTAACTCTAGAGTGATCATTTTTCGTTTTTTTTTTTCAATTTAAGACTTAGGATAAACCGAAAAACAGAATGTAAAATTAATTTACAATCCCAAGCGAAAGATTTTTATAATGTCTGTTGAAATTCTGAGCTTTCGATTTTCGTAAGAGGCGATTCAATATTGCGTATTAAATTATAGTTGTAGTCGTGTATTGTGTATTAATTTATTTATTACTTGATTATATCCCCAAATAGGACTCTATAATGAAAACAAAACGCGTCTTCATCCGTTCATCGTCCACTTTATAAAATAAATTTCCGTAGATATTACGGAATCATAACCATAGATGGTATCATGTTGTATTGGTAACGTTCGATGTTCTCAAACGATAATTTTTACACATAATTTACTTCGTATATTTTATAAGGCGTATGCATATTATAATCTAATGCAAAATGTTATTCAGGATGCTGTAATTATAAGTACTAAACCCACGCGTGCGTCATATGCATTGTTACCGATAATGATATCATCAAATCGTTTAAAATATACAATGTGTATTAAACATACAAATATACAGTATGTCATACCTACAATTATTATACTGGATCTTATAAATTATTATAATTTAGGTATATATTTAATACATAGACATGATTTTCGCTTATTTATATAATATGTATATTATTATGTTATGAATGATTGAACGCCGAAATTAGGTAGTTCATCGAGCAAAATATAATTTTGAAATTTCGTTAATTTTATTTCTAGTCGAAAAGATATGACAATAATAATAATAATAGGTACTGCAATGTAAGACATTAATGTATCGGTACAAAAAGAAGACAAATAGGGGTTAGTAATATTCTGTGATAGTTTTAATAGTTTTTATATGCAGGCTGATGAGTGTTGTTAAATATTTAACGAACCGCAACAGCATTAATGTATACTGATTTTAAGAATTTTACGACATTTGAATAATTTTAAAAATTTAGTTAAATTCAAAGTAGTGATTTGGTAACATTCAACATCAATGAAGGTTAAGAAGACGTGGTACCCGCCTGCGCTGTCTCCGTATTACAAACGTACGGCATAGCAAATTTGAGCAGGGACAGCTTTGTGCTCTTGTAAAATTCAACGATAAAAAACATTATTTGTAGACCGAATAGATAAGAACGTAAGAGACAGACTGAGATGGGCATGCCATGAGTCGAAAGAAAGTAGAAACAATATGAATTGCAATAAAAATAGACGTAGGGAGAAAGAGACGGAGAGGAAGATCCAAAAATTGGATTTGATTAGTAATGGTATTAGACTGGCGGATGTATGCGAGGACGATATGAGGAATCGGATCAAGTGGAAATTTTAGGACGAGGGAGGCTGGTCCCAAATAGTTTGAATGAAGGTAAAGGAGAAGGAGAAAACAATATTCAAATTTCTTCATTTTCAAAGCCCCCTTTTTCAACTGGTGTTTATTATATAGTGGTAAATTTAAATTTAAATAAAGGTAAATAAACAATTTTTTATACTAATTTTCAAAAATGTTGTTTAAAATTGGATTATTGTAACGTTTTTAAACTACGATTTAAAAATTTGGAACTAACGTGACCAATAAGTAATTTGATTTTTATTTGTATGTAGCATGGTTATAATATTTTTCTTGACATTTTAATATTCAACAGTAATTATTATAAAAAAATGTGTTAAAAACTCATAAACCGTGTTATTACGGGGGAGGAGGGGAAATCCTATATAAGTTAATAACTATAAATTTCGATAAATGACATCTATTATAACCGGCCTAACCGATACGAATCATGTGGACTCATACAAATAATTAAATATGTTATTATTTTTTTTTTTATAATGAAAATAATGCTGCTATTATCACATAATAACTTATCGAATTGATGGAGTTTTGTGTAACAATACAATTCTCAATAAGTATATAGATTATTATTAAAAATGCAGAATTCTTTAATATTTTCATAATTTAAAATAGACGTACCTTATATATAATAATATTTATTTTAGCAATTTTTTTCACACAAGCTCATGCGATTACAAAAAGGTTTTGAAACACAGTAACATAATAGGTGATAAATTCAGCAGTGATGCGAAATTATATATTTCTTACGAAAAACGTCGGTTGTGGAAAAAATCTTTTTACGTACCTATATAGTGAACATTGAACTATATAATGAATTCATAAGTAGTATGGATAAGTTTTAAATTGCCAATATTCTATTAATCGTAACAGAAAGAATAAACAAACAAATTTAATTGAACCGCTCTTTACTGATTGTTGTAAAAATATGCAACGCATTAGATAACTCAGTATTATTATTAATATTATGTTGTACCTACGTCAAAATATTTTGTTTTTGACAGTTTTAATTTATATTATGACATTATGTTTCAGATGATCGGAAAAGCTAAAGATGATTCAACCTCCCCCCGCATCCCAATTGGCTGCGTTAAAATACAAACAAATTATACAATAAACTATTATCGACAGTGAAAACTTATTTACTATTAATATCATATCCATTTTAGATTTGTATAGTTTACTTGTACAATTTTCATGTTAAAATGTAGGAAAAAAAAAAGACCGAAATAATTTTCAACTAATACCTATATTTCATGCATTTTCACGTTTTTCCTACATTTTATCACGATTTTTCCTATTTAATGAAAAAACTGCCAAGAAAATCATAAAATGATTTCCCTTAAGTACCAACCCAAGAAAATTTCCTTTCAGAAAAGAGTCTACATCGTATACATTGAAATAAGTTTTCTGATGGAAAAAAGTGTTTACATAATAAAAAAAAAATAATAATAAATATCTTCGTAAAATCAATACATTCTTCGTTACACTAAGAATCTAAAAGACACAATAATATTGTTAAAATACAAAAATGTAAAATTGTTAGCGAATAAAAAATAATTTTTTAGCTTAAAAATTATCATGTAAGTACTTTACTGTACTATTATTATTGTTAGGACAGAGTAGTAGGGCGTGGCACGCTGGTGATATTTTGCATGTTAAAATCCATTATATTGTTCACCATACCCCACTCTAAAACGTAAGCAGTTTAATAACCTTTGTCTTGCATTGTAAAATGTGTACGAAACTAAAAAAAACTAAAATAAGATCTCAATAATGCTCAGGATATAATTTATATGTTTGTATTTATTCCAACTAAATCGTATAGGTAATACGTTCGTGAATTAAATTCAATATCGTAATGCACTGTATTATTATAGATATTTAGCTGAGACCGGCCTTCCAAATGAATTTCGTAAGGGACAAGAGGGACCGACGATGGTGGAGAAAACTCGATCGAATTGCTGGAAAATTTGGACGTCCATTAATATAAAAAAATTATTTATACTGTTATTTAATTATTTATCGTTAATTTTGCTCATCTAGTTATTAACTATCTAGTTACTTATATTATGTTTAATTATTCTCATTAATTTATTGTATTCCATACTCAATTAAATATTATACCGGTGCTATAATATATGCTAATAATAACAATAGATATTTAGCGAATTACAACGATTTATTATATCTTACCTGGAATACACGGAAAATCCGCTTCTTGTTGTGGTGTTTTTTTTTTTTTTTTGACGTTTTTTGCACGGATTCTCGAGTGTCTACAGACTGCTTTGATCGAAACGAAAACAAATAATGACCAAAACTGACTGATGGACTCTCGGCGGCTACCTGTGCCGCAACGTGCATACAACTTGATCTACACGCCACCGTGTATATAATATATTTGACCTTTCGTATACGGTGTAAACACATAATAGACGATATAGAGGGAAAGGCGTACTGTGATTGTATTATTATTACTAATAACTGTTTATCGAACGACGCTTCATTAATGGACCTGTTAGCGAATATGATGACCTCAGTGTAGCTTTATTAAAATGAAAATACAAAATTAATTACGTTCTTCATAATAAACATCAATGTGCTATATATATATATATATTACCGATTCATCGCGTGTTTTGAATAAAAACGAATTTAGTATAACACATATTGTGTGTATTTTAAATAGAGAAGAATTTTCGAATACGAAAACGGTCTGGAACGGCCCTGAACGGTCTGGACTGCAGGATTTATAGAAATAATTTTCTCGGAAATAGCCCTTTTGGAATGAGAATGTTAAAACAAATCCACGTATACATAATTAAAACGGCGGAATTATTCGGAATTGTATTATGTAATTTATTCGGTACTACCCACAAAAATAGGGCCCAGATTTCAATGCAGAATGCATATTTTTTTGATTATATTAGACAATATTAACCGGTACCTTTTTTTTGGTGCTGAAACCGGAGAAACTATAAAGGGAAAAGATTTTTAATAGTTGAATTTGAATGTGTTTTCAGCTTATATAGGGTACGCAGCGCTCCCAGTGGCGATAACTATTTGCGATACAATTTTCAAGCAAGTGACGACACTTGAATATAAGTGTAAATAATAATAAGAATAATATAAGAAGATTCTGTCTATTTTGTTTTCAAGCACCTTCCAAGCGTTAAATTGTAATATTGTCAATTATATTGATGAATATTGGCGGTTATCTTATGCCATGTCTGTAACATATCGGTTATTACATTATTTTTTGTTCGAGGAAGGAAAGCATTTCATTCATACCTATTTTACCTCCCGTGTTTCTGGAGTTATAGACTTTCCGATCAGAGCATAACAACTAAAAGGCATTACATAAAGCGATTGGAAATATAGGGTGTAACTAAAATCAATAGGCGTTAGGTTAGTTATATTACTATAATAGTATGATTATTATTAGAGTTCCGGATTAAAATATACCACACCTATTGTGTAAATATACAAACAATATATTTTATACTTCTACATCCGACATTTCGTCAATTTAAAACTCATTTATCATAGTATTTCGTTGTCTCGGTGTATCTATATATATTATATATATATTATTTATTAACTTTTAATTTGTCAGATTTGTCAGGTTATGAAAAACTAATGGCAGAACATATGTTCTTGAAACGCGAATCGCAATGTAGGCAAGAGAAGAACAGGCTACTAATAGTAATCAACTGAGTTGGCGAAACTCGAGTCAGTCTTAGGAAGGCGAGTAAGTCATCTAAGTAAAGTTAGCCGCTCTTTAAAGTTTATTGACACAATACAACAGCAAGTAATAAATAAATTACCTGAAAAAAAAAAATTGCAATAATAACTTAATACGTATTCACTATAGTCTTTAACGCCCTCCACCAAAATGGGATCAAAATCAGTGGCGTAGCCAGGAATTATTCAGGGGGAGGGGTAAATGGCGCTTTTTTTTTCACCTATAAAATATATTTTCCCGGAATGGTAAAACTGTAAATATGCCACTGCAATACACACTTAATAATTTCTTATAGACAGGTAAAAATATAAAATAATAAACTTTTTATGAAATTGTTGTATTAATTTTATTTAATAATATTAATATATTTGCATTTTCATTATAAATTACAAGCTATAGAAATCTTATTTTTCTAGAGTCATTAGCAAAGTCATTAAGAACATCTAATGATTCAGAAACTTTTTTTGATAAAAACTGTAAAATAGTTTTTGATTGTCCTTGCTTGAGTTGTTAAATAGGAAATATTTTATATAAGATGATCCATTTATCATTAGCTAATGATTTTCTCGGAAGTTATGAAATTAATTGTTTTGTAATAAATTTCATGTATGTACATTTTTATTCTTGATTAATTGATAACCCTGTTCTACTCCTTCGGTCTTAACATTTAGCCGTTATGACTAATAAACAATAAAACAATAAACAATAAAACTCATAGTGATGTTACGCATATCATAATGTTTAGAAAAATGATCTCAATTCAAATTAAAAAAGGTAGTTACTTTTTAGATAACAAGCATATACACAGATGAGTTATGGGAATTATCGCTAAACAATTTAAAATAGTATTAGAATACAACTTAAACGATTCTATAGCGATTGATAAAAAAAAACTTCACAAATTAAGTTCACTTAAAATCCTTCGAAAACATCGCTTGTTCGTGATAAACGATGATAGGCCGCCTTTTATTGTAAAATCGTTGCTGTAATTAATATTTTCATCGTTATTAATGCAAAACACGACCTAAATATTTCAGAATAGCGTACACCGTGTTGCACAACGTAGGAATACATGAATCTTCGATGATTATAGTTCCCGAATTGATCGTTTATATTACGGCCATCATTTTTTCTGTGCACAACTTTTCAACTAGCAATTTTGCTCCAACTTTTTATGATATCAATGTTTCTAAAATTAAATTTTATTAGGGAGGTACTTTAAAGAGGTCATTTTTTGATTTTCCCAATAGTTTTCCCAGTAAATGTGAAAAACCGAGATAAAACATGGGAACACCGGGAAAAACGTAGGAAAACTGGGAAAATTGGTACAACATTAAACAAACATTATTAAAGAAAATAAATAAAGCCTATTTAATTATTTGACTATAATATAACATATATATTGTTGACAAAGCATCATTTTCAACTGAATTCCGGGGGGACAAAAAAATCCTATATAATTTCATAACTATAAATTTCGATAGATGACAAACCTATCTATTATAACCGACTTAACCGATACTAATCATTTGGACTCATAAAAATAATTAAATATATTGTTATTATTTTTTTTTTAATGAAAATAATGCTGCTATTATCACATAATAACTTATCGAAATGATGGAGTTTTGTGCAACAATACAGTTCTCAATAAGTACACAAATTATTATAAAAAAAGCAAAAGTTCTTCACTATTTTCAGAATTTAAAATAGACGTACCTCTTATATAATAATTTATATGTGGGCAGTTTCTTTCATATAAACTTATTCGATTAAAAAGAGGTTTTGAAACGCAGTAGCATAAATAGGTGGCGAATTTAGTAGTGATGCGAAATTATATATTTCTTTCGGGAAACGTCAGCTGTGGAAAGAATTTTTAGGTTTAGTGAATATTGACCTATGTGTAATGAACTCATTAGTAGTACAGATACGTTTTAAATTACCAATATTCTATTAATCGTAACAGAAAGAAAAAATAAACAAATTTATTTGTAATGATTGTAACAAAAATATGCAACCTTAGATAACTCAGTATTATAATTAATATTATGTTGTATGTTAATATATTTTGTTTTTTACCGTTTTAATTGATATTATGATATGTTACAGATAACAGAAAAAGCTAGAGATGATTCAATCTCCCCCGCATCCCAATTGCCTGCGTTAAAATGCAAACAAATTATACAATAGACCTAAACAACGATTTTTGTTCAAATGATTTATCAAAGTAAGTAACTTTTGCATCATATGCTCTATTTTTCCTTTTATCGAATATGCTTTCTGCATCAAACCATAAGTTATAATGCTTTATTATAAATAAAATACCGATTTCTGTATATAATTTCTCTATCGGTAAAACTTATAATAATTTATAATTATCGATAGTTGATCCTTTTAAGTTTTTAAGACAGATCTTAATAATTTCCCTTGGCTATATTGCTCTTTTGAACTTGAACACAATTTAATTCTTTGCAAAAACCCGAGATTTTAATGATGTTCGGTTTGTTTCTATTGAAAAGTAAAGATACACATTAAATATACACGTTAAAATATATATAATTAAAACAGCGGAACTATTCGGAATTGTAATATGTAATTTATTCGGCTGTACTAATAACAAAAGTTATTATATCGAGACTTGTATAGTCGTGTTTGCACATATTAAATAATATTTCATAATTCCTAAGTACTATACAAGTGAATGTACTGATAGCACGTACTCAATGACGCAGGTACGTTATTTTGGGGAGTTTAGCACTCTAAATGAAATTCTCATCAAGTAAATACCAAGTAACTATACACATAATCAATATTATCTTATTCGTATAGTCGTATGTTTATTATTTTATTATTTATTTATTATTTATAACGGGATAGACCCAAGTGTAGTTGTATGACAGAAAATTAAAAATATAGATACAAAACAAATAAAATCAACCACAGGAAGAATTACATAAATTAGTGGAATATACAAATACAAAAATTAAAATAACTAAAGATAGAAAGGGTTCTCATTACCAAGAGTCATTATAATTTATTGGTAGGTATTTTGAGAATATAATATAAACACGTTACTATACGACAATATATAAATTAAAACGTGTTTACTTTTTATCTTCAATATAAATTATAAACATAATTTAAAATTTGTAAAACGTTTAATATTTTAACATATTTTTATCGTTGTACTAATTTTAAAAGAAAACGCAAAAAAATATGGTAGACGGTAAAGATCAAAAATGTTTAGGTAAGTCGTAATAATGTAAATGATAATAGGAGTTATATTATAAGTAGAGCCTGGATTTCAATGCTAAATGCATCTTTTTTTGATTATATTAGACAATATAACTGGTACCTTTTTTTTTGGTGTTGAAATCGGAGAAACTATTGAGGGAAAAGTTTTTTAATAGTTAAATTTGAACATGTTTTCAGCCTATATAGGACATTTAGCGCTCCCGGTAGTGATAGCTATCTGTGCTGTAAAATGTTCAATCAAGTTTTCAAACAAGTGACACTTTATCGATGTACCTTGGATACGCCCATAAAATATAGTTAAAATACACCAATGGTTTACATTACTGCTTTGTTGACGGCACTGATTATTCCAAAGATGTTTCCCCCCTTTCATTGTCTTTTTATTTTCCAATACGTTTTATACCTAATCTAAGTATTAGTAGATAAGGTTAGACAACTTAATCTTTCTTTATCAGTATTCTGCTTATGACTTTTCATCATCCCCTCGAAAATTATTAACCACCGGCGTCTTATTATCATTATTATCGTAGCCGTTTAAGTGTATCGTACAGAATAAGTCTCTTATTATTTTGCAACAATAGGAGGGAGAAGTCATCTATAAAGGGTGTAACTTAAACGAATATCCTCACCGTTGTCACCGCCTCATCGGTTACTATGAATTGTAACCTAACCGTACCATAATGGTTTACTATTAATTTGTGACAGCTACTGACTGCTGACTTGATGAATTTATGGGTATAGACGGTAGGTCTATAGTATAGTATAGTATAGTATAGTATAGTATAGTTACTATTCCAACGATTCAAAACAAAACTATATTCAATTATTTAAATCTAAAAATAAAATACATAATAATGCAATAATTATTGTATTATATAAATGTGTATAGAAATAATTTAAGTATTAAAATAGGTTGTTTCCGGAAAATGCTTCTCGACAAGTATTATTTTAGTTCAAATCGGTCGCTTCAAAACTCATTTTTTTCAAACATCAATTTGGAATAAAACAGTCAATATCCGGGAAGATCGAAATGCTTTCCAGTAGGAAGTTCTTGACAGACATTAATTTAATACTAAACAGGAAGACGTTCCCGGGAAGGTCTATGCTATTAGCGTCTCCATATACATAATTTGATCATGTAAGAGAGACTTCAAAGTTGAAACTTGTATCTTGCTTTATTTTTTGCATTTTTCAGTGTTCTTTTTTTCATTTTATTGCAAATTCGTACAATATAATTATATACTTAATAATTTAAGTGGCTAATAACTTATTCAATAAAACAATAAATCAAACAAATTATATGTCTTTTTTTAAGGCATTTTTAGCTTTCTTTTTGTGCATTTTTTGTGCGTTTAAATCCGGGCCCTAATTATAAGTTTTTCGTTTTTATTTTAAAACACCAACCAAGTTTAAGTTTTAAATTGTAATATTATCAATTATATTGTTGAATATTGGCGGTAATCGTATGTCAAATCTGTAACTTATTCTCAGGTCCCTTAATAAATTTATTTTTGGCCGACGAAGGAAAACATTTCGTTCATATTTATTTTGCTCCCCGCTTTTTAACAGTTGTACACTTTTCCCGATCAGAGCATAAAAACTAAAAAGCATTAATTCAAAGACTAATCGGATATAGGATATATGATATAGGGATATAGGATGTGACTAAAATCAATATGCGTTAGGTTAGGTATATTACTATAATGGTATGATTATTATTAGAGTTACGGGTTAAAATGTATCACATCCTTTGTGTGAATTTAAAAACAATAAATGTTATACTTCTACATCCGACATTTCGTCAATTTAAACACATTTATCATCGTATTTCGTTATATCGGTGTATCTATGTGTATATTATGTATTAACTTTTAATTTTTCAGCCGCAGATTATGAAGAGCTAAAGGCAAAATATATGTTGTTGCAACGCGAATGGCAATGTAACCAAGAGACGCTCGGGCAATTGTTAACTGATGAGACAGATCTCCAGTCAGCCCTAAAAAGGCAAGCGGAGTTTTGTTCGGAAGTCGGATCCACATTCGGTGTTTTTCTGGGTGAAGCTACCCGCTCTCCAGAGTTTATCGACACAATATGGCGTCAGAAAGTAATATATAAATTACCTCAAAAATAAAAATGAAAATAACTCAATACGTATTCATCATAGTTTATATGTTATATATTTATATGTATAATATTTATTGTTGACAAAACAATACTATTAACCGAACTACGCTCAGAATTATTTTTCGTTAATAATGGTTAATCGTTGCGTATGACTTTTTTTTTTTTTTTTTAATTATAATTTTGAACATTGTATTTCATAGCAACGTTGTTGGTTGTTCGCAGGATAAAATAGAAGATCTGTTACAAGTCATTATAGGCGGACTGACATCGTTCAACAACACATACTATTCTTATACATCTATAGCGAAAACTCCCGAAACGAGATTTATAAAGAGCATGCTCAAAATGGTGGCAAATTTATCAACGGTGGACGACGGACAAAGATATTTTTTAACTACGGATTCCGGAAATACCCTAATACAACTGATCATTAAAATTGTTCATCGTTTGCCATCTCCGTCCGGAAACGCCTTGAAAAAGTAAAAAATTCGTAAAGAACCTATATAAATTAGATTCTCTTCTTTTATCATAATCACTTAGGCAGCGATGAGTACGTATGTTCGGAGGTTTTCAGTTTTAATATACGTTAAATTTTGAAAATTTACAATAAATGAAATCATAATGACACCCATGGAAAAATTAAAATATTCGTAAATCCGACTCACGATAAAATAATATTATCTTGTAGAAATTGGAAACACCGAAAAAAATATATACATATATAAATATGTATCCGCGGTTATATCTACTAGGTTTAATCAAAATGTGGTTTACCGAAAAAATAATTATACATAGGTCGGTGATTTATTATATTTTGATTTTTGCACAATATTCATAATCATTAAAAATAAAGTAAATTTGCATTCATTTCTTTTCGTTATTAATATAATTAAACAGTGATCATTGCTAATCGAAAGGTTAATAAATTTATCCTCTTGTTACCTATTCTCTAATCAATTGACAAGCGTTTTCGATTGTAAGTATAGAAATAAGAAATATTTTATATAAGATGATCCGTTTATCATAAGCCAGTGATTTTTTCGGAAGTTATTAAATGAATTGTTTTGTAATAAGTTTCATGTATCTACATTTTTATTCTTGATTAATTGATAACCCCGTTCTACTCCTTCGGTCTTAATATTTAACTGTTATGACTAATAAACAATAAAACCCATATCGATGTTACGAATATCATAATGTTTAGAAAAATGATCTAAATTCAAATTAAAAAAGGTAGTTACTTTTTAAATGACAATGACAATGACATGATAACAAGCATATACGTAGGCGAGTTATAGGAAATAGAGTTAAACAATTGAAAACAGTATTAGAATACAACTTAAACGATTTTATACTCTACACAGTTTACTTAAAATCCTTCGAGAACATCGCTTGTTCGTGATAAACAATTATTGCAAAATCCTTGATGTACTTAATATTTTCATCGTTATTAATGTAAAACACGACCTAAATATTTCAGAATAGCGTACACCGTGTTGCACAACGTGAGCATACATTCGGTTGAATCTTCGATGGTTATAGTTCCCGAATTGATCGTTTCGTTAAATGATGACATCAAAGATGCGAGTGCCGCGCCCGAGCTAACGATGATAGCACTTAAACTTATCCAATCACTCCTTCGGAACGTGTGTACGAATAATACGTATAATATTATGAATAATAACGTAAGTATTGTATCGATGTCAATTTTTGGGCGCTAAATAAAATTATAGTTACAGCGGTTTCTAAAGAGATGTTTAGAACGTCTTTGTATCCCCGTTGTTTCCGTGTCCGTCCGTATATAATATTTACAGATGGTTGATTTGGTTGACAAGGAGATATTTAATATTCGGAACATCGTTATTCTTATGATCGATTTAAATATAAATATTAAATATTAATCCCTACTTTACAATATTATAAAAAAATAAGTACCAAACAAAAGTTTCTTTGAGAGAAACCGGGAAATTTGCATGTTTGCAAAGTAAACTTTCCAAACTAAAACATATTTGATTTTTTTTTTTTTAAGTTCAATGGTTAGTAATAATAATATGAGGATAATTTGATAAAAAATATTAAATTATATTTTTTTTTTAAATTTGTATTCCTTTTATTATTTATTTCCTTTTATTTCTATATAAATATGTTGCACCTAAAGTTAAAACTACAATCACGATCTCTCCTAAACGGAGATAAATAAATGTGAAAAAACAGTGATATATATTTTAGATTCTGAGTAGAGCGAAGAAGCTTATGGTTTTAAAAAAATTGTTTTTTATTTATCTATGTGTAACTTTTCTACCAAAAATCTTGCTCCGATTTTTAAGTCTAGCATCTTTTCTATAAGGAAATCGGACTTCGAGGATACTTTAGGGTAATCATTTTTCTAATTTTTCCAGGATTTTTCCCAACAAATGGAAAAAACAAAGGAGAAACGAGAAAATGTAAGAAATATTGGTATTAGTTGAAAAATATTTAGGTCCTTTTTTTCATGTGAAAAACTTTTCTACTAGCAATTTTGCTCCTATTTACAACGATAACACTTTTTCTGAAAGTAAATCTGACTGAGAAGGTACATTAGGAAGGCAATTTTCGATTTTCTTAAGAGTTTTCCTAGCAAATATGAATAACCGGGAGAAACGTAGGAAAAACGGGAAAATCGGTACATTTAACAAATATTATTAAAGAAAATATATAATGCCTATTTAATTATGTTACGATATTAAGACATATATTGTTGATAAAACATTACTATCATCTGAACTCTGCTCAGAATCGTTTTTTCGTTGTTACTTACAGGTATACATCCAATTACCTAAAACAGTGGCTACATCCGTCCTCATTATCCTGAGACAACTTTTTTCAGTTCGGACCCTCTCTTAAGTCTAATTATTTTTCCTTATTTATATATTAAAAGATGGTTTTATTTTTTAGATTAAACAATGTCGATTAACAAAATTGGCGTGTTCAACCGACGCAGAAATGAAAAACATCGCGAAAAACATTTTAGACGATTTCCAAAAGGCGAATAAACATTTCAAATGAAAAACTTGCAGTTATAAAGTTGTTCTTATATAAAATATTTATATTTAATGACAACATTTGATTTTTTTACACTTTAATTGAATCCTAATTTGATTTCTCTAATTTAAATCCTCAGGGTTATTTGGTACTTTAAACATTGAAATTTTTTCTTTATTGGATTTTTACCCCGTAGTACAACCAATGACGCAACATATTACCATTGTTCCAAAACAAAAGTTTGAAGTTCGTAATTCGGGATGTAACTCGTGTAAATGTTCATTGTTTTTTAATTTGGATATTGGCGACAGCGTTTAAACGTTTATCGCTGTACACAAAACGGGGCCATTAATTGTTTATTATGGGCATATACGGCATATTCCAACCTGGATAGATAATCGTGCCCCATAATATACCGTGATTTGATTTTATTACCCAGGAATCCATTATAACATGGATAAACTAATACCGTTTCCCGTCTACCCGAAATATTGTACATAGAGTGCTCCAAATGTCAAAAACGTGTTCCACCTCCAAAAATATTTTCGCACTGACTCAGTTTCATGTATTCTATCTCATTTGGCAATCAGTTTTTGCACCGAGTGCGGAACTATTTAAGGCGGTTTTTAGATTTCTATTAATAAGATAATATTAATAATACCTAATAGTATACATTATTGATAAAATATTTGGAATAAATTTGGAAATTGAAATAATTTTGATCGAAAATCCTTTCCAATTGATTTGAGAATAGGCCCTCTGTGTAGTATAGACTATGTAATTGTGATTTATGAACAATATGAAAAAAGTTCGTTAATTACAAATGGTTTTAGAGTTGTCGTCGTCATCATCAAGTATTAAATAACTTGTTTATGACAATTAAAGTATTGTTAAGTGTGAATTTATTTTAGACTTTTAGCAGTCATTGTCCATATGACCATAACACTGATAAGAAACAACCAATAATAGTTTTTGGTAGATTACGATGTTTTGTGTTTCATCTAAGTACTGGTATGATTGCACTGACACAAATACTCGCGAAACTCGCACGGTACCAGTTGTTGCACTGCACTGTGAGGGTAGGTGGAAAACGCTGTAAAACTGGGTGGGGGGGATAGAAAAACAAGTAATTTAAATGACTAAATTAACAACTTAATAACAAATAAAAAAATTATCGCTTCATCAATTTTGCGCTCTCATGTAAAATGATTGTGGACGTTTTGGATCATGAATTAGTGAAAGTAATTCGTCCATCAGTTCTTGAACTTGTTCATTATTTTGGTCAGTAACTGGTTATCCCTAACAGAAAAAAGTATTTTATTTGACCGAAAATAAATTTAAAATTAAGACGAATATCAAAACTTATTTTGTAGAAAATCGATTTTGTCCGGTTGCCGAGATATTTCTTAAGTATAAAGTAAAATTATTATCTATATAATATATAATTTTTTGCAACTAGATATTTTACTCGCCAGGTAAAGTATACCTATAATAAATACAATTTTTACTATCATCGAACTAACATTCAACGATAGCGTTGACCTTCCAATAACCTGGTGTCGATTTCTAAGAATATATTGACAATGAGTTTTTTTTTTTTAGAATATGTAATATTTATCATATTTGTGTGTCGTTCTCATATATATATGTTACACATATAATATATGATATATCTGTGGTCGTTACCGAACCAGACGATCGACTCAAAGATAAACGCATACAAAATGGGCGTGAGGGCTACGGATAATCGTTTTTTCTTTAAGACATTTTTTAGGTTGCATACAGACATCTACACTTTAAATTTATAGGTGGTACCTTATTTTTGACATTAACACAGGTAGAATATTGTCTCGGCAATGTCATATTTTTTTCTCGCCGTAGGGGTTCCCGCCCGTAAATTGATTTGTGCGTATAGAGTATTTGGAATCATAACAATGGTTTATTTATGAGTTTTTTTGTTAATAATTGATAGTGGAGTAGTTTTGAATATTTCGGGGGAGGGAGGGTTAAATTCTCATTATTGATATGATCTACCAGGAATTTCCGTTCTTCAATATTATAACTAATAAATTATATTAAGAAAAGAAAAACACCAATTATCTGAAGAGCCCCATCATTAAAGTCAAATTTTTCTTTGGGGTGTCTGTGGGGGTTTTCAAATTAAAAAAACACTTTCCTCCTGTAACAACATAGACAAATTCATATTGAAATTAAATTCAAATTTTATCACTTCAATAGTTCAATCTGCATATTAAACAACTCTTAATTCTCGAGTTTGAATTCAATTTTTCTAGACAGAGAGATAAAAGTGTCCAAAAGTAGCGGAGGAAAATATATATATATATGAACATATGTGGCTATATTAGTTAATGCTTAGATATGATCATATTACGTATATTCATCACAGTTAGTAATGTTAATTGTGTATAATTATACTAGCCGTCTCGCTTGGCGTTGCTCGTGCCAATCAAAAGTGTAACTAATAAAAACGTTTTCCCCTAGATTCCTTTTTTCAATCACCATTACTAAAATTAACCATTGTTGCATTTAAATTTTTCAAAATTAATTTTATACTTTTTATATAATTTTAAACTTAAATTTTTCAAACTTATACTAATTAGTTATATGGTTGATAAACAAATAAAAACACCTATACATTATTTCTTTTTATCTAGCTCAAACTGCTGCAAGTTAGGTCTATTACTTCTGCTGGTCATATCGAGAATTTGAATAACTCTAGACTTCTCTGGACAACTCGGACCATTCTACAAAAACCCGCTCGTAAATTGGTCCATTCGTTTCGGAGATTACCCGTTACAAAAAAAAATACATTTATTCACATATATAGTATGGATTACATTACATTTACATATTATAGTGACTAATGACACAATACACTGCATTTTCGGGGAATATTTTATTAAAAGATGACTCACTTTACGAGCATCTTATAAAATGTACAATTGCAAATGAAAATACCGAAGAAATTTCGGAAAAGGGGTTATAAGTCATTAATCTTTTCGGCCAACGCCATTTATCATAAATATACAATATGCAACGTGTTTAAATTTTATACTGGTCTGCAATATTTCACATAAATCGATTCGTTAAAAAAAAAAAAAAATCTGCAGGTAATTACAGTCGAACAAAATTATGTAAATCATAGTTTCCCAAATCTGCCGAATATTAATGAACATCCTCTGGCGGAGAGAAATTATACGGCAGGATATCCTATTTTTAAAAAGCATTAAAGCGAAAACGGTTCTACGACTCGTTACGCTCTATGACCGAATAGAAAATGATTAAACAAAATTAAAAACTTCGTTAGGTATGGTCGACGATGGGTTTTTTTTGAAAAACTAATTACTAATTAGAATAAATGTACCCGTATATGTTAAAATAAATTACCTTATGAATATGAACATTTTATTGTAATTTGTGTTATAGATACATAGTATTATTTTCTCATAATAAATAAGCGAGTCATCGATTCGGTCGGTCCCAGAAAAGTAGGTTGATGCGCCCTATATATTGTATCGCGTTCGAGTCGGAATCGTGGTAAATTTAAAATTATTTTTATTAAACAGAGTGAAATGCATTTTTATCTTATTGTATACAATATAGATAAAATTCCCGCGGGAATCGTGAAATAACCTCCTAAATATTATTATTGAGTTTCCACCAGTTTACGATCGATACTATATTATAATAAAAATATTTATTTTACAATAATTTACGCTTGCAATGGTTGTGTTATTCGCATATTACCGAGTGACTCGCGTGATAGCGTATGAATTGTATGACCTACTCAACTATTTGCCTATACAATTATGGTTACCTTCCCAACAGTCCACCTACCCGTGAACATAGTAGGTACGTAAACTATTATTTTTTACAATAGTTTAGTAAAGTAGAAAGTATGCCGTTTAAACTAATATTGTATACTTTTATCGGTATTATGTTATTAAAAGTTAAATCGAGTTGATTTTACATATTTTTTGAGCTAGATACAAAACTGAACTAACGAAATTAAATCAAATTTGTTTATAAAACGACAATTGTATAGAATTAAAATATTGACCGGAATGGAAAAATAAAAGAATGTTAGATTTAAATATGACAAAAAAAAAGCCAACAGTAATGTTCATCTTTTATTTAAGTAAGTAATTTAAATAGTAACTTTTATATTATTACTGAGATCGCTTTAATCAATTAATAAAATGGTTTTCACTCATATGTTTATTTTTTAAACATAACTACAGGTACCTTGATATTTAGTTTGTTTGGTATATTTTTATATTTTATTGGTAGATAGGTACCTAAATCAACAAACAGTATTCCTTACGATGTATTTTGATGTTTTTACGTCAATATAAATACATACTAAATATAGTTATTTTCTTTAAAAATTACTAATAGGTGTGATTCACCGAATTATCGCTTTATCGAACTTTAACATAAATTATATCTCGTATAAAGCCATAAAGGTTATCAATTATCATTATAAAAATGTTGTTTTTCGCAAATATAACTAGCTGGCAGTTTTTACATCCTGTTTATCATCATATTTTTCTATTGTTCGCTACGATATACCCAGCATAATATTATGTAGATAGGTGTGCAATATTTAAATGTTTTTGTTCTGAAATCGAGTTTTGCAGGAACTTAACTAATTATAATTCTATGGTAAAATTTTGTGGTAATTTTAAACTGGGTTTTAATCGGGAGTACAGATCCTGATTAATCGCCAACCCCGGACCCATTTGGCGTGGTCAAGGTATCCAGAGTCGACTCACAACGCCGGGATTCAAGAAGGATAGATGACCGAAACAATAACGTTCCGAGCAGTAATATAGGTACCCGCTACGGATTTATCGATAGTAAACACGCGACATCAGCTTGCACCCAAACAACAACACAGCAACAACAACAACAACGGTAACAATAATATACATGGGAAAAGATGAGTAACAGATTATAATGATTGGGCGCACAGTGATAAGCGCACACGGTTACCACGACAGGCGTAGACGTACACCGTCCGCACACTCACAACGTTACGCAACGCGATATGGTTCGTACGGCGGCGAAGCGGACACGTGACGTCACACAGGTACGTCGATCGGAAACGGTGCCCCGGACAGGACCACAAGAATGGCGGTCGATATCAAGACGTACGACGGCGATATTGTAATGGCGCGGATTACGGTTGTTAAAGGCGAAAAGGGGACACGCGAAAAAAAATCGCGAACAGAAACCGAAATAAACCGTACAACGGCTACGGTATACGCACCGGTCGGGTTCTACCACGGCGCCGGGATGAGCGGGAACGGAAAAGATTGGCGACCGTTATGTCACTGCTCTCGCGACCGGTCGTGCCACTCGCGGGTGCGGAACGACGCGGTTCGAACAGATCCCAAGGAAACAACAAAAGGACTTATAGGGGATGAACTGCTGAGAGTGTTGACTGGAGTATCTAACGGTTCCACACGCATCTTTTTTGAGGTGAGTGACGCGTGAAAAAATCGGAGCATCAACTTAGAGTAATAAAAAAAAATAAAAAAAAACATAAAATGAAATGAAATTTTTAGAAAAAAGTATTGGGATTTTCGAAAAATGTTCGGGATCAGACGAGACGTCTAATTGAAATATTAAATGAAAGTTGAAGTTACTAAGACTTCCTATACTGCAATATTATTAAAAAAAAAAAAAAAGAAAAGAAGTAAATTGTACTATATCAACCCGACTACGAAACAAATAAATGACTAATTTCAAACGTCTCAGCATACTTTCTGATTTTATTTGTATACATATGCGTAGTAGGTATATGATATTAGATTTATGTTGGTTTTAGATTCTGAGTGGAGCGAAGAAGCTTATGGTTTCACAGAGATGTTTTTTTTTTTCTGTGGACAACTTTTCTACTAACAATTTAGCTCAAATTTACAATGACAGCAATTTTTCTAAAAGGTAATCTGACTGGAGAAGTACTTTATGGCTTATCGTTGCTTACAGATATACATTAAATTTTTCCTCTACCTTCTAAACTTTTCACCAACAATAGTGGCCCACCCACTCGCGAAGTATGTCAGTCTTTTTGACCGTCGTCAATGACCCGTTATTGATCGTTTTACGATCGACAATTAACTTGAAAACATGTAGACGATCCGTATGTATTTATACGACAACCATCGCATATAATATTATAATAATAAGCAATTAATTTTTTCTTTAGACGAACTATTCACCTAGTGCCCGTTTTGACAACCGATTGGTATACAGCGATAGGTCTCGTGAATCAAGTAGCTCTGATTACGGGGGCCACGTCCGGCATCGGGCACGCTTATACCAAATATCTATTTCAGAATGGCCTCAAGGTAAGTACAAACTTTATTATCCATAACAGTGCTCAGAATCGTGCCTAGGGGGGTGCGAGAGGTTTACGGGCACCGGGCGCTATGACCAAGGGGGCACCGAACAGATACCAAAGAGGCACCAGTGAAAGTGTTGTAGTTTAGTAATTAAATGTTTTTACAATATACGTAATAAACACGTATCAGTGAATGCTGATGGACAGGTTTAGAATAAAAGATAATGATGATTTTTTTTTTTAATTAGTAAAGTTTTCTGGCACTGAGCGCTGATTTTGCTACTCACGGCGCTGCCAACGCTAACCGTAAAAGTTTTACAACGTGTGCCTTCGTTTAAAACAGGTGGCGTTATGCGACATCAATTTTGAACACTGTCGATCCATCGCTGACAAATTTTCCAAAGTGTTTAAAGTCGAAAATGTTTTACCGTTGCGCTGTAATGTTATCGACGAAGAGCAATTCAAAAGTAAGTGACATACCTAGTTTACATTATAATATTATTGTTTAACAAACTCGACTAATTATTAGTAAACTGTAGAAGTAGAGACAAGAAGAATTTCGGTGGTTTGATATATCATTTTAGGAACAATATTTTCCAAGGTGATTCACTAAGTATGCTCATCACATTTTTTTGGTTGAATTTTGCGTATATTCAAATTCTGATTTTTGGAATTTTTAAGTATAGGTAAAGCTGGTACTTTCAAATACTTAGATTTTTCATGACATTTAAGGAGTATCCGGTGGCGATATCAACTTTTGTTTTTCAAATGAGAACCTCTATTAAAAGTTCCATAAATATACGGAGTAGGTATTACTTTAAATAAATTTTGGTATTCAAATTTTTGATTTTCGTCTGCCCGTTGACGAGTTATTTCACTTTTATGTTTAGGTAAAGAGAGTGTAGAGTGAAGCACTAATAAAACGCCGTGTGTTGTGCCGTTACACAAATGATACTCAACTACTCTAATTCAAGGTGTTGAGATTTGTTTTTTTTATTGAGATTACTTAAAAAAAATAATATTAATAAAAACGCATTTAATGTACTTACATAATATATACGATTTGTTTTTATGGTCTCGTATAAATAAGTTTTTTAGGGAATCATCACCTCCCAAAATAAAATATTTTGAGAAATATTATTATGTTCATTTTTCATAAATTTAAACCTACTGTAGTTTTACAGTGTGCATTAGGTGGGTTTCAAATTAATAGTTTAATAAATAAATATTTATTCGTTCAACTCTAATAACATAAAAAGTAAATAAAACAATTATAATAATTATTTTTCTTTAAAAAACATAAAACTGGTTCGCCCAATGTTCAAATACGTGTAATTAACCGAACAAATATAATTATTATAATATATTACTATACGACCTACACTACAGTTTTATAGATAAACCATATTTTATTGTATTAACTAATTAAATTTATTATTTTATTAAAGTTATTTAAACCGTAGTATAATAGTGTATTTACATTTGAACGGAACGATATTGTTTTACTATAATAGACGCTTTCAAATCGTGCCTGAGTAGTTTCAAGCGACTTGATATCGTTATTAATAATGCGGGCGTGTGTAACGAATCGATGACGAATTTGGGACACCACTATTAACATTAACTACATAATTTCTTAATTTATTATACTGTACAGTACTTACATAACGATATTTTATAATTTTGCCGTACGTACTTGCCTATGATTTTTAATATTCGTACGATTTTAAAGATTTTGAGCGTGGCGAAACAACTATATTATTAATGTATAGCAGGAATGAACATTGGACAACTCAAAGTTACAAAAAAGCAAATTTTTAAAACTTTAAAATTTAACAGGCTAGAGCGTAGAAAGCGAAACAAAATTGGTATTTTACCATTTTAATAGGAGTTTTTAGGATGCGAGGATTATGAGGTGGCAGACGGTAACGCATACAAATCGGTGGCCGAACAATCAACTGTGAACAATTCACTGCTCGTTTATATCCTAATCTTAATCAATCCAAACTGATATAAATGTGAAAGTAAGTCTGTCTGTTACGTTTTCACGCCTAAACCGCTGAACCAATTTTGATAAATTTTGTATAGAGATAGATGAGACCCAGGAGAAAAACGGACGGCTAGAAAATCCCGCAAAATAATCGAACGGACTGTAAAATTCCGGAATGTAAATTTACGAATAAGAAAACGGCGGACTGGAAAAATCCGGATTATAAAATACTGTAAATGTCCGGATTGTAATCGGCCGGAAAAATAAATACTCAGACCAGAATATTACGGACTATAAAAATCCGGAAAACAAATGCTTAAACCAGAAAGTCCCGGACTAGGTATTATAATCTGGAATAAAAAAATACGCACACTGTAATGACCCGGACAAGAAAACGGATTTTTACAGTCCGAAATATTCTGGTCTGAGCATTTATTTTTCCTACCGATTACAGTGTTTCATTTTCCGGACTTTTACAATCCGCCGTTTTCTTGTTTGTAAATTTATAAATTCTAGAATTTTATAGTCCGTATAAATGCTGTTAATGATTTTTTTTTCTAGAATATTACAGTCTGTGTGATTAATGAAAATTTCCAGATTTTTACAGTTCATATGATTATTCTCCGGATAATTCTGGTTTACCAGAAAAACATACGCTACTTTTTGTTGCAAAAATAAAACTTGAACGGGATGAAAGTTTTTTAGGTATTTTTGATACGAAAATTTAAATTATTTTTGCAGAATTATAAATTACCTTAGTAACACGGATGAAATGAAAAAAATGCAATAATTTAAAATAAAGAGTTTTTGACTATCTATCGGTCTATTATTGGCTTGAAATAGGATGGACTGCCTTAGTAACATGGATGAAAAAAACAAACTATGCGTTATACTGGGTGGGTATGTGAAAAGTGAAAACACGTAAAACGTCATCTTTGAACCTTTGTGTTTTTTGGTACAGTAACCACACTACAGTACTATTATGTCCTCATCATTTTAGCGTTATTATAGTGGATATTATAGTTTTGTCCCTGTGCTTTATGGGTATCTATAGTAACACGGATGAAAAAATGTACGATACAATTCGTTCAATGCATTGATACGGGCAAAAAAAACCAGGAATAAAGATAAAAAGAATAACAAATTGGCATAGGCACGAGTAACGCCGGGCGCGGGACAGCTAGTATTATATAAATAATAACTTTAAACAAATAATATAATTTCCAAATTACCAGTGGTTAGTTTTATTTTAGAGATTATTGTCATGAGATAGAGTTATTATATTACCGATAAAAGTATGTTACAGATCAGTGGCGAATCCAGGGTTGAAAGTTAAGGGGGGCAGGGGACTTCTAAAAAAATTACTTCTAAACCATATTAGGAATCGTTTATGTTAATTAGGTATCGACCTAATATACCTATCTAAGGTTAGGTTAGGTATCTATAATACCTATCTATAATAGTTATACCATAATATATTTTATGATAACTTCTATGATACAAAATCTAATCTGCACTTATTTTTAGAAGCAAAATGTTTTCACGTTTTCACGTTCCCATTTCCTCCCAATGGTCTCCAAAATAAATAGATTGTGTAATTAATTATAATACGTTACATAATTTTAAATATTTGTGTAAGTAAAAAGAGACTATTGATGAGATCTGGGAGGGGTTAATCGTGTAAAATAAATGCATAAATAGCAAACAACTCGAATTAAAACTAACCCATGTATTGCGTAGTTCAATAGAACTTATTATCGCAATATTAAGATAATAATATTACATAATACGATTGGTACGGCTACCGACGGTATCTACAAGAAATGTTACGTACTATAAAATAATATATATATGTATAACTTTCATTTGGTCATTGATTATGTAATAGATTCTATAATCAACGATTTGGTGTACAAATATTGACGACCCCCTGTTAAAATTTTACGAACCACTTAGGGGTCGTGACCTCCAGATGGCGCATCACTGTTTTAGACGATATTTTAATAAAATTATATTGGTGTTTGGGGTAGATGGTCCAGACCTCCCATAAATCCAGGTTTTTTTTTTAGGGAGGTGTTGTCGGAGGAACAAAGTTTGGTATCAAGTGCATGGGAGCATCAAGCAGAAGTAAAGGCGAAATAGTTGTGCTAACGACTTTTGTCGCAGATTCTCGTGTAGCTCCCGTGTACAGGTCTTCCAAGAGGGCTGTCGTCGAATATACGAGGGACTTTGGCGTTGGTTAATCTATTATTATTATATGACTGTGTGTTTATTTTTATTTTAACAACTTTTAAACGATATAATATACTATGTCTTCCAAAAAGGATGAAAAGAAATATAAGCATCTGAATATAAGAATCATGGCGTTGTGCCTGAGTTTAATAAGTACATTATCATCTGCAGCAGTCGCGCACCAAAACGAAATATCCAGTCAACGATTAAACGTTTTTCCGGATAAATCAAGAGAAGCAGTCATGCGAAAACGGCCAATAGCAAAAAAAATAGTAAATCGTCTTCAACTCTATTAGAATAATAACTTTTAATTCCTAATAATCGTTTTTTTTCTTTTCTTTTTTTTTATTAATGTCAGCGTGGACAATGTCGGTAAAGCCTTAATTTATATTTTGTAACAGGGTAAAACTGGTGAACGTTGGTCCGTAAAGAACAACGAAGAACCTCCAAAACTGGTAGAAGTACCTAATAATATTATACCATTATATCTTTAAAAATAATTTAAATTTGTATAAATTTATATTTATACGTCTATATAACTAATAATATAACTTTTAATACTTACTTTTGTCATTTACTCAAACCTTTGCTTGTATCTTCAGTATATTAATTTGTTTGTTCTTGAAATATTCGAAAAAAATTCTACTAGACATTATATAACTATACGATCACAGTACTGAGATCTCTCGAAAAGGTTATAAAAATATCTTTAAAACCCACCGACCATCAGAGGAAGTTCTCATTTTAGTCTTTGATAATCCACAAGCTATAGAGATCCTAATGTCAGACTAACCGTGGACATTACTCAATAAAAAGTAAACGTGACTTGTTTGCTTAAAATAATCAAGCTTCAATAAATGGGAATAAAATTGGAATGTTAGGAATGTTAAAATGCTTCCCAACAGGAAGTTCCTGATATGTATTATATAGTTGAGTATTAACCGTCGAATTTTCACGGAAAGATTTGTGCTGTAAGGGAATATTTTATTCAAATAAATATAAAACTAATGTTCTTAAGAAATTTATGAAATCTTGGCGTCTAAGGAGAAAAGCGTAAGTTTCGCCATTTTTTTCTTCAAAAAAACCTAAAACATATTTTGAAAAACAACAACATACATTATATTATATTATTTTGCCATTTTACCAGTTTGTATACTCCAAATTATTATTACCTGTGGTAAACGAAACGGTTAAGATTTTATTTTTACAGAATATAATATATCATAAGTCGTATATAGTATTATAGTACTAATGCTGCTGATGATTGCAGTTCTTGTTTTCAAACAATTTTTCACGGGTTTTCAAGATGTATGCAATTACATTCGTACAGAAGTGAATTTATGTAGTTATTTTGCGTAAACGACTTATTCTTATCACAGACTTGTTTGTAAAATAATTAATTTTTGATTTTAGTTTTCCAAGTTTATATTACCGGCCACGGATACCTAAATATAGACCTTGTAATATCTACTATGTCATATCAGTCAGTTAAGAATATTTTAGTAAAGCCGATTTGTGTTTTACTAACAGAGTTACAGATAACCTATATTTAAATACCAATCAATATACACATTACCTATTGAATTTTATTAATAATTGTTGTTCCGTTTTAACAAGAGGAGTATTTTTACACGGTTTGTCATTGGTTTGGTTCATTGGAATTATCAATAATTGCACAAGTCGTAGTTGCAACGCACCGTTATAACTAACAATGATAAATTATTAGGAATGCCGTATACGCGGTTTATCATAAATAAACATTTCGATCTTTTACTTGTTTCTCTCAAAAAATCGTATAAAATCACATTTGAATGTACCTAATTGGAAAGAAAAAAAAATTATATAACTATGACTGAATAATTACGTTGATAGCAAAAGCGTTTAGTACATTATTTTACATTATCATTACACTATATTTTACTATAGAGTTAGTAAGCTAGTACAAACAAATTTGTTTCACTTACTGCAGTTAGGTCATAGTCATGACCTATGGTCATATAGTTACCGACGGTGGAGACGATTAAAAAAAAATAAATATTTTTCCCTGGCGCACAGAAATCGTAGTCCGGCCAAAATGCAATCTTGAAACATTTTAGTTATGCAGTTTTAATTACCTGTGTCAAACATATAGATCAGATCGGCAGTGTTCACGTCGTGCTCGCGCGATTGATGATTATGTTGCTAGATCGACCTTCAAGCTATTATAAAGACGTCTGTGAATGTTTAATCCGAAATACTCGATTCCTCAGCGTTAAGCGGGGATAAATATTTTACTATTTTCATTTTTCACTAGTGTCATATTATCGGAAAACTCTGCGAAAGATTGATCGATAGATCCGTAAACACGCGTATGGACGGAAAATATTATATTGACAATAATATAGAGGTTTGACGATCATTGCGTTTTAAGTCTTTTCGGAATATGATTATTACCATATTAGTAGTAGAATTATATAATATTGAGTTTCTTTTTTTCAAATTTCCTTCATTAAACACTCTAAACTTGATTATACATTGTTCGACGACATTTTTAAAAGCGTAATTTATTTAATACTATCAGAAGGCTCCAGACCATAACATTTTTCGCGAAAAATTAGTACGCCCAACACGAGAATTACAATGTATTATTGCAGCACATTTCTCTGCAGTCTAATCGTTATTTTTTCCATGTGTGAGACACAAATTTAATTAATTGATTAACAGCTATAGAGCAACATCCAATTAAATCAACAGTTTGCTAATTTTCTTATTTTTTTTCGAGGTCGAGACGACACATGCGGAAAGCATACTAACGTATTATACATATTACAATGATGCGTGTGATGTGTTTTATAAAAAAAATAGTTTTCCCTTTTTTTTTTTTTGGAATTTCAAACGCAATAAATGTAGCGAATATTTAAATATTGGTGATATTAAAGTTCGACCTTTTTTTTCTAGTATACAAAAATATATCGTCGCTTCCAGTCTCCGCGTTCTATGGGCCAATAGAACCCAAATCGGGCAATACAAAATATTAAAAGTGCAGTCGCAGTTTCCCCGATTTAGGTGTCTGAAGTAAGTGTAACGATTAGTTCGGTAACAATAAGTGCATAAAACTTCATGTTTATATGTGTAAATAAAATAAAAAATTAACTGATTTTGGGAACGGATGTGCCACTGTAGTTAGTAGGTGGGAAGTTGGGAAGGTAGGATACATAAATTAATTTAATTTATATCTGTAAGCAACGATAAACCATTGCTAACAAAAAACGATTCGGAACGAAGTTCGGTTATATGTTTTGTTATGTTTTGAAAGGTCTATAAGGATTTTTCCTGTTAAATTGTCAAGCATGTATTTATTTAATATAATAATTTTAATTACAGAACACTTATCAAACAAAAATTATGTAAAAAAAATAGCAATATTAATATGTCTATAAATGTTTTTGAAAATTTAACCGTATCTAGGAAAAGCAAATATATATTTTATGCCAAAATTTTAAGTCTCTACGAATATTTTTAAAAAAAGACAACAAAAGACCATATTTGAAAATAATAAAATAATAAATTTAGTAAATTTCCCATTTCTCCGGTTTTACTCAATTATTGAAAAAAATTACACAGAAAATCAAAAAACCACTTTCTTACTCACCAATAAGATTATAAATTTAACAAAAACCATTACATTGTATTATTTGATCAAAGCAATATTTCTTGTAGAAAACATAGTTTGCAAAAATGAAAAATAATGAAATCGGTAACGCCGTGATGTGCCAAATATATTTGTCGTTCAATCAATAATTTTTGTCCGGTTTTTCCTAATTATTACGAAAACCCTTTGGAAAATTAAAAATTTGTTTTACCTAATGCACCAACTAGATAAAAATTTCTTCGGAGCAAGATTTCTACTCGAAAAATTGCTTACATACAAATGAAAAAAAAATTTAAAAAAAACCCATCATAGTAAAACAAATGCATACACTCTGAATCTAAAAATAACTAGTACATATTATTTGATTAAATTGTGACTGGTATCCTGTGACGATTTTCGAACTTTTTCCTTGGGAGGATGGGTCCTTTGATGTTAATTCAAAATCTACTTCCCGTAGTCTAAACTCGGAGTCTGGAGGAGTAAGACACCTTGGACCCCCTACCGTAAAACCGCCACTACTGCTGGTATCTCATATCGTACAATATTGTCTTAGAATTTGTTAAGGTTCGGGTTAGAGGAGGCTAGCGGAGCATCATTTGCAACTACGTTTAAATAATGTTCAAGTTTCTTACGTAACTTAACAGTACGGCCTTTGAAAACACGCGCAACCGAATTTTGCTCCGAATCGATTTGCGTTGGCGATGGTTTATCGCCGTGTACAACTATGCATCCCGACTCCCGGATTTTCCGCCTACTACGGTGGCACAACCGCCGCCGGCACAAGTTCTTTAAATGTAAGTAGCCGTTTGTAAACCGAGAGCGGACAGTCGATTCGCCCCCGGAGACCGACGGAAAACAACGGCTTGTCAATTACGTCAATACGTAGGTGCCTACGTTCTTTCCGCGATATCGCAACAATGTTCATAATATCTCCGCGGGCCGCTCCGGTATTGGTAGAATTCGTCGTGATGATAAGCCCGGATTTGGTGGATAAGTACTTGTCGAAAATGGAATTCCGCACTGCGCTTTACCGCCGCGCCGCGTATACCGTTCGAACACGCGATTGTAAACGCGTCGGTAAGTGGCCTGCTGTAAATTACGCCGTGCGTGCGTCGTGTCGTCCGAACGTCATCGTTTCGCAACCGCCGCGCCGTAATTATTAAAATACGTTCGACATGAATTGATAAAAATTCTGAAACGAAATCCGCCGCTACGCGCGACGCGGTACCTGCGCGGCGCATTAACGCGCACGGTATCTCGCGCCAGCCGCAGACCGCCGAGTCCGACAGCTGTGCACGCGCGCGGGCCGGCGACGGCAATTAACGCTGTAGGCCCGTCAAACACGCGCGTCTACCGAACGTGACGCGCGACCCGAGCAAAAATGGTATCGAGTGGCAGCTACCACAGCTGTTGCTTCGATCCGCTGGAACTGAACGCTGTTATTTGGCGTCGTGTGCGCAGCGCCAAGGTAATCGACTCGACGGCATGCGATATTGTCACGGTGTCGCGGTTATTGTTAAACGGCAAATAATAACGGGCGCGTTTTACTGATTACGGCGCGTGTTCCCTCGCGGGCGGACGGCCCAATAACGTGGTGTGCGCGAAATCGGTTTAGAGGAACGGAAAAAAAAACCGAATAAAAATCGCCGGTCGATCGTTCGTTACCGCTGTGAATTCTCCGTACTTTTAACGCGCATTTCCAATGGCGTCGATCGATTATTGCGGGAACCGCCGCGGCCTTGGCATTCAGTCGGTGTGATGTTTGCGTCCGTCACGACGACAATAGTACAAATTTTAAGCGACGTGGGTACCTAAACGATTGTATTGTAATAGCATTCCGTTGTGTTTTTTTTTTCTCTCTATCCAATACGTTCTAGTTTTAAACTAGATATGGGTACCTATCTATATGCCCGCGAAACACTGTCGTCTGCAGCATAAAGTCCCGCGATCTCTCGTTAATATAATATAGACAATACGGAAATCAGGTATGGTTCTTTACATTATTAATGGGAAATTCACTCCGTACATTCAATAAATTCCAGACGTTTTAATCGTTGTTGGACATAAATACGCTAGATCGCGCCAACGGTGCTCAGGTAAATAACCTTAACACTCTCCTATTACGTACTGAGCGAAATTGTCTGCATGTGAATGAGTTTCTGACCGAAATACTTGTTGCTCCCTAGACGAGAATAAGCATTTTAAGTTGTGATATTTCACACAAACACACCTCGCTGAAAAATGTAAATAACAGTTAAAACCAACGTATAAACACAAATAATGTTTTTCCCTCCAAGTTTAATAACAACGATTCAACGATAATCGAAATGTAATCGGGGAAATTACGACGAATAGTAATCATATATGTGCCTACCCAAGTAAAAAATTTTAAAAAACCGTTTTTGATAAAACAATTATTATAAATAAAGACATTAATCGTGCCCATGCACCCAAATTAGGGATACGCTATAACGATACAGATTGGCGATATTAGTGTTTTTTAAGAGGGGTGCAGTAGTCAAAAGCTGCAGTTCAATTTTTGACAATTTTCGTTTCGATTTTAACTTGGATCCGGTGCAAAACTCAAAAAACGTAGCATAATTCGTAGCAAATAATGGTTAAATATTAATATAACTTGCCGGTTTTTCACGTTGGTTTAACACTTGTAAGCTGTCAGAATTATAAATAACTGAGTCGTTAATTTTTAATGGCACTTACATGAACTTAAATAACAAATCCTGTAGCGTTATTGCGAAACGAAATTTTAAAATGAAAAATTATAATGTCGTTAACTACGAAAGTACGCTTTACGATTATATAGTTCACACTTGGAAAAAAACAAACTTCAAAAAGGCAATAACCCATCGTGACCGACTACAATGTAATGTGCTCAAATTTGTTTGGAACCATAGATATAAATAAATGCGATGACAAGTATAGTAACGGTAATTTATCGTTTTTAATTTTAAACGCATGCTCTCGTTTAAAAAAATGTAAAATTAAACCGTCTAGCACGAGAATGATCTCGAGTCCCGGGACCAAGATTTTAGATTCTGAGTGGAGCGAAGAAGCTTGTGGTCTTACAAAGATATTTATTTTTTTTTTCTGTGTACAACTTTTCTACCAGAGATCTTGCTCCGATTTTTAAGTGTAGCAAGTTTTCTAAAAAAAATTTGACTGTGAGCGTACTTTAAGGAGGTCATTTTTTGATTTTTCCAGGAGTTTTCCTAATAAATGGGAAACACCGGGAAAAAATATTAGAAAAACCGGGACAAACGAAGGAAAATTGGGAAAATCGATACAACATTAAACAAATATTATTAAAGAAAATGTATAAAGTCTATTTAATTATTTTACTATAAAACGATACATATATTTTTGACAATGAATCACTGTCAACTGAACTCCGCTCAGAATCATGTTTTCGTAAGGAATGGTTAATCGGATATATATTAAATTAAATGTTGCACCCGTCCCCAATTTCCTAGGACGTCTTTTTTTTTTTTTATTTGAGCACTGAAATAAATATCGAGGTGCTTCGGGAAAGATAAGCCAACCCCACGTTTCAAATCAAGTCCTCATCAAATAAGTACAAAGTTTGCATATATTATGAGGGGCTTCAGCCCACCAGTGGCGCAGATTACAGGGTCTTACCGGGATGAACCCCACAGCATTTTTTGAAGATAAGTCATAGGAAGGTTAGGATAATTGTAACGTTAGGTTAGGTTAGGTTAACCTTCCCATTTTTTCTCCGTTTTTCACAATTTTTCCATTTAATGGGAAAACTCCTGGGATTATCAAAAAATAACCTCCCTAAGTTACCATGGAGATAAAATTACCTTTCAAAAAATAAGCTACACTTAATACACCCGATGAAGATTTTTGTTAGAAAAGTTTGCACAACAAATCGAGGGGTATTTTGCGATTAAAATAGTCCGAGCGAACGATTGCTTGGGTTTCCAGATACAAACAAAATTTATTTTTTCTTGTTTAGATAAAAGGACAAAAAAATGCAAAACGTTTTTTTTGAAACGCGGGAAAGTAGGTATATATAACCATTCAGCTATAACAAGCATTACATACCTTAAAGAAGACAATATTTAGTTATTTTACATAACATATATTATCTGCGTAATATCAGAACTTCAAAAAGCTTTAATTTTGAAACTTAGTCAGTCCGCTCAATTATGACTTCATCATCGTTCTTAAATCGTTGATATACATATGTTCAAATAAAAAAATAAATCAGATTGTTTCATATCATTTTTTACTCAACGATTTTCGTCAAAATTTGATATTAAAATTTCTTTTAAAAAAATAATACTACATTAAACTCGAATTTTCTTTTTTTGACCACAAAATAAGACTCCTAATAAAACTCCAGTTAAATTTTCAAACATTTCTATTAAGTCTAATAATTTTACCACAGAGTACCTACTGAATAAAAATTATGTAAAAAACTCGCAAAATTTAAATTTCTATAAATAGCTCAAAAATGGCTTAAATTATTTAAAAACACGTCTAAAAAAGGCAATTCTAAATTTTCTTTCCAAATTTTAAGTCCATAGAGTCGATACGAATATTTTTAAGTAAATTTCAAAAAAAAAAATATTAAAATGTTTATATTCAGTTTAAAAAATAGCAAAAATGTTTAGAAAATTTTACCAAGTCTAGAAAAGGCAAATATTAGTTTTCTCTCCAAATTCTATCCGAATATTTTAAACTGAATTACAACAAATAATAAAAGCATAATTTTCGTAAATTTCCCGTTTTTCTTACGTTTTATCCTGATTTTTCCCAGATATTATGTAAATCGCTTGGAAAATCAATAAATTACCTCCCAAAAGTACCATCTTTCAGAAACGGTGTCGCGCGTACATATATATCTGAATATATCTGAGCAAGATTTCTTGTAGAATTTTCGTGCACAGTATATATATAAAAAAAAATAAACATGTTAGTACATACTACACTCAGAATCTAAAACTAGGGTTGAAAATCTCCCTATAAATATTTTATAGAAGTGATAAAACAAAATCACCCTGTAGATACATCTGTCATCACCGCTGTTTGTACTCGTATACAGTATATCCCGCGACTAACAATAAACGCATCATAATCAGCTCAGCGGGGATGTTAGTCTTATCGTCGTTTTGATTTTATGGGAGTAATATGAAATCTACAATAAATTGTTTATAGTTCGTCGGCCAAGTTTACAAACGAAATTTTGAAAAAAAAAAAAAATCTTCGTCTACGTTTAATAATATCACGCGATATTTTTCCAGGTCGGACGGTGACGCGGGAAATATTTTGACTGAAAATTCAACGCGGAAAACGACACGAACGAGGAAAATATACTTCACGACAAAACGATTTCCGAGATTTCCGTGTTATCGGTCGTCTTAAGACCAATAGAACAAAAAAAAAAAAAAATGAAACTACAATAAGACATATTTTATCGTCCGTATCAAAGATGTCAACAATTGTCGCCTTAAGGTCACGATTTTCGACATTTCTCAGAACGGCCGTACGCGATTTTTCAATAATAATAACGTAACTATCACCTTCGTTGTTTTTAGCCGATATCGTTTACGCCCATTATTATTCACCTTTGTGTTCGAATTGAATTTTATCTGCGACCTACGAACCGCCGCCGCCCGCTCGTTATCAGAGATGCGATATATCCACCGAGCTGATTACATGCTCCCGCGGGTATAGCGAAGTGTGTATTACACCACAGCTGGTGCTTATGTTTTTTATGTTTTTTTTTTTTCCTATACATTTTTGACACATTCGCAATGATATTATTGCCAGTCGACGCGCGCGTGGTATAACCGTTGAGCAATTTTCGATTTGTTCACCAAACGACGCGCGGACGGTAAAATTATTATTGTAGATCGTGTGAATCCGCAGTATTTTCAGTGGGGGGAGGGGGAAGGGAAGTATGGGCATTGAAAACCGAGTGGCTCTGGTCACTGGCGCGGCGTCGGAAATCGGACAGTCCTACGTGAAATATTTACTCCTTAACAGAGCCAAGGTACCTATGTTATTATAAATTGCACGATTTTTAATACATGTATACAATCATTCGAATTATATCGCCCGCGTACGATAATACGACGTAAATCGTGTCAAATTGTGAAATTTCCGAATATCCCGCTCACAGGTGGTACTTTGCGACGTGCATGTGGACAAGTGTCGAACAATAGCCGAAGATTTTGGCAAAGAGCTCCAGCACATCAGCGCGCTTTCGATAAAATGCGACGTCACCGACGAAATTGAATTTGAAAGTAAGCCGTTCGAAATTCTTTCGTTATTGTTATTTTCCGGTCATATTTTAACGTGATCTGCAAACAAAACGCGACGTATACATTTTTTACGTTCGGAATTCCGAGCGCCAAACGAGGATTGTGGTGTGTGTTTGATTTTTATTATAGACACTGTGTCTTTAGTATTAGTAATTGTTTTCTGTTCGCGACGATTTCGTTTTACCGGAAATCATGTTCCGATCGATTTTAAGAGCGGTTTCCGGTATCAAATTTCGTCTACTTAATACAGCATTGATGAGGGCGTCTTTTTCGATTTTGTTTTCTTGTGGTTGTTCAGTTAAAAATAACCGCGGAAACTCGAAACTTTCACAGAATACTTTCACGAATATAAAGTTCTTAAACAAAATTTTTAATTTCAAGAAAAATATTAGAATAATTAAATTCATATTCAATTGAAATTGCGTGATTTCCAACTACGATATCGTTATACCATTTGTTTTATTTATGCCATTATTGTAGCATTTTATTTTTTGTTTGAGGAAATAAATATTAGATACCTATATGGTTTTTAAGTACATGTTTTCGGAAATAAATAACATTTTTTTGTTTTATAATGTCCGAGATCACTCAGGTTTAAAGATATAAAAATCAATTACATTATTTTTTTCAGACGCTTTTAAAACGTGTTTGCATTATTTTGGTCATTTGGACATAGTAGTGAATAACGCCGGTGCTTTCGACAATTCTACTGAAAAATGGTCCACTACGGTCAACATTAATTACGTAAGTTTCGTAGAAATGTTTAAAAGTGTACTTGAGTTTAATAAATTAATATCGTAAATTACCATTGTGTTAAACGAAAACTATAAAGGTTTTTGGATACGCCCACCGAGTTATTACATTATAAGTGTAGCGAAGAAGCCATTAGTTTTTCTAAGTGTGCTTTTTTCTCCGAAAACACTTTTTCTGTCTCTACCGTGAACCGATTCTTTCCAGTTTTCAACTCCCAAATCTATTTAAATCATTTTTCCAACACGTCGATCAATCTTTACCTAGATCTTCTTCCTCGAGGCCACCATTACATTACCGCTCTAACTGTGTCGTTTTCTCCTCTATAATGTAGATATTTTGGTTGTTTGGTAGACGTATTTATAGTCGATTTTATTATAATCTCAGGGTGGTATCGTACGGGGCACCTTGCTGGCCATTAAGTATATGGGAATCGCAAACGGAGGCAATGGCGGAACAGTAATTCAAACGACATCTTCGATGGTGTCCAGCGGTGGTATTCATTATATTCCGATGTATAAGTCTACGAAGAAATGTGTAATCGAATTTACGAAAACCTTCGGAGTATGTCCACTTATGTTCCAAAAATGTTTGTAATTTTGAATTTAGTGTTGTTTTTTTTTTTTACTGGCTTTTGAAGGGTACACGTAATTTTGGTCTTCATGGCGTCAGGATTATAACACTGTGTCCGGAATTAACCGATGTAAATTGTACAAGAGAGATTAACGAACGTGAAATGACCAACGAAAATCTTATCGAAAACCTCGATAAATTACATAGACAACTGATATTACAAAAGTAAGCATTTTTTTAAAAATGTATTGAAGTTATTAATTTTTGAAAAATTTGAAGTAGGTATTAAATTATTTTGTTTCGGGACGAACACACTTAACGCATCAAATATTTGTTTAAATTATTTTTAACTAGTTTAAAATTGTTTGAAGTAATAATTATATAAAAATATCATAGTTGCAATGCCATCTAGCGGTAAAGTTTCGTATACGCGTTTCGAATGTAAACCTACGAGCGGATGTTTAATGTATCATTTTATTTCTCCAAAGTTAAATTATTTTTAACATGAAGACTTATTTTATTCATATTTTATTAAAGACGACGTTTATTTCAATTTAAAAGAAAAAATACGATATTATAATAAATTAAATATATATAATAACTATATATAAGGACTTTAAAGAATGTTAAATTCGAATTTAGCTTGGAGAAAATAGTGAAATTCCGATTTTTCCATTCAAATTTTAAATCTCCATTAATGTAATTAATACTTATTTTTTTTTTCCACCAATTACTTATAGTATTATCATTTGCCCACAGGTCGAATCACGTGGGAAACGCTTTGATTGAGATTTTGGATTTAGGCAAAACCGGAGAAACCTGGATCGTCGAAGAAAACAAATCTCCGCGATTATTGGTCAATTATTAATATAAGTAGCGGGTTTCTTTTTAATTATTATAAATAATACATGTATTGATGATTAAAAAAAAACAACTGGTATTTAATTTTAATTATTTTCATTATAAACGTTAAACGTGTACACGTTTAGAAACCCGTACTGTATATACATTTATTAAATATTTACAATACGATTACGTCCAAATTAATATTGGCTTTATGTACAGTAGACTCTAATAATATTATACTGTCAATTATATTAAACAAATATCCTATATAAATATACAATAAACTACGTATTTTTGTTGTTTTATAGCTTAGATAACGTTTAAAATAAAAATTATCCCAATAATTATGTACGATAAAAGACGAATAACGCTTATAAAAAAAAAAAAAAAAAAAAAAAAACAAAATTATAATTATAACGTCACATGTTCAAATTTCGAAAACAGTATCATCGATTCCCGAATAAGTTATTTATGTTGTGCGTAAGTATGCGTCCAGGGTTTCCAAATCCTATGTTACAGTCTTAGGCGTGGCCGACGGGGACCCATTCTTCTGTTCTCGAAAATGTTACATACACTGTCCAGTGGAAATTATTAATATGTATAACAAATTAATTTAATAATATACTATTATATATATATATGTAACGTAAAATTTAAAACGTATAACGAGAAATCTGTTTGTACGATTAACATAATGTCTACGAGTTGGTCTCCAATTAACAACTCGGGTTATCTGCAGGTTACATGTAATTTCCGAGCGACGGTCAAAAAATGCGTAGAGTTTTTCATCTACATGTTTCATAGCCATTGACTGACGAGACAAACGACAAACACAACCAATGTATTAATATAATAGCCTATTTGTATTACTTTATTATTATAAGTTATAATAATACGAGAACTTTCCTATCACATCTCCAGGCGATCGTATACATAATAAAATATGATAAGATTACAGATTTGTACATATGGGAAATAAATTCGAACAGTTGAACGAGGATAAGTAATTTGTACCATTGTCACTATTTTAACCAATTCGTACACTTTATTTGATTTGAAAACAAGGGGCATATTTTTAAATTTTTTGTGTGTGTGTGTGTGTGGTGGTGGGGCGGGGGGTTACAATTTTTCTAAAAAACTGTGATTTTTTCATCATGAAATAGTAATTATCTCGAATGATTTAAAAGTGAATTTGATTTATATTTTTCTTAATCTTTGTACAATCGTTTAAGCTTTATTTTAAAACCATTTTTAATTTTTTACTTCTACTCCATAAATTGTATATCTAATTTTAAATAATAATTAATAACTCTTCTCTACTTCTCTCCGGTCTAAACTTTAAACAGTTATAACTCATAAACGGTAAACCTGATATTAGTGTTATGCAAATCAAAATTTTTAGAAAAATATACTCTATTTGAATGTGTTAAATAAGTGGGAGGAGTTCCTATTTTAAAATCAAAAGTATATTCTAATTTAAAATATATTGGGTAAGGATAAAAATTAAAACAAGGTTTTAAAACAAAGCTTAAACGATTCTACAAAGATTAAAAAAAGTATAAATCAAATTTACTTAAAATATTAATGTTCTCTTTCCCTGTACCAAGAGTCATTTATGACTTTTGAACCAATTTTTTTTTAGGGGAGGGGGGTCGAGACCAGGCCCCCCTCCTCGAAAATACGCCATTGTCGAACGTCTCGTTCATATCACGTTTGTTTCGTGATAAAAATGTGGCGGGTTCTCTAAATATTTGTTTTATTGTAAATTGTATGGGTTACCTATACTTTTTCCCATTCCGAGGAAAACTTCCTATAATTTTCGGTAACGCTATCGCCAATATTTATAATATAATATCGTCGTTTTTAGCTTCGTCGCGATTGTAATATTTATTATATATTTAAATCGTTTGTCTAACGGATAATGATTAATACAATTTTTTAATTAAATAGACATTGTGCAATTTATTTAGTTCAAATATAATGTATACAGATTGCGTGGGTGGACGTCATCTTAACCGAAGGTTATAAATAATGCAGTCTAATTGGAACTTCTATAATGCTGCTTTCTCGAGTATATATATATATCGCAGTTACTAGAGGTTGGAGAAATGGGCGGTTGCCAATGCACAGCAAAGTCAGGGGACGCATTAAAGTTGGTCAAATTATAGTAGTTAATAGGTATAAATTGTAATTGGTTCACTTTGTAGCGTTATTTGTAATTTTACTTTTTATAAATCATCAGAAAAATATATAAAACGTTTTAACATTTTTGAACGTCGTACTAATTTTAAAAGAAAATACAAATATGACAAACGGTGAAGATGCAAATGTTAATAGCCATAATATTATAATTTGTGTACCTATTTTATGTTGAAGTATCTACCGAATTTAGGTTTTGAATTGTAATATTTTTAATTATGTGTTCGTCCTGTCTCACATCTGTAATACGTGTCAATCTCATATTATTATATTATTTTCTGGTTGAAAAATGAGAATATTTTGCATACGGTAAACTTTTGCCGGCCAAAGCATAAAAACCGAAAAAACATAAATCGATAATATATAGGGTATGACTAAAATTAATAGGCATTAGGTTAGGCACACTATAATGACATGCTTATTAGAGGTACGGGTTAAAAATGCCTCTATTTATGAATTTACCTATTGTGTAAATATACAAACGATAAATTCCATATTTCTACATCCACCATTTCGTCAATTCGAAACACCTTTAAATTTCGTTGTCTCGATGTACCTATAGGTATATTATTTATTAAATTTTCAGTCACAGATTATGAAAAATCAAAACCAAAATGTATGGTTTTGCAACACGAATGCCGGGTCAATCAACAAGATATAGTCGGCGGAACGAATTCAAGTGACGAAATTCCGGTCGCAGCTAAAGTTGCAAGCGGGGTTTATTTCGAAACTAGGATTTATATTCTGTTATTATCTGTTCAAAGCCACCCAGAATCAAGAGTTTATCGACAAAATGATGAATCGTCGGGTAATAAATGAATAAACTCAAAAATAAAAACAAAAACAGCTCTAAACGTACCTATTCATCATAGACTTTAATGCCTTGCGCTAAAACGGGAACACACATCCAGCCCAAATAATCTGTTCCGTTATAATAATAATATAAATTAACCTGTCTGGAGAAATCGAAATCATTCTCAAAGAGTTACAAGTTTTACGGTTACTACCTTGAGCAACGTATAATAATACTTGACAATATAATACAGTGCATTTAATTATATTATTATAATGTAGGGCCTAAAATTATCTGCAATACACACACAGTAACAAATACAGAATGAGCGGCACATGTGATAGTGTACAATTTAAACAAACACTATAATAATATACTGTTAACATGTTTTTTTTTTATTATTATTTTGAACGTTTTATATTTTCATACCAATGTTATCGTTTGTTCGCAGGATGATCTATAAAAGCTGTCCCGTACCATGATTGGCGTACTGACGACGTTCGACGAAGCTTATGGCCAATCAAACACACCCATTGTAGACACGTATGAAACGAGATTCATATTGGGTATAGTCGGAGTGTTGGCGAATTTGTCAACGACGGAAAAAGAACGGAGGTATTATTTAACTATGGATTCCGGAAAAACCATAATGTGCATCGTCTTTAAAACAGTTCATCGTTTGCTGTCTCCGTCCGGAAACTCATTGAAAAAGTAATTCGTAATTATTTGGGCCCAGGCCCGTCGCGAGAAATTTTCCGCCCTTCGGCAAATATAATGTCGCCCCTTCTGTCAAAAGGAAAATATATAGTGCACAATTTTAATACATCTTATATATAAAATT